TATTGCTACCAATTGTTGGTAATGCAGCTGAGCATGCTGGTGCTGTCATCTTCGCCTTCCGTAACAAACTCGTACGTTTTACTTCGCTTTTTTTTTTCTCCATTTATATATAAGTAAGCGATCAAATTTTGTTTTTTCTTCTTCTTTCTTTTATTATAGAAAAGCGATCCAAATGTACATCAATCTTCTTTTCTTTAATATAATCTATTTACTTATTCCGACTGAAAAAAAAAACAAAATTTGATATATACTTTTAAAACGTACGTACAGGACATAACTCTGGGAATTGCTCTCGGTTCTGCAACACAAATTGCTTTGTTCGTGGTAAGCTAATCGATCTTTGGTTTTTCACCTTATAATTAATCATATTTTTTCTATTGAATTTAAGTTAGTAAAAAGTCTTTCTTCTATTCCTCCAATTTGGAGTATATTTAGTGTCAAACAAAAAAAAAAGGTATATATACAACATTTTCTTATTATACATTTTAAAAATCTACTATAAATGTTTGGCCATATATCGGATGCCACATTATCAAGTTTAGATAATAAAAATATAGCGTTTTTGCCAGAAAAAAATATATTAATTAACCTGGTGCTCACTGTTTTTCTTTTAACTTGTAGCTTAGGTTTTCAACATAATTTAAATTTAATTCAAGTAATCCTATAATTTCAATTAAGGTACCGGTGACAGTGTTGGTGGCATGGACAATGGGAATAGAAATGGATCTTAACTTCAACCTCCTTGAGACCGCTTGTCTTGCCTTGTCCATCCTCGTCACTTCCTTCACATTGCAGGTGTAATTTCATGTTTCCTCAATTTAAGTAATTTGATTAAATATATGATGCTTTGAATAATGCGGATGTATAATCTTATATATCTAATACATTACATGAATGATAGGATGGGACTTCGAACTACATGAAAGGCTTGGTTCTTCTCTTGTGCTATACTGTCATTGCTGCTTGCTTCTTTGTCTCTAATTCACCCTCAAGTAAGCTTTTATTGGTTCATTAATGTATAGTATCATAAATTTTCATTATTACTGTTTCGTACGATTAATAGTATGGTGTATTCATTTGCTTTGTATTTTCTCAATTGCAGCCGAAACCAATACAACTAATCATAATTTGACGAAAAGGTAAGTTATGTTTGATATTAAGTCATGTTCAATAATCAAAGACTGATATTTTTATAAACGGAAAATAGCAATACACTCCTGACTCCCCTCTGTGCTTAAAGATCAAAGTTCGAGAGTACCAATGAGTGAACTACTTGCTCATCCATTCACAATAGCAAACAAAATATAAAAATATAACATTTTATAGAATCTAATATAACATGTTAGTTTTGATTGTCAAGTAACAATCATAAATAGTAAAAAAAAACTTACTTCTAAAGAAAATTAATTTTCAGAGTGATGTATATATTATGATATGTGTGGTTCATGTTTTTGCAGGTAAATGGACGATGTTTTCCCCTTTTACCGTTTTTTTCTTTCGTTTTTTGTTTTCATATAATAATTTTTGAATTATTTGTGTATAGTATTATATTATTATTTTTTTAAGGATATAGTTTTTTTTCTTCCATCATTTTTATCAAGGATTCCTTGAGCAAAAAAAAAAAAAGTCTATCTATAAACCTGATTAATCTAAGTTTTGACCCGTAAACGATGATTTCATGGAACCTACTCCATCTAACTAATATATAATATAATTATGCTAGAATTTTCAGAAAAGGTAAAAGAAATCTAATTCTGCGATAAAGTCGGCCAGTTTACCGAGTTCTTGAGATATCCAGAAGTGAGGTTCTATCGGGTCATTTTGCCAACATCTTTTCATTTTTTTCAAGTTCGGCTCATTTCTTCACCGCAATGTCCGCAAACTCTAGGAAAAAAGAAGAGTCAGGGAAATTTATTTGTTTCAAAGTTTTACTGATATATTCAAAGTCTCGGAGAAGGCCCAACTGAGCCCATTAAGTACTGACTACTATTTACAGTAATGCCACCGCCGGAGACAATTTATACATTGGACTCCATTTTTTGCAATAAATTTCAGGCGAGAAAAAAATCCGAAATTCGAAAAGTCTTCGAAGTGATCCGCCATGGGAGACGAGAAATCTCTATTTCAATTCCGTAGTATCCCTTCGCTCAGGACGTCTGATTTCGCTCTCACCGAGGAACCTTCATGGAGGCTGGAGAACAACGTGTCGTGGAATCGCCGGAGAGGGAACAGAAGAAGCGGTGGCGTTTTGAGCAATTTCGCCTCAGTATCGGTAGCTATTATGAGAGATCGGAAGGAATCTGAGTTTAATGGTGGAAATGGGGGCGTAGGCAATGCTTTCGCGTCCGTTTCGGTGGCAGAGAAAGTGATTCTCAAGGAAGAGGACGAATTCGCGCCCACTTCGGCTCAGCTATTGAAAAATCCGGTCGCTCTTCTGTCATTTGTACCGAAAGACGCCGCACTGTTCTTTGCCGGAGCATTCGCCGGAGCTGCCGCGAAATCTGTGACGGCACCGCTTGACCGTATAAAGCTCCTTATGCAGGTAGGCTTTCTCCTTTCATTCTCAACAACTTCGAGGTTTTGTGGCACGTGTTTTGTTTTTTCTCCCATTTTTTTTTCTTTTATAATCAACAAAAATGCTAGTTTTGGTGTTGACTGGTGAGCATTATAAATACGCCGTCGTTTGAGACTACTGTAGTTCCATTTTCGACGAGTATATATATATACTTTAATTAGAAAGATGTTAACTACTTACAAGAAAGAATTGTGTGTGCGCGCTATCTTACACATTAAGATATGGTTTGGTTATATCGTTTGCATTTGTATCCTTCCATGAGTTGCTGCATGGATGATTTAGACCATGATGTGAATTTCATTATCTCAAGTCAAGAAGATATATACCTTAAGGGAACCTACAGCAATGTTCATTGATTGTTACAATGTAATTTACGTCTTTGAATTCACAGACACACGGCGTTCGAGCTGGGCAACAAAGTGCTAAGAAGGCTATTGGTTTCATAGAGGTATATACTCAAAATCATGTAATGTAGAGGATTGGTTTTGTACTCTCTTATTGATCTGGCTTTGTAATTTGGAATATAACTACAGGCGATTATGCTTATTGGAAAAGAAGAAGGCGTTAAAGGTTATTGGAAAGGAAACCTACCTCAGGTACTCACAATCTCTTACATAAATAAATGTCTAGAAAAGGTAGAACATGATTGCCCATAATCTTAGCCTGAATGTTCCAGGTGATAAGGATCGTACCTTATAGCGCAGTCCAGTTGTTTGCATATGAAACATACAAGGTATATAATCTTTGCACATCTGTTTGTTGTTTTCATTTCAAAAGTTTCAAAACCGTCTAATCACTAACTTTTTCTGCACATTTTGCCCTTTTTTATGTTTTTTTTTTCTTTTTCAGAAACTCTTTAGGGGAGAAGACGGTCAATTGTCTGTTCTTGGAAGGCTTGGGGCTGGTGCTTGTGCGGGGATGACGTCTACTCTGGTAACTAATGTTGTTTATAGGCCTGAGTGAGTTCGTCTAGTCTAGCTGGAAAAATCCTTAAATGCCTTAGAATCTGTTTACGTTATGCAGATTACATATCCTTTAGATGTGCTGAGATTGAGGTTAGCTGTTGAACCAGGGTATCGAACCATGTCCCAGGTATGTTCGTTCGTCGCATTATAGACCAACTCTACGTTCCATAAATTCATCGAATAAAAATGCGCAACATGTCACATCTAAGGTTGCCTTGAACATGCTCCGGGAGGAAGGACTTGCATCATTCTATAACGGTCTTGGTCCTTCGCTTTTAAGTATAGCTCCTTACATCGCCATCAACTTCTGCGTCTTTGATCTGTAGGTCTACTAGCCGTTAAACATAAAACATTACACCTGGAAATGTTTTAGTCGATTGTTTACAGTTTATATATATCTGCAGGGTAAAGAAATCTTTGCCAGAGAAGTATCAAAAAAAGACACAATCATCTTTGTTAACAGCAGTAGTCGCTGCTGCCATTGCTACCGGTACTTGCTACCCGTTAGATACCATTAGAAGACAGATGCAATTGAAGGGTACTCCATATAAATCCGTATTCGACGCTTTCTCAGGTAAAAAGTTATGAAACAAAATCTTTATCTCGTCAAAACCTAAAGTCTATCAGTTTCGGCTGACTGACCGGCTTATCCTCAACCGCTGTACAGGTATCATTGAGCGTGAAGGAGTTATTGGCTTGTACCGTGGTTTTGTTCCCAATGCCCTCAAAAGCATGCCAAACAGCAGGTAAATCACTTCTGATCAAAGTACCAGCTTTTGATTTTCTTTTTTTTTTGTTTCAGTATTACCAATTCGGAATACTCTCTTTGTGTCGTTTCAGTATTAAGCTTACAACATTCGACATCGTCAAGAAACTCATAGCAGCAAGTGAGAAGGAGTTCCAAAGAATCGCGGATGATAATCGCAAGAAAGCAAATCCTAACACAACCGATGTACAAACCTGAAACCGCCGTTTTGGGTCTTTGGAAGCTCTCTTTTTTCCTTCTCTCTTTTTGTGTGTGTGTTTGTATTTTTAAATGTGTGTGGTCAAAATCGTTCTTGAATTGAATTCATCACGAAGCCCGCCCAGAGAGGGTAGTATGGTAATGAATAAAATGTCTCTTATGTCCGGTCCGACTATACGTTTATTATATACAGTACTATTAGATCCGCTTTTGTCAACCGTATTAAGCAATTCGAATCGGTTTAATGGTATCGGTATGCTGTTAAACGTCGTCGCTTTTTGCAAAGAAACGGAATTGGGTGTCTATCTATTTGGCGGATGCAGACGAAGAAGAGGAGGAGATGAGCGTTCCAGTGAGAAGTTGTCGAGCAAGTGTCTTGTATGAATCCTTCCCTACACCAACGAGCCCTAAACCCTTTTAACTCTTAAAAACTCTCTCTCGTCATGTACCGTACCTTGCGGTTTCCGTTGCCTCTTCACGTTCCCCGAACTCGAACGATGGCATCCTGTAAGCCGAAACGACGCCGTGTGGAGCACTTGCGGTGCTGTGCTCAGTATCGTCTCCGCGAAGGTGAGGAAGACGAAGGAGAAGAAGAGGCCAATGATAAGAGGTGATGCATTTTCATTATTTAACCACTTTCCTGTTTTGATTCTCGAGAAAAAAAAACTAGAATGCCCTTTTTTTTTAGCAAATTGGGGTTTTGCGTATCTTACTGCTGATGATTGATCTTTACTGTTAGAGTTCAAGGACTAGTTTCGATTGTGGTGGAGAGATACGGAAATGGCACTTCGAAAAGGTCTGCTTCTGGTTTCTGATTTCATATAAAGCTCAAGATTCATCTCAACTCTTTTATCTCTATAAATACACTGACCTTGTTGTGGCAGATATTTGCTAGATGATGATGACTCGCCTTTACGAGGATTTCTCGAGGAGCGTGAACCAAAGCCTGATGACAAATCTCAGGAATCGAATTCCTCAGAAACGAACATGCTTTGGCTTCCTGATGTTGTCAAGGATTTTGTTTTTCCCACCGGCTTTCCTGGTACACTTCCTAGCTTAAAAGTCCATGTATCTTTCTCTCTTCTTCCTCTTCTGGAATCTCAGAATGTTAAGCTTGCAGAAGTGCCTATTATGTATGATTCAGCGAATGATTCTCGTAAAATCACATGGCAGGGTCGGTTTCAGATGATTACTTGGACTACATGCTGTGGCAGTTCCCTACCAATATTACCGGCTGGATTTGTAATGTGTTAGTCACCTCAAGTCTTCTCAAGGCATGTCCGGGAATTTTTAATTTACTGCTTTGTCATATACTTGCTACAAATTGCTAAGGTCTTGTTATTGTGACTGTACTTGTTCTAGAGATGGGTGTTGAGTATGTTGCAAATTTCTTGAATTTCCTATGCGACAATGCAGGCGGTTGGCGTTGGTTCTTTCTCAGGAACTTCTGCTGCCGCTACCGCTGCTGCCTCTGCTGCAGCCATCAGGTTTGCTTTTTTGCGAAGGCAAATTTAGTTTGTTTGCTGCTGCAATCTGTTTGTTCTTTTTAGATGGGTTTTCAATCAATGTATTTTCTCTTTAGATGGGTATCCAAGGATGGAATTGGAGCTCTTGGCCGTCTTCTTATTGGTAGGGACACCATGGAAAGCTTAATAAATGTTCATCGAGTTATCTAAGAACCTCTTTCAATAAGAAGGGTCTGTTTTTCAGGTGGACGTTTCGGGAGTCTTTTTGACGATGATCCTAAGCAATGGCGCATGTATGCAGATTTTATTGGCAGTGCTGGAAGGTTTGTTGAAGAGACTTCAAATTTTTGGTGCTATTTGGTTAACCTTTTTTTTTACCTTTTTTTTTTTTTCTTTTTTCTTTTCCGCAGCTTTTTTGATCTGGCGACACAACTATATCCAGCCCAGTTTCTTCTGTTGGCGTCCACCGGAAATCTAGCCAAGGTATTCCTCTTTCTAGCTGTAAATCCTGGATTCATGTAGATCTTAATTGGAATTTTCCTCGGCTAAGCTTTATTTGACAGAGTGCAGTACTAAGATTTCAATTTGAAATAGGCTGTGGCTAGAGGATTGAGAGACCCTTCATTTAGGGTGATTCAGAATCATTTTGCCATCTCAGGGAATCTTGGAGAGGTAGCAGCGAAGGTATGCTAGTCATGTGTATATAATCAAACCCCTAATACAAGCATGGAGTAGCCATGTGTTCCCTCTATTAGCAGAGTCTTCGATTTTTGTTCAACGTTTCAGGAGGAAGTGTGGGAAGTTGCTGCTCAGCTAATTGGTCTTGGTCTCGGCATTCTGATCATTGTATGTTACTTTTTGTTTGGTCATTTTCTCAAATCTTGTTAAATTATTTTCTTGGTTTCATTTTGGGCGTTTGTATACTGTAATCTTGATGCAGGACACCCCGGGCCTTGTAAAGTCATTTCCCTTTGTGTCACTTACATGGACGAGCACAAGACTTGTTCATCTCTGGCTACGCTACCAGTCGCTTGCAGTCCTACAATTTAAAACGGTAAAATTTTGAAATGGATCCTTTTACAATCCCAACATGAGAAAACGCAGATAAATAAAATTACTTTGATTTGAAACATTGCCAGGTAAATCTCAAGCGTGCTCGGATCCTAGTACAATCTCATGTTGTGCACTCCGTTGTACCAGGTAAGAATATTTCTCCCCTTTTCCAGCTTAATATTCAACCTTCACGTAATACCGATTTTTCTCTCTGTTCAGGATATGTTGACTGCAACAAACGAGAAAACATTTTGTTATGGCAGAGATTTATGAAGCCTCGGATCATCTTTGGTGTATCTCTTGAGGAAGTATCTGGTCTGGAGAAATCTGTTTCTAAAGTATTCTTCTCCTTTCATTTTAGCTGCATCCATATGTACTCTTGAGAGAATCTTCTATTTGCAAGTCCAAGTTCTTGAAACCTTCATTTTTTCAGGTCAAAGCATTCCTTATGATCTACACAAAGGAGAAATATATTCTTACGTTGAACAAGGATACCGAGTTTTCTGTAACCTTTAAGGTATGTGCGTGGCCCAATAAAGGACTTATTCGCTTCTCATTCTCCTCCACGATTAGTTGAGAGTCTTGAGACTCATTTGTGGGATTAATTGAGCATATCAAGTTAGGACTTAGGAGAGATCATTGCTGATTTACAGTTTGCTTCTTAATACTTGAATAAGATACTTGAGAAGCATATGGGATATGGAGCTATTTTCAGTATTGCGGCTTAGTTGGACAGTACTCTTGGATTCTTTGGGGCTAGAATTTATCATTTTGTTGTTTTATCAGTAAATACTTACATGGTCTATGGGCTCTTTACTCTAATGATCTTATCATTAAAACTACTTTTGCTATTACTTCATTAAGTAAATTACCCATTTATAGGGAATCTGAGGTCTAACCATTTTACAACACTGTTTTTTTCCCTAATATTTATCAATGTGAAACGAATAATGCAGGTAAATGCCACAAGCAGAGACGTGTTGAGATGTCTTTGGCAAGCATATTGGTTATACGAGAACATGGAACAGAGCTTTGAAGACAAAGATAGTGTGTTCCACTGGCTGAAGCAAAGCTTGTCGGAGATGGACAAAAAGTTTGATGATTTCTTGTTCAAGTTGAATACTGCTGGATGGAATCTACGTGAATCTAACTTGAAGATTCCTAACCATATCCTCATAGACCACGAATCTATGATCCCTCTCTGATTTTCCCCGGAATCTTCAGACTCATCACGCAATCTCTTGAACAAAAGAAAATAAAACTGAGGTAAATAATAGCAAACCCAACCCCGTCAATTTAAACATGGAGTAATCTATTACTTTCTTAGGCGTCAAGTGAATCTAGGTGATTCATGGAATATATAAGTTTGGTACAACTAACAGTTAGGATATATCAGGAATTATATGGCAGCTTGTATTGTATAATTGAAGAGGAAAGAGTATATCTATTATATCTAATAAGTTGTGGATAATGAGACAATTGGTGAGGTTTAGGCCAATGATAGAGAATGATTGTGATTATTTCTGCTTTGTTTGTACTTGAATCGTCACCATTTTTAGAATTTAGATTAGAGGTGGCCCTCCGGAGTTAACAACATAAACAAAAAAAAAAAAAAATAATACAACAACATTTTATATAATTTGATATCTACATGACTACATATATAGTAGAACGGAAATATGAATCTCTCAGCCATTAGAATTCAAGTAATATATAATTTAAAGTATCGTCAACTATGGCTTAAGTTTTATATTTTAAAGCAGAGATATAATTATCTACGGATTCATTTTGTAGTCCAGTGATCTTAACCTACGGAATGAATTTTTAGTTAATTTGCTATTTCGTCTTTCACAACACAAGAAGTGCTATATGTATTTTGTGAAAAGAAAAAAAAAAAAAAGTTAAGGTGGATTATTTCTTTCTTCATTAGCGGTGTGATGATAACCAATCCTGTCACCGAATTACTATTATTGGTTTAATTCCTTTGCCCTCATCCATATTCATTCATTGCATAAACTGATAAACCACACACGTATGTCGCATACGTATTCTAAAACCCCCAAAAAATAAGCAATTACATGGCCTTTCGAGGTTCAAGCATATATAATTCTATCCAGGATTTTCCATTAATGATATTAATATAGCAGTGAATATCATTAATCTGGTATCCTTATGGGGTCAACAGAGACACGTCAAAGGCAGTACTTGGCTATCTATTGCGACACGTGTCCAGGTCTCCACTGACATCGAAACACACGTCGGTCATGTATATATTTCTTCTACTAGCCTCTCACACTTGCACAGTGCACACACACCGCCGCCTGAAGCAGTGACACACGTCCTGTCACCGACATGTCACTCAATAATCATACCATTTAAATAATTACTATTTTTGTTGTTAGGTGGAGCCCCTGGGAGGGCTCTATGGTAATTTCGCTAATCCTAGAAGCTTTTTAAATTTTCCTAGTAGTCTATTTTATTTTGCTTAAAGAGAAATTATTCCCGTTCCTTCTTGAACAAAAAAAAAAGCTTAAGACGCTCCCTTTGTATTTTTATGATCTTATCTTACGTGTGCTCTACGCGAATTTTGCAACTTTCTTCCTCTTTCTCTCTCTCTCTCTCCCTGTCGCTACCTCGGTTGGGTTGAGTAAGTAAATTTCAAAAAATCTTCCATGGAAATGGGAGAGAGAATCAATTCGAGTTGTTAAGGTTTGCGATATTTTAGGCTTGTGTCGGTGTAGTTGATCTCGAGGATTACAAAAAAAAGGATTTAGGGTTTTAGGGACTCGCTCTCGGAAGATAGTTTTATGTTGGATCGTCTCTATACTGGAGTGAAGGAAAAATGCGAAAATCGTTCAAGGATTCACTTAAAGCTCTCGAAGCTGATATCCAGTTCGCCAACACCCTGTAAGTCTCTATCCGTTGTTTATATACATATATATAGGGCATGTTTGGATGTTTCGGTGTCGTCTGATCGTTGTGTTCTTCGTAGAGAGTGGTCTAATCGCGTCGGAAATTTGTTTGTTGTCGTGATTAAAGCTTGTATTTTCGGTGCCCGTTGTTTGAGTTGCTGATTTTCCTCTCTTGCGCTTCGATAGATTTTGATTTCAATGGATTAAACTGTTTACACAGTTCTGAGTTCTATCGAAATGGGTTTTTCAGTTTGGATAATTGTGAATCTGAATCTCTGTTGTCTGCTTGGTTTTTTTTTTGTGTGCTGAGCTGATGTCAGATGTTAATATGAGACTTTGCGTTTACGCGAGCTGACAGATTCCAATTTTGTTTTTTTTTTGTTTTTAATTACCTTTGCTAGTCTCAGACGCCACCCACCACTTTTGGTCTATCCACTAAAATCTACGTTGGTCAAAATATTTTTCTTTTGTCGTATAGAATTAACTTGACTTTGGTATAGTGGATAGAGCTGTGAATAAACAAATCATAGAATCAAGATCATAGCTAGCGAAATCAATCAATAAAGCTGGTTAAACGAAAATGATTTCTGGTTTTGAAGGGCATCCGAGTATCCAGAGGAGTATGATGGTGGCTGCGTGCAGATGAGATTGTCTTACAGCCCAGCGGCTCATCTCTTTCTCTTCCTTCTTCAGTGGACAGATTGTCATTTCGCAGGCGCTTTGGGATTGCTTAGGATCCTTATTTATAAGGTCTTCTTTCTCATCAGTTTATTCTTTCCGCCTGTTCTTGATCCCCTGTTCTTTTTGCCTGATTTATGATTCTCTGTTTTTATTTTCTTTACAGGCATATGTTGATGGGAAGACTACAATGTCTCTACACGAACGCAAAGCTAGTATCAAAGAATTCTATGGTACTAATGTCACACCTAGTTAATCACTTAGTGTCTTTGCAGTCTGACTAACAAAGGATGTTGATGGGGACAGATGTGTTGTTTCCTTCGCTATTGCAACTTCACGGAGGGATAACCGATGTAGAAGAAAGGAAACAAAAGGAGATATGCGACAAAAGATACCTGAAGAAGGACAAGACAGAGAAAGGGAAGATGTCAGAGATCGATTTGGAGAGGGAAGAAGAGTGTGGCATTTGCTTGGAGGTTCGAAATAAAGTTGTTCTTCCTACTTGCAATCACTCCATGTGTATCAATTGCTACAGAAACTGGTAAGTGTTTCACCTTCTTTCTTTTTTTTTTTTTTACTTACTCTCAAGTGTTTCTTTCGTCACCCATCAGCCCTTATTAAGTTAAAGAACCCTGCATGTTGTTTGAAACAGGCGCGCAAGGTCACAGTCGTGCCCGTTCTGTCGAGGCAGCTTGAAAAGAGTGAATTCTGGTGATCTATGGCTTTACACTTCGATCAAAGAGATTGTGGAGCTACCGGCTATTTACAAGGAGAATCTGAAGAGGTTGTTAATGTACATTGACAAATTGCCTCTCGTTGCTACGGACCCAACTCTTGTTCCTTACGCTCCTATTCCTCGGTGAACATCCTCCTCCTCGTAAGCTATCTCCTTGTTCTGCCTGCACATAGCAATTTCTATCATTTCTTTTCAGTGCCCACTTTGTAGATAAAATTTATGTCTTTCCGTTCCTTTTGCTTTAAATTAGCTCTTTCAGTCACTGATCTGGATTTGTATATAACAAAACAAACCTCTGGTTATTTGACATTTATTGATCCTCATTTTCCAATATATGTAGTATACATTTGCCACTAAATTCAGATTGTAGTTTGTCTTGGTTTAAAGAAAATCAATATGGAATGATATGAAAGCAGTGGCTTTCTTTTCTACATTTCAGTTACGCATAATTTGGTTTAGGTAGGGATCGATTGGTTTTACGATCAGACCGGTCAGCTGGTATCAAACCGATGGTGGGACAGTATCACTATTACACGTGGCTTTGTTTAATTCGAAAAGAAGTTAATCTACCCAATCAGATTATAGCTCATCCAGATTCTATCGCCAGTTGGAAACTTGAAACATCACTCAGATAACGCAGAATTCAATAGATAAGGTAGATAGTGTTTTTCACCGTCAGATGGATTTTGTCAATCGATCCAACGGTAATGATCGCCTCTCCAAGATCACCCCAGATCGAAAGAAAAATCGTCTATCCTCATGGCATCTATAATCTCGGATTAAAGAAACACAAGTTCCTTCCATCTCCTGAAATCACAAAAAATCTAACAAAACACACACCGCCCGAGATGGCCGCAACTTCAACCGCTGCCGCTGCTTCTTCCATCATGGGTACTCGGGTGGCTCCCGGTATCCATTCCGGTTCTGGTCGGTTTACAGCCCGGTTTGGGTTCGGAAAGAAAGCTCCCAAAAAGACCGCGCCCAAGAAGGTGACTTCGGACCGGCCTCTCTGGTTCCCAGGCGCCAAATCTCCTGACTGGCTCGACGGTTCGTTGGTTGGAGATTACGGGTTTGATCCGTTTGGTTTAGGTAAACCGGCCGAGTATCTCCAATTCGATATAGATTCACTAGACCAGAACCTGGCTAAGAACTTAGCCGGAGACGTGATCGGGACCCGCACGGAAGAGGCGGCCCCCAAATCGACGCCGTTTCAGCCGTACAGTGAGGTGTTCGGAATCCAGAGATTCAGGGAATGCGAGCTTATTCACGGACGGTGGGCGATGCTCGCTACTCTCGGCGCTCTATCCGTCGAATGGCTCACCGGCGTCACTTGGCAAGACGCCGGAAAGGTAAAGACTTCTTCCTCCACCGCTTTTTTTCTTCTTCGAGGATACGGTTAGTCAAATGGTACTACTACGTAATTTAGATTTGCGTTGAACGAGTTAATCCAATACTTGCGTTTGCGGTAGCGTTTGTTTGTGACTTAGGGTACGAACGAGACCACTAATAAAAATAGATAATTTTTGCGATTGAGTTAGCGTTTGCTAATCAAACTTATATATAACTTCAGGTGGAGCTTGTAGACGGATCGTCCTACTTGGGGCAGCCATTACCGTTCTCGATCTCGACATTGATATGGATCGAGGTGTTAGTGATCGGCTACATCGAGTTCCAACGCAACGCCGAGCTTGACTCGGAAAAGCGTTTGTACCCAGGAGGCAAATTCTTCGACCCGCTGGGTTTGGCGTCTGACCCAGAGAAGACGGCTCAACTTCAACTGGCGGAGATCAAGCACGCACGTCTTGCCATGGTCGCGTTCTTGGGCTTCGCGGTTCAAGCGGCTGCTACTGGTAAAGGTCCACTCAACAATTGGGCTACTCACCTCAGTGATCCACTCCACACCACCATCATCGATACCTTCTCCTCCTCCTCTTGAAAGCAATTCTCCTTTATCATCTGTTCGTAAATGTAATTTGTCGTGCTATGGAAATCAAAATTTGGCCAACTCTCTGTATAAACAGAGCTATGAAACTGAATCATGTTTGGAGTTTTTGGGCTTTTCTTCGTTTGGTCCATAACACTATATTGCTCTATTTCCTCATGGTGAGCTCCTCTTCCTTATAAAATTCTTCGTTTTCGTTTAAAAGCATTAATAACAAGTAAAGAAGGTACACACTAGCAGTGCCGTGCGATGCGATGACCTTTAGAGACCTAAGGCAAATTTTAAAGATACATATATTACAATGTTGTAACAATAATGATATAAAATATATATAAATTTATACCTAAATTCTAAGTTTTTGAAAAATATCTTACATAAATGTTATATATCTTTTTTCCTACAAACAATAAATTTTTAAAACCTAAAGAAATAATTAAACTTATAGCATAGAAAAATAAAAATAGAAAGCAGCTCTAAAAAACAATTATAAAAATCATTCAAATTTTAGTTAGAATATAAAGTTAATAAAAAAAAAGTAGTTATTGTAAGCATAAGTGAGGTTTGAATAGTTGAACTCAGATGCATATAAAACTAAGAGGAGACATTAACCACTACAACATGAAAGATATTATGTATTTAGGGGCCCTAAAATTAATTATATTGTCTGAGGGCTTGAGGCAAATGCCTTTTGCAATACAGCACGGCTCTGCACAGTAGGTGTAGGTATGCCTTTGATGAATGTGAAGTGAATAGCATATATTTCTTGGGTTTTATTCGCGAATATCCAAAAGTTGAGGGGTTTCTACCACATTTTTTAAATTTTAAATTTGTTTGATGTTCATGTATTACCGGGGCGGGTAAGGGAGTGACATTTTTGTTGGGTTTTATTCGCTTTGATTTGTTTGATGCCTCATTTTGTTTGTTGTGGCTGTCTTTTTTTTTTTTTTTTTAATCTGCCAGTCTGCCATAATGCTACTTTTCTTTTGTAGTTTAGCTGGATTTTTTACTCGTTTACTTTTCTCTTTATTTTGTGTTAATTTTCTCCAGTTTTTGTTTTATCGTAGAGCTTCTATCAGAAAAGTAAATATATATAGAATCGGCAAGACATTTGAAGATAAAAAGAGAACCATACAAAAGGATAGGCACATTTGACACAAAAAGACAAAGAAAAAAAAAAGACACACCCCGTGTGACTTGGATGAACATAGATTAGAGGTTTGTCTTGGGAAGTTTCATTGAAAAAGGATGCCGTATCCCTGTCACTGCTCACGTAATTTGGGATTACGTTGAATTAGTGTATTTCTAATTTTGTTTTCGATTTTGACACATACACGATACATCTGGCAGGCTTAGTTACTTGCTCGTATGCACCGAAGAAAATGTCACAAAAATGACTTGAAATTATTGTACACGAAGACTTAATGAATTGATCGTATAACCCCAGAATAATTTTGCTATGAGGATCGTCTTGATTGGTATATATTAGATATTTGATCAGTATAAAAATGGCGGATTCAGCGATCAACATTGACATGTCTTATCATAACCCGCATAAAATAACAAAGTAGCGTCCTTTCCACGGGAACCATAAGGAAAACATGCCCTAATATTACAAACCTTTTGATATTTAATGATTGAATAATCTATGTGTCACGTCGAAACAAATATGTTTAAAGTTTTTACCTAACTGTCACATTATTTTTTTTCTGTAACCTCCCTCTCTGTCACTTTCATATCTAAAATTTAACGATAGACTTCCACTATTAATTATACTCTTTCTCTGTTCCACGATATTTTAGGATTTTCATTTTTATTTAAAAACAATAAATATATGTTTTAACTGATTATTTTTTTTAAAAAAATTATTTTACTATTTTTATTAAATGTATAATCATTATTTCCACTTTCCAAAACTATTTCAGAAATTTGATATTTTTATAACCAATATAAATTAAGTATTTTTCAAAAATTACAAATAAAATAACATTAAATACTCTTAAAACATCATCTTTTGTGGAACAAGATTAAATCCTAAAACATCATCTTTTGTATAACAAGATTAAATCATAAAACATCATCTATTTAGAAACAGAGGGAGTATTAATCTACCTTGCCCACAATTAATAGTAGTAAATTTGTGTTTCCATCTTTTGAAAGCTAAACGAATTAAGTTGCTTGACACTCTAATTAGCTAGATAACCTAGAAAGATTGGGATATGTAATCGATTTCAGTCATAATCCATATGGTTGTGATTGTGTGTTCTTAATTACATTTTGGATTCATTTCGAAAATTTTGAAATTGGTATTCATTTCGAGAATTTTGAGTAAATATTAGAACACCAATAGACGACATCCTAACAAATTTAATTTTAAATATATACTCCCTCCGTTTCACAAAGAATGTCGTTTTAAGGTTTTATTTTTGCTTTACAAAGAGTGTCGTTTTATATTTTCAATGCAGAATTTTAAACAATATTCCAGTTTTGACCCTATTGATTTAATGTGTTAATTAGAGAAAAAAAGTTATTTAATGCATTAATAAAGGTTAAAGTAGTATTTTTAATAATTTTTTTAATAAACGTGAAAAATGTCAGAACGACACTTTTTGTAAAACGGAGGGAAAAATAGATTTTGTTTATTTGCTCTTTAATGGCTGGCGGCCGATGTTTCTACTGATTGAGAAAACAACAACATCCGTACCGTTAAAACCGCCGGCGGTTGTCATCGGAGCCGCTATAAACGATAGCTGCAAAACATCGTAATATTGTGGTCTTATTTAGGCTACAACGAAATATAAAAGAGAGACCCGGACTAATCAACCCCCTCAATAAAATATAAATATGATTTTATTTGCACAGCTATCTATCTACCACTGATAACAGAGCTTGAAGAAACCCGCGTGACAGAGAAAGATGCGATTGAGCTCGAAGTCTGATCCGACGAAACATTCCCTTCAAACTTGGATCCTAAATCGCTTCTTGAAGAATCTGAGTATCCCCAATTGTCGTCAATCTCAGGAACATCTTCGTCTCCGTTCAAATACCTAATCACCATTCTCATCAACGGTCGAGACGCCGGTCTTTGATGGCAACAGAGCAATCCGACAGTGAGCGCAAGCTTTGCTTCTCCACTGTCGTAACCAGATCCGAGTCTCGGGTCAACCGCATGGAGAATCTCACCGCTCGCGCGCAACTCCATAACCCAATCGGCCAAGAAGAAGGTCCCGGAGTCCGTCGGTCTTCTCCCGGACACGATCTCTAGCAGCAAAACGCCAAACGCGAAAACGTCAGACGCAGTCGACGATTTCCCGCTGCGTGTTAGCTCCGGCGCCATATACCCAATCGTGCCAACGACCACGGTGGTGTGCGATAGCGATCCGCGTTCGTAAAGCCTCGCGAGCCCGAAGTCTCCCAATCTAGGATTCATGTTATCATCAATCAAAACGTTGCTAGGCTTCACGTCTCTGTGAATCACAATCTTTTCCCATTCTTCGTGGAGATACAGCAAACCAGACGCGATTCCTTTAGCGATTTGGAAACGCACGTTCCAGGATAAAACGGCGCCGCTTTGTCGGGGTCTGCTGTAGAGCAGCGAGTCCAAGCTTCCGTTGGGGATATAATCGTAAATCAAGAGGAGATCGTTTTTGTGCTTGCACCATCCTTGGAGGTTGACCAGATTCTTATGCCTAAGACGTCCCAAACTCTCGATCTCTGCGACAAATTCTCGAACACCTTGCATGCTATTCGGAGTGATCTTCTTCACAGCGATTTGATCATGGGAAGAAGATGATGAGATGCTTCCTCTGTAAACGGTTCCGAATCCTCCGGTTCCGATAATCCTGTTCTCCTTGAATCCATCAGTAGCAGCGTAGAGATCTTTGTATCTGAGCCTGTGAGGATGATTGATTTCCCAGTCTTCGAGAATCTCTCCTCGTTGCAATCGCTTCTTGTAGATCACCAAGAAGAACAATAACGCAAGCAAGATCAGTGTTACTCCCGATAGAGCCACGATCAGAGCGAGGACCTTACCATTGTAACCTCTCTTCTTCATCGTATTCGGAGGCGGAGGAGGAAGCTCCGAGAGGTCGAGCGTCTCTGCAATCGGACGTTCTCCGCCGCTAGAGAAACTCCAACCCATCACGTAATGAGCACTCGATTGATCTCTTCCCGTCGCTGCTGTGAACCCGACGTACATTTCCTCTTGCACAATCTCCAACAGTTTTGGAACCCGACGTGAGATCAATGGCCTTAAGGGTTTAGACTCCGAATCCGCCGGATAAACGGTGAAATTCAGCGTTTGCGTTGGCCCATCGTAATCCAAAAGTGCTCGGATGGGTTTCCCGCTCTGAAGCGAGAAATCCTCTTTGCGGTCAGGATGGTCGTTATCGTAATAAGCAACCGGTTCTTGGACATCGGATGTGAGGCTGTTGAAATTCAGACCGATATGATTGCCTGTGCTATCAGCACCGTCTTTGAATCCTTGAACCGTGTCTAGTTCAACGGCGAAAACGTGATTGCTCGAATTCCCATCGTTCTCTTTGTTGAGAAGTCCCAAATACTGTGCGGATCCCGCTCCGGGACGATCAGGGGTCGGAGATAGCGTGAAGGTGAAGCCAAAACCTCCGTTGCTGGAGCTTGTAGGGATGATGACAAAGACGAAAGAGGTGCTAAACGATCGAATTACCCTGGAATCCCCGTTAGTCTCGAGCAATCTCACCGGTTTATTGAAGAAGGCTGTACCGCTAACGTTTGGGTTTCGGTCCGTGAGCCTCAACAGTCCGTCTGGTTTTATCATCGCAACTCCTGAAATCCGAGTCTCTGATTCGTTTCCACTAAAACCCCGGAAAGTGAACGATGTCGTCGCTGGAGTGTCCGTTGTTGTTCTCTGTGCTGGAACGTTCAAAACCAAGAAGAACATGAGCAAGAACGAGACCATGGGCCTTCCAGTTCCCATGCTCAATGATCGGTGCGAAGGAAACCAAAGAATATATATATATAGAGAAGGTGTTTAAAAGAAAAGAAGATAGCAAGAAGATGCTTCTTCGTTATGCTCTTATAATTAAGGAGAAGAAGAAGAACAACTGCCAAGTTTTAAACAAGAAAAATTCATATATTCTTCCCCATCACTAACTGGTTCACATTAACGTGTTGAAAAATATAGTTTTAGTTTATGATGATGATACCACTAAAAGACAGATTTCTTATGCTGAAAATTAGTTAGTTTTTCTTCTTACTCAATTATATGGGCTGACTTTGACAAATTCCATATATATTTGCTCTGAACCTGCAGATATTTTATTATTTTGAGAGACTAACCAAAAGAAATGGACTTTTGGATTTGGACATTGTGTGATTTAAACTTTTAGAGAAAAATAAAATATTGGTGATAAAATGAGTTCCGAACTCATAGGACTGCAGTATTTACTTCCACCAATGATTGGTGTATCGAATAATTACTTTTTAACCGTTGAAATGAAAAGCTCGTGCTTGGAGAAATAACCTTTTATTACGAGATGTCACGAAATCAAATTTCTACCTTGATCCGATTGGTCGCATAAGTCCTTATCAATTTGACTTTGTAAATCTTGTCCTATTGTTGACCAAAAAAAAGGTTGTCCTATTTTCCATTTGTACATTTCACTTAATCCTTATATGATGTATTGAATGCTAGAAGATCACGTCATGTGGTCATGTGAGATTTGAATAAGGCAGTATTATAAACCCATCCGAACCAAAAACAAAAACAATGTCTTTCGGTTTATCTTTCTCTGCAGATTAATTGAAAATCCAGTTTCAAATTGTAGAACAAATTTGCGAGGAGCAGATTTTGATTGGTAAGCAGTTTGTGACTTCCCAAACATTTCAGTAGAGTAGAGATTTAAGGGTTTTGGATTTAAATCTTACTGGTTGGAATAGCAAACTTGGTGACTATAACTTAGCTTCTCCACTGAACTGTTGAACCTGCTTATTGTCTCCACCGAATGGTTGAGGATCCTGCACGCTTCTGGCACCTGGTTGCTTCCATATGCATTGCACACATACGTTACAAAGTTCTGGTAGTTCTGTTCACCAAGGACCCAAAAAGTTAAAAGTTTGGTTCTCCTTTGATCTTGAAAGTTATCAGCTTAATGTATAGAGGACTAACCTCTTGAAGTGGTTGGTTATCCACAACCACCCATGGCACAAATTTATGTGCTGGATAAAGTTCCGAAGTTTCTTCAGCATACCTCAGTTCAAGCTGCACATTGTCACAGAAAGGTCATTTTTTTTTTGCGTATTTGTTTAATTACCCTGTTCTGGATTTCAAAGTGAACTCTTGTATTTTCCTGTGAGCAGGATTTTACCTGGTTTCCGTACCCATTGAAGCAACAATCAAGCGCTGCTCTGCTCAATCCAACCATTTCAAAACAATCAGCCCATTTTTCGAGCTTGTTTTCCAAGACCAATTGTTCCGTACAATAGATGTATCCAAAATGCTTCATCTGCAAGATAATTGTGCAGAGCACATGGCACACGCTGATTAACAGTTAAACCTTTATATGGAGATTCTACGGTAATTACTCTGGTTTTACTGTATTAATCCGGAAAGATTTCATAGAGTTTACGGTTTTAAAGACTTACCACATCAGGGTATGCGTTTATTGCACAGGCATGAATTGCATTGAGCGCACACTCAGCTTCTCCGTGCTAAAAACAAATCGAAACAAGACATTAATAAAATGCTGCATCCTGATGTTGTGTAGTACAATGCAAGACAGACGAGTCAAAGAAGAGTCCAAGACCTGGCAGAGAATGGTGCCATCTGGTCTGATAACGGTGTTGCCCCATGGAACGAGCTGGAGATCAATGGCTGAGATTAATCCGTTTTGGAAGATCTTAGGCAAGTGGTTAACGATGAATTCTGCACAGTATGGGCATAGAGCTTCGTAGTATAGGCTCAACGTGACTTTCTGACTTGAAGCCAACGATACTAAGCAGAAGAAGATTGTGAAATTTCTGATGCAGAGCCTTTGATACGATGCCATTGATGGGAACAAGGAGAAAGACAGAGAATTGTTTTGGGTCTTGCTTATATTCTTCAGTCGCATGAAACAAGCAAAGCAAAAAAAAAAAAAGAGAAGAAAAAAGCTGTTTCAAAGATTCGTTAATGTTTTGTTTGTTTAATCGCATGTTCCAAGGCATCTCAGCGTTAAAACATTTGCCGTCGCGCTGTTTGGTTTGGGTTGAAAACGGCACGTAGTTCTTTTGTTAAATTTTTAAACGGCGTGATGGTTTCTGATTACTAGGTTGGGTTGGTTCAGTCACTCTTCGTCTTCTACACACACCCAATCCACCTGAGCTTACTGATATGTTTTTTCCAGAAACATCAAACCGATAAAGCCCTGAACCCTAATTTTTTATTTGGCTTGGCTGGAGAAGGAAGGACCGTGTTCTACTATGTCGTCAATTAACTTCAATCCTTTTCAAAACTGGTTCGAGAAACCACCGAACCCAGTCCCTTCCATCAATTTCGTCTCGCTCGCTGACTCCTTCTTTCCCAAGTCGCAGTCTCCGAATTTCGCTTCGATAGGACTTCCTAAATTCTCCAAGAAGTCCACAAAACCCGAAACAGAAACCGAGGAACCTGGACGATGCAAGAAAATCGCTGAGCAGTTCTTCTGGGAGTGCGAGAATAGACCGGATTACAGGCACGCTCCGGAAGTGGATAAAATTCTGAACGAAGATCCAGTATTCGAGAAGAAGGAGAATCCGAGCGCAGAAGAGATTGAAGCTGAGGAGAAATGGTGGGAGAGATTCCGAGCGAGTCCCGTGGTTCAGTTTATGACTCGCGCCGAGGAGATTGCCGACGATATGAACAAGATGGAGCTCGAGGAAAACGACACGCCTTATCGGAAAGAAGACAAGGATCTCTGGCGAGCCGTCCCTCATGTGCCTGGATTCGACGGGAGGCCGATGCCGAGGAAGGCGATAAAATCCAAAGAAGAGAGTGATGACAAGTTTTGGGATTTCATGAAACAGTTCCTCTTCGGACTCTGGGGTTTCCGGCAAAGGCCTTACCCGCCGGGTCGACCCATTGACGTGGCTCAGGCAATCGGCTACAAGCGCCTCGAGAAGCGTTATTATGACTGTAAGTGCCTTCAACCAGAGTGAATTGATTGCCTCGTTACCTGGTTGCTGCTTCATTTTTAGTGTTTTTGTGATTCTATCCAGATTCTATGTTTATGAGTTAAGTCAGTAGGTGCTTAAGTAATCCCAGGTTTGATCACACAAGCTCATCACTTGATACTGTTCTGCATTTGAATTTGTTTATGTTCTGCTTTAAAGATCCAAGCTTGTGCCTGTTGTAGAATAGCTGGAAGTTGTATTCTTTTTGCTGGAAGTTTGATCATAAGCTGTGTTTTGAGATTGTAGTCATAATGAAGACCGGTGGGTGGTGGTATAAAGACCGGCTTGGCCGTTCCAGGGGACCTTGTGAGCTGATTACCCTGAAGACGGCTTATGGAGCTGGAATAATTGACAGAGATACTTTCATTTGGGGCGAGGACATGGATGAATGGGCCCCTATTCACATGGTTTACGGTTTGGAACCTGCAATTGCCACTTGGGAAGGTCTGTGTAGATGGGAGAATCTGAGACCTCAGACGAATTCCCTCTCTTCCTACGACGTTCGTTGTTGACTCTCTGTGTATTTCTTTTCAGTGAGGCTTGGTGCAGCGGCAACGGCTTTCCTACACAAACTCCAAAAGGGAATACCGCCATGGGTTCCTCTCAAGGGACGAGAGCCAAAAACATACAAGCAGCTTCAAAAAGAAGCCATTGAGAGTAAGAAACGCGACATGGCAGTTCTCGAAGCAAACGATGGTGTTTGGCCTGGAGTCAGAACTCCCAGCCATGCTCTATTCCTCTGGGCAAGTGGGTCTGAATTAACAACTGTCCTGGAATCTGATCACATGCCGAACAAGTTCATCCCCAAACAACTAAGGTACTTTGATTAAAGTCCGTTAACACCATTGACTTTTGTAGATGAAATTGGATTTGATCCTTCTCTCAAAGCATGAATCTTTTGATATAAAAGGCAAGAGTTGGCCAAAGTAATACCGGGGTTAAGGCCATGGGAAGTGATAAGCATAGAGCAAGCGATGGATCAGATCACCTATGGTGGGGAGTGGTACCGTGAGCCACTCGGTACCTACACTACTGGTCCCCCTTACATCAGAGAATGGAACAGAAATGTCATGGTAAGAAAGTTTCTTCGCCTTTCTTCTGATTTGTTGTGAGTCTCAGTGTATCTTAGTTGAAAAAGTTGATTCACCTTATCTCGTCCGTTTTGTATTTCTTTGTGTTGCAGAGATTGTTCCGGATTTACTACAACCTTAGCGTTCGAGTAGGGCAGAAGCTGGAGAGCACAGTCCCTGGATTCAGCTCTATAATGGAAAAAGTCCAGAAAGATTTTGACACTCGGATTGCTCGGAGGATAAAGCGGAGGGAGGAGGAGATGAGAGAAGAGGACCTGAAGCATAGTTTCGGCGGTAGCGATGAAGATGACGAGGAGGAGGAAGACGACGACGATGAAAGTGACTCCAAATGATATAAGCAGCGCCTGTCCATGTTATGGATTGAGAAACATTGGTCTAGGCCTAATTTTAATAAAATACTCTTCAAACTTTAATATTTACAACTAAAACAAACTTACAGCATTGCACGACGTTTTTGCTTTGGTGTGTGGTTTTTGCATTTACACCTACACCAAGGGGATTTCGCGTATCCTGTAACATGGTCTGTTTTCCCTCTGTTCTAGCCAACGTGCGACATGGAGTTTATCAGAAAAATCGAAAGTCTTTCATGGTCTTTTTTCTTATTTTATTTTCCTTTTAACGTTAAAGTTAAAATTTAGATACAACTTTTTCATGACGAGGCATGAAATGTTCTTGTCTGTTGGGACTGGTTTTTTTTTTTTTTTTTTTTAATGTAATTATGAGCCAGTGTGGGGTGTCAATCTTTTGCTCACGTAGAGCCTCGTAAGCCCATTGAATCATTAATGGGTTTCTATTCTAGGCCCAATAATTTTATTACGAGTACGAATACCCGACCCGCTAAGTGTCGGTACACGATAGGGAACCTTTTGCAGCAAAGTAGAAATTTGTGTTGTCCCGTCAGACTCTCGCAGTAACTTGATAAATCGCACATAGACCATAGCCATAGCCACGGCCCCGCAAGCTCAGTGGTCGGAGATGGATTTTTCGATGACCATCTCACAGCTGTGGTCAGTTTTCTTTCGGCAACTTTCAATTTCATTGTCCCCTGTCCAATTCTAAGCACTTGTAGTGCCGATTTCCAGATGACTCCTTTGGAGGACTCTCGTTGTTTACTGTTTAAGGGTTCAATAATTTATCTACAAGATGATTTGTTCTTTGAATACGTATCTCCCAGAGATAAGTACTGTGATTTTCTAAGTCTTTTTCGGTGTTGCGATGCAGGGTTAGACTAGATCCATGATGCTAAGATTTCCATTTCAACTCTCAAATTCATTTAGATTATTATTGCTTGACATTTTTGCTGCGTTTGAAATTTGAGCATTACTGTGATAAAGTGTTCTTGTCTTAGTGTCATTTGATAGAATCGTCCAAGCTTTATGATCGTTCCCGTGCGATGGACTTGTTCTGTTTGAGTGACCTTTTTTTTTTGAAGCAATTTTTTTTATTATTAATAAAGAAACCACCTGAAAATGGTCTACTTATTCGCCATTATATAAATCTGATTCACAGTGTTTACTTAATGCTTAGTGGTGTGAGGAACCTTGATGAAAAGAAAGGTATACGTCATAATGCTTAGTGGTGTGAGGCAGAATCTCTCCGTTGATAGCTTAGTGGTGTCGTACATGATCAAAACTTGTATAACAGAAGAGAAGGTTCTCTACACGGATATTGATTTGATTAAATACTGTTAGTTATTAATTATGTTCAATCTCTATCGCATCTCTTTTGATTTTGACGTGACCCTTGTTGTTTGCTTTTCAGCTATCCCCAGTGACCAGCTTCCATCATAAATCATCAACAGGTTCGTTTATGCTTAACTCTTTCACGTTGGTGGCTTTTAGTATCGCGTTTAAATAGAGATGACTTAATAAGTAAAGCATCCGGTTGGTCATATAGTTCTCTGCTCAGAATCATATAGTAAAACAAAAAGCCTTCATTGATTAAGCTTAGGAAATTATTACAAAAGACATCTTAAAAGTACTACAGCGATATTACTCCATAACTTGCAAATCTAAAACTTTTACAGAATCTTCATTGTTTAACCCCGGAAGTGGTCAACTGAAAGTGAACTTTATAAAAGCTCCAGTCTAATTCAGAAGACTCTGGTCGAAGTGCCAAACTCCTGCAAAGACAGAAAATTATAAAGCTTTGTCAAAACTTATTTCTGAGTCTTTAGAACTCAATCTCAATAGAGGGTTCCGATTTCGTACCATGTCCTTTCCCAACCATCCTTAGCTGGGTGATGAAGTCTGAGATCTTCTTGATTGCTTCAATCTTAGAAAAAATAAACAAAAACAAAATTAAAAAGGTACTTACAAAGATATCTAGTTCTAATCCAAACCATATAAAAAATGCAAAAACTCACCTGCTCTCCAAGAAACTCAGTCTCAACGAAATCAGCTAACTGGGGATCATTGTTCTCTGTTGCCACCTGTTTGTTTTTTTTTTATTTAGGATTTAAATAACGTTAATTTAGGTTAAGAGAATTACTAATTATTTTTAAAAGCATGGGAGCTTACGCTGTGAACGTTTAGAAGCTTCTCGTTGGTAAGTTTCTCTAGAGACAGAGCCAACTCCATTGCTGAGAATAAAAAGAAGATTAGTAGACTAATAAAAAGCGATCTATTTATATTTATCGAAAATTATTCAACGATTAAGACTATGTGTTATCTTATACACAAATAATTTACCATATAAAGCATCTCCCTTTTCAGCATGTTCGAATTCTGAGATAGGTGAGACGATCGGGTGGAGCTTCACTCTTCCTCCTCTTTTGTTCTATATATACACAAATCAATAATTAAAAAAAACGCCTTAAAGAGTTTGATTTAAGAAAATTGTAATCAAAGAAGGAAAAATAAGAAACCTGGTACTCCATAAACTTCTCTGCGTGGCCTCTTTCTTCCTCACTGGATTCCTTGAAAAATCTGGTGAAATTGAAAAAAAAAAAACAAGATGAGCGTGCTTGCTTATATTAAATTAGTTGGATTCAAGAAGGGACAAAAGTTGGAAGATGATTACTTGGCTAGTCCTTTAAGAGCAACGTTGTCTCTGTCGAAGTATGCGTACATTGAATGATAGACATAGGAGACGTTGTATTCCACACTGTTCCAAAATCGACCTCTTGTTTGTTAGATCTAATTTTATGTTAAACCCAAAAAAAGGGAGAATATAAAAAAAAGGAGCTAACTTGATCTGCTCATTAATGGCAGCCTCGGTAGCGTCGGCATAGCCCTGACGAGCGAGGGAGACATGGGATTTGATTGGAATGGCCAGATCGGCTTTCTTCACCTCCTCGAAGGGCTGGAACACCACTCCGGTCATCGGCATGTTGTTTGTGTCCACCGGAGCCGCCGCAACCACCATTGCTCTGCCGCTAGTTTTCCTCGAGAATCCGATAGAAAAGGCCGGAGAAGAAGCGGAGGAGACGCCATGTGGCTTGGGAGAAGGAGCGGGTTTAGTGGTGAAAGACGAGAGAGCCCTTGAGGCCATCAGAGATGGATGTTAAGAAAATGTGTTTTTTTTTTAGGGAGAGGAAGGGGAGTTCCAGGTTTATGAGAAGATATTTAGTGTTGATGATGAATGAATGATAAGATGAAGGAGGAGGAGGAAGGGGTTTATATAAGGGAGAAATGGCGTGTGGTCACCGTTGGATCGAGATACACGTGGAGGGTAGAGATAAGGCCAGATGTAGGGGCGTGTGGCGGCCTCGTGCAGCATCCAATGGGATAGTGTGAACGTGAGGATATTCGATCCACGTTAGCATCTGAGCACATCCGCGACAAATAAAGTTTTGTCTATTTCTCCGCTTTCTCTTTTATCCCTCTCGGAATCTTTTTTACCATTTCCGCTTTGCTTACTCTCGCGCTGCCACTTTCCTCTTTTCTACTCGCTCTCTCCTATTACCTTCCATTTTGATTTCTTGTGATTAAAACAACATCTCTATCTATAAATAAATCAGGTAAATTTTTTATATCATTAAGACACATTTTGTGAACCATAAAATATATAGTGAATATTCCTCAGACTAACCTTTAAAGTTAATGAAATGACAAACCTAACTTAACATATTGAAGGGTTTACTAGACTAACTTTATAAAGTTGGTTTAAGTCCATTTTATCCAGATGTTGAATATTATTATGAAAATGTCATTATGATTTTTTTTTTTTATAAAATTTTTTTTTTGAAAAACATTTAATTTCGAAAATTTTTTAAAAAAAATCGAAATTTTTTTTGACGAAAAAAAAATATTTTTTTAAAACGAAAAAAGAAAAAAAAACACAAAACCAAAAACTAAAAAAAAAAACCCTAATTCATCTTCTTCTCTCCCTCTTTCTCCTGCGCCGTTTTTTTTCTCCCATGGAGCTGCTTTTCTTCATAACTTGGCAGCCTCCCTTTTTTCACAGCTTTCTCTTCACAGCTTTACTTTTGTTTCACAAATCCACATAGATCTTGCCTCAATCGCCGTTCAGAAACTTGTTCAGGTTTGTTTTTTTTTCTCATTTTCTTATTTTTTCTTCTTTCTTCTTCGTCTTCCTCTTTCCCTTCGTCTTCTACTTTCTGTTTGGCGGAGGAGGAGTTTTACTGTTGGTGTTAGAGATCTCGGAAATATTGGCACGACTCTTAAGCGGCGTTCTCGCCGCATCGCGCACAACCGCACTGGACAAATGTTGTTTCGAAGAAATGGTGGTGTCCCGGAGGTTGACGGCGGCGTAAGTTTTTTTCTGTAAAACCCGCAACCCTAATTTTTTTGTTTCAGGTAAGTTTGGTAGATATATTTGGAAAACGATAAGTAGTTTGGTAGACTTATTGTATTTTTTTTGTTGTAAAGTTCATAATATGTGATGGTATATTTTTTTGAAAAACGATATGTAGTTTGGTAGATTATTAGTTATTTGATGGTAGATATTTAGAAAACGAAATATGGTTTGGTAGATTTATTAGTTATTTGATGGTAAAATTATTTTAGAGTAAAAACGATGTCATTTGGTAGATTTATTAGTCATCTAATGATAGACTTATTTGTAAAACGATGTGGTTTGGTAGATTTACTAGTCATTTAATGGTAACTTATTTGAAAAATGATTTGTGTTTGGTAGATTTATTAGTTATTTATGGTAGATTTATCAGTCGTATATATTTGAATTTTATATACGAATGACAGTATTTGTTTATTTTTTTCTGACAGATTATGGGCTTTGCCATGGTAAACAAATCTTTGATGGGATATCCAGCATCGATCCGACATGTTTTACTATGAATTGTAGATTTGCATTTGGTAGATTTGTTTTGAAATAATGGTAGATTTATTATTAAATTGATGATATATCTGTATTTTGAATTTGTAAAAATGATAATTAGATTTTAAATGATAATATTGTTGTTTTCAAATTATATTTGTCGTAAAACATTGACCCAAACATTTTCACATTTTTACCACATTTGCTAGTAATGTTATTATTCAATTTAATTTATTTCTTTACTTTCACTATGATGTATATCATAACTTAATAAATTTTTAATTCAAAACACATGACTAAAATCATTTGACATTGTGATGTTGTAGGAGTTTAAGTAAATAGAGTTAAATGTAATAAAAAAAATCATAAGTTAAGAGATGGTTATTACAGATATGACATATATGTTCAAAATTAATATGAAAAGCAAAGTTATCTTAGAGAAAATATATATCATAGAAAAAATATTCATGTTAGAAATTTTTTACCATTGATTATGGCATCTATATCGTAAATACCAATAATCATCTGTGATCGAATCACAGTTAACCGACATAATCTTAGCAAACTCATGCAAAAAAAACGTCAATGGTAACAAAACCAACTCAAATATAACCATGGAACAAGTCTACCATATGTACGAAACTTGTTTAACATACGACACTTCAAAACAAGTCTACCAAACGGTAGGTTTTTTCGTAGATAGAACAATTCTTTCAGGACAAAAAAGTAATTTCACTCCATAAAGTTAAATGTCTGCCAAACATTAACTACTAAGTCTACCTCAAGCATGAAAAATAACTCTACCATATAAACAAGTCTACCATAAACATGTCATATGTCTACCAGATCAAGGTTATCTTTGTAAATACCAAACTTAATTAATCTACCACATTATTATTTTAAGAAGTCTACCATACGTTCGATAACTCTACCATATTACATAAACTCTACCAAACATACAAACAAATCTACCAACATTTCGTAAGTCTACTTCATGTAATTATTAATCTACCACAAACCAGAATGAAATTTATTTTAAATTTAAGTCTACCACAAAACAAACATATCTACCACAAAACAAATAAATCTACCAAAAGTTTTTAAGTCTACCTCATGTAACATATAATCTACCACTCACCGGAATGAATTTTAACTGAATTAAATCTACCACAAGTCAAACATATCTACCACAAAAGCGAAAACTCTACCAACTATATATAACTCTACCATAAAACAGATATATCTACCGCACGTATTAACAACTTTTTCACATAAATCTACCACTAAAGGAAATAAGTCTACCAACGCAGAAAATAAATCTACTTCATTGTCAATAAATCTACCGAAAAAGTCAACTACGTGAGCAAACGCTTTTTTTAACAAGTCTACCAAAACTTTTGACAAGTCTACCATTCATAACAACAAATCTACCGAAACATAATAAATCTACCTCTCATCGTCAAAACTCTACCAAGATAAGTCTACCAACATTTAAAAACTCTACCAACTCTCGAATAAATCTACCATCGACCTAATAAATCTACCAACAAAATTTCTGCGTTGACCAAAATTTCATAAGTCTACCGTCATAGCTTGGTAGACTTATTAAATTTTGAGCACCATAATCTGCCTACGTGGCATTAAAAAATAATGGCATTTTCGTAATTAGGTTTTTTTCAGCAAAGGCGAAAAGGATGTTTTAGGTATGCTAGGTTAGTTTTGTAAAAAAAATAAAAGTGCGTCGAACGTGTAATATAGATACTTTCTAAGGTTAGTGTAGTAATCCTCCCTAAAATATATAGTTATCTTTCTCAAACTAAAAACCTTGTATATGAAAATCAAAGCAGACATAATCTATTACTTTTTTTAGTTTATCTTGTTTCAATTCTGTCATCTGTTGTTGAAGAAACTAGTATTTCTCGTCAAAATTAATCTAGATTTGCATGCCATACAAATTTTGACTTGTATGATGAATCGGACCTAGATATTTTTAGTTTATGTACAAAAGTTTAGATGAGTAGACATATTGGTCTGAAGTGGATAATAACAAAGACAATTGTTGACCAACAAAAATACAACGAAGACGTGTGAAATTCTATGATGCATATCTCGACTTATAGGAAATTGGATAGAGATGAAGTCTTTACCTTTTTGGCTTGTAGATTTATATATATATATATTATATCTTATATATAAAAAAGGATAAACTGAAATTACTAGAACTCAAGGTTGAATGTTCCAAACCCATTTAGACCAATATGTGGCCGATATTATTTAGTTTTTTGACGAGAAAGTGGGGGTGACATACCGCCCAAAAAAAAAAAAAAAAAGACTAGTGATTCACTCGTGCCTCTAGGAGATTGATGGAGACGGAGAACCGATACATAGAGCGAGTAGCCATTACGTCAAAATGTCAAGCGCGTACAGTAATGCAAATGGTTCCTTGTCTTTATCTGAGACAATTACACGTTGGTATAAGTACAATGTGGGCCTCCTTAGTCACGGTTCGCCTAAAATTGCTTTCTCTCTCTCTTTTTTGAACGAATTAATTAATATCAACTATCAAGCTTGTTAAGCTTTAATGTTTTAAGCTTTCAAAAAGGTGGAGTTAGGTTTAGTTTATTTTCTTGGCTTGATGTTTCCCCAGATTTGATCTGATTCGTATTACTCTGTAACGCACAGGGAGAGGTAAGCTATAAAGTGTAGGAATTTCGATACTTTCGACGTTAATTACAAATGGAGGCATAGAGCCGATGTTCGTCTAAAACATCCGTTTAATTACACAGAAAACTAGTATTTGATGGATATTGTCAATTTTTTAAGTGGTTTTTTCACACGAATAAAAATCATTGGAAATTTATTATTGATAATGTAAAAAGGATTGGTTGCAGTCTTTTATGTGAATACTGTATGTTGTGTGCCATGTGGCTCAGGAGGTTCAAATTTGTGTTGTAGTCATTTTCATCAGATTAATGATCCTGTTTAGAAACAACAAATTAAATATCCCTCTTCTGTGTTTATTTGTTTATATTTATGTCTTAATAGTTAATGTATATAAATTATTTTTTGGTAGACACTCAGATATTTATCTATTGTGAGCCTTTGTGTTTTAAAAATTTAAAATGTAAGCCTGTATTTTTTTTCTTTTTAAAAAAGCCTTTAAAATGTGTATTATTATTTTTTATAAAGAATCCACCATTATAAACCAATGATAATAATAATAGAGAAATTTATTAGCAAAAAAAAGAAAAGAATAATAATAGAGAAATGAAGGACATTGATTCGTTGACAATCTGAAACCTGATGCAGTCCCAAGGAGTAGTGATAGGCAAGTATGTCTATATGGACGCAGTTTCGATAAACAATAGGGGGGGAGGGGTTTGTAAAAACCACGTGTCATATAACGATTGGCTTTCTGGAAATATTGTTTGCACGAAAAGCGAATCCAACGGTGCGAGTCCTAAAAGTCTCGTTTGTTCCTCCTTCCCCTAAAAAAAAAAGTCTTCTCTGCTTCCGATCCCTTTTTATTGATTTTTTGCTGAAAAATTAAAAGTAAATCGATCGGAGGGAGAGATAGAAATGGATCAGATCTTCAACAAGGTTGGATCCTACTGGTTAGGCCAGAAGGCGAACAAGCAGTTCGACTCCGTTGGCAACGATATCAACGTACGCGCGTCCTCTTCAATTTTAATTTCAATTAGAATTAGAATTTGAACTAGAAGAATTAGGGGTTTCGTTTTCCATGTTTATTTTTTTCTGTTGCGGATCCTTGTTATCTTAGCATGTCTATTCCATCAGTTCGCGCGTGTTATCTTTATATATCTTGATCGGATTAAAAAAAAAATAAATCTTGATCGGATTTTGATCTCAGTTTTTGGTTGTGGTGCCTTTTTATCTAATTGCGTGTTGTTTACTCCTCATGGAACGATGATATATAATCACCTTGGATTTTACGAATTTTCGTATGTGATCTCTGCATTTCCTTTGAGATATCCTGCCCTTGTACGAATGTTAAGAGTTCATTAATTTGTAGCATTACTAACCACATAAGGAAGAACCTCTATGTGTAGAATCTTCCTCATATCGGGGAAAAGAAAAAAAATTGGTCGTGGGTTTGGGATTGCATGTGCTTGTGCGTTTCTCATTTTAATTTCTATGATGTTTTCTGTTATTGGTTGACAAAGGGTGATTCTCATTGCCATGATCATCACTTTATAACTCTTTATTTTGTTACCAATAGTAACATGTTGTTTATATGTACGGTTGAATTACTTAATTATGATCTTGAATCTTACTTTGACATTTCTTGTTTTTTTGTTGGTGTAGTCGCTATCAACGAGCATCGAAGGAGGAACAAAATGGTTGGTCAACAAAATCAAAGGTATCTCGAGTCTTGACATTCATCCATAGATTACAAAAAGTAAGTGCAGAGAAATAAAATAACTCAACACACACACGTTTCTCTCTTAATTGGCTTGGAAATTAAGGAACAATGCAGAAGCCGTTGCCTGAGCTACTAAAAGAGTTTGATCTGCCAGTGGGCATCTTCCCACGGGATGCTACAAACTACGAGTTCGATGAACAGACAAAGAAACTGACCGTGTTGATCCCATCAGTCTGCGAGGTTGGCTACAAAGACTCATCCGTCTTGAAATTTACCACAACCGTAACCGGATACCTCGAGAAAGGGAAGCTAGCCGATGTGGAAGGCATCAAGACAAAAGTTATGATATGGGTTAAAGTCACTTGCATCTCTGCTGACCCCTCAAAGGTCTATTTCACTGCGGGGATGAAGAAAAGCAGAAACCGAGATGCTTACGAGGTTCTCAGAGACGGCATTCGAGCCGATAAATTCTAACTATCCCTCCATCCTCATGCAAGTATATATATACTATATTCTTGTTCTCTTTATTGACTCTTATATATCTTCTACAGTTTCAAGCTCTTTTCTTTTGCATTATCTGTTTTGATTTGAAGCTGTGGCTATGCTGCATATTCATCAATTTGATGAAAAGAATATGCACTGATTAGTACTTTGTGCAAACCAAAAACAATTTTTTTATGAGAAATATATAATATTTTTTTGGTGTGCTCAATGATTTGGTCCTAAATTTGCATCTACAATTCAGTTCTCTCAGTTGAATATTGGATAGAAATTGTATTGTGTTTGCTGTAAACATATATCAGAACAACAGATACTGGTGAGTATACAAAAAAAGAAGAAGCGTAAGATGACCCATGATAACTATCTTGAGTTAAGAGGAATCTCAAGAGACAATCAAAAATATGACAGTTATAAATGTTGCCTAAAAACAAAATAAAAGACTAAGATAAGCTTAAAATCAAAAACATTTGACTAATCAGCATATTTAATAGGCAACGTGCATAACTCTCACTCGCAATTGAAGCGCGTTTACATCACATCCCCTAAAGTCTACTCCATTTTTCTGCAGAAGATGATGGTGAATCTTAAATTAAATTTCAATTTTGTTTCAGTGCATTTAAAGACACAGATCGATTGACACCAAATCGTGGAATATTTAATTATTTTTGTTTAAATCCATTAATCTCTAGCTCTCGCGGCTACTGGATCGTAGTAGCTCCAAACTTTGTACTTCGAAGCTGAAGAGAGAGCTTTTGAAGAAGAGAAGGGAGATTTCGAGAAAAGCTCTCTCTCAACACAGTTCCCCAAAGTCTGGGATGTCGCAGAGAAAGAAGAGTCGTCTTCCATTAGCGGCTTTTCTCTTCATTCTCCTAGTCACCTTTACGATCCTCTACAACGAGCGTAGCATTCAGCAGATCCACCACCACCACACGAATCGCGAGCAAAACCTCCGAGAAGCTTCCACTTTCACTTTCGTCCAGCCCAATGTTCCTTGGAATCAGCTCGGAGCTCACGGTACTGATCCTTCTCTCCATTTTTGATGACAAATTTGAACTGAGTTTCATACTAGTTTTGAACTGATTCGTGCTAGTTTCTCTGCTTAAATCCTTGCTGGAGAGTTTTCGCAATTCCAAAATTGACTAGATGTTTAATCATCATGAGTTTCCCCAATAACACAAACGAACTTACAAATTGGGCGATTCCGTTTTTTTTTTTTAAAAAAACAAAAATACAGAGGTTTTGGATAGATTCAGCAGATGCAACTCGACGAAGGAGTATAGTGGGAAGAAAATCGGATGGGTTGACCCGTATGAGGGCACGGGTCAAGGATCTGAGATTGGTGCAGAGGAGGAGAAATGTGATGTCTTCTCTGGGAAATGGGTCTTTGATAATTCATCATACCCTTTACACAAGGAATCTGAGTGTCCGTACATGTCTGACCAGCTGGCTTGTCAGAAGCATGGGAGGCCAGATCTGGATTATCAACATTGGAGATGGCAACCTCATTCCTGCAACTTGAAGAGGTAATCGTCTTTACTTTTGCTGCTTGTCTTAGGTTTTGCTTCTTTTTTTTTTCTTGGGTTTCGTTTTCTAATTCTTGTGTATTAAGAATTGAATTGTGTGCTGTGGGTTAAGTCAGCTTAAGTGATTTCGAATGAAAATGCCAATAGATTGTTATCAAGACATTTTTCCTTTTTCCAATTGTCAATCAAAGCGATTGATGAAATAGGGCAAAATGTAATACTATTGTTTGCAAAGAATGGCAGAAGATAGCAACATCGATCACCTGGCTGCTTAATTGTCATATTCTTTTCTGCTGGTAGGTGGAATGTGACAGAAATGTGGGAGAAGCTGAGGGGAAAAAGATTGATGTTTGTTGGAGACTCGTTAAACAGAGGCCAATGGATATCAATGGTTTGTCTGCTGCAGTCTGTAATCCCACGTGAGAAGCAATCCATGTCCCCTAACGCTCCGCTCACCATTTTCAGGGCAGAGGTAATTATATAGACATCATCGACTTAAAAGACTTTTATGCCTCGACAACTCTTCGCTCCGGTCCGGTTTTGGTGTGATTTTTATAACTATGGTGTATGTACGTGGCAGGACTACAATGCGACGGTGGAATTCCTCTGGGCTCCGTTGCTGGTGGAATCAAATTCTGATGACCCTGTTAATCACAGATTGGAAGATCGGATTATCCGACCAGATTCAGTTCTGAAACATGCGTCAAAGTGGCAACATGCTGATATCTTAATCTTCAACACATACTTGTGGTGGAGGCAGGACCCTGTCAAGATCCGGTAAGTATACTTATCGACATCATTTTCTTCATCTGCAAGATAGATATAAAAAACAAACTCCTTAATTGCGTATTCTTGAGATAAAAGATGGAGCAGCGAAGAGAAAGGGTCATGCGAGGAAGTGAAGGGCGCCGAGGGAATGGAAATGGCGATGAATGCTTGGGCTGCTTGGATTGCTAGAAATGTCGATCCGAACACAAAGCGGGTTTTCTTCGTTACAATGTCTCCTACACATCAATGGTAACGATGAATACTTTCTTATTTATCCCCTGATCTTCTATATCAATCAAATTTTACTCTTGTGTTTTGAAACCAAAGCTGTTTTAACGGATCAGGAGCCGAGAATGGAACCCGGGAAGCCAAGGAAACTGCTACGGGGAGAAGAAACCGATAGAGGAAGAGAGTTATTGGGGAAGTGGGTCGGATATTCCGACGATGAGAATGGTGGAGAGAGTTTTAAAGAGATTGGGACCAAAGGTTTCAGTTGTCAACATCACTCAGTTGTCCGAGTATCGTAAAGACGGTCATCCCTCGGTGTACCGCAAATTCTGGGAACCTCTAAACCAAGACCGGTTGAATAAACCGGCGTCCTATTCGGATTGTACTCATTGGTGTGTACCGGGAGTTCCTGATGTCTGGAATCAGTTGCTTTTCCATTTTTTGTGAAAATTAAATGAATATATCCTTTTTGGCCATCAATCATTTCATTTTTTTTTTCTTTTGGGGTTGAAAAATCTGCCGTTGGAGTTCTTCGTCTGACACAACAATTCAAGTCACAGAAATATAAAAACAGACACAATATTTATAAATTTCAAAGATGTTTTTTATCGACGTAATGCTTCATTCATTTGAAACAAGAAAACATACAAATATAACCAATACATTAGAAATTTTTAAGTATAACGAAATAATCGATAAAGGTGACATACATTAAGCAATCAGCAGGGTTAGACTAGACAACTTTAGAATTGTGAAGAAAAGAGTTGTGAAGAGATATGTGTAATTCACCTTGAGCTTGATGGTGATTGACAAGCACCGATTATAAATAAAACTCTCTGCCGAAGTTCACGGATGACCTGGAAATTTAAGCAAAAGAAGAGGAGTAACTAATCCGAAAATAGCAAACGTTATGAACCTGAAACGAGATGAAGAGAACGAACGGAGTTGGAAGAAGGGCGCTTAGCCCATGTTTGGATATGGGCACTGCTGGTTTTGAGGTGAGAGGAGTAAGCAGCTTCTACGTTTATGAAGTAGATTGAGTTTTCTGTTGCCTCCCCAACCCACATATCATTTTTCGCATCCTTCGCTCTTTTTAATAGGTTGCAGAATCCTACCTGCCAGAGAAAAACACACAACATTTGTGTCTCTCAGTGTTTCACTTGTAAAAACAGACAAGGTTTGAATTTGTACATACCACGGATCCGACAAGGTTATGGCTGATGTAGGGAGTGGGGAAGTCATCCATGGATGGGGTGCTGAAGCTTATAGCCAGAAGACTATTTGATGTTGTTTCCCCTGAATGTGAATTTGAATGTTGAGTGGATCCATCTGTCACAAAAACCCACTGCTTCTTTTGCTGAAAATCCGCGTATGCATCTCCAACATATACAACGTACGCAGCGATATCAAATTCACTAAACACAATAAGATACATTAGGGTCTAGATTAGCAATGTAAATTGGTACCGTAAAGATTGTAAATAAATAAAAAAGCTTAGAATGAGATAAACCTTGAAAGAGGAATTTCACCAAAATTTGACAAATAAATCAGTTTACGAGGGTTGAAAAAGGGCCTGAAGGAAGCACATGAAAAGTCAGCAAATAGATGAGATAGTTTCAGGTATGCCTACAAAAGAAAGTCCACAAAACAACTTACTGAAAACTCTCGGAAGCTTTTGGAGACAAAGGCTGCCACCTTGAGCTAGAACCTCTGGCATGTAAGTAAAGTATCTCTGAATCTGAGTTCATTGGTACTAGCCCTTTCATCATGTATATTTTTCCCTCTCTCAACTCGGTTCTCTGTCACAGTAGTAGAAAATCACAGTATTTTTTTTTTAATAACTGCTCAACCCGATGAATGATGCTCGTAATGTACACTGATGGTCACGATTTACTGATATGAACTTTCAGTCCATACTAGGTCCATAGCAACTCTGACAAGCTTATGACTGGAGAACTCACCCTTAAATAAAAGCTAGAACTCACCCTTAAATCAAAGCTCGTATGAAAATGGTTCGCGTAAACTTATAACCCATTAGAAAGAGTGGCCCTCCTTTAGATTGTGCATGAATCATTCAGATGTAGGCGTGTCAATATACCTGTCTCTCAGTGGGATTCCAGATTGTTACGATGCCTTCTTTTATATTGTGTTCGCCTTCATAAGTTAAGCTCGTCAATCCAACAAGCCTAACTCTCAAGAATGGGGTTACATCCCTTTCACCTAAGCCAGCATCTTCCAGAGCTTTTGCCACTGATTTTTCCATCTGTAATTGCTTGGCTGCCTGAGGTTTAGATTGAAACAGTTAATTAATTTAGCGCTAAACGATCAATTAACAAAAGAAATGCAATGTTCTACCTCATATTTTGCTTTATATGTAGCGAAAGATGTCAACTGCTCCAGGCTCATTTCTGCCATTAGGAGTTCAGGTTCAGGAGCCGTCTCTAACAGCTTAAAGACCTTGGCTCCTTCTTCACTATCAGTATCATTCTGGCTGTGGAAACCATTGATTTCTCTCTGGTACTCACACATAAGACCCTCAATAAGAGCTGAGCGCCTAAGGAGAACCGGAAAAAAAAAAGGCAGGTAAGAATGAGAGGAATTGAAATCTTTTTTGCAAATAGCCAGTTGACTACAGAAATAGGGAAACCCATCCATATTCAGAAGGCCAGAAGATTTTCTTTATATACAAAAATTGGTTTTATGTCCCAAAAAGTAATCACTTCGAACCTAATATTGTTGTATGTAACAGAACCTTGCTAGCTTTGATGACTTACTCATGATACTACTTAGACAAGAGATGCATGTGCCAAATTTATCACATAAATGTTACTGAAAAATTGCCCTCTACAGTTATAATGGAAACCTGCCTCTGGTTATGTCGCTGGATCATTCTACTTTCCATTCTCTCTGATCGAATTATTGACTTCCTTTCACCTACCCTGTATATACCAAGCAAATATAAGTTTTTACCAGAAGTATACAGGGCACCAAGTAGCATAAAAAGGGACACATTTATATTGACCTTTCCTTGTATAGGATAGGGTATATTCGTGTGATTCCAGCTAATGTTTTGGGCACTGGACCCCCATTGCACTTGATACAGTTGAAGGCCAGAGGGACACCAACTTCTTTACCTTGAAGAAGAAATCGAAAGACAGTCAATATAAAGAAGCAAATGAAAGCACAAAACCGCTATAAAAGAAGCAGCTCAGAGGATGTAGTGAGGTCCACATCACAAAGCTACTTACAGAATCCTAGTCGGTCCGCCCAGTGAGCTCTGTATGTCCCATTAATATTCAACAACAAACAGATCGTATTTGAAACCACTGCCTGAAAGTTCGGTTGAATGAATCCATGAAGAAACCAACTAATAAAATTGGGGTAGAATACAAAAATTCAAAGTCTAAGAAACCTCAAGAGGTGATGTTGGGTTAGCCCAGCCAGAAAGTCCTGCCCCAAGGATCTTTAGATAAGAAATAAGAACGTAAGCATGCTGTTAGTCAGTGATCTAACCAAAAATATGTATTGCCAAGAAAAAAATTTAAACCTTGCAGGAATAACTTACTCGAAGCTTCTGCCCAACAAACAATTTTCCAGCATTCAGCTGCTTTGTCAGCATGACATCCAGAGCAGCCTTCATCGAGTACCTGCCATTTAAAAAAAAAAAAACATGAGGAACGAGACAGGAAAACAGGTATTCAAAGAAACATAACAATTTCATACCACCCATCAGTGAGTTCTACTTTCATATTGCTGCCACTATCAGAACCATGTGTTTCCTGGGAATCATTATCGGTCTTTGGATTAATAGCTGATACGGCGAGCACCATCATTGAAGAAGCTGGAGCATCACCACTCAGAATCCTCTTGATTGCAGAGCAATGACCATGATTAACCTCTCTCTCATACCTATGTAGGTTGATTAACCATGTTAGACTTCGCATAAGCTCAAATAACAACTAACTGTGTTCAACGATTGGGAAACCTGTATTTTAGTTCCTCGAGAACATTGGTGATTGTCAGAAAATTCCCTCTGCATTTAGCTGGGTAGTATGTCTCGTAGCATGCAAGTTTCCAGACTATCCACCTGTAGTGATTAGTGACCCACCTAGTGCACATATATTGTGAAAGATAGTTAAGAGGTGTAGAAATTATTGCTCACTGTCTATCTTAGAAAATGAGAATCACATGCAAGATTCAATAGAACGGTCATAGCAAATAAGATGGGTAACTTAAAACATTTCAAGGGACGGATAATTTACTTTCTAGATACTTGCTGTAAGGAAGCACCACACTCAGCCAACATTTGAAGAAAAGTTTCAGCTCCAACTACATTTGAGGAGGACCCATCACCGAATACATATTTATCTGCATTACTTGATTTGATTCTTCTGACATGGTCTGGCACATAATCCATCTAAAAACCACCCCGTAAGTGTGGTTTGAGTGAGTAGAACATGTGAAAGGTAAATTTTTTTTACCTTGGGCGTGGCTGTTGGATGCATTCCAAAATAATCCTTGATATATACTCTTGGCGACTTTTCTGGATATCTTGTAGAAAGCACCTTTTTTGAATAAAGTGTATCACAAGATACGACAGACAACCCTGATAATAGAAGACACCGAAATTTATTAATCTGATAGCCAACCAAATAAATTCACATAAAGGATCCGTTTAACAAAAATCATGTAAAGTTTCCTGAATATCTCACCACTAGAAGCATGCTGAGCATTTTTCTTTAAAGGAGTTTTAAACGAGGAATTCCTTGGCCTTTTAAAAGGAGAAACAGAGACTGTGTTTCCCAGTCTTTTCTTTTGGGTACTGCCTTGTTTATTGTTTGCATAAGCTGTATCACTGCGATTTGTTATATCGACAAGTGGCTGGTCAGATGGCCTTCCAAATTGTTTACCTCTTGGAATGAAACTAATTTCCTTCGAACTAGTCACAGCTATATCTGATGCTGAAGGTCTGCCATTTGATATTCCATGTGTAGCAAGTTTAGTACTATTCAGAGAACAGTCTGTCTTATCAAGAGCTGCATCAAATTTCTTGATCGAATTAGCCCCTGAAGCTAGGTCCTTCGATTTGACTGATCTAAATTTCTTTGAAGATGACCGAAGAGGAGATATAAAACTATTTGACGTATGCTTGTGGCTTGTCTTTCCTTCATGAGTAATAGAGCCTGTGTTGGCACTTCCATTGTTTATAGGAATATCACCTAACCTTTTATCTTTCTGTGGAGTAACAAACTGATCACCTACTGCTACATCATCAAAGAAATTCCCTAACTCAGGGTCTCCAAGAAGGTTTCTTGCACGTTTCAAAGCCTCAACTGACACTGACAATGATTTTCCTCCAGCAGTCTGAAACTTTGTTGGAGGCACCTTTGAAGATGGATTTAAAACTTCTGACATCTTCCCAAATACATGACCCTCATATTGTCCTGGAGTTCCTGAATGACGCTGAACCGCTGTAGCATCAAACTCCTCATGAGTTTTTAACTCAGACCAGCCATGTTGCTGGTGGGAAGAAAACGACCGGTTCACGTGGTTAAATCCATTCAAATCATCTTCTCCTCGTCCTAACAATGCCTTGGCTCTTGCAAGACCGGGAGAAGATAGAATAACCTTCTTGTTAGAAGCTGTCTGAAAAAGACTGGTGGGATCACCAAACCCACTTTCCCTGGGAAGAACGTTGCCTAGACAATCAAACAGAAGCTTAGTAAGTAGTAACATATCAACTGAAAAAACAATGTCTAGTCATTCTCGGGGGTTGATTAGTTGTTAACCTAGAAGTTGATTGGAATAACACAAAGAACATGTTGATATTATAAATCTGCGCAGAACCATAGTGGAAGCAAGACTTAAGAGAAAAGGAGAAAACAAAAAACCTGAGTCAATCAAATCACCCCCAAGAATAGACATAGCTTTGGCAATCGAAGAGTCTTTCAGTGGGACAGATTTCCCTAAGGCCGTCGTGAACATAGGCAAATTTCCAGCTGTATCCACTTGTCTCTTTTGGAGATTTGAGCATCCTGTGTCCTGCAAATCTAAAGTGTAGCCAAGAACAGGGAGCATTAAAAAGATTTCCCTAAATCCATGTCACTCAGAGACAATAATTCACCAAAGAAATGAAACGAACAATAGATGTAGACAATCAAAGTTTTTTTCTGGCGAAACATTCCATATTTTGAGTATTGAAAAAATGCTCCTGGGTGACGTTAATTCAAGTAGACTAGTGTAAGCGAACTCAATACCTGAATAAACAACATTGTCATCTGCTAAAATGGATTTGGCTCTAGCAATCGAAGACTCTTTTAGAGCTACAGACCTCCCCAGCCCAGTCCTGAACATTAGGATTTCCCCAGGCATCGGCTCCTCCCGTTCTACAAGCTTCGAGCATCCTTTGATCAAACAATTAATAATTAATCTCAGCAAACGAATGGACGGGAAAAGGGAAGACATGAATAGTAACCTTGGCGCAAGAGATCGGCCATGGAAGGTAGAGGAGGCGTGGATTCGAGCAGCGTCTTTGTTGGAGAGGAGTCGGAGTCAGACTGAAGAATCCGGCCAGCGACTTCCCACCGGAAACAATCGCCGCTGGAATCGGATATTAACTGCCACGTCGACATTTCTTCAGTTCGACGGTATGGGATCCACTCGATTCGTTTATCTGATTCAGACGCTAACAACTATTAAACTTGGCGATTATCCAATTTTCTGCTATCTATCATATTATCTACCACCACAACAAACAAGAGGGAGTGCGGAATTTCCTTTCTTTTTTTTTTTTTTTTAATTTTACCAAAAGAGCATAAGCATATCATATTCTAAACATTAAAAAAAATTCGGAAAGGCGGGAAAGTTGAAAAAGCTTTTGGGCCGAAAATAGGTTTAACTTTGGGCTCAAATTCTACCCAAACGGTTTATCGAATGCAGATGTTCGACAATGAGATGCACGGCGTTTTATGGAGATAGAAACGACACGAGTGCTAAACGGAGGAATCAATCAAACAAACAAAATACAATATTTTAATTTAACTTTGCCGACTTGGCTTTTCAAAGGATCTGTTAATTTACAAACCAAGACAAATGACGGTAGCAAACAATCTCCACCGTCAGTTTGAAAAACTAGCAGAAGGATTATTATTACACGGCGGAAGGCGCGGCGGAGGTGGTGGGGCCACCGATGAATGAGAGGATCCCGACGGCGGCAGGATCTTGCTCGTGGAGGAAGAGATCATCGGGAGCTCTGAAGGCGCCATGGACGCAGACCGCCGCTACTCCGATCATGAGGGCAGAGAAAAGAACAGATCCGACGCTGGTGAGGAAGATGACGGCAATGGTGGAGAGGATTAGGGCGCCGAGAGTTTCGAGGTCGGAGAAAGATCGGCCGAAGAGTACGAGAGGTTGATCGGAAGGACGGAGGAGGTAGAAGAAGAGCCAAGAAGCGGCGAGGCATAGGAGGAGGACGAGAGAGAATGGATGGGCGAGAAGGGAGCAAGCGAGGATGAGAGATACGATGCAGACGTAATTCACCCTGAAATAAGATGAGTTCTTCCGGAATCGCGTCGCCGCCTCGGCGAGAGAATCCGGCTTGGTGAAGGCGGATCGGTCGAGGAGCTCCGACCATGGACGGCTGCGGGATAGACCATCACGGACCGTTTCGGTTACGCGGTTCACTAATGCCCGCACGGCTGGAGGTTGCGATTCGGCCACAGCGGCGGTTACCATTGGGGCCTGAGCGGCGGTGGAAACCGGAAGCACATGTTGATCTGACGATACCATTATTCGTATTTTTTTTTTCTTTTTGCTTTGGGGAAGGGAGAGAAAGCGACGATTGATTGATCTGGAAGGTCGATGAGCTTACAGATCGAGACGTTTTCTTCTTACATACACAAACACTTGTGCATTTATAGGTTTTATAATTACGCGTTTTTAAGTTGCTCTAATTGCTTCATCTTAAAGCTAACCATTTGCTCTTTGTAACTACAATACGGACCGATACTATTACGGTAGTTTATACAATTTGTTAATTAATATCGAGACTCAACAATATTTTATGTATATATTATTTGATCACTTGGCAAAGAGCATTTGACCATAAATCTTCGCAGGGATGGAAAGTTTCTTTTACCAAAAAGAATAATATTAATCACTTTTAACCAACGCCCTAAGACCACCTCCAACGCTAAGTTTTTAAGAAGTTCTTAAGTGTTAAAGGTATTTAAATTAAATGAAAAATATAATTATAAGCTCAGAACCGATTCTAATTTAAGGTGTTTCAGAGACCGTCTCTAAGAGACACGTGTCAGATCGTGAGTGGCTTCGGACTTTTTACGGACAAAGTCGTCGATTTGGGTCAATATCACTGTTCATCATCGTGAGTTTGGGTTTGAGAGTCGGAGTGTTGGAAGACAAAATCGGTGGTGTATGCATTATCTTTATCATCTATGCGCATGATCCAGATTCGGTTTTGATCGGAACTGCCATGGAACGTATCATCGGCGGCAAGTACAAGCTCGGACGGAAGATCGGCGGTGGTTTTTTCGGAGAGATTTTCCTGGGTCTGTGTTATTGTTTCTCAATTTTCTTTTCTTTTTGGTTTCAAATTGATGCATATTGACGTTCCCTATTTTGGCAGCTACGCACGTTGATACGTTCGAGATCGTTGCTGTTAAGATCGTAAGTTTCAGCTCATCAGCTATTCTGGGGATTTAATTTAAATTCGTTCTGTTTTTAATCCTTAATCAAGTTCTTTGCTCGTGTTTGACTCTGAATTGACATTCTCTGAATTGATAAACTTTGATATTGATCAGTCAGGCAAGCTTTAAGCTCTTTAAAATGGTACTTCTTAGCTAACAATTATCCTTGATTCGATCAGTTTTGTTTCGCAGGAGGAGAGTAAAACGAAGCATCCCCAACTTCTCTATGAAGCCAAGCTTTACAGAATTCTTGAAGGAGGAAGTATGATTCTCATTCTCTATCTTTCTTTCTCATTTAAAGGAGTTTATTTAGAGGAGTTAGATTATCACATCATCAAAACCAATTTTGTTCCTGCAATTTCTCTTCTCCATAGAATTTGTTGAAAAATGATTGACATATGATACGCTTCAGTTATCGGGTTTATGTAATTGACTTTGAACTCGCCAAAAGATATCCTGATGCCAACACCAACCGCCACATCCCTTACAGGTATATTTGTGGTCATGGTCCATATATCACTTCTACCTTGTGTTCTATTATCTATCTTTTAGAGTTTTAAAGTCACATTATACAACTAATTCTCAACTAAGTGCCTTTATTTGAGTTTTAAGGTGACATTATGAACCTCTGTTTCTAGTCTTCCATGGCAGGGTCTTAAGGTTGTTGACAAGAAGCAAAAATATGACAGAATTTGTGAGAAGAATATAGCAACTCCGAATGAGGTCTATCTCATGCTCTTTTTTTTTAAGAACCCTTAATTAGAGCTCACCATTGGAGGAGAAAAGAATTTAGGGATTCTAAACTTTATATTAACTAAAAATTATGATTAAGAAATTGATAAGAACTTCTCATTAGTACTTACCATTGGAGATGCTCTAAGCAACTTTACTCCATCGATATAAAAATAACAACAGACTTGACAATGCTAATTAACAATTATCCCAATCCACATTAAACATTTATCAGAATCCAAAGTTGGTATATGATCAGGTCATTAACCATCAAGATATCGAACGAGAACCATAGTTTTATCTAGTGTAGCATCATAAAACATAAATGTTATCCCTTAATGCGACTCCATCAAACGTTAGATATTTGTTTACAACGGGAAATAGTTCAAAGTTACTTGATCGAATGGATCATAAGAGCTAGAATATTAATATCACACACGTTTATAAATTGCATGCAATCACACTAATCCCTTAACTGCCCTGGAACTAGAAAGTTGCCCCGTTCCAACCAAAGAAGGATCCCTGCAAGAAGATCCAGACGAGAAAGTGAAATGTCGATAATGACATATCAGGATGGCTATGGGCAGAAATAATCCAGATGATGAATTCTCGGGGCTTAATGACAAACAAACAAAAAGGGTGGGTGTAAAACTGATATAGAGCTCTCGAAAATGGTTTCTGCGATAGATCTAATTGTTTGTTTTGGCTTCTTTATGAGTAAAAGTTAAAGGTCTGTCTAAATGATGAACTTACACAAAAAAGATGTATTTGTTTCCTATTCATGACCTAGTAGTGCTGGTGTAAAGCGTGTAAACACTGTGCATATTCTTGGCTTTGGTGGGCCTAGAGAGACAACGAACAATTAAAATGAGACATGGGTGCGTGAAATCATCATCACATTTGATTATGTTTATGTTACGGCATCAAACAAGTTCTCAGAGAGGGAAATTGCTTGCCTTGGTGTCATAAAACTTGAGGAAGAATCGAGACTTGGGCACTGATAGCTTAGTCTCAAGAATGGCCGAAACCGCAGCGCTTAGCTTCTTGTTCACATCCGGATTAAGGCCACCGATAGAGACTAGCTCACCATAAGCTGCAGGCTCCTCGGTTCCACCAAATGATATGGGCACTGAGCCTTTCAACACAACCATCACATACTGCAAATTTCGATGAAAAATGCAATCAAATAATGAGGTACCCAAAAAACAAAAAGCAAATCTCTAAAGCAAACCATTTTTGTTTTAGGGCCGAAAACCAAATTTCAGAAATGAGAAGAAAAAAGAGGTCGGGAAGGGCATAGCAAACGTAGTAGAATAAAGAGACGAAACCCAAATCCAATTCAATAGCATTGCATTAGGTTTGAGCACGACTGTTACCTCTTTCTAAGCCAAATAAACATCAAGACTGTACAAACAGTCAAGAGCCTCGCCTTAGAGACCAGCCGGAGGTGTGAACCAATATAATAAGGATGGATCAACTAGCTAAAATTACATAGGGTTTCAATATTCTGCAAATTCTAAGAAAAAAAATCCACTCGAGATCCCTAAATGTCATTGATTAGAGAAAAGATAAGCAAAAAGACAACAAAGAGTTTCAACGCAACGTAACCTCAGCGAAAATGAAGAGTTCGTAAAAAAAAAAAAAAAAAAAAAACTAGGTACTCAGGAAACAGAATTAATTCAGAATTCGAAATAGAGGTAAAATCGAGAGAGAGTACGTTCACAGGCTTGCCGATGATTTTGGCGACGGTGGAGGAAGCTTCGGAGAGAATGGAAGAGGAATCGATGCCGTCGAGGCTAACGTTGGTGGAGATGTTAAGGCACGGCATTTTTCTTTCACTCTCGCTCTCTCTTTCTTTCACGTCTAATCTAATCACCCGATGCCCAACCTTTTTAGTAAAGCGGATAAATGTGTCTGGCAAATTCCCCTTCTGTCCTCGATTGCCTATTTTATTTATTCGCTTCGGCCCAACTTTTCGTTCCTTTCTCCATATGAGGCCCAACTTTTCGTTCCCTTCTCCATTTCAGGCCCAACTCTTAAGACTCCCGTCTTTATCATTTTACGATTGCTTGCATAGTTCCCAATTCCATGTATATATATTACTCCCTCTGTTCCAATAGATGTTTTAGGATTTTATCTTGTTCCACAAAAATAATGTTTTAAGAGTATTTAATGCTATTTTATTTGTAAATTAAAAAAAATGTATAGTTTATTTTTTTTTTCTTCTACTATACTTAACGAATCTTGTATTTCATACAAACCACTTTCACTTTTTCTAATTTTCTAAACTTTTCTGTTTTCACCAATACTGCAGCTTAAAATTTGTTGCCAATTGAACCCGAACGAACTGAAACGTACAACAGCAAGATGTTTTTTTTTTTAATTTATATATAGCAAATCGATTTTGCCACTGAGTGGGCTTCTAAATTCTAATTCACAAAATAGACTTTTGCCCAAAAATATAATGCCAAAGGCCATATAAATGACTTTGTGTCTCTCCATGAGTAATGACTTACCCAAAAAATATAGATGTGTTTCACTTACAAAGGCACTGCCGATAGAAAACCACGCCTACCGATGGATGAACAAGGCACGTTTCTCCACCCTTCACCTTCCTTGAAACACTCAACCTGTGATAAACACAACAACACACACATGATCAACATTTGATTATGTATATGGTGAGCTTTTTTATAAAAAAAAAAGTTCAGAACTAAACGTACAGTGTCTAAGATGTCTACTCCTTCCCCCATGTATCCACCGATGACATATATGGAGTCTTTCACCACTGCAGCTGCTGAATATCCTCTTGATTCCTTCATTGGTTCTCCGGCTATCCATGTCCCTGTCCGTGGATCATATATCTCAACACTCGATACCATTGTCGATCCATCAAACCCACCAATAGCATATCTGCATATGAAGACAACCTTAACCATCTTTACCAACATTTCTTTGTTTTTTATTTGTCAACATAAACAAACAGAAGGTTTTAACTTTGTATCTTCCAAAAAATACTCTCTGAATTACACTGACAATTGCTATATCTATATAAACCAAAAGTAAGCTAAAATGTAAACGCAAACTTGCAATCAATATTATTCTAATTATCTAGTGTCTGAACGTTGCAAGTTACTATTTTATTTGATAATTTGTTATCTCATTCAAAAACTTATTTTACCTTCTATAGTCAGTTGAGTCTACATATTTCTCCGTGTGCTCGTTACTGAAATTGAAAATTTTAATGGGGAGAAGAAACTTACAGCTTCTCGTTCAAAACAACAAGAGAGTGGCAGCCTCGTCTTGACTTCATCGATGCAATTTTCATCCACGAGTGCTCTCTAGGATCAAACCTTTCAGCTGTGCTGTAAATAAGTAAGAGAGAGAGAGAGAGAGAGAGAGAGAGAGTTTCCATTAAACTCATTTGTTAGCTTCGTATTTCAGTGTTAAGATTAGGGGGAGAAACAGAAGATAAGGCTTTAATGTTCTTACTTCAGGTACTCTTTCTCATCAAAACCACCGACAGCATAGATTGAACCGTTAAGCTCCGAGGATGCAACTGCAAATCTCTGAGATCACAGAACAGTGATAACCCAAAGAATAACGCCGAAGAGAAAGTCAAGGTATCATCTTGCTAAGGCTAACAGCCAATTGGTAAGTGAAAGCAAAAACTACATATCTAAGTTTATCCCTGCAACTCATTACTAGATGGTGTAAGTCAGCGAAATAGAGAGTAGCAGTTTTGACCATGGATTTTCATTGGGAACTTATGTCTTTAGCTGTGAACGTCTGTCAAAATGTTGCCCATTGGGAATCTAATCGACAACTTTTCAGACTATTGGCTTTCACCATATGTCATGCGGATACAGAAGAACGTTTACCTTCTGATCCATTGACCTTGTTCTAATCCATCTCCCTATATCTGGATCAAGCATCTCAACATCTGAAAAATATGCCTTACTATTCCCGCCGCCGATTGCAAATATTTTTCCATCCAAAGTGGCTCCCCCCAAACTTCCTTTTGGCTCGTTCAAGGGAGGGCACAAGCTCCACCGGCTATCTGTCCCGTTATATGATTCAACTTCAACATAATAAACAAGAGGCAAAACAGAAATCAAAGGTCAGGCTTTTTAATTAGGGCGAAAAACAAGCGAGTAGGGGTAGACACTGATCTTAGAATATGCACAGCTGAAGTGAAGTGCATGACATCAATAAACCTCACTTTACAGTCATTCGCTGAAAATCTTTAAGCTAATTCGTTTAGTAATTTGCTGAAAATCACAGTAATATGCTTTTGCTATTCATATTCAGTTTCTGTAGTTCTTTTGGCTGTTTGTTAAGAAAATCTGTAGGTTTATTATATATGTGTTGTATACAGGCTCTAATGCATTAATAGTTAACACAATTTAAGAAAAAATTGAAAGAAAAGACAGGACCGACCTGTGTTGGACCAGCCACAGCCACCGTCATCACCTCCAAAGATGTAGATTTTATCATCCAATTTTGCCACTGAAGCATTTGAACGGATACAACTCATTGAACTATGAGCCTTTACAACATTCCTGGATGGAAAATATGATTGCACTGATGACAATGCTGATTCAGAGTAACCATCAAATCCGCCCAAAAGAAGAATTCCCTCAGTTGAATCTAAGCTTGGATCATCTGGTGAATGGATCTCCATATCACTACCACCAGCTTTGACGATTGCAGGACCTGATAAGGACTCCAGCATTTTGCAACGCTCTCTCAATCTCTGAATTTCCTTGTGTGCTTCATCCTGAAACACCAAAAAAATCAAAAAGTAAATGTGTCATGGTTTCTCCGCCATAAAATTTTGAGCTTACAGGTTCCAAAAACAAGAAGGAAATGGTAACTAGAGTGGAACACCAGGCTAAAAATGACAGAGCTTCTACTGATATGATTACTCTCTACACATCTAAACCCTGATTATAGCGCACATACTATGATAGCTCTGTGGAATATCATTGATGTCAGACTCTTCATGTGTTCACCAGATAACTAGGGGACGTTTCATATCCAACATTCACAAATGCAAAGGAATTCCACAAGGAAGGATGAAAATCCACAATAACTTGTTCTAAACAAAAATATTACCAATTTCTCTTCCAAGTAACATATCTTGGTTGAATTTTCCATCCCGTATGCCCTGAGTTCCTTCACCTCCTGCATCAACTGCAAAAGAGATTAATGCAATATGATCCCATTGATTTTGAGTTGGATTAGGAACGGTCTGAGGCAGTTTCTGCTTAACGATTCCTTCAATATTATAGCTGATATAAATAATTCTACACATTTAATAATTAACAGCTTGGATGGGTAAAAGGTGAAAAAGACGTTGGGTTAGCGTTTTCTAAAATCAATCCTTAGGTTTCTGGTTTATCATTGGTTCTGCAAATAAATAAAGGCGAAAGGGTTGACTTTAGCAGATTTACACATAGAGTAACACAAGTATATAACTGGAGACCTAGTGTCGGTAAGTACCAACCAGATGTAGATACCAAAGTACCTGGCTTATTGTCGGTTGACGAGGAGATGATACGAGAGAAATGTCATCCCCTTTCCCCTCTGAACATGTTGCCTCTTGGTCTCTGTCGTCCAAGTTCTTACAGGTGGGAATGTCGGCTTGGTCAATAGTTTCCATTAGACTATTATCTCGATGCTCATTACTAAGTGCGAGATCCTTCAGTTTCTCAAGAATACAATCCTTATCCTTTTGTTTGGAGTTTACGTCTGGATGATTTTCAGAGATATCAGGATGAAAAACAGCAGCTGAGGAGTCAGATTCACTGCCAGAACCGAGTGACACCTCCAAGATATCCACCGTTTCATTCTTCGAAGGCTTAACCTCATCACTATTCTCTTTAATTTCACTTGACTGAGCAAAGTGAAAAAGCTGTCTATCGCATGATGAACTCAAAGGTGGGTTAAGTTTCACAGCAAAAGATGTTAGCAGACACATCAACTTGTTTGTCTGTAAATGATCAAGCTCGAACCAAAAATGGTGAGAAGTGTAGTAATTATCTTCAATTGCAGGTTTGAATTTTTCTTCAGAAAGGGGTTCACACTGTAGCCGAACACTGATTTGAACCTGAAAAACCATAAAAAGACCATTACATATTTCATGAAATTTATACTGCCCATTGAAAAGGGTAGCAAGATTCAAGCCACCTCAAAAACAATGTGTAATTCAATGAATGTATCATAGAAAAACATATTATGAAAGGTGAACAAATCACCGTCTGGTACCTGTGCAGGATATGAGGTTTTCTCAGAGCCCTTAGAGGTCCAGCCATAAGGGTCGATATTAAGCTGACCAGGACCAGCAGCATCAAAAATTCCATGAAGTTTACGATCAGAATAGTTGAAAAGAAACAACGGCAAACCTACATCAATCTTCTGCACATATGAAATGTGGTTATAGGGTAGACCTGTCAAAATCAATTAGCGAATTCAGGAATCATATACATAGTACATGCTAAACAAGAGTAGGGATGTGAGAGACTACATCCAGTAACTTGACAATTTCATTCATCAAAGACAAAATATGAGACGCTGCATATAGAAAATTGAATCATAAATATTAAAATCGCGGAAATACAGTTAAGGAACAACAACATACAACAGTGAACAAGCATTGGAATACAGTGGGGGAGAGCAAACAAACAGTTTTATCCAGCAGAAGCAGAAACCAGGATAGGAGATTACTTAGAAGAGAGACAGTAACTAATACGGTTTCCAGGATAGGCTTTTCAAGAAGACTCACCAAACAGCTGTTTCGACATACATTCTTTGATGGTATTCTTCGTGCAGCCAAATACTACACCGCCAAGTTGACTTTTCGTCAGGTTTCTGCATGAAAAATTTCCCCTCCATTGAGCCATCCTGTCATGCATTGGGCGAAAGATTAGAATGCCAATGATTCATAGTGCGCACTTCAACTATTGAAGCGGGTCCCATTGTTCCAACCTTGTAATTGAAAAGGAGGAGGAAAACCTTCAAACAGATGGTGTGCATTACTAATGCACTGAACAGGCAGCTTGAGATGCTAAATTTCAAAATCACGAAGATGGAACACACAGATTTGCACGATGACACTCACTCAAAACACGAAACGCAAATGTAATCAAAAAGCCAACAAGCAAAAACACAACCGGAGATCAACAGATAACCCTCAAACAGAAGCGCAGAGTTCAAATTTAATAAGCAGTCCAACACGAGAAAAATCAACTACTCGAAATGCGTGAAAACGTTTAAAGGAAATCAAAACCGGACGTCTGAATTTCCGAGAAAATAGGACGTGAATAGTCCACACTTAAACATCGTATTCGGAGAAGACGCAACCAGAGCCGGATAAAAAAAAAAGTTATAAGGAAAAAAAAACCCTAGGAAAAAGCAATAGACAACTACTAAAACCTAAATGCCGGAGAATCGAACACTGGAAACTGGAATTCGAGCTTGATGAACACACACAAAAAAAAAAAGGCTTTGGGACTTACTTGAGACAGAGCGGTGAGAAATCGAAGAAGAAGAAGCCTCGGAGAGAGAGCTAAAGATGGAGCGCCATTACTAGTGATGGTAATGGCAAGCCGAAGCGACGAAAACTGAGCACCTACTAAGCGACAGAAATTGAGTGCTAAACTGGGATATTTTAAATTTTTATTCCTTTTTTGGGATCTTCCTTCAGTTTTCTTTAAAATATACAGTACATTTTTTCCCTTTTTTAAGTTTATTTCCAAATATTAGAAAGGCTACTCGATAAAATTTCCAACTTTTATTTATAGCGAATATTGGACATCGATAAAAAAATGTATATACAATAGTCATACTCTAGTGTAGTATAGTATTTATTATTATCTTTCAAAAAAGCATGCATGTGTTGTCAAATCATGGCTTACAAAGATCATAATTTTATTAAACTATAAAAATAGAAAGCATGTGTTGTTTTTTTTGGTAATAAAATATTGTTTTACTCTCAGGAAAATATATGGTAGACCGTAGATGTTAATCTTATGAAATAGATTGGATGTAGGTTTCTTTCTTTCTTTCCTTGTTGTTAATTGTTGGATTTGAAAGTTTATGCTGTATCTACGAGTAGAGTGAGAAATATATATATTTTTTTTTTTGATATATATAGTTAAGAACAAATTGTATCTGTGTAAAGATAGATAAATCTGAACCGTGAAAGCTATTCTAAAACTATGGAACAAATGAAAAAGGAGATGCCATCTTCCTTTTTTATTTTATTTTTACCCTTTTTAGGCTGAAGTTAGAAATAGATTTAGATGTGGACATGCATAAGCCAAACATAAAAGTACAGTATTGTTGAAGTGGTTGGTTGATACTAACTTTATACTATTGTTTTTCATAGTCAAGAAAATAAATTAAAGGAAACAGTTTTTATCCGAGCAGGGGCAACATAAACATTTTGGGGTGGGAGCCCCATACCTTCGGAAATTGGGAGTTGAACTCCACATAAGCCTAAGCATCAACCTAGAAGCTAAAAAGACTTTACAGTTAAACTAATCCAAAAAATTAATGTAAACTTCAAGTTACTGTTACAGCCGGGAATGTCTTTCATTTTTACGCTTTGGCTTTTTATCCCTCTCTCGAGTTCTTTTCTTTTAACAAATTAACTCTGGAACAAATTTACAGTTAGTTAATTCTTCTTTCTACGAGAGGTTGCGTAGAGGTGTGTTGGAACACAGACACGCGGCTCCTTGATGGCTGTATTCCGCCGCGTGTATCCGACGTGGCGGTGCCTGCTTCTGCAATAACTAGGGCTTTTATTTAGCACAGTAGTCTAGTACTGTATTAAAGGAATTATCTAAGAGAAAGAGAGTGTGAAGATTGTCGCTAACAATATGGCTCATGCAACGTTCACGCCGGAAGGGCAGCAGACGGAGTCGTTTCGGCTCTTGAGCGGCCACAAAATCCCAGCCGTTGGATTGGGCACCTGGCGATCTGGGTCTCATGCCACCCACTCCGTTTTCACTGCACTCGTCGAGGTCTACATCTCCAAACCTCCCCCTCTAATATAATCAACGGCTAACTCATATATATATATATATATATAGAGAAGATTTAGGATTAGCTCCATGTTTATAAACTCTTGTGTGGAATCCGCAGGGTGGTTATAGGCACATAGATACAGCTTGGGAGTATGGTGATCAGAAAGAGGTCTCTCTCTCTCTCTCTTTCTCTCTATCTTTCTTGTTTTGAGTTAAGACGTACGTAAACAATTGCTTACTCTGTCAAACAAAGGTCGGTCAAGGGATGAAGAGGGCGATGCACGCTGGTATTGAGAGGAGAGACCTCTTCGTGACGTCCAAGCTCTGGTAACAATTTTTTTTTAAAGAAACGATTCCTTTCTTTGCTTCACTCTTTTCTCGCCATTGATATAAAAGTTTCTTTTGTACATGTGTATCTTTATATATATATATATAAAGGTGCACAGAGTTATCTCCTCAGAGAGTGCGTCCTGCTCTGCAAAATACCCTTCAAGAGCTTCAATTAGACTACCTTGATCTTTACCTGGTATGTTGTTCCCTCGAGTACTATCTGAATCTATGTTGTAGTTTTTACTCTTCAATTCAGTTTTTGTGTCTAGATTCACTGGCCTTTCCGGCTAAGAGAAGGAGCCAGTAGGCCACCAAAAGCAGGGGACGTCCTTGACTTTGACATGGAAGGTGTTTGGAGAGAAATGGAGAAGCTTGTCAAAGACAATCTTGTTAGGAACATTGGCGTCTGTAACTTTACAATCACTAAGCTCAATAAGCTCCTAGGAATGGCTGAATTGATCCCTTCCGTTTGTCAGGTACTCTCTTAGTTAGTCACAGTCTTAAAATCATGTGTAAGTTGATTTAATCGATTTTGTTTGCTTTGCCTTAGATGGAAATGCATCCAGGTTGGAGGAACGATCAAATGCTTCAACTCTGCAAGGAGAATGAGATTCATGTTACAGTAAGCACTACTATGACTCTTTGTTCACCTCTCTGGACAAAGTTTCGCTGCTTAATGACTTCAACACGCGATCTTATATTGGTTGTGAAATTGCATTATTGGAAACTTGCAAGGCCTATTCGCCACTGGGATCTCAGCAAGGCGGGAGAGATCTGATACATGACCAGACGGTGGATAGGATAGCGAAGAAGCTGAACAAGACGCCTGGACAGGTTCTAGTGAAATGGGGTCTACAGAGAGGAACAAGTGTCATCCCCAAGTCACTGAATCCAGACAGGATCAAAGAGAACATTAAAGTCTTTGACTGGGTGATCCCTGAACAAGACTTCCAAGCTCTCAGCAGCATCACTGACCAGGTAAAACTAACCGTATGACCAACCAGAACCTTTTGACGATCTGTTAATACTTACCATTGTTCATGGATGAGCACCAACATAAAAAAAATGACCTGCTTTATGGGACTATTAGTTTATTTTAGTTAGCAGTTACACCATTATTTTGTGTTAGCGAGGAACAGAACAGAGTAAGAAACAGAGCATTTATATGTGTCTTCTCTGTTTCTGTGTTACGCTTAGGGACAATTAGTCTATTTCTGTTAGCGAGACTCTGAACAGAGTAAGAAACAGAGCACTTTTTTTTTGTTTTCTGTGTGCTTCTGAGTTTTTTAAGGTTAAGGGTTTATTCACTCTGTTTTTGGTCCTATAAATGTTCTCACTTTTGATCATCTTTGACCTGGATGCAGAAACGAGTGATGGACGGTGAGGATATTTTCGTCAACAAGACGGAAGGTCCATTCCGTAGTGTGGCTGATTTATGGGACCATGAAGACTAATCGAAGCCAAGAATCAAATAAAGTCGTGTAAGGACCTTTTTTGTTGTGTAAAGTTTCTAAAATAATAAAGAAAAAGGAGCTCTAATTCGCAGCGCACATATTTTTCCTAAGAACTATGAAAACATTTATGCCATCAAACCTTCCTCGGAGACGGATGAGAGTTGTTGTACGGCCAAAACAGAGGCAGCTAGGTTGAGATCTCTAGAGATGAGAAGATCTCCGATCTCTCCAAGCTCCTCGTTCTCGCTCCATACCGATAATCCTTGAAGCACTTGGAAACTCGCTTCGTGTCTGATCCCAACCATCATCAGGTCGTAACTGCTCCCTTCTTCCCTCAGTAGGCTCACCAGACCGCTCGCTTCCTCTATCCTTACCTAATAACCACGAAAGACGCAAACCATATCGGTCAAACTAAACCGGATATGATTGAAAAGAAACGATTTTTCTTTCCTTTTTTTGGGTTGTTGTACGTACCTCTCGTAAGGAAACGTTTTGATTGTAGAAGGTGTCTTTACGGAACTTTTCGATGGCTTTGAAATCGAGCCTTCTTTCTATAACGTCGTTTAGCTGCGATGCGCTTTCGCTGTCGATGAGTTTAAGAACGTTTAGATGTACGCACGGGTTGTTCGTCATCCTAACAGCAAACGCCAGGGCCTCCCGGTCGTCTGCTCCTCCCAGGAATATCGCACAGACGTTGATTCTCATCATCGTCATCGTCGTCGTTCCCATGTTCTTGAAATCCGGAAGCCTTCCTTGGTCAAATAGAATCGCGACAGAGCACGGCGAACCGCTCAAAACGTTGCGGCAAAGACGTCGCTCCGCCGCAGTTCCACCGTCGATGGCGATGATGATGAGATCGGTTTCTTTGTCGAAGGCCAACGCGCAGACATCCTCATGCATCGTCTCGCTGGGGGCAACTGCGGTGAAACATTCCACGGAAACGTTTTTGTGAGAAGAGTGTCCGTTTTCAAATATCTTGAAGGCTTTGGAGATCTGATCTCGGCGGTTGGAGGACGCTGATGGGTCGTCGTTGTGATGGGATTGGTGCTGAATGAGGAGAGGGACGTGATGGTGGTGGAGCTCTTCAAGGTTGACGGAAACGACGGAGAGAGAAGAGTCGGTGGAAGGACAAGAAGAGAGCTCTAGGACGGTGAGCACGGAAGGGACGGTTTCGAGGTGGTAGTAACATGCGAGCATCTTTATCGGCTTGTTTGGTTCGTAGTGCTCAACCGTTTGTCTCCGGTGAGTGATGTGCTTCCGCTGCATCCAGCCGTAGAGGTTTTTGACTATGGCCGTGAAAATGGTTGAGTGAACCATTGCAGAGACCACCATTATCCCAAATGCTTCCTGGCTTATATTCTGCATCCCTTAACACAATTGTTTCAGATTAGTATACGTCATATTCTTATTTTTATCCCCGTTATAATGAATATGCGTGACTTGATGATCTACTAAAACAATTTTACCTTGTAGTTCAACAACTGTTTGAAGAGTTGGACATCGTAGATCCCTTGTATTGAGACGATGAACCCGACAATCACGGCTTCTGATAAAGGGACCTTGAAGTAAAGCGACGGTAGGACGATGGATGCAAACTTTGCAGCACTGATGGTAAAGAAAAGGCCCTCCAAAATGATGACGTCTCGTCGTTTAAACGAAAAGAAATCGACGTTGTTACCGATTCCGAGGACGTAAATGGGCATCAGAACCGCCCAACAGAAGCAACCGATCTTGTCGGTGAGACCAGTAGCAAGAGGAGGCGTCTTAGGAGTGACAAGACCGAGAACCACAGATCCCACTAAGTAAGGAAACCCTACGGTTTCGCACAGGAAAGTGGTGGTGCATAACATGATGCAAATGATGCATAGATGCGAACCCTTTAGTTTCTTTCCTTGAGGTGTTCTTCTCTCTATCCATTTGAATATTGGTCGGCACACAACTACTGTACCAACGATCAGTAGTACCTAATCATTTTTTAAATTATTTATAAAATCTATACATGGATCGATGATGCTAAATAATACAATCAAGATGGAGGAAGAAATAACGACATTTAATTACCTTTGTGAAGGTCGGCACATAAGTGATCTTGGAGTACTTGTGTCGCAAGAAACTATTGAACGTAATTAAAACGAGGAAAAACCCCCAGCCGAAGCAGTTTGACACCATAATGGAGGAGAGGGCTAACCTTCCGGGCTCCGAATTTAGCATCTTGAGATTCGATAAAACCGAATAGGCCACTTGAAAAAACACTGCAGATTCGTTTGTCAGCACATCGTGAAGCTGCTTGTGCTTAGTTTGCGCCACGCTTCCACGTATGTTGCTCGAGATGACGCTACCTGCTATAGAGCCAACCACGTACGGAAATAGAAAAAGAGATAAACCATTGATGATTGCGAGCTTCCCTCCTCGCTTTATAACTCCCATGTCTACTTGAGCTGTGCTTATATATGAGATGAACATGAAGGCTATCGCCTCTAATGATTCGATTATGAAGACGCTTCTTGTGTTGAAAAATCTTCTTACTAAATCTATGTTTTGCCCCAAAGCTGAGGGCCCTAAGAATATCCCAGCCTGTTTCATATATACCACATGCAAGAAATCACTTATCAAGTCATAACCTTTTCCAGAAATAAACCGCATGCACATGTTGTGTATATCTATCCATATTAAAAGAAGGAAAAAAAAACCTTCTCACAAAAACAACTTTAAAATCAAAAAGAGTTGTCCAAAATGAATACTTCCTCATCATGTAGATAGACGAGATTGCCATCAAACACTTTTCTTACTTTTCTATGTTCTTATATGAAAAAAAGAAAACTGATTAATTAATTACCAGAATTTGAGTGACAAAGTCGACGTTTCCGAGAGGAAGGAGGAGAACTTGGAAGAAGGAAGAGAGAGAAGAGACGAGGGAAATGAGAAGAAGAAGAAGAGGAGTCGAATACTTCAACGGGTCATCTCCTCTAAATAATCCCGCAGAGCTTGATCCAAGCCATGGCTCACAGAAAAATTCTCTCGTTCCATTTCTAACATTAATGTTCATCCTCTATTTCTTTTTTTTTTTCTTTCTTTTTTTTGGTTGAGAAATGAGTTAATGTGTTTGACTATTTTCACCCAACGTTGTTCATCTTATATAATCCAGTTTTGTTTTTGTTTTTGTTTTTGAATTCATCACAATGCTAATTAATAACTGAGCTAACAGAGAGGTTGTTGAGCTGGGAAAGATGATACATGTTTCTTTTTTAAGATTGCAAACTGTTTTTCTTGTTTTTCCCAAGGAATTTGTGTTGACTTTATAACCGTAAGAGAAAATAAGGAAAGATAATATAATTTTGGACTTTTATATGTCTGAAAACAAAAATTTCAGCTTTGTGTATTTATCATAAACTAAATCTAAATCGTGATCATTCAATAGTGAACATAGATTAACTTTGAATTTACAAAAGTGAAAGCCAAACACATGTCTAGTTGACGTTCCTTCTAATGAAATGTTGCGATTCATACAGAAAAATAATTAATAATTTATATGATGACAAACGATTACGTATATTAGTGTTGTAGATATATCATCATCCATACACATATAGTATACATATTTCTGCCGATCAGTCTCAAGCTATATTATCATTAAATATCTGATCATGCTCAAGATTCTTGGACCACTCATACGCAAAAAAAAATATAGAAACCTTAAAAGTAGGATGACCTCTAACAAGAAATGAAGAACAAGAGGATAGACGACATCAACAATTAAACCTCTAAATATAGAGAGAACAAAAAAGAAAAAAAAGAATAAAGTTATGCTTTCTCCATCTCTTCTTCTTCTTCTTGAACTCTTCTTATACAATCTCTCCCTCTCTCTCTCTCTTTCTATGGCTTGACTCTTTAAGGAAAAACCTAGATGGAGAAAATGGAAAATATAACCAGCACTTATAACTACGGAGGAGTAGAATGGCTATGCGAGCCATGGTTAGGTGCAGGCTCGACGGGGATAGGGCGTGGAGAGAATCCTCTCAAGTTCGCTCTTCCTCTTCTCCTCCTTCAGATATCTGTGGTATCCTTATTTTCCGCCTTTTTTCAGTTTCTTCTCCGGCCTTTCGGAAAATTTCAATTCCTCACTCAGATCCTGGTACACATCTACTTGTTTTTTTTTTTTGGCAGTTACCACTTTAAATTCGGGGAAAAATATAGACAGATTAATTAATTAGTCCCTAAAGTATTTTTTAGTCTTTTTTTTTTCTTGGGTTGCAAACATATATATATCTCAGTCAATTATGATTTATGCTGCTTTCAGGCTGGGATATCCTTAGGACCGTCGGTTATAGGACGTAACAAACAGTACATGTCGACATTTTTCTACACAAGAAGCTTGTACATAATCGAATCCTACGAGGCCATGTGTTTCCTCTTCATTTGCTATATCACAACATGTCAAGTAGACACAAGGATGATAAAGAGAGTAGGAAAGTTAGCATTCATAAACGGAATCTTGCTTTTTCTTATACCTTTCGTGTGGGGGCAATTCACGGCCATCTTGATCTCCAAGCGGCTTGGAGGCGGGCCCGCAGGGATCCCTCCCGTGGAGTTCCACCACATTGGGATTGTGCAGTCGACCATGTGGTTTCAGGTGGTTTACGGAGTGTTGTCGAGCCTAAAGATGTTGAACACTGAGCCAGGGAGGTTAGCACTTGCCTCCATGATGGTTCATGACTGCCTCTCTTGGTGTTTTTTCATGGTTAACATCGCTGTTAAACTCAACGTTGACTTAGGCGATAAAAGTCTAGCCCTTTTCATGGCCATCGCACAGGTATATATATATTTCTTTTCTTTTTTTTTTGTTTGTAATTCCTTGTTACAATATACTGATACACATAGTTGACTAGTGTTAATTTATAAAGTGGGAAATTAATGCAGATGCTAATGATAGGGGTAATAGTGTACGTGTTCCGACCAATAATGAAGTGGATGATGAAGAGAACACCAGAAGGACACTCTCTAAAGGCCTCGTATCTATCCGTTATATGTGTCTTGCTTTTCCTCTCCTCTCTGTGGGCAGAATTTGTCCGCTTACCTTACTTCTTTGGTGCGGTCGTCTTGGGTCTAGCCACCCCAAAACGTCAGCCTCTAGGCACAGGACTTTCGGACAAAATGGGTTGTTTTGTCTGGTCTGTCCTGATGCCTTGCTACATCATCGGCATCGGCTACAATCTCGATCTGTCTCTGTTTTCCTTTAGAGATGTTATCCGTTATGAGCTGCTTTTTGGCGTGGTCCGGTTCGCCAAAATGGTGGCTATTGCCTTGCCTTCCCTTTACTTTAATGTTCCACTTTGGCAAGCCATTCTTGTCGGATTTATCGTCAATATCCAAGGAATTTACGATGTTCAGATCTACAAACAGAACCTCAACTACACGGTAAATTAAAAACACGCACAAGCTAATAGGTTCATGAATCATATATATATATATATATATTTTTTTTTTTTTTTATTTTGTATGTTGGAACATATGTATAGATATGATTCTTCTTCTAGGTCAAATAAAAAAAATCCCTTGTTAATAAGAAAAGATAGAGATGACAGTGGATGATACATTTTGTTCTAAGGGCTGCAGAAAATATCAACAAAATCTTTTGGAGCAATGGTGATGTCAGCAACGGTAAACTCGACAGTAATTATAGTGATAGTGAAGAAATTGTACCACACGATGAGCAAACGCAACCCTTACAAGAGACGTACGGTTCAACACTGCCGAGCCGAGGCTCCGCTGAGGATCCTCACTTGTTTCCGGCAGCGCGAGGCGGTCCGCCCGGTGCTCGACCTCCTCGAACTGTCTCGTCCAGTCATCGGATCTCCTCTCTCAGTCTTCGCCGTGAACCTAGAAGAGCTTAATAACCATAGTCTTCCTCTTCTGATCCATCACACGCAGGAGATAAGTCCCTTCATCGTGCCTAGCCGAAGAGAGCAGATCGTTAAGGCCTTCCACAACTACGAGAAGACCAACCCGGTAAAACCAGAGACGACTAGATAATCAATCAATCTCAAGAATTAATTAAGAAGCGTATCATTTATTCAAGGAAAAGACTAACATTTTCATATTTTTCGTCAGGAGACCGTATTGATAGAGTGCTTCACGGCGGTGGCGCCGCGGAAGACGATGCACGAGGACGTGTGCGCCATTTCCTTTGACCAGGAGACAGATCTTGTGGTCCTAACTCTCGATGCCGGGATCGAGTCGTGGGAGAGGCAGCTGTGTCGGAATCTCCTGCAAACCTGTCCTTGCTCCGTCGCGCTCTTCATAGACCGAGGAAGGCTCCCAGATTTCAGGTTCGTTCCGATCAAAAAGCTTTGCATCAATATCTGTGCTATCTTCTTAGGCGGGCCAGACGATCGAGAAATGCTTGCTTTTGCTACACGCTTAGCAAACCATCCAAGCGTCTCGCTTCATGTCTTCCGCCTCGTGGACCAGAACGGCGTCTCCCCGCTCCGAGACATGGTCGAGAGAAACCACGACATGAGAGTCATGAACGTGTTCCGCAAAGAGAATTCCGACAAAAACATCATCTTCAGAGAGGTAATCACTTTATTGGAGGTTAATCTTCTTGAAACCTTCAGTTAGCTTGGTTTACAAGTTAGGTTTCGTTCGACGGAAACAGAGCAGTTCTCTTTGAAAAAGAAGTATAAAGCTGATATTACAATATAATTGTGTTTGTGACATTAATTGTAAAGGTAAGGATAGAGGAAGCGGTGGAGCTAATGGAGTTGCTAAGGAAGGAAGGAGACGACTTCGATCTGATGATGGTCGGGATAAGACACGAAGAGGATCTTTTGATGTTGGAAGGATTGTCAGAGTGGAGCGACATGAAGGAGTTAGGAGAGGTTGGAGATTTGCTCATCTCCAGAGATCTCGAGCTCTCTGTTTCTGTTCTTGCAGTCCAGCAGTGAGCCTAGCTCCTCCTCGACTGTTTTTCTTTTCCTTCTGTTTGGCTACTGTTTTTATTTATGGATTTTGTACAGTCTTTTGTTTAGAGGTTAACCAACCAACTTTGTAGATATTAATTAATGTCTTCAAATTACCACAAAAAATAAAACCTAACTACTCTATACGTATCCCATTTCATACAACGGTTTTATGGATTTGTAGTCTTCGTTACTCCCTTAGAATCCAATCATTCCACGGTTGATGACACCGGGTATGATCCAAGAAACCGACTAGTGATATAGTTTATTATTAGAAATATATATATACGCAAATAAAACCATTTTTGTGTTAAGAGATTATTTTCCCCTTAGTCAAGTGGTCGACTAAAGGTTAATTAATGCTTCTACACCAGGAGGGTTGGGATTCGATTTCCAAAAGATGCGACTTCTGCAGATTATTATGGGGGCTGGGATTCGATTTCCAGAAGATGCGATTTCTGCAGATTATTATGGAGACAAGCTTATAAGGAAATTTTCAGCGTGGTTTGGAAATTGGAATGGGTAGATTGTCAGTTGTAAAATTGTCTTCATAATAATTCTCATAATATGTAGTTTTCATAGGGTAGATTGTCAGTTGTAAAATTGTCCTCATAATAGTTCTCATAATATGTAGTTCTCTCTGTAATAGACGATTAAAAAAAAAAATTATTTTCCATCATCTTATCTTCTTCTTGTTTTAGGTTTACAATAAAGCTATATAGAGAATATTTGCATATATTTTTTTTCTTATCTTTATGCGTCTTGAAAAACTTAGGCGCTGAAATTTGGACTTACGAAAAAGAAGATCAAAGCCCATTATTTTCGAACAAAACTTGTATACTGTAGCCTACTCTTGATTATTTTCGAACAAAACATATTTAACAAATTTATTTTACACACAAATAAAAGCATGATGTTGAGTAGCATCGACTCACTCAACAGGTACAAACGTTTCAAATTTTAACTAAACAATACAATGACCCCTACTATGAAACCCTTTGAGGTAGAATCAATGGTGACAACGGCGCGGATCCATAACACTCGTTATTGCTCTTACCTGATCTCCAAGATATAGTCGATATCGCTCGGCTCACGTTTCCTTCTCTTGGGTATGGGCCGTATGGCCGGTGGTTTAGGTAAAGCACCACCACCGCGCAGTCATCAGCTTTAGAGGCTGGGAACTTGGTTCTCCATGTCCGAGCGGCTCTCTGAACCAACGTGTCAGCTGCCATCGACCGGTCCTTGCATGCACCTACAATCTTCACCACTTCTTCGTTTGACAAAACATCCCAAATCTGTTCACCAAAACACACACGTAAAATTCGTATAAGAGAGTCTGTTTTCACTGTGCATTTGTAAGAACTCGTCGAAGTTGTTTACCCCATCGGTGGCTAGAATCACAAACTCGTCTTCTCTACTGACTTTTCTGCAGAAGATCTCAGGAATGCAGAGAAGTCCATAGTCTTTGAGGCAGAAATCACCAAAAGCCCTAGACATTGCGAGTCCCGGGCAATCATCATCAGGCATCCACACTCTATACACATCAGGTTCCTCTTCCATAGCAAACACCCTTCCTTTGCATGACATTATTCTCTCTGCTTCACCTGTTAAAAAGCAAGACAAACTTCTTCATGGGATTTTACATTTTATATGTCTACCTCAAAGTTTAATACTTTTGGAAGAGGTACTTTAGTCTAGAGTTTTTCCACACAAAGAAAAAAAGGTGTGCTGAAGAAGAAGGAGACGATAACTCACGTTGGACACAGGGTTTCAGATCAACCGTGAGTTGGACAGCTTTGAGATTGTTCTTGCTTCCACGGGTGCCAAGGACGGCTCGTGAATCTCCCAAGTTGGCGATCACCAAGCAGTCACCCTGAAAATGTTTGACGAAACAACTTTCACTCCCTTTTTGATGAATTGTGTCGAGACTCTGTATTATTTTAGAAGAACCCATATAAGGCTCAAGAGACTAATGAATGAAATTTACCTGTTTAAGGACGGTTACAGCAGTTGTACCGCTACAAAAACTATCATAAGGAGAGTCTAGACCAAGTTCGCTGTCTATTTGCTTGAAGAAAGTCACTAGAACTTCCTCGGATTTACGGAAGAGAACCTCCTCACTCTGTGAATTATTGTCATTCTCTATGTTTTCATTACCGCCAGATTTTGAAGATCTAATTTTCGAATGGACCCTTGAAGGTAGATTGTCACATACGTGACGAGAAATCTTGTGACCCATGGGGCCGTGACCGTCAAATACACCGCAAAAGACCATATCTTCTTCCCCACCAAAGTTCTGAAACAAAGTGAAAGATGCAAAAATGATTGGTCATTGCCTTGGGGGGAGGCAGCTTCAAAATGTAAAATTTCATATAATAGCAGGAAAAAAAAGCAGTAATGCTAGCGCCTGAAACCGAACCAAGAGAAGTTAAGAAACAAATGATAGGACCCAACATGATTTAAGAAAAGAAAAAAAACTGTTAAAAACTTTTACCTCCCAGACTGTCATGGCGTCTTGATTAATCCCTTTTTTCCCTTGTTTGATAGCCATGGAAACGTGTTTGGATGATCCACGGGACCTTATAACGGCACCATCATTTGTGTCCCTAAACTCAGCCTCCCTATCTCCATGTTCATTATTATCATCCGTGCCATTCTCCACAATTATCCCTGTGCCTTTGCTACAACAGACCCCCATTTAAGACTGCAACAGGCTGGTTACGCAACTAGATACAAAAACAGGGCAAAATCCTAACAAGAAAATCTACAACGATCCTTTTTTTTTTTAAGGAGGGGTGGCAAAATGTCTGGAAACGCAACGTGTGGTTAAATCCTGTGGAAGAAGTAATTGAAGGGAGGAGAGCAGGGTAGAACAATCAAACAGTTGCAGAAAAATAAAGTTCCCATGGCGAAAGAAGTCAAAGGAAGAGGAGAGGAGAACAAACAAGGGAAACGTGAACAGACAAGCATGAAAGCAACCTTCTGAGAAGATTGATTTCTAGATCAAACACCAGATTACAATAATATAGAATGGCATTTGCCTCTTGTTGAAGCTTAAATTGTACATTATGATGGAAAAGTCAAAAGGGTTTTTCTCAGATGAACAAAAAAACTGTAAAGGGAGAGAGAGGAAGAGAGAGAAAGATATGTTAATTATCTTCTTCTCTGTCTAAATATAGATGGAAATCTAGATGAGCATCATCCAAAATTGGATTACCGATAAAAAAACAAAATTACCTGGCTCGAAAGATTTTCCTCCTTTAGCTCTTTGTCTACAATCCACAGCGAAATAAAATCCATTTTCTCCTTCACCGATTCATTTCCTCAGTTTTGGTAACCAACACTAACGAACAGCGGAAAGATAAATACCAAAACTAAACTAAACAATTGGCTGTTTCTTGTTAATCCGCATATCAAGCACACATTACCGATTGGTCGCTCTTATTAAAAATTTAGGTTGTGTTATGGGTTTGTAAGCAAGATAATTTTAGAGGTCAAGATTACATTTCCGAAAACGATAATTAACAACTTTGATGAATGATACTCAAATTTATAGAAACTAGGTCTCGGGAAAAAAGGGGAGAAAAACACCTGAGAAATCGTTCTTTAAGAAGATAAAATGACAAGGGAAAAGGCAGAGATGCACATACCTGATTCAAGCCATTTTCATTGCTCCATTTACAGCCTTGATTCTGTAGAGAATCCTGGAACATCACTTTGAAACATTCTTCCAGAGCACAATATCTAAGAAGAGGCAAAACAAACACGGCAAACTTGTGTCCTTCTTTCATATATATATAGACAAGGAAAGCAGAAGTCTTTATGGTATATAGATTAGATGATGAAAACACCAAAAAGCTAAGAAACAATATCAGAAGAAGAGTGACGGTTGTGAAAGTGAGAGAAACTCAAATTTCCATTTCAAGCTAAACTTCTTACAGTAAAGGGAATTTCAGCAAAGACAGAGAGTAATTTTTTCTTTTGGTTTTATAATAGAAAACTACAATATCCGCTTTGTATTCTAGAAGAAGAAAGTACATATTTGGTAGATTGGCGAAAGGAAATGAGATGATGCAGCGGCCAACAAGCATTACCACCATTGATGGACAAGCACCCCACTTTGTCTGAGCGAAGTGAAGAGCTCTAAGCATTGGTTGTAGGTCTTGTTGTACTTTTGGCTCCTTTGACCCGGACAGCATCTCTGCCACCTGTTGTAATGGCATTCAAGGAACAACTCATCGATTAGACAAATGGCTCCAGTCTTGATAAGCCTTGGGATTAGATCGAATTCAGTTCCTTCAACATCCATCTTCATCACAACAAAGTCCCTCTCTCTCACACTCTTCTTCAGCCAGTCAGCGAAATCAAACCCTTGAATCAAATTCACCTCTCCAGCTAAGCTCGACGAAGATTTCTTAACTGGCTGGATTCTGCCCATCCCCCTGCCCATTGCTTTCGCTTCCGCTTCCTTTCCCGGATCGTGATTTATCTCGAATGACAACGTCTCATTCCTCACCCATGCTGCGTACGGCAATAGCTGCACCTTCTTCTTCACCTTATACTCTTCATGGAAGGCTTTGTCAGCTTCGATGGCGAAAACATCAAAAGTTTTGTTCTGCTTTGGGTACTCTTTCTTGAACCAGCTCCCGATGCTAGATCCATAGCTGCGAGCGCCGACATCAACGTATACGTATCTGCTCTTGAAACGGATGTCTACCATAGAAGGGAGATATTTAATGTTCTTAATGTTCCTCTTGAGGGTGATCCATGGCTTAAGAGGCTCCACTTCAATCAGTGGCTCTGCATCCCGAATCAGGTCCCTTTTGTAACCAGGGATCCAGCACTTGGAATCACCACCACCACCACCACCGGAGTTCTTCTTCTGAGCTTCAATCTCAGAGTATTTCTGAATAACAAATTCTCTGATATGAGGCATCGAGGAATCAAAGCCATCCAAATCACGCATCCTCACCAATTTGCAAGAATTAAACAAATCAAGGAATGAATTGAAACTGTACGTATCTGTAGCCCCAACATGAACCACCGCAAACCCTTCGGGTTTCAGGGTTCGAGTAATCTCCTCGGCAAATTCCAACTGCTTCAGCGACTTCCCAAGGCGTCCACCGCCGGAGAAGACGAAATCGAACGTCTTGTCCTCGAAGGGTACAGCGTGTCCCTCGCCTCTCACCACCAGCGGCCGAAAAGCTTTCTTAGAGATCCCCACCGAGTTCTTTACCCCAATCTCTCTCAGCGAGAAAACCTCCTGCCCAATAGCCGTCTCTACACACAGCGCCTTCGATTCCGGCGAGAGATAACCTTCGGCGATCAGATCCTGAAAAATGGACGAGTAAAACTGAACGGCTTTGATCCAATCCCTGCTCGTGTACAGATCATCTCCCACGGAGGTAGATCTGATGGCGTCGATAGCAGAAGCTCCGGAAGCAGCGCCGCCGGAGATGACGAAGTTGAGATTCTCAGGGAGAGAGAAGAAGCAGAAGTCGCCGCGATTGCACGATTCTCCAGTGATGGTGACAACATAAGCAAATCGAACAACGATGATCAGAACGCCGAAGAGAAGCACACGAACCATGATATTACGCAAGAAGCTCGGCTTCCCCATGGAAGTCTCCATGATACCTCACTCTAAAACTACTTTACAAGGCCCCCAAAAAGAGGAGGAGAAACAAATTAAGAAATTCACACGCAGAGGAAAAAGAACGAAAGAATAGCTCTCGGTTTGTTAATTGGAGAGAGGAGGAAACCCTAAATCTGAGGAGGCGGAACAGGACTAACGAGAGGAGAAACGAGCAGAGGTGTGATTAGCTCCGATTAGGGTTGGGAAAAGAGAAAACAGATTACAGATCCGACTCGTACTAGGAGGATAACGGGAAAAGGAGTGCATAGTTCGCGAAGGTTTCTGATAAGACACGGTGAGAAAGTTTTTTTCCCGGTGGCTATACGGCGGAGGAAAGAGAGAGAGACATGGAATCTAGAGCGAGGAAGCAAAGGTTGAAGAATGAAGGAGAGAGTGGTGGAATCGGATAGAGACAGGAGAATATAAAAGCGCGTGAGAATCGAGCGCGTTTCTCTCTAGACGCGGATGGAGCGGCGAACTTGGTTTATGTTTAGGGCAAGTTTTCTACTTTATTTTCGGAATTGCCACGCTGACTTTTTTTGCTGACCCCAAAACCAGATTTATCTCTAAATTGCAACAATTAATGGGGCTAAATCGTAATTTTGGAGTTTCGTGAAGCTTTTACTCGGATTGTTCGTTTCTTTCATTGATCATCCGAATTCTTTAAACATTTTTTCTTTTTCTGGAGAAATTAAAAGTTAAAGTTTGGTGGATCCAATGCAGATTAAGAAATAATTATACGGCGCTGAATTTTTAGACGTGAAAGCAAATGTTACTACTATTAGTCATCATTAATGTCAATGAACTCACTAGCGGTAATGCTGAAGATTTAGAGAATTCAATTTGGAATCATTTAGTTTATGAATGGCTGTAAAAGTGAAACAGTGCAGTAGAAACACAAATTGTATGAATATTAATCTGTATTTTTATATAATCCTGAGTGTAACAGGAATGACCTGACCAAAAGATGGATGGTTGACTGTAATGGGGTCACTGCTCTTTCTCATTAACGTAATCAAATAATAATAAATAATATATTTAAATCATCATCTGTTGCACATATAGTTTTTATTAAGATCAATGTAAGTGTAAAAGAGGCCAAAACAAAAAAAAAAAACAGACACACATGCAGCTGTATTATGAGTTATATTCGTGTCAATTATAGTGGAGCAGAGGTGATATGTATATATATATATATAGAATAAAAAAATATTATTACAAGAAAATGATACTGATTTAATTATTGGGCGGTTCAGGCAAAATGAAAAATAGAAGAAGAAAAGAAGCAGGTGATTAAGGAAGGTAATCATTTGGTTTAATCTTATATGATGATAAAAAAAAATTTGATGGCATATCATTTTGCCGTGTGAGACATTTTTTGGACTGGAATGTAATTGACATGTGTAAGCTTATCCAAAACCAAAAACAAAAAACAAAAAAAAGGTATCAAAACGAGAAAACGTATAAGTATTTAGAGCTGGATTTTATATAATAGATGTTCCGAGAAAGAAAAAGAAGAAGAAAACTGTAAAAAATTGGATTACGAAAAAAAAAGAAGAAGAAAGATGGTGGGAGCACCGAACGGCGCACGAGCCGTTGTTGCGATGAAGGAGGGAGGGAGGGTGGTTGTGGTTGTGGTTGTGGTTCTGAGTTCTGACAGCTGGTGGATGGATAGAGTACATTATATTGCTTCTCTCACTACTGGTCCGGTCTGGTCTGGGTCCCACCGAGTCACGGTCTTTCCGTATAACGCCCTTACTTAGGACGCAAACGTGAATTAGCTGACGCGGAAAAGGCGGGCCCTACTACGAAGGCAAGTTGATCGAGAGGCATTAAATAACATAGCTCATATATATGATTACTCATTACATACAAGAGAAAAACAAAAAAAAAAGTCAAAAAGGAATAGAGCTCTTGTGACTCTGTTGCATCCGTTAATTTCGGGCATCAATCCGAAAACCAAAATAAATAAATAAACTGAAAGGGTGGTACGCGCCAGCCATTCCAGCTAGCTTATATAATATATATAAAAGATATATAACATTCGTCTTTCTGACTCGTGGCCAAATGGCCCAACATGGGCCTTGTCTGGGTCCGCCTCTTTTTCTTTCCAAAACTTTCACCCGATAGAGGAGAAGCCTCTTTATCGTCAGAATGTTTCTTTCAAGGCCCAATATCTTCCAGTTGTAGCTTCCAGTACTTGGGATCCAACTCCGTCTGTCCCCCACATCCAATCACCACAGTCCACATAAATTCGTGCGCCTATTATAGAGTAGTAGTAGTAGCAATCTACAGAAGATCTATATTCACTAGAATACCTGAAGGGTATTATTGTCTTTCCAGAGGAAGGCGCAACCACGAGCTTCCAAGTGTTGGATAAGAGACGGAGGGAGCAACGATCTGAGGGAAGCGTGCAGCTTCGCTTTCCTTAATCCTCCGCAGCTCAACAAAGCTGCTGCTACTCCGCTCGGGCTTAACCCGCTCGTCTTCACCACCGCTATGTTCTGCAAACTCCCTATCTTGGTTAGCCACACCACTCCCACTTCACTCACCCCCGTCTCCGACACACTTATCTGCAACATACGTAAATACATGGTTCCGCAATTAATAATTATCAATATTTACACTTTTCACCTATGAGTGGAAATTTTTTTCCAGAGTTTTCACCTGTTTGAGACTCTGTGAGAAGTGAGCGAGAGCGAGCAACCCGGAATCATTGATGTTTGGGCACTTCTTCACGTCCAGCTTTGCCAGTCTCTTGCACCCAACCGCAATGGGCGCAAGTCCTTGGGACGTGATGTTTGGACATCCCCGGCACTCCAATGTTTGTACCAACGAGCATCTGGACAGTGAAACCAGTGACTTGTCCGTTATGTCTTTGCAGTATGATATGTTTATTGTTTCCAGTTGAATGCAGCCTTGTGCGATCGACGAGATTCCTATGTCTGTTATTCCCACTGACCTGCAAGTAGATTACAAGACATTTCGATTTCGGAGATCTGTTGACCCGCTAAGATAATATACATTAACGAAATTTTCTAGGAGACTAAACTAACCTGTAGAGATCAAGTTCACGGAGATTTGAGCATCCGTTACCAATGTACGAGAGCCCTTTGTCTGTTATATTAAGACAGATTCCCAGCTTCAACGAGGACAGACTTTGACAACTAGATATTGATTTTAGTCCTGCATTGCATCCAACAAAGGAAACTCAAACACGATCAGGCATAAAATCTAGAAATCATGATTTAAAAAATTAAACTGAACAAAAGAATTAAACCTTCATCATCAATCTCGTTGTCGGTTAAGTCAAGCTCTTCAAGTAGCCCACACTTCTGTCCGATCGACCAAAAGGCTTCTCTTGAAACAAGTGAACATGACTCCATCTTCAAAGATACTAGCAAGGGGCATGAATTGGCGATTTGGGTGATTGAAACTACTCCACTTAGTTTCCGGCAACACGTGATGTCAAGTTTTCTGAGGTCTTTCAGTTTCATTACCAGAGATAAGAGACCTTCATCAGTTACGCTCACGCATTTGCTTAGGCTAACCTCTTTCAGGGAATTGCAATAATTGCCTATCGCCTTCAACCCATCACAAGTTACAGAACAACCATCCAACCTAATTGACTGTAATGTTGAAACCTTCTTTAAGCTACTTGCAAAATCCAATGATATCACCTATATCAGCAAACAAACCTCATATAAGGCATCAGTGACTCACGGCGGGTCTGTGCACTGCTACCGATCCTCCAGGCAAATAGTCTTTCCAGTTACTACTTTGGCTACTACTAGTCAGTTTTTGATACAGGGCATAACCAGAGAACAGAGCGAGCAAAGCAGGTTCTTGTGATAATGAGTAAAGGAACAACTTACAGAAGAACAATGTGCTAGATCAAGTCGCTGAAGACATCCGGCCCCGCTTAAAAGTGAGGTTAAACCTCTCTGACTTAAATTCTGGCAGCTCGATGCATCAAGCTTCTGCAGAGAAGACAGGATTTTGGTAAGTAAAATCTCAAATGTCTATTGGTTAAGATAAAGATTAGAACGATTAACAGTTAACAGATTTTCAATGATAAATACCTCTCCAAGTATTAAAAAAAAAAAAAATTGAATATAATCTGTTAAAGCCTTCTAAAAAATTCCATCTGATATCATATTACATACAAAAAATGATGTTGAAAGTGTCCACCAAACCTGATTACACATCCTTTCTCGAAAAATTAAGGTTTTCCCGAATTAAAGCAGCTAGCAGGAAGAACCGTAACAACATCTTTTCCAAGGCATATTCTGAGAATAGTACGACGATTTCTGTTCTACGAAATCAACTAAGAAAAGTATTGGCTTTTATATATGTCGATTCCAATACAAATATGGCATCATTTAGAAGAATCAAAGATGTTTCTTGGAGAAGAGGTTACCTTCAATGACTTGCAATCATGTCTGAGTGATCGAAGGCTGTCATCATCCACTCCGAAACACCCTTCTAGAAGAAGTTCTTCAAGGTGTTGAAGTCTCAGAATATCATGTAAACACTTGCCTGTGATCTGTAGGAACAAATGAATATTCAGAAAGCAAAAAACTTGTTGCTAACTTCAAATTGAAGAACAGTTTTAGAAATGACAAGAATCCCAAATTTAGAAACAGTGGTTGCAATTCAACTGAGTTACCATATGATTCATCGAGAAAAAAAAAAAAAAAAAAAAAAAAAAAGTAAAGATACCGGCAAGAAGGAGAGGTCTAAGGTCCGAATGTCCTTGCATTTGACGGCGAGCAAAGCAACGCCTAAATCTCCGACGCCTACACACCATTTGAGGCAGAGTAATTGGAGCTTCCTGCATCCAACGGCGATACATCCGATCCCCATGTCGGTGAGCAGCTTGCATCTGCCAAGCTTCAGCCTCTGGAGAGAAGTCGCCTCGGCGAGCACAGCCGCAGCGGCGTCACTCAAATCGGTGGAGTTGGAGAGGTCAATCTCCACAAGATTGACACATTTGACGGCCAATCTGAGAAGCCCGGCGGCGGAGAAGGAGGCTGAGCGAGAAAGGTCGAGGGAGCGGAGCCAAGGCCCGCAGAGACAGGCAAGGACGCTAAGCGCGTAGTCGGTGACGCGCGGGCAGGAGGTAAGATCGAGATCGGCGGTCTTCCGGTAGCGGGACAAGAGTCGAGGGAGATACTCCGGCCGGAGGGGTTTGAGGGATTTGCGGTGCTTGGCCTCTACTTGGTAGAACCATTTACAGGTAAGAGAGAAGGACTTGAGATCGGAAGGGTTCTCGGAGATGAGGTCCAGGATTATGAACACCAGCTCCTCCGAGAGGAGATCGAAAGGCTCTGAGATGTGAATCTCCTTCGCCTTCTTCATCTTCTTCATTTTATTTTCATGAAAATCAGAGTAGCAGTGGAGATGAAGAAGAATTATGAAAGCAGAGTAGGGAGAGAGATATGGAGAAGGAAATATTATAGAAAACCGTACGGTGAAGGACGGACGGAGAAAAGGCCCCCCCAAAAAAAAAAAAAAAAAAAAAAAAGTAAAAGAAGAAGAAGTCGCAATCAAGAAGTTAGGCCATTGGTTGGATAAATATATATATATGGTGGAGCGGAGTAAGCATGCGAGGAAGGACAGATTCAAGTGCGGACAGTACGAGCCTCTAGATCACAACACACTTTCACATTCTTAAAATATTCATATCCCTTTTTTTCTCCTTTTCATATTACTCATTCTATTATTCTCCCCACTGCGATTATATATTTCCAACAGAGCATCTAAAAATAGCATTTTCGTAAATATCTATTATCTATATGTACATACATTCACACAAATCAAAGATATATCATAAGGTACAGACAACCCCGACCAAGACAATATTCCGGGGATATATGTTCTTTTTCTTTTTATTATTGTCTCCAACTTTACAAACTAGTGATTGTCAATAAGCCAATGAAATATTCGACGTAATTTTAATTAATTTTGTTAGTTTTTAAAAAAAACTTATAAGTGCGCCTTTTTTATTTAGTCCTGACCTAATATTTGGCTATGTAAAAGTCAAATAAACTAATATTCCATGTACAAGTTGCCAAAAAAAAAAAAGAGAAAGATTGTATTTATGTATTATATGGACAAGAAGTGCGCAACAAAGACAAAAAACAGTAGTAAATGTAAGCTTGGAAATGTTATTTTCAGACTCCAAGGTGTGACCGTACTTATTATAACCAAACTATCTTAGGTAACGATCGAATTCTATTTCTAGTACTACTAGTTTATATATAAGGGGCAGGTGGATATATATATATATATATATACATATATTATTTTGTCATACTCGCATATACATCATTACATGTGTTTATACGTGTAATAATCAAATAAATTGACAGAGTAAGTTACTGCTACTTGCTGACATATCGCCAAGTCAGGCTCGAACATCAACTTTGTGGTTTTCTAACTTTTTTTTTAATTATTTTTTTTCTAAGTGGTGGGGGTGGGGTGAGAACTTCTAAAATACTTCTTGGCTTTGTCTTAAAAGAAAACATTTTTCAATACAATACATAGCAAATTTTGGAAGCAAGTAAAAATAACCACAAAAATTGTCAAACCCAAAAATAAATAAAGCGAAACAGAAATTGATATGAAATTACATTTATCTATCTGTCAACGTACATGATGCATTGAAACAGACGCATGTAAGAGGAAACCTGAGCTATCACTGCGAGTAGAACACATGCAATAACAAGTTGACCAGTGGCTGAGGAGAGACCATGTTCGGAGGGGGTCAATTTACTAGGTGAAATCTAAAATTTTTTTATATATACTTATATATTTATAAAAAATTAAATAAAAAATTAATAATTTATTTAAATAATTTCTGTAAAATTTGTTTATAATATATTATAAATTAAAACTGATCTTGTAATTTTCTTTAGCTCTGTCACTGATAATAACTAGAGACAGTCTGAAAACTGAGCAGAGGAGGTGGAACTATTAACCAAAAACCTACACAAATACATAAATATCTCTATGCAACAGCTCATATCTTTTAAAGTTTTTATTAATAAAGTAAACATTAAAGGTTTTCCACTTTTCCAGTTTTAACTTATTATGACAGGGCTGGAACGGAATCGGATATCCGGATTTGACGGATAATCAATTTTATTATCCGGATTCGAATATGAAAACTCCGGATATCCAGAGACCGAATATCCGGTTTGAACCGAAGATTTACGGATATCCGACCGGATATCCGGTTTCGTTGATTTAAAAAAAAACTTCAATTTTTAAAATTATAATGAAATAATATATATAATTAAAATGTATCATCATAGCAAAAATTACAAATACCAAAAATTTAAAAGCATTCAAATAGCATTCAAATAACACAAAGTTTAAAAGTTTACATAGCAAAAGAGAAAATAGTAATAGAGAAGTTAATTTATCTTTATATCCTTGTGTTATCTATTTTCATGTTCTTCTCTCACAATCTGAAATAGAAAATTATCATGCAATATAAATTTCAATCATGTGTAAAAGAGTTAGACCAAAAACAATTTTCAAACATAATTAAAACAAAAAAATTAAATGCATATCCAAAGATTTCAAAATTTTCAAAATCTTAATAAACGGATAACGGATATCCGATTTTAAAATTTTCTATTATCCGGATCCGTATTCGAAATAACCGAATACTTAATTTTACTATCAGGATCCGAATTACACGAATATCCAGTTTTTACGGATCGGATAGGACCGGATACCGGATCGGATAGCGGATACCGGATAATAATTCCAGCCAGTAGTAGATTTTAAAGCGGATATATATACGCCGGTGGCGCCGTGGCGGTGGGATTTGGACAACTCGAGAGTCGACTGCACCTACGTATTAGTATCAAATATTGATGAAATTATCAAAATTACACTTTTGCAAAACAACCTTAGTCAATCCAGCTTGGTCAGTAATTTGGTATATGCGCGCACGGTTCGAGAAAACAAGTCGTCATCGCCGGACACGTATCGACGAGTGAAGACGTTAGTGTGCACAAGTACAGAATGCACGAGGCTCGTGACCGGTTCAACCTTCGTACGGAATATTCCTCGGATCGTACCGTATCGTTTACCACTAATTGACATTGTACCTGAAGAAAAGCCAACTGTGTCTGAAATTGACTTTTTTTTTCTTTTTTTTTTCCAACTTAGCACAAAAATTTAGATCAAGAAGAATAATCATACAATACGCGGGACTCGACGACTCGTAACAATTTCTAGCGTCAAGTAGGATGGATGCTCCTTCACACTGTTCAGATTTTAAACAATTTTTTTTTTTGGTGGGAAGATTTTAAACAAATTAGAGATGTGTTACTTACCATTATAAAATAAAATAAAAAACAAATCAGAGAACTATAGAAGTTACTGCAAAACAATTTCTCTTATTTTAGATGCCATGATCTATTGCCGTAATGATCATGCTTGATACTTTTATGCAGATAATCGACAATGTCGAAGGTTGAATTGGACTTTTAATTAGTTGTATGTATTCAGTATCTGTTTACGCGACAAGATCACACATTTCTACAAAACATAAATATTTAATACACTTTTTTGTGTTTATCATAAAGGTAGACATTCTTATGCGTCTGCCGTTCAAAATTTCCACGTTATCAACTTCCCCGATTTCTTTTTTTTTTTTAATTGTTGATGTTATCTTTATTCACATATAGATTTCCCAGCAAACAAATCTAGACACTGAAACATAAACGGAGAATTTACAAAAAGGAGGGTAAAAAAATGTGTCGATGGAAAAAAAAAACAGAGAGACATGCATTACATGTGTGAAAGAGAGCAAAAGAAACATTAGGAGAAATAAAGAATACATTCTGACAAGAAGCTAAGAATTCTTCTATACAGATTACACAGAGTGTGTGTGTATGTGTGTACGATCAGTATGTGTGTCATTTATAGGTTACCTGGAGACTCATTCACTCCAGCTATCTGAATCGTGGTCGTCGTCGCTTCCCGCCATTGCCTATATATACATATATATATATATATATACACATTTCACATTAATCACTTTTTTTCCTCCCATATTATACATTTAACTGTCCAAACTAAACCAAGAAGGAGAGAGAGAGAAACCTGGCGCAGAGTGTTGGCTTTCTCAAGAATTGCAGCGACCTTCAAGTTGGTTATGGGAACAGCTACTTGAAAGTTTGGTCTCACCGACGCATCTGCTGGTCTCAGGTTGAACGACTGCTAATGCATCTTATTAGTTAGTGGTTTATACTCTACAGAATTTGAATGCTATCAAAAAAGGAAAAGATGGGTTGACCTTGCTCCGTATGATCTCCAGTAGTGAATCATTCTCGTCCACTCGAGCTCCAACTTGTGCTTTGTTCCGTTCAGATACCTTCCTCAACTGTAATCAAACAAAATCGAGTCAATTGATCAACGTGAGAGATAAAAAAGATGCCGCTAAACTAACCATAGATTTCTAGTCTAAGTATATGATGTTTAAGGTAATCACCATGCTTCTATCAATGCCAATAACAAGCGAGTCCTTGTCTCTTGGAAGCTTTCCAACTTTCTCATCCTGATGATATGAGTTACTGTCTCGTAAAGTTTGTGGAAATTCGATTTCTCCGGGTGGTTCTAGTTGATGATCACGCTGATGTTCCTCTTCTAACTTTGCAGGGCTAGGATCCGTATGCTCTCTTAAATTCTGACTAAACCATTCAAGCGCCATTGCTTCACTCCTCCAGTCCGCTTCTAAGCCTTCGCATGATTCTGCCTCCCGAGTAGTTTCAGCTGTGAGTAACGATACCGAAGCAAATGATTCCTCCGGTGTTTTATATAAACACTTTTCTGCTGTACTTTCATCATTATGCATATAGGTTTCGCTTGTTCCATTGACTGCTGGTGGAGACGGTTCCTCTGTTGCTTTAGATGGTTCATTCAGATTTGTTGGTGCAGAAGTTGACTCGCCTTCCACTGTAAAATTTTCTGTATAAACATGAAAACCGTGGTTTGTAACTGATGCTGCTGACGGATATTGTGCCTCGTCCGCTTGAACTAAGCCATTATGTTTGGTTTCATCCCCATGAATGTACGAACTGTTGTTTCCACTGCCTGCAACTAATGGCACTGGAGAGAACTGGGTTTCGGCTGTTTTGACAGACTCAACCAGCTTCCCAATCCACCATTGTGTCGGAGGAAGAGGCGGAAGCGGAGGGGTTATCTCCGGATCTGCCTGAGGTTTTTCATGGAGGGACGTGGAGAAGGGAACCATGGACACGTCCGAGCAATTTTCTTGATCAGTCAGATCCATGGAAATAACAACCTCAGAGATATGATCATTTAATGATGTGAAAGTTTCTTGGTGTGGTGCATGAAGAGATTCTATTTCAGTTACGCTTGCAGGGAAAAGCTTTTTGTTGGATGTTAATGCTTCCTCTGAAGGTGACCCCGGAACACCAAGAGGTACACCTTGTGGAGGAAGAGACTTGGCTGATGCTGTAATTGGATTTTCTGACCCGGTTTCGCATGGACTCTCTTGACCTTGGTCCTGTGTCTGTATGCAAGACTCAGGTGAAAAGCATTCTCGAGTGCCTAAAAGTCTCTCCTGTGGATCACGGTCTATTTCGGGCACTGTCTCACTGGCCTTATCATTCTGGCCAGTCTGGTTATCGTGATGGACATCATCGACAGAACAAGCACTATGTCCTTGAGTATCGGGAATTGGTACCTCAGGCTTAGTACTATCATCTGCAATGGTAGACATGGTTTGTGGATCCTCCATTCCAGAATCTGATGATATCTCAGCCAGATCAGGGTTGGCCAATGCGTCTTCCTGCCAGGATGAGGCTGAGAGGTGCCTGTTTCCTGCGTGAAGATCTCTTGGAAAATCTGACTTTAGAGTTCCATTTTCTGAACTGATTTCAAAAGTTGAAATGTGTCCAGACTGTTCAGTATTGATGGAAGATCCGTCTTGTGAGTTGGTTTCATCTTCTTTTGGGACAGCATTGTCATGTGCATCAGCAGGCAGAGATAAATCTTCAAAGTTGTCAAATGTGCTAATATGCTGGTTTGGAAGAAGAAAATCGGACTCTAATGCCGCAGATGTTTCTTTTAAACTGCTTTTGATATCTGGAATGGAATGACCAGCGTCAGAAGAATTGTCCTCGGGTTCCAGAGCTTCTATCTCTTGACTGGCTATGGAAGAAAACTGGTCTTCCACTAGAGCACTTAAAGATATCTCAGATTCAGTCTCCACACTGAATACATGTTCAGAATGATAATCTTCAACGTAATTTGTTAGAAGAACCTTAGTCCCACCCTCAGATGCGTCCAGTGGCACTTGCGTAACAACCTTTAACAGATACTCTGGATGAGCTCCAGGGGAATTATTAAGCATGGGATTTCTTCCGACATCACAAGCTTCAGATGATTTCAACCCAATCTCATCAGCATTTTCTTTAGTGGACTGAAGCTCCAAGGGACTTCCAGAATCCTCCAGAAGATTTGGAGGACTCTCATAACAAGAAAAACTGAAAGGTGATTGTTCGAGCTCTAGAGTCCCCAGGCCTGCAGAATCTATTTCCGGTGTCATCTGGGAAAATGATACGTCTACTTTCACACCAGACCCTTCAGCTTCATGTGGTTTACTTTCAGGAGAAGATCTCTGGATATCAGTGCACAAAAGACTAGTTTCTCCTTCATCCGATGAGTGGTGCAAAACATTAGAAAACTGACCCAGAACCTCTGTCTGAATCACATCTGCAATAGTACAGATCTGTGTCTGTCCAAATCCCGGAAATCCACGGGTACTGCCAGCCTTGTGCTCACTGTCTGACTCCGTGGAAACAGGTGCATCTGTGTCATTGTTCGTCTTACAACACAAATCCACAGAAGAGCTTCGTTCTACGCAAATCGCTGGTCCTCCCTCTATACTGGGTAAAGACTTGTCATTAACCGTAATTTCCTGAGGAACATAAGGTTTTTCGAGTCTTTCATCATCGCCAATGGATTCCATCTCCCTCTCATTGTATTTTGTAGTGTATCCACTGTTTGGATAAACCAGGGAAGGTATTGGTAAGTCTTCTCGTACCCTGCATACTGTAACTTCAGTTTCCATAGCCGGAGATGACTGATCCCAGTTTCCATGAACTCTTTCACAGTATGGCGAAGAATTCTTGAGGAATTTCTCCATGTAACCTGTCCCAGAGCTTGAGTTAATTATAGGTCCATTCAGCTGTCTTCTCTTCAGTTTGACATGGAATTCAGGATTTCTGTGTCCGTTCTCAACATGCTCCAGTAAGAAGAGCTGATGCAACCTGTAATATCCAAAATGTAGATCGTGTCACCAAATAAAATTACCGGTCAGATACAGATGTAAATATAGAGCATGAGTGCGTACTTGGCATGTGATGCTTGTGAATCCCTAGGTCTCTCTCCACCAGTTGTGTGTGATCCTTTCTTCTGTCGATGAAAAATATTTGATGATTTGTAAAACGTAATACCCAAAATGTGCATTTTAGATGCTTGTTAGAGTGGGGTAAAGTAAAACCAGGAAAAGAAATGTACTGCATGAATACCTTTGGTTTACGTCGTCTCTCATCTTTCGTGAGTTTTGATGTCGCTTCCACTGCAGATGCAGTAAGCTTCTTCAAGAAAGATGGGTCAGAGTAACGCTTCAAGCATGATCCAGACCCAACAACATCAAACCTTGAAAACAGCAGAGAAAATGATATTAAAAAAAAAAAAAAATTGTAAGCTAAGTTTCATTAGGAAGAAATTTTCTGAAAAAAAATTCCGTGAAATTACTAGAATTAGAATGTACTTGTCAAGAAGGAAGAGATGCGGCGGACCACGGCATTCCTCATATGAATCCATAAGAAAATGAGGCAAGTTGCGAGGGGAAATCAGATTTTCTTCTGGTTGCAGATTAGAATGCCATTCCAAGCCTGAAATAAAGCAGGACATATCCAATTAAGTGCCTGGGGAATAGACAATCGAAGAGCGTATAGCTCTCAATAGTAAAAAAGCTAGAGCAAGATGACTCGCCTGGCTCATAAAAGAATGTTGAATGGTCCGTTTGAGACAGGAGAGGTATCTCAGTTGAAGGAAACTCTGCTTCGAGCTGTTGGAGACGCATGGCCAAACCATGCCCTCGTGACGCAGTTCTCATTAGTTCTTCGTGCAGGCAATGGAATACCTCAGCAGCAAACCTTATTAGTATGAAGAAGGGAATATAGTCAAGTCTTTTCTGTTCATTTCCAAAATTTAAACCCATTGGTTTCAGAAATTCAGGAATACAATCTCATATCAGGTTTGATTCCACAAAGGAATTCCAGTCACTGAATCGAAATGGGAGCACCATTAACGAACATAGAAAAGCAAAAAAAAAAACCTAGAGACATCTGTTCACTGACTTTTAAAGAAAAAACGACAAGACCCTAATCCGGCGGAGATCCAAATTCTCTCCACATTTAGAGTCCATGGAGCACCGAAATTCAATTCAACGAAATTGGACCACATTTCAGACGCAAGGAGGGAGAGAGACTTACTCAGCGAGGTCGCCAAGCTGGCGCAAAACGCCGACGAGTCCAGCCATTGAAGCACCTTCGAGCAAAGCTTCAGGATCCTCCTTATTGGCGGCTTGGTATAGCTCCTTATCCGCCAAGCCGTACTCGTTCCGTATCTGGTATCTCGTCAGCGTCATTATGCTTCTAAGCTCCGCAATCGATTAGTAGTGAGTGTAAAATAAACCCTAGAAATTTCTTATGGAGTGTTTAGAATCTATCGGATTCCTCTATCCTTTGACTTGGTTTCCGCCATTAAAAGAGAGCATCGGAAACTCCAGGACGAACCGCCAAACGCGTCCTCGGAGAAGAAAGAGAAGAACCCGTTTTCTTTATTTATTTTATTAAATGTTGTTTGGTAACGAGAGCGATATATATATAACGGTCCGTGATTTTTACTGTGTGGATATTGCCGCATGTGATCACAACCACGGGTTAAAAGACAAAGTATGTACACTATTTTATTCAACCGGTGAACATGAGTTAGTTAAAACCGTTGATTAGTTTACACGAGCCTAATCACCGGTTCAAGCGACCAATGATGCCTAGTAAGTTACTGAACCAACCCACCTATTCTAATTTCATGTATCTTTATCTATACAACTTTTTTTTTTAAAAAAAAAAGCTTCTATTGATAACATATCGTAATTAACTAAAACTTGAGAGGAAGTGAGTTTGATCCCAATTATTCTTCTTGAATCCGTTGATTTATTGTATTTCTTTTCAAGGGTTTTTTTCTTTGTAAAAATTATGTTTTTGAGTTTTGTAACAAATTTACATGTTCCAAATGATTTATAATTCATTCGCCGTTCTATTCTGATGAACATTTCGTTCATTTCTAGTTTTACGAATTACGATTCAAAAGAAACGTGTAGAAAAATATTTTTTGTGTGTGTTTTCAATAGTGGCTTAATTATCTCTATAAATAATATAACGCTGGGTTCTAACTTCAGAGATACTTCCTCTTATGTGGTATTTTGGTAAGTACAAGTAATATCTCAATTCCTGCTTAAAGAGCCACAAACGTTGCTTAGAATCATAAGATATATAAAATCGCCATCTATTATAATTATTGCAATGCAATTATATACTATATTGTACGAATTATTGTCTTCAAGTGGCTGTGGTTAGATCAGTTAGTGTATTGAACCTGCTTTTGATGGTTACAGCAACCTTCACCTAAGTTTTTTTATTATACCCTTTTTGCTTTCATTATTAACAGTGATCAAATAGTGGGAACTATTTTAATCTACTTAATTAGGACTGCGGCAATTAAGATCGAATGGCCAAACTTCCCAACATTCATAAACAAATTGTTCTAATGGTTAAGTAGGACGTCTTGATAGGAGAAATTTTTAAAAAGTAAAAATCCAAATGACTTAATAAAACAGTAATATGATTCTAGTTTCAACAGAATATATATATATATATATATATTAAAATGAAAAGAGCTTTTGTTTTCGTCAAAAAAAAAAACTACATATAGCTTTTAAAAAGTATATATTTTAATTGTTTGATACTGTAGGTGAAAGGCATCACGAAAGGCTTCCAAGGAAAGATTATATGATTACTACATTTAACTTAGAGAGAGAGAGAGAGAGAGAGAGAGAGAGAGAGAGAGAGAGAGAGAGAGAGAGAGAGAGAGAGAGAGAGAGAGAGAGAGAGAGAGAGAGAGAGTAGAGTAGAAGAAAGTATGGTTTGGTAGAACAAACCTACAAAGTTATCCCTAAGGAGAATAGTTCGCGCATTTGTCGTTAGAAATTCAAACGTGACGTGGCAAGTTCTAAATGGCTGCGCCTGACTGACTTAATTTTAAGTCCACTAGAAGAGAACCAAACTGTTGTAGCTCAATCTTGGCCCATCACGTGATACAATTCCACCGGAAGGAATAGAGAAATTAGGAGAAAAACGCAGCGTATTAAGTGGACCAAAGTAGGGAGGCAGAATTTCAACAATTTTCATATATTTCAGCGAAAAGATTTCATGCACGGGACGGGACGGAAGGCCACAACCTCACAAGCAAGCTAGTTAAGAGGACTTCCAAATCCTATTGCGCGGGTTGACTTCTTTAGATTCATTACAGGAGTTTATATTGGAGCTAGGGTAACTAATATGAATAACATTTTCTAATAATTTTTAGAAAATATATTACTAGAAAAATCTAGATATTTTGATTCTTTAGGGATTTCTATACATTTAAATTCACCGTTTTATATGTATTGTTATCGATCAGTAACATGAGATCATTGGTACAAGAGAGAGAAAGGAGGGTGAGCAAGTCGACCCCAAAAGGCAGACCAGGATCCAATCAAAACCTGACAAATTCGACTAGGTATAGTTAACTAGAAAGTCGTAATTAAGTTTCAATTATACATGGATCTGCCTTGTATATATCATTTTATTTGACCCTTCATAACTTTGCTACATGCAATGTTCCTGTGGTCCAACACACATTACTTCCCTCCTTATTCTTCTTTTTCATTGGTATAATAAGAGAGTATGAGTTGATCCAGTCCAATGGCTATCGATCGAAGTACATTGATTGCTAACTTGTCCACCGTAGAAAATTCATTACAATAAGAACCTTGGATGTAACTTGAACTTCACATTTCATAAAATTTGTAAACCACTCCCAAAAACTGGTGCGTAGTAGACTAGTAGTTATGAGTGTGAACAAGTTAATAGTTGAAGCTATAGAATTTTAGCTAAATTTTATACTATAACTCAATTATTTACTATATCAACAAATATTTTGGTTATCATAATTTCCAGGCTTGGATGGTCTAATTGGCATCCCTACGGCAGCATCTAGTTGGACATTAAAGCCGTTTTTCTAAGGGGAAAAAACAAACCTGGTTTATCTTAACCGAGTTGGTTTTGAAAGATTAAACCAGAACTCGTGGCTTGGCTTCAACAAAGTAATGCGAGAAACTGATGGGGCATAGAAACGTGAAAACGCCATATCTATTTGGGGTCAGAATCAGAATAGTTACAAATCAATTATTTTAGGTTGTAAGAGAATGTCCAAATCCCGACAGTTTGCACGAGGGGTTTAGTTGGATCCAACTTGGCCTCTTTATTGCTCATTTAATGATACGTGGACTACACATTTCCTCCATTGTAAACAGTTTGAAAATTATTACTAATATACTATCATTAATCCTCTCATAATGATAATATAAGCTTCAGTCCTCTTGCAAATTTCTTTATTAAAAATATAGTAAAGGTGGTTTACCCTTGAAAATGTGACTCTTCAGTTTTCACAATCAAAACACACAAGGCAAAAACAGACACTACTAAATAAATTTTTATAAATAATGAAAAAAATCTTATTCCAACACCAAAAGGTTGTATCACTAAACCGACTAAAACTTTGTTCATTCAATTTCTATTGGCTGGCTCACTCACAACAACAATTGGACGAATCTAGTGGGAAGATTGGGATATATTCCGATTGTTCACTAGAAAAGAAAAGAAAAAAAAAAGGTTGAAGTGAATCCATCTAGTTCAGGTTCTAATTACCAAATCTAGGAACTAACTTAAGCATACTTCGTCGCTAACTTACTCGGATCATCATCAGGGGAACGACAGAAGAGCTTTCCAAACGAGTATTAAGCATTAAGCATATCGAGTATATATGTTAACTAGCGAAATGTAATAAAATGGAACAATTATATAGTATCATGGTAAGTCCCGTAAACAAACACCACGAGACCAAATACTGTCAATTCAAATTTTGTTTTTGTTGGTATGAAAAGTTCAATTTTTATTTGCAGAAAATGCAAAAGGAACACTTTAGAAGCACAATCAGAAGGTGCACATACTGTAAGATTGCTTCAGTCAAAACCTAAACCTACAAACAAAACCAAACCAAACAATATCTGATGTAACTTTAGATTAGTCAGAATACGACGTACGTTATTGCGATTATCACCGACACGAAAAAAGAAAAAAAAAAAAATAATGCAAGATGAAGAAACAATTGTCATAAATAGCCTTAAACAAGGCGACGATTGGAAAAAGAAGCGCATCAAATGACCCCTTGGACCAATGACTTATGTTGACTATAAAAGCGACTGAAAACTAGACATAAATCAACCTATAACAAATACATAAAAAAAGAGAGAACCTTTCTTTCTCTTCAACACCAACCCTGTTCAAAGTTCCGAGCAAAATGGAAGCACACAGAGGAGAGCTTTTGAAAACAGAAACCCCGGAAATGAAAAACAGGGGAGCCATAGAGTTACTCTACAGAGCGTTGCAGCAAGGGGACACATCGACGGTGGCCAAACTGGTGGCCAGTGATGTAGAATGGTGGTTCCATGGACCGCACCATTGTCAACACATGATGAGGCTGCTAACAGGGGAACAACCGAGCCAGGTTTCCTTCAGGTTTGAGCCAAGCAACGTACAAGTCGTAGTGCCCGGTCATGGCTGCGTGATTGCAGAAGGATGGGAGGGTTCACACGTGTACTGGGTTCACGTGTGGAAGTTGAAAGACGGAGTGGTCACTGAGCTAAGGGAATATTTCAACACATGGCTCACTGTTACGGATTGCAGTCTTGGCGCAATAGGATGGGACATGGGGCGTTGCACGGTTTGGGAGAGCGTACCAAGGGACCTGGCTCGCGGTTCGTTACCTAGCTTGCTGCTAGCTATTTAACCATACAGACCAAAGACTAAACTGACACACTTATAATTTTGTGTCTGTCTGGTAATTTCTTTGCTTTTATGGAAAATTCAAAGGTGCTTGTAACTTGTAAATAGTTGCTTATACATATGAAGCTATTTGGTGGGAAAAGAAAAAGGTGGTTCTTGTCTTTGTTATTATAAAGAGTGGTACTGAACTTGTATGAGAGAACACTGCATGCTCTGCTAATTGCCTGAGCAAATTTAGATATATGTAGTTAGGAAAGTGAAATATGGCACAATATAGTGAAAATTCTAAAGCATAGTTTCAAAGACCAGCTGGCTGGTGGAGTCAGGAGAGATCAAAACAGTTTGAGGAGTTTTTCAAGGCACAACTGCAGAACTGAATGACGACTATTATTTACAAATAGCTTTCTACTATATACTAGTATGAAACTATGTTCGTCAAAGACTCAAGATCCAAGTGAACAATTCTACGTACTTAGGTTTTGGTAACTAGTTTCCAGAAGGCTTCTATAATCTCGAGCTCACCTCTACGGCTTGAAATAAAAAAATAATGAAATGCAGGAACGAATATCCAAAAAATACAGTAGAAAATCTCAAATTTCCACTGTTCCACACAAGAATGTATTGAGATAAACCTGTGCAGAAGAAATTTCCGAATAGAGGCCTTCTTTTGGAGGCTTTGTTTGAGCCCAATAATAATAGGGTTCACTTACACATCGCTCTTCCATCGATGATTGTTGGGTTTCTCTATCAGCATTCAACCCCAATTCATTTTTATCCCACGATTTCAAACAAAAATTAGGTCAATTTTTATATGTGAAATGTAGATTCGGTTTTTCATGTGGTAAATCAAAATGTATATCTTCCTCTTTTTTTTTTTTTTTTCTAAACCAAAAATTGTCAGAATCAAGGTTCAGAAAGTTACTCAGACTGAAAAACAGAACAGCTTTAATTTAGTTCATTCTCCGTCTTTTGTGTTTGAATTCAAAACATTAACAATTATTTTAAATTCACTCAATATCATCTAAATACAAAGTAATAAACTTATACTAATACATGTATTTAATCCTCTACATATATACTAGATTGCATGGAAATGAAAATAGATATGCGAAATAAAACTTGAAACAATTTTAAAAAAATATATAACTATCAAATGTTTAGATAAAAATATTTTTTAGCTAAAGGTGTGTGAATAAAATTATGTTTTGAGACTTTAAGAAACTAAATCTATTAAAAGTAGAATTTTTAAATTATATAAATATCAGAAAAAAAACTAAAGATAAAAAATCATAAACACTTAAATTTCAAACTTTAAAATATTTTTTGTTTTATTCTCAGTTTCATAATTAAAACTACCTTCAACTCTGGTTAGTCAAGTGAAGGAACTTCAAACTCAAATATTCCAAGATAATCTCATCTAATGCTACAAACTAATTATTTATTCACTCTAATAAAATTAGTTTGTCATTTAATTTCATCATACACCTATTAACTATAGTTGTTATGTTTATTAAAACAAAAATAATCTGTTGAGTTTCTAAAATAAAAGCAAACATTTCCATCATATTTTCAAGTTGAGATTTTTAAGAAACATGTTTCTAACGCGTTTCCAACATATTAACCTTTCCAAAACAATTTAACAAAAAAATTCCAAAACGTTTTAACAAAAAAAAAACAGACATCAAACAGATATTTTATACTCCATCCGTTTCATAATAAGTGTCGTTTTAGATTTCATTTTTTATTTCAAAAAGAGTATCATTCTAAATTTTCAATATAACTTTTTACTCTTATTTCCTGTTTTATCCCTCATTTAAAGATAATAATCTTTGTAATTAAATATTATAAAAGTATATTAATTAGGAGTATATTTGTATATTTTATTAATTTCTTAATCTGTGTGAAATGTGTCAGAATAACATTTATTATGAAACGGAAGGAGTATAACTTATATGTATATATATATGTATAGATATTAGATGGATTAGTATGAGTAGAAGAGAACAGCTCAGGCTGACTAAATATAGGATATACTACTGGAACTTAATATGGATTAGGGGGGCGCATTTGGAGGCTAATTAAGCGTGACAATTATTAAATACAAAAGGTCTTGATTTGCGTCACAACAGCAAGTTCGCACATCTGTGTTAGTGGCAGATTAAGTGTGATACATGTCTGCCACCTACATTCTCAACAGTTTAAAATTAGGGTCATCTAATCAAATATTTAGTCTATGCTTCAAATATAATCCACTGATAAAAAAATAGTACATTTTATAGGTTACTTTCGTTTATGTTTTAGTCGACTAGATGAGATATTTAATTAATTAGAAGAATTAATTTGTGGCTCCGTTTTAATTTGCTGGGATCAAATATACGAGTTTTCAAAATTTTAAATTAGTTTTCTAGCAAAAACAATTGAAAAAACTATAAGATATCTTGAAATAATTGAACCGACAGTTAAAGAGTTATGTGCTAAGTTGGTGTGATGTCCATTAAACCTGTCTGTATGTCAACCAATATTTTTCGCTATTTGAATTTGAATGCCAATTACAAGTATGTTACAGCAGATTTAATCGCAACATATGCGTTCGTAATTAAACGATAAAATGCAACGTAATATTTCGTACCAGGAAACGAAAAAGTTGGCTACTAAATACTAATGTTCTATCGTTACAAATTATCAGTTTTGGCTCAGAAAGTTTCGATGGAATATTTTATCCATTTTTGTTGTAAAAACATTTTTTTTGTAGCGTTTATAATCAAACTAGTGATATGTTACTTTACTATTTGTGTTTCTAATCCCTCCAGTTTCAAAAGAAAGATTTTATTTTCATAAAAATACATTTTATTTTGCTCTTGTATGTACTTTTCGTTAGTAAATAACCATGAATTATAAATTTCAAAAATATTGAATGAAAATAATTGAATTTAATAAATTTCTCTTGGTTTAGAATTATGAAAAATATGTATTTATTATTAAGCAATAATTTTTCTCGTAATATGTGTGAAGTTCTTCAAAATTCATTATTTAATTTAGAACGGAGGAAGTAAGAGTTATATATGAAGGTGTATAAACTATTATTATACCTTTTTAACCTGAACATATTATTATACTCTAATATAAATGTTAGTGATTTAAAATTTAGTATTGTCGACACAAGTTTGATGATTAAATGTGCTGCGTTGTGTATCTCATGATAAACGGAAGCTCGAATAGAGAAATAATAGAAATTTTTCTAAATCAAATTGATACAAAAGTATTTGATTGGTACTTATACTACTAATGAAAGTGTCAAATATACAAAATGTTGGGTAAGAATGATTATTAATGGAAAATATTACACAGAAAAGTCTACCACTTTAGCCTAATTTCCCTAAAATATTAGATCAAACAACCATGCTAAAGTTATTTGAGAGGCTTCATAATATGTGATTTGCAATCTATAATGGTGCTTGGTAGCCTTGGTTCATGAAAATGAAAAATAAAGTATATATACTTATGCTTATGCCCCAAAGTTCTTTTATGCATAATGACTAATCAGTTGTTCTAATATTTTTCCTGAATGTGAATTGGTTGATTAAATTGTTGCGAGATAATAACCAAGTTTAGTTTGTTAGGATGGGAATGTGAAGTCGATTTTACTTTATCAATATAAATAATGAAATGGATGTATGTAAATTTGAAAGTGTTTGTTGTCTTTTGCATTAAAAACTTTTTGGCGCGACTTCGGTTATGGAATTATTCTATTTCCAGTCACATATTATATCCTTCCCACTCACATCTCCATCACTCTTCTCTTTTACAGTGGAATGCCACGTGTCATTCCTTAATTCAAATAGAATATTCCCTTACAATTAGCAGTAGCATTACCAGAAAAGATCTTTGTTACCGACGACAATTTTCGAGTAACGTTATTGTAAAAAAAATGCGAGAAAATTTCACCGACAAATTAATGGAGGTAATTTCCGATGACACTAGCTTCTCGATAAAACATCGGAAAGCTCATCAAAATATTTGTCAGAAATTACTGAAGGTTAAGGTTCTAGGGATAAATTCGTCAGATCTATAATCAGGTCCATGCAACGCAACAAAAAATTGAAAATGGAGTTTGTTGAATTGTGTGCTCATAGGCTGTTAAAGATTTCACATGATCTCTTGAAGGGGACTTGTAATTCAGTCACTACTACATCCCATCCGTGTTGTCTTTTTCTTTTTACATTTTTTTCTTCTAATCTTCTAGCTCGAGAAAACGAAAAAGTGTATAAGAAAAATTAAAGTGTGAATCAATCCTCATATAAACTCATACATAATTAGCTGATTTGGACATCATGACAAACAAAGAATTTTCCTTAATTCTTTAGCCTACCAGGTTTGACGAATTAATTAACATGCAATCAATTATGATAAAATATTTACAATTATCCGAAACAAAGCATTGTGATCATTGATAATTATCGATAGCTAATTATCTATATATACTTACGGACCGCCCTATTTTTTTTTTTTTGAACATTTAGAAATTTAGATATTGCCAGCAAAAAAGGGGTTAAAGATTTTGAGGATTCGACCCAAAAAAAAAAGAGAATAGACATGATCGAGATGTTAACGGTTATTCTCAAAGTAGAGTGTTACATAATTTGTTAAGCTTAATTATACGGACATTCTCCTCAGTTTGATTTTACCATTTATAATTTCTGTTTTGGTTCTGGACTTCTGGTTTGGTTGAACATGAAAGAATTGGCTTACATCGGTTGAGCAAAAAAGCACGTACGTGCAACGGTGCAAGTGATTACGACTATTGAATTAATTTTGAATGGTTAACAGACTGTACAGAACCAACTTTTTTTTATCTAATCTGAATAATAGAAAAAATTATGTTAACATTTTTTTTCGAGTAAGCAAAACAATTTTCTGAAACAAATATTTAAAACATTTTTTTCGGGGTTAAGTATTTGGAACATTTTTTTCGATAAAGTATTTGGAACATTTATACATCAATTTTCAGTAAAAAAAAAAGTTGACCTGACTTGTGCAAGACTGCAAGTCATGAATGGCGATCTTCAAAGTCCTATATTAAAGAGAAAACATTGGTTGCACAGAAAAGAAAAAGAGAAAACATTGAAACTTAGGGGTAAACACTAGGAAAAGAGGGAAGAAAAAAGGTACAAGAAAAACTGTTTGAAGACAAGAGAAGCATCTCAATGATTTTTCACGAGATAGGACCTAGAACTTAGAAGTGGACTTTGATTACGACTTTTATTAGGGGTGGGCAATTTTGAGTCCCACACTGTCGTTTATCATTCCTAACCAATAATCACCATTTGTTTTTCTACCCTGTCATGGTAGAAAACTAGATATTAGAACCGAGTTATATAGTTAAAACATTTTCATCGACTTACCAAAATTACTTAACAAAAACATTCACCACTGTTGTTGCCAAAAAAAGCAAAATGGTATAACCATTAAGAAATATGTACAGTATATATATTTATATATATGTACCCTTGAATAGACCATTCATTAATTTCAGCATCTAACACCGAGAAGCTTCTATATCAATTTTGAAGTTGATCTCTTGTTCCATATAGTTTCTATGGCTACATCCTAAGTCACTACTAGTCCAAAATCGAGGCATCAATTTGATGAATTGGAATTCAAGAGGCATCCTAAGCTACCAACAAATATTTAATATGGTCCCAACGTAATGTTATACAGTTAGAATCGAATTAAATGTATTCAACAAACAACGGTAGCTGAGGGTATACAACCCAAAAAAACTAGTTTCGATCGATGAAAACAAATTTTCTGACAAATTATTACTGTTTTGCAAGAAGAAAAAAATAGCAAACTTGATTCAAAATACATTCCTCGTTTGTTACCGAAAAACTTGCTTTCACCATATTGATAGTTATACATTATCATATCTGTCATATATATACAAAAGAAAATCGACGCAAAAGTTGTTTGGATAAAAATATATTGATCAAAAAACAATTACTTGTTTTGAAATATATCTAATGAAATTGATTTGCACAAAAGAGAGAAGAAAAAGAGGCAATGAAATTGATTAAAAAACAATTACTTGTTTTGAAATGTATACCAAACAAATTAGAATACTGTATAAAGTTATAAACGTTGAGTTTGCAAAAGAAAAAAGTGATTAGTTAGATAATTTAGATAGAGGAAAAGAGAATGGATTTGATGTAAGTAATAATTACGACAGCATGATTTTCTCAAGTCCTACCTTAATGTCGAAAAGAAAAGTCATCGAGCTGTCGGATGGTACTCTTTAATGATCTCACCAGAAATATTTCTCTCTATATAGGGAAAAATTAAAATCTCCTACCTAATTCCGAGTTTTTACCTCACCTTTTTATTGAACAAGTAGCTACGATTAGTTCAAAACATGTATTTATCCAAAGAAACCTCGTATAGTAATTGATGTGTTTACATAAAATAAATATACCGAGGTGCAACCTAAATGGAACATACAGATGCGGTCTTGTGGTCCTCAAAAACATTAATATAAAAAAATGTGTATATGAATGTGTACATATGCGCACACACATACACTTACTTTCTTTTCGGGGTTTTGGTTCGCATGTTCATGGGTCAGCATGCTGTCTCCATTATCTTTTTGATGTGTGTTTTAGGTTTTTTTTTTGGTAAATGTGTTCTTAGGTTTTATCGTGAGCAATTCAAATAAATGGTGTTATCTGTTAATTAGAATCACGACAAACGTAAATGGTGAATCATCAATTTTGGAATCACGTTTAAAAAGATCAAACCTACAAGATTTGCAATATAGTTAAATAGTTAAATAGAGATCTTCTTAACCAAAAAAAATAAAGAGAGATCTAGTGTCATGTAGGTCGTATGTAAAACAATACTAATGTCATGTATAGATTAGCTTACATGAAACAAAAGTAATTTTACACACAAATCATTCCCTTAATTAAATAGATTATTAATGATGGGTAATTAAAATAAATTAATATTTTCATTTGCTATAAATGAGAATTAGTACATCTAGTTGACTCTACCTGTCACCGAAACCCCTTCTCTCTCTCTCTCTCTCTCTCTCTCTCTCTCTCTCTCTCTCTCTCTCTCTCTCTCTCTCTCTCTCTCTCTCTCTCTCTCTCTCTCTCTCTCTCTCTCTCTCTCTCTCATCTCCTCTTTAAGTGGTCGAGGGATAGGAGTGAATGACGAAGAAGGTGTGTGCTGAGCAAGATGGAGAAGCAGGGCACGTGCATTACTAGCTCATCTCTTTGCATATATACACATGCACTCTCCCTAAATGCATGTATGATTTAGATGTGTGTGGAGTGTGATGGTAATTGAGTTAGTTCTTCATGTGCCCATCTTCCCCATCATGACCACTTCACCTTGATGATGATGATCGATCCCAGTGTTAGTCATACGCTGAAACGCATGTGGTAATATGTTTATATTCATAAACGCATACGTGTGTGTGTGTGTGTATTTGTGTACGTGAAGTGTATTTAGAAGAAGCAGATACCCCGTAACAGAAACCTATTACTATTTGTTCGTACGCGAGGGAAGCTTTCTATTGGAAATATTTTCAGGTATACTACATAACATTGTTTTTCATTAACCAATCATTTATTCATTTGATTAATTACTGTCATATCATATCAAGAATAAAAGGAATAACTACTAAAATTTAGCCCAGTTCGCTTTTTTTTCTTCGTTCTAGTGTATATTATTGATAACTTTTTTGTAAACTTTTTTCATATTTAAGATAATATTTTTCAATATATTTGTTAACTATCTGTAATTGCTCGCTGCCTCAAATGTTTGTGTAAACACATATTTGATTTAAGATTCGGCATAAAACGGTACAAAAAAAGTTTGATCACTGCAGATAAACACTGAAATAAGTAGTAACTGTAAATGCCTTCAAAAATTGCATTTACACGTAGTAAGAAAATCCCCACTTAAATGCATAGAATAATACCAGTGTACAAGGGCGATTTTCACATAACAATTTAATGTGTCGGCGAGGAAATTATTATAAACAATTAATGTATAGTTGTGGAGTATTACAGAGTAAAGATGAGTAGTTTAATTGATTTTAGTGGAGTGGAGCATGCGTAAGTTTTTTAGATTAAAAACTGGTTGGTTTGATTACCCTGTTTGCTCGTTTAAGTAACGCACGCGTTTTAATACTTATTTTTTTGTTAAAGCGTTTTTGTATAGATTAATACAATTGAACTATATATATAACAATAATGATGTTAATGATAGATTTTTTATTTGAAAAAAAAAATGACTTAAAAGACATTACACATACTCTGTTGCTAGCAATTAGCAGGCAAATTTGCTAGCTAAAAACAAAAATTAGCAGGTAAATCCTTGTTAAAAAAAAAGAGAGAGCAACTTAGCATGGCAAATTTTTTTATCTATTGGGCCAATAGATCTGCGTAGGGCTTCAACATATTAAATATCCAGTAGACTTGACTTGAACGGTATTGGGCCTTAACTCATGTGAATATATAGTACACGAGGGTATTTCAGTTCGACAAAGAGCTATAGAGCAGTCAGCAGTATATTTGTCATTTGATACGTAAAAAGGTTAAAAAAATATTATTTAAAAAACTAATGGAAGGAATATTGGTTGGTTGAAAATTTGAATTTGGAATTGGGGACGACTATTATCGTTCGATTTTTTTTTTGGGACCAAATTCATGCTTATATTTATAATTTTTTTGTGTAATTTGGTTTTCTTACAATAGTAATAAACCGGATATGTGACCCGAATTTTTTCAATCAACTAGGAATCGCAGATCATTATATGAAAGATTGAAGATTAATTGGTGGACCAAAACCAAAGCTGTATAAGGCGACACATATATTCGATTCGAAACATGTTCGCTGAATAATCTGTTTCCGTGTTAAGGTGTTACATAACGTGTATTCATTTTTGAAATTAGAGGAACAAATTTATGCCGAAATTTTATTTTATACGAACACGTTCACATTATTCATTTACTTGGTAGATAAGAAAAAAAAAGTAAGTCGAACATTAGATAAAAGGTGTTCAAATTTCATTCTTTTTTGAAAATAAATCATTATCTTCGAGTATTTCTTTTGCTAAATAGATATAATGAGATGCGCGTAGACTTTTCTTCGCAAGAAAAAGATCAAAGTCAACATATTCGATCCAGATATTAAATTTTGTAAAACATTATAAAAACCCCTTGGGAGTCTGACTGGGTATTTATTATCTTCTCGGCATAACCAGACGAAAACAAAATTCACGAAATAGAGAGAGTAAAAGAAGAAAAAAATAGAGAGGATACCTTTTAATTTTATAAGGGGAAGAAGGAAGAAAATGGAGCAGCCTTATGCGTACGCTTACCCAACAGGGATGGGACCTTCGGCTCCACAAGGCGGAGGCGTCGCCGGAGTGATAGTGGATCAGCGGTTTTGCGCACCGTACCCGGTGGATCTGGCGATCGTGCGGAAGATGATGAAGTTAACGGAGGGGAACTTCGTGATAACGGACGTTAACGGAAACCTGTTGTTCAAGGTGAAGGAGCCGGTGTTTGGTCTTCACGACAAGAGGATCTTATTGGATGCTTCTGGATCTCCGGTCTTGACTTTGAGAGAGAAGGTCCTTCTCAACTTTTTAATTTAATTAACTAATTAGAGAAGAAGTTGCAGTAATTGGGGCTTAAATTAATTATTGGTTAAATGATTGATAAATTTTAGAGTATGAATTAATTTAATGAATTAAGAAATTGCAGATGGTGAGCATGCATGACAGGTGGCAAGTGTATAGAGGAGGGAGTACGGAGCAGAGAGATCTGCTGTACACGGTGAAGAGATCGTCGATGCTTCAGTTAAAGACGAAACTTGATGTGTTTTTGAGTCACAATAAGGAAGAGAAGCGATGCGATTTCCGAGTCAAAGGCAGTTGGCTCGAGCGTTCTTGTGTTGTCTACGCCGGCGATTCTGACGCCGCCATTGTTGCCCAAGTACATAGTACATTCTTAAGTCTTGTCTCTTTTTTTTTTTGAAGGGTGTCCCAAAATTGAAATGTTAATGTGTTTGTCCTCGTATGTTGTTGGTGTTGTTGGGTAACAAAACAACAGATGCACAAGAAGCACACGGTGCAGAGCGTTTTCTTGGGAAAGGACAATTTCTCAGTGACTGTTTATCCCAACGTCGACTATGCCTTTATTGCCTCTCTTGTCGTCATCCTCGACGATGTTAACCGAGAAGACCGCAACGCCGGCGGCAGCTGATCCCATTCCCACCTGTGAGCTCCCTCCTCACCTGACTCCTGCAATGCAATGCAATGCTCTCCTTCCTTTATTGAGTTTCTTTCTTTTTTTTTTTTTTACCTGTAAAAGTACTCTAATTAATGTTGATACGTTATTACGTTGCAGTTTGGAATGTGGCCTTGTTTCTTAAACTTTGTGTGTGTAAAAGATAAATCAAATACAACCGTTTGTCCAACTTCTTTATATGGATTTTTTTTTCCCACTTACTTACTTACATTGAATTTGTCTATTCTCTTTTTTTTGTTACGTATTTCACTACCAACTTAATCTATAAAACGTTTCAGAAACTACCAAATTGTTTTGACAATGTTACTACTATTTCCGGTCAACTGAAGACATGCCATTTCTTTCGCTTTTAATTAGGCATCATCATAATTAATTAATGATAACTCAACGGCACGTTACGTTCCGAAGATACATTGTTTGGATCTGTTATGGATAAAATTGAAACTATTGATGAGACATAAAATTATAAATACGTAATGTATTCTTCATACATACTGTATATGTAAAACGCTAGCTGAAGAAGAAGAATAAGAATCAAAATCAAGCGGCCCAACTCAAAAAGTCAAACGGATCAACGTTTGACCCACCCAAACTGAGGGAAGAAAAATAATCGGACAAATAAGATAAAGCCACATGGCTAAAGTGGGACCGGGAGTTACTGAGAAGACGAGGGAAACGTGGCGAAGAAGTAAGAAAATTGAACGGAAACGAGAGGTTGTAGGGGGAGATGAGTTTCTTTCTTTCTTTCTTTCTTCTTCTAATTCTATATATAATAAGTAGAATATATGATAAGGTATGGAAAGTTGTTATGTATGTACAACTCCTCGGGAAAAGAAGATATGAGGCCTTCTTCTTCGTCTTCTTCTTCTTCCTCTGCTTCTCCTTCGTTAACGCTGTCGTCGGTGGCAGTGGCGGTCGACAAGGCCACGAGCGAGCTTCTGCTCACTCCTGATTGGACGATGATCATCGCAATCTGCGATTCCGTCAATATTAATCGCTGGTAGTTTGTTGTTCCCGCGTCTGAATTTTTGAAGAATCAATATGAGAATCCATCCTCCTATATATATATATATATATATATATATATATATGTGGTTAAGAATTTTGGCAGGCAATGCAAAGATGCGATCAAAGCTGTCAAGAGAAGGTTGCAACACAAGAGCTCTAAAGTGCAATTACTCACTCTAACGGTAACTTTCAAACCAAACTAAACCAAACCAAAACAACATTCAACTAATTAAGCTTGACACAAACTCATCATGATCTGTTAGTTGTTGGAGGCAATGCTGAAAAACTGTGGGGACTTTGTGCACACTCATATCGCTCAGAAACATCTTCTTGAAGATATGGTTAAAATTGTCAGGAAGAAGGTGAATTTGAATTTCACACTCCCTCTCTCTTTTGTTTTTCTTTTCGGTCTGAACACTTACATATATATAATCTCTGTATTTTTTTTTCTTTTTATTGGTGAATCTTGAAATTGTGAGTGAAATTTTAAGGGTGATTATGGAGTAAGGAACAGAATCTTGGTATTGTTGGATACTTGGAATGAAGCATTCAGTGGAGCTGCTCGCAAATATCCTCATTACAACTGGGCCTACCAAGAGCTAACAGTAAAGCCACTTCTTCAGATTTACTTTCCACTAAAGATTTTTAGCCTCATTCGATTTTGTTTTTCTGAAATGGCATTGGCATTGGCAGCGGTCTGGTGTGAAATTTCCACAACGTTCAAAAGAGGCACCCCTCATGCTTGCACCGCCTCCAGCTTCTTCTTCTATGAATTTAATGTCCATCGGTTCTTTTAGAAGTCTCGACGAAACAATGGCAACTGATATTGAGTGTCTAAGGTAACCTTCTTTTTTTTGTTTTCCTTTTTTGCTTTCTCAACAACTTACAATCCCAAGCCACCTTTGATATTGTTATTTTCATTGTTCCAGTTTCTCAAGTCTTGATTCCATGAGAAATGTGATGGACCTCCTCAACGACATGGTTCAAGCCCTAAATCCTTCTGATAAATCAGTAAGTGTCGAATCAGATACTTTCAAAAAGCTAATGCTTACACACTTGTTGATGTCTGCAGAAAAAAGAAAAAGAAAAGAAAAGAAGAAGCTAAATAATCATCTGATTTGGTATTTAATAATAATTATCCTTGACAGGCGCTAAAGGATGAGCTTATAGTTGATCTAGTAGAGCAGTGCAGATCTAATCAGAAGAAACTAATCCAGATGCTCACAACAACTGCGTCTGTCCCTCTTGATCATTCTTCACCTTTTTTCTTTTCTTCTTCGTTTTTTTCCTATTTTCTTACTGATGAAGAGCATCTGTTCTGCTTGTCAGGGACGAGGATGTTATGGCACGTGGGCTCGAGCTGAATGATTCTTTGCAGGTAGTGCTCGCTAGACACGACGCTATTGCCTCTGGTGTCTTTCTTCCCACGTTGCAGGCACCAGAAACAAGAGAAACGAGCTCTGTCCTCGAGTCTGGTGATGCTTCAGCTGCTCTTGAGTCTGAGCCTTCTTCATCATCCAGCAGTGAAAGTGAAACTGATGACGGGGAGGACGTTGAAAATGACTTTACGCAGCTATCCAAAAGGTTAGTCATTCACTCTCAGACTCAAACACACGCGTTTTCGCTAGTTTACATGAGAGACGTGGGTTAACGCATTTGCAGGCACGCTCTACTAAATGCCCAATACAGCGATGAAGAAGAAGAAGAAGAAACATTGCTTCTAGGCAACAGTAATGAAAAGACAGCAGAATCAGAAACCAACACACAGTGCAAGGATCTAGCTCTATTCGACAAAACAGCAACAACAACAACCAAGTCGGAGCAGGACATTATTGAACTTCTCAGCCTAACTCTGTCAACAACAGCTCTGCCGGCCTCTTCCCAAACGCAAACGCAAACGCAAACGCAGCCTCCATCAAACACCCATCACAAGACATCGTATGATCATATTCTTATGAACAGCTACGTAGTCCCCTGGGCACAAACTCAGGCAGAAGAACCGCAAGTCCCAAAAACGGCGCAGTTTGCTCCGTCGGGACCTCAGTATCAGGCGTGGCCTCCGCAGCAGCAGTTTTCATACGGTTATCCTCACCCGCAATGGAACGGTGGTCAAGCAAACAGTTATGACACAACATTTTGGAGCCAAGGAGGCAGTGAGAATAAGGTCTTTGAGAGAAACTTGCACTACTCAAACTCCTTCCCTGCTAGAGCGGCGGGACCATCCGCTGCTGTGGACGGGCCGCCGCATAGGCCACCTTATGTTCCTCCGTACAAATTGTTTGAAGATCTCAATGTCTTCTGCAACAGAGATGGAGGCGTTAGGAGTAGCAAATGATGCCATTTCACGACACATAAAACCATACACGTTTTGCTTGTCTTTTTAAGTTATTTCAGCTGTTATACAACGTTTAGGACTAGAACTATCGTCTTTAATTTGCCCTCGATAATCTGATTCACCTCACTACTACTATAAATAACATGTGACAATACTCCTTTCCCAAAAAGGGACGTGTGTGTGTTTAAATCTGTCTAATTTCAGTATTCCTCTTTAATATAATAAGAATTAAAAAAAAATATTTTTCTCGGGGACACTATCTACGAATTTTAATATTTTGTTTACACATGATAGAAAAATATATTGATTAAGAAATAATGAATTTTAAGTGTTAAAAGAGACCATTACTTGTGTCATATTCTTTACACAAGATGAATATAGACATATTATAAGAAAACACAAGACACACGCACACTAAAGAGAACTATTTACAAAGCATTTACATTTATTTTGACAAAGCCTCCTGAAATTAGTGTGTTTGCTTTGCATATTCTCATCGGAGGCTAATTAATCAAATCTATAAATAAACACCCCAATTTCCTTTCTTCCATTGAATTTAAAAACATCGATTAACTTACAGGTTATCATGATCCTATCTCAGTGGTTGTGAGTTGTGGTGGTTGTATAAGGAGACAAAGGAGCCAGCAGCACCGGCGGCTAACAAGACCTGGTAAGGGTGAAAGCTTAGGCAACTGACTGGGCCAATCTTTTGGGCCATGAAGGAAGTATGGTACTTTATGCTCCCAAGCTGCTCTCCCTCAAGGTTGAACACTTTTATTAGCTGTTTCGCTGATCCGCTCACTATGATCGGAGCGTGTCTATGAACACCCAATGCTGTGAGGGATCCTCTGTGCGCTTCTATCGTCAGGTATGTCTCCTTTGTTCGTCTCAGATCCAGAAACTTGATTTCACCTGCTTGCGACGCACTCACAATCTGAGTGAGACAACAACAACCAAGTGACGTGAGGAACTTAGTTAAAAATTGCCTTATGATGTACTGATTGACTGATTGACTGACGAGAATCAGAGACTGTGGGTATGTTTAAACCTTTGCCGGGTCGAGTCCAGGCTGAAAGCTGAGTCCAACTACTTTTTCTACTCCCTGATGAGGCCGAGTGGCGCACACAAGCCTATTATCATTTGAGAAGTGAGATTTCTTCTACTCTTTGGGAAGCTAATTTTTTTAACTATTTAAAAGCTGAGCGACAGACTTACCATTCAGGTGTCCGAACATCATAGAGTCTTACAGACCCATCTGCAAAACCAGCAGCAAGTTGGCCCCCATGCACTTGAGAAGCCGACTGCAAACACACACACCCCAAAAAAAAAAAAAGACTCATCAAGCACGACCCGATCAGGTGGAGATCCTGTCTTCATATAAGCCATAAAGAAGACCCAGAAAGTTTATATTTGTAACACATATACAAGTCTGAAAACGCTAACTTACAAGGGCTGTGACGCTGCACTCTGATTCAGAGGACGCAGATTTGACGACTTGTTCTTTCTCCAGGTCCCAAACCATGATCGATGATAATTCCCCAGAAGCATACTGTAAATCACCAGTATTGCGTCAAATACAGAGTAAACCAGGTTTTATATCCCCAAAAAATTATAAATATTGTATGTTGCGAACGGAGTCGCCATATACCAGATAACCTGACTGCTGTTGCCAGTCCACGACAGCATTCAAGCCACATGCACCCTGTGACAATCCTTTGTGACCCTGAATTGAAGAAAACCCTGTGACCATTCTTTGTCTACCCTTTGTTGCGTAGTCTTTCCATATGCGGACTGACCCATCGCCTTCACCAACATTTCAGAGCCACCAGTAAGAACTTTTAAACAGCCACAATCGAGCAACAACTAAAATGCAAAAGACATTCTGGCAAGAGTTGTGAACAGTACATGAGGCAACAAGTAGCAGAGAGTCATCAAGTTCATTGACAAGGCAGAGCTTTGAAATTCCTTTGTCAGGAAAATCGTGATTGTCAAAGCCATTAAGAAGAGTTGCTTCCTCGTAATTCCACACCCTGACAGGGAAGACAGCTAAACTTAGAGTCCAGCAGAGCAATTTCTAGATGGAACATTTGAGTGAAAAAGGTGACTTTAAGGTGAAGCATTTCATAAATAAAGTTAAATCAAATAAACAGACTGATCCGACATATTGTCATTTAGAAATGGCAGTTTTTATAACTTTGTGCCTAAATACCTGATGTAAGTAATTAACTTGAATCTAGCCTTACTAAGGCCAACCCGAAACCAAATTTTTTATTTGAAGTCCAAAGTTTAGCTAAGCCATGAAAATTTTTGCATACCTGATCCGCTCATTCTCATCAGCAGCAACTACAATAGGAGAAAACGGGTGAAGGAGGGCTGTCTTTGTTCCCACTTCAAACTTTGTATCCCAATTAGCAATGGGAATATTGTTAAGCCCGCTAATTGCTGGTCAAGGACTTAAGAAGGTTATGATACAGTTCAAGTAACTAGTGTAGTATAGAACAAGACTCAAGATAAACAGAGAAAATGTACTTACATGAATGCTGGCATTTTGCAATATGCTCAAACGCAAACTTTTCTTTTTCTTCTCTTTGGGTTGCTATCTCTTCATTAGCATCTGATCCCCCAAGAAGAGGTTTTGAAAAGTGACCCCAGCTCCAATTGTAGATAGTTGATTGTGGAAGCAAACTTCGTTCAGATCCGCTGAACAACCGGCTTCCGCCTACTCGCGGATCAGCCAATCCAGAGTCAGGAGAAACCAGCAATTGAGGCCGGAGCTCTAGTGAACAAACTCTCCTCAGTCCACTTAAATAGCTTGTTCGAGGAGGGCTTACCGGTGGAGTCCTAAATGTTAATGGTAGATGACCTGTGAACAACAATTTCATGGTTAAATTACTTAACACTTTAAAATGGACAACAATTTCAAGATTCACACTGCTGATTGGAAAACGCTGCATAACCAGCTACCTGTATGCATATCAAACCATGAGGCTGAACGAGCTAGACCAGCCACAGGAGTGTGAGATGCAGATGCTACTTCACCTGGCCGGCCACTAGACTTGGAGGGTTTTGCAAAAACTTGTTCAATCCCAATAATAGATAGCACACGCCGCCCAAGGCTTGCAATATGTGGAGATGGATCTTTAGCTAATGTAAACATAGCTAGAACGCACTGAGAATAGACAGCATTATCCAGTGGTCTTGGCTTATGGACAACTCCATTGCTGAGACCATCATGCATGATTCCAGAATCAAAATGTAATGAAGAATCATCAGATAATGGAGATCCATGCGCTAGAGCGGAAGAAGAACCATTAGGACTGCTTGAGATCCTTCTTTCACTAGTCATTGGTTGACTATCGGTGCTAGCTCTGGTCAGAGAACCCATGTGTGAAGAAACAATAGATGAAGTCCCAGCATCGTGAAACTTGGCCATTGAAGGGAATGAAGTTCGCAGATAATTTGTCTGGGACTTCCAGTATGAAGCTGCAATTGACTTTAGATGCTTTTGGTGTCCGAAGGCAAACCGTGCCAGAGCTGTGAGACAGTAACAGCATGTTGAGTGTATCCAGGAGATACAAATCCAAGCATTTTTTAAAAGCTGTCTAAGCGGAGGATTATATAATTTAAAGGTTATCTACATGAGCTAAAATAGACCCAGAGATCAAGATAAATTCATTAATTTTTTTTTCCTTTGAACTTAATGACACCTGGTGTGAGTCACGGAGCCCTAGTCTCATAACTATGCATGATTAAAAGTTGCATGCTTTGCATACCTACAGCAACCTCTGCTCGGACAAGCGGGCTCCCATCTGAAACTACATCCAAGAGACTTTTTATGATAATATCGTCAGCTATAATCTTTTCATTATCCTCAAATTCTTCGTCACCAACACCTTTACCAGAGTCAAACCCAACATCAAGTAAGGTACCAAGGGCAAAAACAGCAGCAGCCCTGACCTGCATGAGAATGGTGTGGCCTGCAATTAGACTGCTGTTTCAAAGAAAGGAAAAAAAATACTGATATGCGAAGATGGCTAAGCTTCAGGTGAAGAACCACCTCTGGCTGGGCCTCGGAAAGCAGAGGTATCAACTTTTCAGACGCATTTGCCTCTCTACCCATTATCTGGGCCTCTATATATTCCTCCCATAACTTTCCGAGACAAAGACAAAGCCACTGTACAAACAATGGTTCTGGTGGTGGATCACATAGTTGGGGTGCTTCGAGGTGCTCCAGACAAACACCAATTAAATTTGCTTCAAGACATGATTCTTGGCCTCGTTTGTAGCCATTGACAATAACGGCCAAAACAAACGCAGCCATAGCACGTTGCTCTGGGAATGCATCAGAACTATCTAGAAATCTGATGAAATATATGTGGCCGTTGTCCTTCACAAGATCAACCTGACATGACTAAAAACAAAGAGACATCCCTCAAAATGTTAGGAAATTCAAAGAATGAATAGGAAAATGAAGTGACACGATAGTATGACGACCAAGGTAAGGAACATGTCCCAACGACCACGAATAGGAAGCACGATGCATAAAGAAATGTTAGTCCCCATTACTAACAATGATTTATCTTGGTCACGCTCAATATCAAGAAAACAGAGGCACGTTAATAGTACAGCGACGAATAAATTAGCAGAAGAAACTCGAAACGAACACGCAGATACATAGGAAACTGCTCATTTAACACCAAAGTTGTACCTTATCAAATGCGAGAAGCTTTGTCCATATGAAAACAAGAATCTGCCGTAGCTCAATTGTTGTTGTTTGTAGCAGCTTCACAACGTAAGGAAATATTCCAACGGATAAGGCCTAGAAAAATATTCACGTCAAGTAAGGACACTGGACATACCCACAAAAATAAAACCAAGAAGCAACGCCTAAAACAGGATATCAAGGCATTAGAGGTACCAGATCCACAGCCCAAGGACCCATATCCAGAAATCTTCCAAGAAGCACAAGAGCGCGAAACCGATGGCACTGGCTACGTAAGACCTGAAAAGAATATGAATCCAAGTAAACTAAGATGGTAAAATATAAATAAATATAAGATGGATGGGATATTTAGAAGCCAATGTTTTGCTCCTTGTATTGTTAAATACGAAAGCAAAAGTGTAGAAAAATGAAAAGTAGATATGCATCTTTTCTCGTGGACCCTAAGAGAGAGGCCCTCACTCAAAAAAAGAGGAGTAAATTTAGGGTTCAGGTGGCACCTGAAGAACAATAGGCAACTGCTCCGGTGGCTTCTTATTCTCAGATCCATGATCAAGCCAAACCTCAAAAGCTGTTAGTTGCTCAGTAAAAAATGGACTTGGCTAGGAAAGGGAGAGTAACAAACATTATCAGTAAGACCAACATCATACAGTATTATACAATTACAAGGAAACAATTGACAAGACAAACCTGAAACTCCGCAGTGGGGTCAAGAAAAAGTTGAGGAAGCTGAGAAAGGCAGATTTCGGCAGCCATGTCCCATGCATCCCTGAAAAACAGCAGCGATTACCTGCGGTAGAGAGCTCACACATACAATTCACCAACATGCAAATTAAGGATAATGTCCAATACCACAAATGATGTTGATGTGTAGGAGGTAGCATAGGGTGGGATATTGGGGTACAATTCCCGGATCGCATTATCCTCTCAGCAAGTAAGAAATTTCGAAAAAGGCTAGCAACCAACAAGTCCTGTCTGAATAATCTCTGGAAAAGTCCTGTGGGGTAAAACTAACTTCATGAGGGAATGGAGAAAAACAAACAAGAAGTCAAACTTGAGAGTTTGGCCTTGATAGAATTTTTTGTCAACAGTTTCGCCTTGATTCATTAGGCGGAAAGTTTGGGAAGTACCGCGAGGAAGCACATTCCAGGCAATGGTGTCCGTGACTGCAGTGAAGATCCAGTTTAACTCTCCTAACAATGTTCTACGGTCATTTTGGCGGCCCGGAATTCTATCAATAAGTGATTCATCTATAATTTCCTTCAGAAGAGAATGTCTGCAGAACCTGCCAAGAAAAGAAAGCTGAAAGCCAAACTAAACTGCACAGATCCAGATGGACATAAAACAAAGGCAGATAACCTGAAGAATATATATATGATAGGAAACGTAAGAAAGAAAAAAGAACCTAGAACTGAAGGCACGCATCTCAATAAGTAACAAGGAGAACGCTATCAATAGGATAATGAGATAATCCTATTAGTCTCGCTAGATACTTTAGCAACCAGTACCATCAAAAGTTAAGATTCAAAAAAAGTATGGCGAACCAGTTGTAACTTGTAAGCCAAAATTTCCTATGCATACTAGTACGGCAGCTGATAACAACCAATCACTAAAACAAGTCAGACATTAGTAGAGAAATTTACCACTTCAAGGCCATTTTAATAGGTGTTGTGAGGCAAGAAGTGAAAACGTCAGCTGGAAATTCAACACTCTGAGGGAGAGTCTCATGTTCATCGCAAGCAGCCAGTAGAATGCAGTCCTTTAAGGGTCCAGAAGAGCCAGAAGATCGGCAATCATGAAGCTACAGTCAGGAGTGACAATTTTATCATCTTACGAAACGCCAAATCGTAGAACCGAGTCCTAAACCTAATAGGTATCCATATAATACGAGTAATGTGACAATAACATTACCTCTGCAAAGGCATTAACAATAACCCTAGCAGCAGAGCAGTCAAAAACATAAATTGAGGGTGTCTTCAACCAGGAATCAAGCTCTCTGACTGGCAAGGGAATGTACTGCGTAAAATTCTGCTCACGCTGTCACACAAGATGAATAGGTGCCTTGTAACAGACACAATGGGCATTGTGGAAAGAAAGCTAAGAAAAGCTCACCTTATTGAATACCCAGATTTCACCGTTAGGTGTAGGTTTCGGCACACCATGCCCATTATAATGAAACAAAACTCTCTCAGTCTTTGCATTTTTTCGACAAGACAAGCAGAGCTTCCTCAGATCGTCCTTGGTAGGATCCAATTCCACCTTATACAGAGCCTGATAAAAATTCATAAAATACAAATGAAGAGGAAGCAAACTCAACAAAGCAAACTCAACAAAGCAAAAACCAAAGGTGCTGGAATCGAAGTTATCACCCTTGGCAGCCATCTCTCGTACTGAATGCTCAGGTTTTGGCCAATTGTCTGAAGAGCTCTAGGGGGAGACATAGAAAACGGATCTGCGGCCAAAACAAAGAAGGGAAAAATGATTGCGGGAAACATATATATACAAAAAAAAAAAGTGTGAGATAAGATTGAGTTAAGTGAAAGTTTGACCTATCCAGCATTCCAGTCTTGCGCATGGAGATATCTTTATAACATCCGGGGGATCAACACTAATGTTCAAACACATAACTAGAGCAACACATCCTGTTTTCATCTGCAAATAATGAGATATCATGAGAGTCGAGGACGACAGGAAACGAGCATTATTAGACTTGAGATTAACATCAGAGAAAAAACCCGATATAGCTTAAGCAGTGGTGGAAATAGAATTTAAGACAGTTGGGTTCATTTGACCTGTGCTTCATCGTGGATAACAAATAGTAGAAGATTTACCTCACTTTCCAAGATAAATAGCCTATTTGCATCAACAAAAGGCAGACTATCAAATGTTCAGATATTTGAACGAGAACTTACTCGCTCTTTAAGCCGCCATCTGGGGGCTTGGACGGTTTCGGAAGCCGCATCGGACACGTCGTGTCTAAGCTCACAGAGCACGACAATCTGAGGCAAGTATGCCATGCTGGTGGCGGTAATCGTCGTGACATTTCCATAGCCACTAGTGGTAGCGACCTCGTCAATCCTCCGCGAGGCGATGATGGACATACGGCCATCATCGTGACTGGATGCGACGGAAGTGGAGGTGCAGTCGTCGTCGTAGCGGTGATTGGTAACCACGGTAACGGAAGACTGAGAGAACCTAGAGACCATCACGTCCCCTAGTGGCATCCAAATACAAGAGCAATCTCGAAGAAATCAGGCCTAGCCTATGGTGTTCTGGTACGGATTCGGAAAAAAAAAGAAAAAGTACGCGAAGAAGAAGAAATCGGAATTGAAATCAATCAACAAAGCCACTGCACCAACGGCGCATGGAGAATGAGAGGAGGAAGAGCAGAGAATCCAGCTCGAATAAAGCTGCAAGGACGGAGAAGAGGAAGCGGAAACCCTAGGAACTCCGGAGGTTGAAGGAGACGACGAGGGACGGAGAGTGAGGTAGTAGTGGCGGCACAAAAAGAAAGTGTGTATGCGAATTTGTCATTAGAGAGAAAGAGAGTCAAAATGTTTGTGTTTGCGTATTGTCTCCCCCCTTCTCTATGCCCACCTGGATAATTTAACGAATAGCTTCTTTTTTTTTCAACACTCAGATTTATGGAAAACATTACCCTCACATTTATATATTTTATTTTTATATTACCTAATTTTAAGCAAAGCTGATGAGGGCTGCTTTAATATCTATAAATATTAATTTTTCACATTGATTTCTTTCCATGTTATATTTTATAAATTAAAACTATAATAAAAATCTATAAATTAATAATGTTGGGATTTTTATATTTTATTAATTTATAGAGTTATTAATTTATGAATTTTAAATAAAAATTATTTTTTATTAATTTTAAATTTTAAATTTTAAAAGAGATTTTCTTTGAAAGTTATAATATATTAAAAAAATATTTCAAAAATTAAAATAACATCTAAAAGATTTCAATTAAAAATAAACAAAAAATATCACTAAACTCATATTTTAGTAGATTATCTCACTTATATGTTTATATCAAATTGTTTTATGGTAGTTATTAATTTATGATAATAAAAAGACTATATATTTACATAAAAGTTTTAATAGTTTTATTAAAGTTATTATCTTATTATCTTATGTTATTATTTTATTATTTTATCGAATTGTGTTATAATACTAATTTATAGAGTTTTTACTATATATTAATTTTAAATTATTTTCTTAAGTTGTTATATGAAGATATCTATCGCGTAATAATATCTTACCCCTCGTAAATAATGTCGTTTTGAATTTCATAATAATTTGTAAGCTTCATTTAGACTGCTTTTTTTTTTGCTATGAAATCCTTGAGTTATTAATATTTAACTACTTTTTTAGTATTAAACAACAATTTGTTTATAATGCATTAAAAATAAAATAATAAATAAATATATGGAATAAACTAGAAATGCCTAAAAGTAAGATTGAGACGTCCAGTTCGGAGCTTGGACTCATTGAGCAGACACTTGGGAGGTGAGTTTGGTATGATGGACTTGACGCCATGGAAGATCATTCGAGATTCTCCGCCAAATATCAACACATCTCCAGATTCTAGTTTCACTTGCTCAGCTTTTTCAACGTCTCTCTCTTCTCCATTACTCCATACAAGAACTCTGCAGAATCGCCTATGGAGAAGGACACAATCGGCAACCCTTATACTATGCTCTCTCGGCTTTCGTCACGGTCCTGCCACTTATACCAAGACACACACATTAGAGTGGACTTGAGAAGAGAACACTTGAATATCAAAACCTGTTCCAATATTAAGTCACCTGATGGAGACCAAGTCTTCCAGTTTCTAAATAGAAGTTGACTATGCAAATGTCTGGTGACATCGCAGGAAGTATGATCTCAGCGTCTTCTCTTCCTGATTCTCTGTCTATGAGAGCGTGTGCTTCCCGGATCGCCTCTTCTACCAAGACACTAAATGTGTCAGGGATATCGGGTGGTTTACTATCTATCTCATCAGTGTTTTCACCGTATTTTGTCTGTGGATCCCAGTTTCTACCAAGGCACATCATTTGCAGATGAAGCTGTGAACGAACCCTATAAAGTATAACCCGGTTGGTAAAATCCTTTGGGCTTAACACCAAGTTCCCGGCAAGTTTTCACGATGTCAGCCTGTAAGCATGTTGGAGAGAAGAAAGCTCCTTACTAGAGATGCAAGATGTATGTAGCTTAGGTTTGGCTTTCACGGTAAGATGGATACCTGTACATGATGCGTAAGAAAGTGTTTAAGCAGCACCATTCCAGGCCCTAGTACTCTGTGTTTGTTACCAAATTCAACAGTTTCCTCCCCGTTTGCTGCTTCTCCCTCCTCTGTAAACTGTTCTGTGATGCATTTATTGTTTCTTTTATGGACTGAGGAACAAATGTCAAACGGGAAATCCTGTCTGCTCTTAGGACTTTGATCCTGAATCCATGTGATCCCTCTTCAAAGATAGTAAATCCTCACGGATTGTTGAAGATTGTGAACGCTTACTCGGACTAGTATAAAAGTTGGTGGTCGAACCAAGATCAACCTTGCTTCTTCGTGAACCCTTACCACTCTTAATTCTTAGACCCAGTAAGTGGTGGATACTTACCTTCAGAGCTAAATGATTCGAGCGATGTACTCGGCTACACATGATTTAACACAATGTGTTCTTTTAGATAAAGCTACGAGGTATTACTCTGAAATGATCAAATCCTAGAAACTCCCTCAGAATTAGATGAGATAATGGAAGTGTGTTAATAGTTCGTAAACCCCTAATAAACAACATGGTTTCACTAAATAAAATTGAAATTAAGAAGCAAGAGATGGATTTCAGTCAAATTCGTGTGATCTGCTGCGTGAGATGAACCTACTCAGGCCTTACCAGTTACATCCTACATCATAGTCAGCCAAAGTAGATAAACGAAAACCAAAAAACGATTACTCACAAGCTTCTTCCGAATCGGAGAAGGGCCATCTCCGGAAGAAAGGGCCAGAGGGTGACTAACAGAACCACGCATTATCTTCGCCGCCAACGGAGAGCACAGCCCAAGGGGGATGCGGTGGCTCCAATAAAGAGACAACGAGCTATAAAGAGGTCTCATGATTAGTGTATGGTATGAAGAATACGAGGCAGCGTCATCGCATCGGGATCGCGGAGATAAATCGGCGACGGCGACGCTCGCATCGTTTTCTGCGCCGTCGGTTAAATTCACCGGAGACGAAGGGCCTTTTTAAATTAATACTGATCTTCTCCAAACAAACAAACAAACAAAAAAAACAGTAATACACAATTTTTAATTACATGGGCCCATGGGCCTCTAGATGGCAAGGGTTTTCCATATTATTTTGTGGTAAAGTAATGAATCTTTTACGCGCAACGATAAGCGAGTGAGGAACACCCTCCAATGGTAACGGCCGACATTAGCTCATTTATTTTTTTTTGTGTCAGCCAGATGACTTCCTTAGCTCATTTATTCTTCAATGTTCAATTTTTTTTTAATAATCCCCTGATAGAAGTATAAGTAAAATTTAATAATGACCGAATGATTATGCGATTATCACATTTATATAATAATAACTCTAAGAGACCAGACTACATACTACAGAGAGATGATGTGTATATTTATTTCTTTTAAAAATGACCGAATGATTATGCGATTATCACTTTTAGATTGTAGAACACCAATCACATCCGAAAGAAAAACAAATCAATGAAGAAGAAGAAGAACCACCAAACCGCATTGCATGTGTTGTCTTTGCTTGGAAGATTGCTAAATTAACACAAAGAAGGATTGCTCAAACTCACAATTACACGGAACCATATAAAGATTACACTTGGAAAGGAAAAAATATCAAAATGGAAAAGAAGAAAAAGCATGATAGCTTTATACTAAATTATCTTATTACCGACATGATTGATTTTAACTAAATAACATTAAAGATGGAATACAAAATACATAGGAAGAAAAAAACATTTATCAAATTATATATATCCATGTTTTATTTTCCAAATTTTCAACTGAATTTTTACCAGGTAAAACATGTGGGAAATCCGAAGCAAGAGGTGGATTGTGATCTACGAATGGGGTAGTGATCAATAGAAGTAGCAGAAGAGTCAAATGATGAAAATCTTCTGATGACCTTCCTTTTTGTCTGAAACTTGAACAGATGGTACTCATTGTCATCGATCAGCACCCTCTCCGACATAGACGGTGGCGAAGCCGACAGTTTCTTGGCCTTGTTGTTATTATTGTGACCACCTGATGATAACCAGAAGAGCCTGGTGGGGACTAGTGCGAGGATTTTCTTGAAGGGCTTTTTGGAACCACGGCGAATTTGGTCGCCGGAGAAGGAGAAATGAGAAGGCGGAGGAGTGAGAGGCGGTGGTGGAGGCAGCTCGGAGGAAGGGTGCTTAGGAGTGCCTGGATGAGATTCCCATTCGAAAGGGATGGAACCGGCGGCTCCGTCGTAGTAGTAGATTCTAAAGGAAGGACAAGCTGACGCCGGCGAGGAGAAGCGTTGTTTTGTCGACGGTAGCTTGACGGGAAAGGTGGCGGTGTCTTGCTTTCTCAGTGACGCAGGACGCTCAGATCCGCTGTTTGGCATTATGATCTTGGGAGAGTACTGAGAGAGTGAGAGAGTGAGGCACAGAGAGCGAGAGAGCGAGAGAGCGAGAGAGAGAGTGGGAGGGGATATGTGCATTAGTGCATATGAGAGACATAATAAGGTATCTATCAAGTATATATGGTGCCTGGTGTCCTTTGGTACGTTTTTTAAATAAATAAATAAAAAAAAAAACAATTTGGGCTTATGTGTTTCACTTCGGTGTGTAAGGAATTATGAAAGACAAAACGTAACTCTGAATATGTAATGCTAGTTTAGATTTGAGGTTAAAAGTTACAAGGATACATTTTAAATGCCACAAAAGCAATCGCCCGCAAGCTACACGAACCCGTGTTGCAGCTAGTGGTTGAAGAGTATACATCGATTCTTGATTTCTTTAATATCATTGGGGGAAAAAAAAAAATAGTTTGTGCGTTTCTTATTTAAGAAAAAGAAAAAACAACAAATAATAATTTTGACTAACAAATGTGGCACCAAATTTAGAATTTCGCCATTCAAACAACAACAAAAATAATAATCTTTTTCAAATTTTTACACGTTGTAGGCTAAAACAAATTTTATCTTCTGTGAGGCACATACAAACATTTGAAAAATATCATTAATGGTATATATGGGTTTTGCGTTCTCAATTAAAATTTAAGAAGACTATATATATAGCTAGTAAGTAAGACTCAACTGGTCACTTAAAATACTTTTTCGTTGACTCCTAAATCAAAAAGATGATTAATTGGATACTATTTTATCAGAATGATGCTAATACTCAAGCTGCCAATCCAACCAAAACAATGCAGGGAATTTGGTTCCACCAAGCTATATGCAATAAAAAACATAGATGACAAAATTATTCTATTACGAATTAATAAAAGTTTTGGTTTGTTTATATTTTTGAATCGAAGAAGATTCACAATTTTGGTTGTCTTGAAAATTGACAATTCATTGATATTTTATGTTGACGCATATACAGGACAAGAAGATATTTGTAACACATGTAAACAAGAATCACGATTGGTCCATAAGAACAATTATAACCTAAACAGGGGATAAATGTACATTACTTATACACAAACAAGTGCCCACCGGATGATCGATATTATAAAAAGAAAGCTGTGGTTATTGGAGAAATTAACATTTATGAAGAGGGGGCCATAGATGAAAACAATAGGAATTGAATAATAAGTATTGACTAAAACGAGCAACGACCCATGCATCTTACATGTGCTCCACATACCATACCACCACCGGGCATTGCTTTCCTTTGTACTGAGGTCGGTCCACTCTCGTTGCATTCATTTCTTTCAATGCCATGTGCATGCCCCTCTTAACTATATCTATTTTTTTTTTTTCATTAATATTTTGCTTCAGCATCCAAATACCAAAAGTTTTTCTAAGAATAAAGTAAAAGTTTGTATCCTTTTAATAGGAACAAAAAAAAAAAAAGAAAAAACATACATTACTGTCGAGTAATTAGTTAATTGAGAACAATTATAGTTGCGGAAACAAAAAACAACCAATCAGATAATTCTGTTACGACCAATGAGAGGGTGTTGCTTTTTGAAGGCTCCGAGTAAAGTATATATAATAATAAATACTAATTTTTGGAGAAAGGAATTAAAAAAAAGTACAGAGAGAGAGAGAGTCGCATTGAATCAGCATCGCATCGAAGATCGATCAAAATACAGCAGATCTCAGGCCATATTCATCGGAGGCCGTGTAAGCTGTTTGTTTAACTCTCCATCTCCATCTTTCCCTATTTGATTCTTTTTTTTTTTTTTATGCATCGATGGATTTCTATTCTACTGATTACGATCTGTGTGACGATGCATCTGCAAAAACCTAAGTTGCGAGACAAATGGCGATTCTTAAGGTTTTTGATTAGATGTAACCTAAGTGCTTCCATTATTGTCATTTGATTAATTGGATCCGACCATTTTCCGTTGAGAATCCTCCCACAAATCTTTGATATATAAATATATATATTTGGCTTTTAAATTCCCAAAACGGGTGATATATAGTTTCAGGCATCATGGGTGGCAAATTTAGAGTCGTATTCCTCTTCTTCTTCTCCTTCGGGCTCCTGACCTGCTGGTCTTGTGATGCAAGAAACCCGATTTTTCTCGGTACGACTTTCTTTTCTTTTCTTTTCTAAGTGGGAAAAAAAACAAGTGTTTTTGCAAATCGTTTGAAGCTGTTCACAGTTGAATTCGGATTAATATATATGTATGGGATTCATATGCGGCGATGGGTCCCTTAGAGTGTTATCTCGAAATCCATAGTAATAAGTAAGAGTGTTTCAAATGGGCAGAATCAGCTGAGGTTTGTGAATTGTGTGATAAGTATGTCACGCTGGCCATTGATTACCTTGAAGATGACGACAACCAGAATGCACTCGTTGAGGCGCTTCACCTGAGCTGCTCTCAGATTCCCCCTTTCAAGAAACAGGTTTCTTTCTTCACCTCATCACTTCATTCTCTTCTTCTTCTTCTTCCTTGTTAATAGACGGAGTTAACTCGATCGTCATATGCGCAGTGTCTTTCGATGGTGGATCATTATACCGAGCTTTTCTTCACACAAGTCTCTGTAATGAAGCCTGACCAAATCTGCAAAAGGCTTAACCTCTGTCTAGCAGCGACGCCACTGTCCCATCAAGGAAACTGCGAGTCTTGCCGCCAGACTGTCTCACAAGTTGTCTCAAACCTCAAAGATCCTGAGATTAAGGTTCCCCCCCCCCCCACCCCTGCTATTCTCTGTCTCCATCACTAATTATGTTGCTCTGCTTCACTTGCCGCTCAAATGCTTGATTGTGATTTATTGCAGCTCAAGATAATTCGCTTGCTCCTCAAGGAATGCAAGTCGCTCAACAATTACCAGGACAAGGTAGCTGCTACCAATTGAAATTTCTAATAACATCTTCCTTACCAGTACTTTCTTTCTTTATGGATGGAGGAGTATCCGATGATGATGATGATGATTGATTTTCGTTTTTTTTTTTTTTCGTCTTTCTTTCTAATGAATGTGAATAGTGCAAGAAGATGGTTTTCGAGTACGGGCCTCTGATGCTTGCGGATTTGGAAAAGTTTCTGGAAAAGAAAGACGTCTGCTCTATCCTTGGCGTCTGTCCTGGCCCATCCACCTATGATGTCCCTGCGCTCGAGGCTCTGGCAGATTCTTAACATTTGACCACCTTATTTTTCTTCATGCAATTTGGTGACCGATAGATATTTCATGTACATACCCCTCTTGTGATGTAACAACAACAACATCATTCGTGAAAGCTGCTGAAACGTTTCGTGTGCTTCGAGAAAGTTGTTCAAATTTGGGTTTTTCGCCCATTATCCATTCATGGGCCTTGACCCATTATCCATTCACGGGCTTTAGGCCCATATCCCAAAAGTGATTTGTTTTGCTTCCTTCAGTTTCTAAACAATGTTGCTAATTGCGCTAGTTTCTTAAAAAAAAAAAAATGAAACCATCCGTTTAAAAGAAGAAGCAGTCACGAGAACTTTTGGTTCGGTGTACATAATTTAATAACAACGTTAGATTGTTTTGAGTTGGAAGCAAGAATTTCGTTTTCATTTAAGTTAAAAAAAAAAAAAAAAAAAAGGAAAACTAGGCGCCGAGCTGTTGTAAATTTGTCATCTATATCAATCTGCATGCAGAGACATTTCCAGCATTGCGAGTATTTCCCAAAATAACGAATAAATGTCTGACACGTGTAACAACAGAGCAGAGCAAGTTGACGCCTGTCACCGTATCTCTAAAGCTAATTGGGAGGATATTCTCGCTTACGTGTCATCTTGTGGATGGTAGATATCAACTTGAGGAATCTTCCTCAACTTACTTTCTATATTACTATTTACTATCAATCGGATTACTACTAAATAAATCTATTTTTTCCTAAGTAACAAGCAACAACATGTCTTTTTTACTGTACGAGGTTTTTTTTTCAACCTGTATGTGATGATTCATGAACTATAAAAAAAATGAATTTCTTATTTTTTTCCCAAAACTAGAATCTTTACAAAAAAATTCAAATTATTTAAGAGTATGAGAATCCCAAAAATAACCCAAGCAAAACCTGCAATGCATATCCTTACGCAAGAAATCAAAGAAAGAAAGAAAAAAAAAAAAGAGCAAAGCAACGAAGTTTGGTTGTTGTAATTACGAAAGATAAGAAGTGATAATTTGTTGTAATCAAGTGGTTAATTAAAAAAATTATCACTTCCTTTAAAAAGATAAAAAATTGTAACCAATAGGCAATTACCAAACACGGCAAGATGACAAAATTGGTTAGGCAAAACGGCAAAAATAAAAAAGAAGAGGCTAGGCTGGCTCTTTCGATATAAATTAGAAAACTCCTCAACACAAAAACACCATTTTGTATTCATAAATTAGACATTTTTTATCGCAGCTCTTCCGTGCTTAATTGAGGTGATTCTTCCTCTTCGTCTTCTTCATTTTTTTTTTTTTTGTTTTGGGTTAATTATTCAACTCGACATTGGTGTCCATGTTTGTTTGTTGATTATGTTTTTGTGAATTCGTCTCGACGATTTCGATACAGATTTTTTTAGCTATATGTCGATGCGGATCTTGAATAAACCAATCTTTGTGATGGAGAAACAAAATCTCAGAATCTTGCATCTTCGCTGGTCGATTTTGTTTCCTTCCTAGCTTTGATAAAATTAGATATTTGTCCCTGTTTACATATATACACCTAAATCGATTTGCATCTGATGTTCAATGCCTGGCGTTAAATATATAGATTCTATGATTCTTGTCTTTTACATACCACTTGGATTAAACGTTGGTTTACCCTGCTTCAGGTAGCATTGTGCACTTATCGGATTAATCAAAAGAGTGTATGAAATCGAAGCCAGGGAATGCAGAAACATGTATTTGAAAGTTGAACACAAGTGCTCTGCATCTTTAGAGGTCCCTTCTCCCTTTGGGCCATTGTTGTCCCTTGTCCCTCATGAGACCCGTCTTCTAACCCGCACCTTTCATCCCTGGTTTCACACCTTCCAGTCTTCTTCTTCACAGAATGTTAGGAAAAACGCCACATGGAAGCATGATCTGTGCGAAGACGGTTGATCGTCTTCTTGCTTCTTGACTTCATCAACCTGTCCTATGTTATGTTGTAGTACTTTGTAGGGTGTGTATTGATCTTTATTAGTGTACTTAGTTGCTTTTAAGCCAATCTGTGAGAGATAATGGAGAAGAAAGGCGCTGTGCTGATGCTCCGTTATGAGGTCGGTAGGTTACTTGGTCAGGGTACGTTTGCAAAGGTTTACCATGCGAGGAATTTGAAAACCGGTGATAGTGTGGCTGTTAAGGTCATCGATAAAGATAGAATCCTCAAAGTTGGTATGACCGAGCAGATCAAGCGAGAGGTCTCAGTCATGAGACTCTTGAGACATCCCAACATCGTCGAGCTCCATGAAGTCATGGCCACAAAATCCAAAATCTACTTTGTCATGGAGCACGTCAAGGGCGGTGAGCTATTCGACAAAGTGTCCAGCGGAAAGCTCAGAGAAAGTGTTGCAAGAAAGTACTTTCAACAGCTCGTCCGCGCCATTGACTATTGTCACAGCCGCGGAGTGTGCCACAGGGACTTGAAGCCAGAGAACCTGTTGTTGGATGAGGAAGGGAACCTAAAGGTCTCTGATTTTGGACTCAGCGCTCTTGCTGACTCTAGACGGCATGATGGGTTGCTGCACACCACCTGTGGGACCCCTGCATATGTTGCACCAGAGGTGATTAGCAGGAATGGGTATGATGGGTTTAAAGCGGATGTGTGGTCTTGTGGGGTGATATTGTTCGTGCTGCTAGCGGGCTATCTTCCTTTTCGTGACTCTAACCTGATGGAGCTTTATAAGAAGATTGGTAAAGCTGATTTCAAGCTCCCCAACTGGTTCACTCCTGGCGCAAGAAGATTGCTGAAGAGGATCTTGGATCCTAACCCGCGCACGAGGATATCAACTGAGAAGATAATGCAGAGTTCTTGGTTCCGAAAAGGCCTAGAAGAGGAGAAAGACGCAGATGATGAAGAGGCAGATGTGGACTATGAGGCAACATTGCATAAGGACTCTGACGCAACCGCAGAGAAGGAAAAGAAGCAGTGTATCAACCTGAACGCGTTTGAGATAATATCGCTGTCCACGGGGTTTGATCTGTCGGGACTGTTCGAGAAAGGAGAAGAGAAGGAGGAGATGAGGTTTACATCGAACAGAGAAGCGACTGAGATCACGGAGAAGCTGGTGGAGGTAGGGAGGGAACTTAAGATGAAAGTGAGGAAGAAGGAAGAAGGATGGAAGGTTAAGATGGAAGGTAGAAAAGCGACGGCGACGGGGGCTGAGCCTGTGGTAGTGGAAGCCGAAGTGTTCGAGATTGCGCCAAGCTTTCACATGGTGGTGATGAAGAAGAGCGGTGGAGATACGGCGGAGTATAATAGGGTGGTGAAGGAGAGTATAAAGCCCGCTTTGATGAACATTGTATTGGCTTGGCACTGACACTATTTTATTATCTTGTTATGTTTTTTTTTTTTTCTGACCAAAGTGTTTTAGTTATGTAACCATTCTTGAGTCTGATCTTTAAGGCGTGTTTCTTGTTTTCGAGGTGTTACAATAATGAACTCGTGATATACGGGGAAGAAACACCAATGTGTGGTGTTTATCGACCATAACAGAATTAAATATGAAAATTATCAATTATCAGATTTCTTTGAAATCCAATCGATCTTTCCGATGTCTAAAATAAAGAAATATGTATTCTATTGAAATACAAAGAACAAGCATGAGTAGAGAACGCGTTTAGGAAGAACACTTTTTCATATTTTCTTATCATTTCTTGTTATTTTAGACTTCTATTGTATTGACACATTAGCCTTTTTATGTTGCATTTACAAAGTCAAAATGTTATAAACTTCCTATTTCTCTTAGGTCACATAATGTGTTCCTTTCATATGAGAGAAAACGAATCCAATAGGCAATGGTAATAATACAGTAATACTAGCGTTCATACACATACGCGGCTTGGAGAAGATGTCTTTGATTGTTGGCTCGAAAACAGCGACTTGATGGGACAAGCTCATTGAATTTACGGGCTCCAGTGGACCACGCTCGTTTGACCCATGATGGAATATACACCAAACATTATTTTTAAAAAAAATATACACCATACACTTTTGTTTTGGTCAAATCAAAAAACCTTTAATCACCTGATTGGATTTTCTAGTGATTTTGCTTAATCCGGTTCTCTCAGTGGGCCAACAAATTGGATTCGAGGAGAACCAAGGAAATGACCCAATTGGTCTAACCATCTGATTGAGACTCTGTTAGCCTAACCAACATAACTAGCATATCAACATTTAGCTGCATTATTGTGGTTTACTACTTTTCCTTGCACATTTTTAACTCCATAATTGTTAATGATGCAATCAGCCAATCACATTTCTTCCACATTTCTGTTAACAAAAATCATTTTTACTATATAAGCTGACAAGTTTTAAATTGTCACTAGAAGTTTTATCTTTTAAAAGTATCTGCATGGTTATAGTTTTTGTAAAGTGAACTGACTTTGATTTAAATATTTTTCCAAAGATTTTAGTCTAGTTTTTTAATTTGGTTACGATGAAGAAATTAATGGCATTAGTTCTGTTTTCTTTTTAGTTATGTTTTCATATATCCACGATTAAGTAATTAACATGTACAAAGCAAGCAATAGAAAAGTTTAAGATGTTTTGGCCAAAAAAAAAGAAGAAAAGTGTAAGATGTGATTGTGTAGAGTAAAATGAGATAATGTTAATCTTGGAGCCTAAAAATTATTGCAGGGACAGTAATATGTTAATATCATCAATTATAAGTTCATAACTGTTAAAGCTGAATTATTGAATATAGACAAAAAAAAAGGGTTGAATTATTGAGTAATGGGTTCGATGTGGATCAGTGGATAGCATGAAAAGAAAATTATTGATGATGATTAGTGGTGTATATACCACATGCGATAGGATTAAATAAAGTCGACCAACTACATAATAAATTCAGAATGATGTGATAAGGACAATCTCTTACTTATCAAAAAGGAGAATGAATGTAGTTCACTTAGTTCGTGGTTCAAATCTGGACAGTTCCTTTTCACTCATTGACATTTCATTTGCAAAATCGCACTAGCAGTACATTATTTGATATTGTTTTTTTCAATTTTCTGATATAAATCCTTTATAGTATTCTATTGTGTTTTTCCGGTGCATCCCAATTTTGGTTAACGATATACAATATAAGCTCATTATTTAAAAAAAAACAAGATTTGACATAGATATATTTGTGGTGTCTCGAGATTTCATATATCATGTTAATGAATTTGCAGGATAGCTGATCTTCAGTAATACCATTACTGATTACCACTGGGATTCAATTTACAGTTGAATATTAGTACTATGAGTTGCGAGAAAAAGTATAATCAAATATGTATGCTAAATGATCAGTGTTCGATATTAAATAAACCAATGAATTTAAAGTGATAATGGTTTTAAGACACAAGGCAAGGAAGAGAGTCTTCTTTCTTATACACAAAGCATACTTCACAGCCGTGATTAACATGACGATCAGCAGTCGTTAGATCGGTGATGGTTCGATCATCAATAGGTAAGGAACTTAAAAAATTTCCATATATATAATAAAGATGGCTAACTTTAAATAAAATTTCGACAATTAATTTGTCAGAGGTCCGGGATAAAAATACAATTACAGAAAACCCGGGATGTTTTTTTATCTTTATTTTTTTTAAAGGATAATTTTGACAGACTACCTAAAACTAAAGCGTCGTATTTACGTCACGCAAAGAAGAAGAATCTTCTTGGTTCTGGTCTGATCCTAAACCGAGCAGCGTGTCGTCCGGTTTGTGCACAATCCCCACAAGGAAAGGCCGGACCGTATCTGACCAAATATCTGGGCGAGATGCACCGGCTCGTTGTCTGTGCCTCACCTCCATCATCACCACCTGATCGGTTAACTGGTTGATCTCCACCACCATCGCGAAGTTACCTTTCTGCCCTTGAATCTTCATCCCACGAGCCTCCTTCTTGGCCACCGTGAGATTCTCCGCCGCCGCCGCAACCATCTCCTCCAGCTTCTCCAGCAGCCTCGCGGCGGTCCAACCGGAGACGAAGCGGTCAACTCGGTCGTACTCTCTGGCGTCGTCGCCGAAGAGACCGGAGAGATTGAAACCGGGAGAACCGGAGATGATGTGGAAGGCGTTCATGGGGGAGTCGAGGGCATGGAGTTTCATGTCGGAGTCGTCTTCGAGGTGGAATTTGGACATACGGAGGTGGTAGCCCTGTTTGAACCAGGGATCGTGGAGGATCTCGTCGATGGTGATCCTGGAGAGAGGATTGGTGTCGAGAAGGCGAGAGAGAAGTCGGCGGAGATCAGGGGAGGTCCACTTGGGGATTCGGAAATCGCCCTTGTAGATCTTCCGGTACATGACCATGAGGTTGTGGTCGTTGAAGGGGAGGTAGCCGGCGTTGAGGACAAACAGTATGACTCCGCATGACCACACGTCGACCTTAGCACCGTCGTAGCCTTTCTTGGCGAGGACCTCCGGCGCCACGTAGGCAGGAGTGCCACAGAGGGTGTGAAGGAGGCCGTCGGGTCGGATCTGATCGGTGAGAGCGCTGAGCCCGAAATCGGAGATTTTGAGATCGAGCTTGTCGTCGAGGAGGAGGTTCTCCGGCTTGAGATCGCGGTGAAAGACGCCGCGGGAGTGGCAGTATCCAACGGCGGAGATGAGCTGCTGGAAATAGTGGCGGCTGAGGTCCTCGGAGAACCTGCCCTTGGAGACCTTGGCGAAGAGCTCGCCGCCTTTGGCGAACTCCATGACGAAGAAGATCTTGGATTTGGTGGCGAGGACCTCGGAGAGGCGCACGATAGAGGGGTGACGAAGGCGGTGCATGATAGCGATCTCCCTGGAGACGTTGGAGGCGTTGAGGCCTCCCTTTTGAAGCCGCTGCTTGCTCACCACTTTTATGGCTACGCTCTGCCCCGTCACCGTTTCCCTCCCGTGGTACACTTTCGCGAACCCTCCACATCCCACCATCTTCCCCACCTCGTACTTCCCCACCACCACTCCCCCGCTTCCTCTCCCCCGAAAATTCCCCTCCCCCGCCGCAAATTCCGCCGATTCTACCATTCTTTTTTTATACCTCAGTCACAACCCCCTCAGCTTTTGCCTAACCATTGCCAATCAACACCGCCGGAGAAAGAAGAGAATAAAAATAGAAACCTAATCTTTCTAGTATAATCACTGATAGGATATGTGCTTAACTTGAGGGAATTGGATTTCGGATAACAGATAAAGCTGACTTCTGTTCTGTCTCGAGTTGTTACATGCATATATATATATATGTCAGTGTCTTGAGGGAGGAGGCGAGGTTATTTATGTAAATAACCTGGTTTTTTCTTTCCTTCTCGGTAAAAGACGTGAGAGATTTTCTGTTTTTGAATCTATTATTTTTTTTAATATAAGATGTGTAACAGGCTCTCAAGTAGATTCAACCACACACGTGTCTCTTCGCTCTTGTCGTGTTGATTTGGTATCTCCAAGGGCTTTGGCCCAAGGATATCTTTTACATATTCGTATCTTCCGCTATTTCTTAATATTTCAATATTCTTGTATATAAATAAAATGTCAAATTATTATTCCTTCTTCTGACTATTACACTGTATCATCATTTCCCCCCCCCAAAGAATTTCACAATATTATTGTCAATGTTTATTGTCAGTAGCCATTTAGTTGTTGTCAACAATTTTCTTACAATATTGTATAAATGATGCAAGTTTTTTTTTAAGTCTAATTTATCATATCAATTTTAAATAGAATTTACATGAAATTACACATAGCCACTGAGATACAGCTCAATGTATAAAACATTTAATATAAGGACAACAAATTTAAGAAAGCTTCCAATTAATAGAAAAGCTACCCACCGCATACGCGGTGTAGAACAAACTATACATTCTTTTTGTAATTTACCCAAAACACAACAACGTTTTCAATACTAGCTAACCGTACCTGTTTATTTTCTTTCGCTGTCACGCTGTGTCCATTTTTGTACACATATAAATTAAATATAAGGCACGCATAATTTCGTAATATAAGTAAAACCAATTATCAGTACGTTTTTGAAATAATAAACTAAAAGACATTTTCTTTTGGACGGATATTCGAAATGAAAAAATATCAATCACCACGTGAATAATGTACGAAAACTGGCAAATCACATACACAAATAATAATAATAATAATAAATTGTGTACAAAAGATTTCTTTTGATTTCTTTTTAATGCTATTTCAGAGAAGCTTCTTTCCAAAGAGACAAAAACAAAAAAATGAGAGGAAGAAGTCAGAAGCTCGTTAAGTAATAATGAAATCAAGCAAGGTTGGCTCAGAGGTTATATTTACATATAAAAAAACGAAGGAACGATATAATTGTTCTTTCATTGGCTCGAAAGATTGCTCCAACAAAATATCTACTGACTTGCAAATAATTCATTCTATTCGTTAATTTTGATCCCATCATAACTCTGTGACCAGATTTTTACAACGACACTTATGATCAATATAAATTGTATGATTGTACATGAAAAATATTTAGACATGAACTCAATATCAACAACTTCTTTAGGCGAACCAAGAAGATCTATCAGTTTTGCTCTCCGCTAATGTAATCATTGATTAAAATGTTAAATATATTGTAATTTATGCTTCTAGGTTAGCAAATAATGGTGTTGGATTGAAAGAGAGTTTGAGATCGAAAGTCAGGAATCATGATTTAAGAATGGGATACGAGCTCGCTTCATACATATGTATAAATACGCAAGAAGAAATGGGTGCTGGTATTCTCTAACGAAGAAACCACTTCTGGTTTTCTCTTTAAGGGAATTGATAGGATGATTAAGAACACCATCACTGCTAGAAGAAACCGTAAACACTTGGGAAGTCTTATGCAGAGATGGTTACACTAAGTTCCCATGTAATCTCAGTCGGTAAAAATCAATCTGTTACCTTGTTTTTTATTTCTTTTTTGCCAAGGTATCATGTATAGGGGATATGTTATTGTAACACCCATCTTTCATTTTATATGATATTTACATGTTAGCAAAAAAAAAAAAAATGGGTGCTGGAAAAAAAAAAAACAAATGGCTTTCGTGTAGGAGAAAGAAACGTACGATAGCAATCTAACATATTTGCTCAGCATTGTCTTACAGATATAAATTGTCTGAACACTATTTTAGGTGAAGATTATGTCCTATAATAATGTACATTTGATTCAACATCTACTTACAGTCCGTCTATCCAGAATCCTTTTGTACGAAAAAATGTACTGTTGATTTTTTGTTTGGTCAACAAATTTGTAGTGATCAATATCGCCTCTTAACAACACTTATTAATTAAGAACGAGAGCTAAGGTAACATCAGCCAGTAGCTCAACTCGATTAAATAAAACGAGAAATATTGATTCAGAATTATATGCACCGGAATAAAGACAATCCTTAAAAAGGATTATAAACAAATTATGATGACATCAACGGTTTAAACTGAAATGGGATAGTAATTAAGTTAGTTTTTCTACAATTGCGCAAATATCAACCACGCATTAAATTTCGATGACCAACATGCTGACGATACTAACAAAAGTTAGTAGATGCAAACAATAATAAAAAAGCTTTGGACCTTTTGGCATAATTCCCAATTATGTATAGTCTATAATATTTCTGCCAACGTATTAAATCAAATTATTAACAAAAAATACATAATTAAATATTTAAATTGAAGGACCACAAGGGGTCCGAGGGATATATTAAAGTATTCCATGGGCACGGGAACGTGGTTGGTTTCTTCATATTCTCCTAACTATTCCTTTCCTTAAATTTTGCTAATTACTTATTTGAGTTATTTCTAAACATTTATTGTTATATAACTATTTTTCATTTATTGTCTTTTAATGTACCAAATCATTGATTTTGCGTCCAGGTTCAAGTGCAAGAAACAGTAGTATTAAAAATAAATAGCTGAATAATGGTCTGACGATGCCCTGATGTTGATTTCTCTTTAATATTCTGCTTCTTTTTCTTTTGGTCTTCAATATTCTGGTTTTTTTTTTCTGTTAATGGGTTGATTACTTACATATTCGTTTTGAAATAATTTTGAAGGACCTTTAAAAAATAATGCTTAGTATGTGGAGTGAGTCAGCATAAGTCGGAGATTTTTGTCTTCTTCCTTACGAATAATTAAGCGGTGATGTGAAAATTTAACTAATTAAATGTCTGGTTTAAATTTTAATTTTATAATATGGTATTAAACTAGTTTATATTCATCACACAATATACAAAATAGATGACATGGCTTTCGCACTAATTGATCGTGACATTCCTTGTTATGGATAAAAAATAATATGTGTAAGTAAAATTTGAATTTTCATACGTAAGGAAGTCCCAACACATAGTGATGCGAGAATGAATTGGGTTTAATTTGTTAATCATTTTGATATTGAGTTTGTTTTATTATTAAATTTTAAATTAATGATGTTAAGTTTACAACAAAACTTCAAAAGTATTTTAGAAAATTGCCAAAGATAAAAAAAAGTTATAGACCAAGAATCTATCACAATTTTTGTTGCCGTATGTTACATTTACAATTATGTAAGAATAGAGCTTCTAACTCCCAAGGGCGTTCGTAATTTATTAAATTCTATATGTTTGCATATAAAAAAGCATAGAATAAATAATTTGTGTTGTTGATGAAACGTTTTATTATTACATCGGCCTCAACAAGAGTTTGCATATTTCTTCTATTCCACGAGCTTTTCACTTGGCTCCATTATACTTACACAGTCTGTTGTGTTTGTAGAAAATATATTCGAGTTTGAAAAGCCCAAAATAGCACAAAATAACTTATTCTTATATGTTGGGCTTTCGGATGGAACTATTCTAATCTCATTAGAAACCTCAATTTTATTTTATTGCCTTGTTCTATGTTGCTTTTGGAGATATACAATTTGTTTAGAATAATTTAACGATTCAGCCTAGTGTGTGATTAGATAGATCCATCAACATCGGGAAAAATCAGACAACATAATCTACAAGTCATACAAACAAAAATACAAAAAGTTGTTATAAGTACTAATAAGGGTTCGAAAACGTATCTTTGGAAAGTGATTCCAAGAGGTTAATGCAGATGGTCAAAGACACAACACAATAGACTTGATTGAAATATTTTACGACTGAGATATTGCGCATGAGAAATGGAGTTGTGAAGCCAACTTTTCAATTTGAAGAGAAGGAAACATGAGTGATGATAGCATTGCCAAAAAAATGCAGCTTTACGTCCCATTTACTATGGTGTTTTAGAAGTTTGTACCCCCCACTAGTTAACTTCTAAAACACCATAGCACGCCCTTTCGTGACCATGGTTTGGGCTGGACAACACAGAGCCAGGGCTGCATAGAGCCATTTCATATACTGGAAAATTTTATTCAGTCTCTTCTACAATGAGCCTAAATAATAAAATCATATTCTTAACGTGCGAAACGAGACCCCACGTGGATGAATGAGATTTTGGGCTTTTCTCCGCAGTGTCTGATATGCAATCTTATTTATTTGTGTCATACTTTTACTTACATGATGAACATCACACTCGTGTAAAAATTAGTACTATCGCTTTTTGTTATTTTCGATACTACTTTTATCATCTCGTGAAGCAAATTTCAAAAGATTACAATTACCACAACTAAAGTACTAGAGTATATTAATTTTATGTTGAGATCAAGAAAACTACTACTCGAGAACATATGAAAAAGAAAAGGAATTTTTGCGCTATATATATACTCCTTCGGTTTTATTATAGTTGATTTTCTGAATATTTACACACAGATTAAGAAAGCTATAAATGCTCAATTATTTACTGTTTGTTTTTGTTAATTAAATTACTTTTACAACTGATTTCATTATTTTTATTATTATTTTTTCTTTTTTAACTGTGCATTAATGGAGTAAAGCAACATGCATTAATATTATTCATTCAATTTAAAGAATAGACATGCATTCATTAGATGTAGAAAATCAAATATTATAAAACAAAAAAAAACCTAGAAAATCAACTATAATGAAACAGAGGAGTAATACATAAATTACAGTATATATAAAATAATAAAACTGTCAGTGTCAAATGTCAATATAATTAGGGGAAATGGAAGGCGAACATAATCTAACACAAAATCAATAAAAATGGAGAGAGAGCATCTATCATTCACCTAAAATCAATACCTTTTTTTTTTTTTTCTTTGCTTTTCTTTTCTCCACGTTTGTGGAGACCCCACACGTCCCCTCTCCTTCTCCCTTTATATTCTCGACACTTCCCACACACACTTTTTTTCATTTTCAAAAACCCCATTCGACCAAAAAAAAAAAAAAAAGACTTGGTTCTGTATCACCTTAGTATTAATCCGTTATTCTCAAAATCAGAGGATAATGGGTAATTATCGGTTTAAACTATCGGAGATGATCCCGAACGCATGGTTTTACAAGCTGAGAGACATGGGGAAGTCGAGGAAAAAGCAGAGGCAGCAAAACAGCACGGTGTCTCCTTCTCCCCTCAAGAAACAACAAACAGTTCCCACGACGACATCGGCACGCAGTCCTCGACGCTCTTCTTCTCACTATTCAAGGCCAGCCAAAACCGCGCCACCGTCCGTTGCAAACCGGCTTCGTCACCGATCCACCGTCGACACAAAGTCCTCTGCTCCCAATCACGTTATTTCCTCCACCGTCTCAACGACTTCCGGTGATAGCACTGCCACCGGAACGGGATCTTTCTCACCGGAGTTTCGTTCCGATCAAGTACTCATCCCTGACGAGTCCTCCTGGCACAGCCCTTGCAGCTGCGACGTCAGCTCCAAATTGTCCAAAGCCGTGACCTTTACGCCGCCGCCGGGACTGGATCTCCGTCCGATCATCACCAAACCGGCGAATAAACCAACCACCGTGCGGAAAACGGCGGCGGGTTCTCCGGCGGGTGTGAGAATTAGACTACGCTCGCCGAGGATCTCAACGAGGAAATCGGCGAGCAGCAGCGCAAGGAGAAGCGGGACGGTGGCGGTGAGTTCGCGGCGGAGCAGGGCGGTGGTGAAGGCGTCGGTTGACCCGAGGAGAGATTTCAAGGAATCGATGGAGGAGATGATCGCGGAGAACAACATAAGAGCGTCCAAGGATCTTGAGGAACTTCTAGCTTGCTATCTCTGTCTTAATTCAGATGAGTATCACAACATTATCATCAATGTCTTCAAGCAACTCTGGCTTGATCTTAATCTTAATTGTCCCCCACCGTAATTATTCCAAATAAAGATAAATCATTATGTATATATATATATATAGATATATATATTACCCATATTAATTACTCCTCAGTCTCTACTATCTTAGTATATTGTTGTATATACAATTCGTATGGCTATTTATATGCATGGCTCTAAATATATATAGCTAGAGCCTAGAGTCTTGTACTTGTTGTCATTCGTTGAAATCTCAAAAGTACAATAGAGAATTTCTATCCAAATTGGTACCTCTTCTATAAGAATCTTACTGCACGGACCAACATATAGTTTGACACAAACATGCATAAAGTGTTGCTCTGTATTCAAATTAACATGGACCGTTATTAATTACGTTTCAAAATCTACTTTTCCCTTTCGAATCATTTTTTTTGTCAGCACGTCCCTCATCAATCTAAATAAAAAGGCCCTCTAAAATAATTTCAAACTTATATATCTATTGATTGTTCAAAAACTATCCTACTATTACTCATATGTTATGTAGTTAAGACGAAAATGATAGAGATTAATTAACTGTATACATTTCAGTAGATCCACTAGACCTACGATACCGACAATTCATTAAAACCGTATCTGCCGTATTTTCAGACCTATCTTTGGATATGTGCGTGCGTGTGCATTTCGCCATTTCATCTTTATATTTACTTTATTTGTATGTGTAATATAACTTGTTCTTTTTTTTGGTACCTCCACGTATTATTTATTTATGTAATATTTTCATATGCCAAAGAGTGCGACAAGGAAGTGCCAATGAAAGAAAAAACAAGAGTGCGACAAGGAAGAAAAAACAAAATAATTTTGCTTTTAGTCATGGAAGTGCCAAAGAAAACACATATTCAATTGGGCCAACTTTTTTTTTCTTCGGTGATGTGTGACAAATGACAAGAATATAATAAAGACAAAACCGAAACAGTAATTGAGGAAGTTATGTAACAAAGAAAAACAGACTCGTAAATTAATCAGTACTGATATAGTTATAATATAAGATAACGGTACAAGATACTAACATTTTTAATACGGTTAATATTTCTGATCATAGCATATTTTTAATACAATTGTTTCTGGTCTTGTGATTGGTAAATATTAATGCGGTGAAGAGTTACCAATTAACCTAATGAATAATTCGGATACAAACTTTCGGTACTACCTTAAAGTTGTATCATTTTCATGTTATTAACTTCATATTGTTTTATATAATCTTCGATGGGATTTGATTTAATATTATTAGAGGTAAACTTCGATTTAAAGAGAGAATAGTATAGAGTTAGTATTAAAAATAGATATCGAAAAGGAATCGCACGCTACATGGCAGAATTTTACTTATTATTATCCCCTCTTTAACGTATCACGTTGCTCAATATACGAGGTCAAATTATTTTCATCTAATTAATTTTTAATTTAAAAAGAATACTCCCTAAAAATTGGAAATGAACTTCGTTCACTAGGTTAAAATATATTCAATCATTAGAAATGAACTTCGTTCACTAGGTTAAAATGGTGTACTCCCTAAAAATTGGTTACCTGCCCGACTATACAGTTCTAAAAATCTACGCAAGCATATGCTATAACTATTATGTATGAATAAATTTAAAAATGTCCCGTAGACAATTAAAATCTACAACTTAAACATCCAATTATACAATATAAAACTATGAATAGTAAATATATCAAACAGTAGTTTGAGAATGCATAAAAAAGGAAGATATATCATATTGATCAAACGGATTAAACGAATAGTTTTGATTGGTAACCTTGCGGAATGGTGAAATGGCGAAAAGAATTTCGCGGAATGAAATAATCTATTTAGTATTCGCTTTTTTGTGGAACGACTTTTTTTTTGTATTTTCCGTAAGTAAAAATGCAGTATACGTTTTTGTTTTTGTGTATATTTTTTCATTCCATAGATTTTAGTTAATTGGTAAAAAAATTGTGGAATCGCGTTTAAAAACGCAATTTTACTATTTCACAAAGTTACCAATCAAAGTTAATACGTGAATCAAAAGTATTAGGTAAAATTATTGCACCGTCAAACGATTTAATGTAATTATTACATGATTATTAATTATTATTGTAACTCTGCAAACAAATACACGTGTTTGTACAAAAGTTTCTATAGTTACTATCCTTTTTCAATATGAGAAGTTGAGAATTCCGTTAAAAAAAAAAAGAGAAGTTGAGAATTCCTAAAAAAAAAAAGAGAAGTTGAGAATTCATAATAAAAGAAGATTCAAAAGCTTTGTCGGGCACGCGGGCCATATACTACAACGAACTCATCTTGATATAAATATAATAATTTAAATTACAACAATTTTCTTCTCCTTTTAGCTTCAACTAGATCAAAACTTTAAACTAGAGTTTCGATATCATCGAAGAATACACAATCATAAATTTCTTAATTTAACGAAAAAAAAAGTCTTAATTTATTTTTCACTTGGACATACCGGTAAAAGTTTGATTAAAATCTACCAAAGTAGTATCAAAATTGTCATGGTATTTATGGTAAGCGGTATTGACCTATCCAGACCTATCTAATAATTAATCTGGTGGACTACCTTCTCATCGACTCAGTTCATCATAGAGTTAATCGAGTTTGTTTTTGATAAAATGCATATAGTTTGTGTTGGTTTCTTGTTCGACCAACTTATATATATTATATATATATAAATAGTTGTGTTGGCTTAGTCCTCGCCAAGCAAATTGATAACCAAGATAGTCAAGAGTGCGATTAAAAAAAAAAAAGGGTTACAATATATGAATATAATGTGTATTTTTACTGGTGGTGGCCATTGATATCTCCGTGCGATATAGCCTACCTCTATGAATTTTCAAAATTATTACTTGAACGCTTCCAATATAATAATATTAATCTAGTGATTTGACTTTACACTATCAGCATCCAGCTAACTACTTGTTTCTCGGTAATAATTATACATCTTTTTTTGTTAAAAGTTAATAATAATAGTATATTTCATATAGAGCTTATACTATCATTCCACAGCAAAAAATAAAATAAAACATTCCACAGCAACTTCGATAAATACTCATTTGGACATGATAATCCCTTTGTATTACAAATTAAGGAGAGTATTTGGTCAGACCTACGACGTATCGTTTACACCTTTTCTATTTGGAATAATATACAAAAGTTGTTTTTATTGTCTCTCGTTACTTATCACTAGCTCCTTTTAAGAAAAAGTTGCAGATAATCCACAAGGCACGACTTTCCTTTTTCGTGAAAATTATAAAAGTAGGGCCATTCAATAACACAAAAGTAGAATGCTAGTACATCTCAACGAATTATTCTATATTTTTTTCCCCTTAAGTATAAATTTATTTAAGATTTAAACGGTAATTAGCAATCAGGCTGAAGAGCGTCTGCGAAAACGTCCATTATTATTAACTATTCTACGATACTGTTCAAAGAGTTATAGTAACACAAAAAAATCTTTTATATGTGTATGCATCGGAGAATATTTAAAGAAAATAATATTTTCGCCGCATATTGCTATTTGCCCCCCCAAAAAAAAGAAACAATTTTAATATTTAATGATGGTTATCTCCACTCTAATTTAGTTCTATATACCTTTTAAGATTAAAATCTACACAATCTTAAGTCTCAACTATTTTGATCTATCATATTTGTACGTAGTTTAGATGAACGTCTACCTTAGTCTGAGATTCAGAAGTTCCATATATCATTTTATTAATTTGATGACTTTTTCTTTTTAATAGTTACAAATGCTATTTTCGGAATTCTGCTACGACACATCCCTGCATTAAATCATGAGGGAGACTTGTTGATGAGCCGCAAGTGGAGACTCGGTCAACGATGCCTTCCGATCTGACATTATCACCGGAGATTCTGCTCCTTGTCCCTTCGCCGTCTAATATTCATTTCTCCCTCCACCTCCACTTAGTTAATTAATATTTAAAATGAAAAACAAGTATATATATATATATATATATATATATATATATATATATATCGATCGTTGGTTCGACAAAGAAAATATTAACAATGAAACTTAAAGATTGCATGATCGAATGACACTTATCATATAACATGTTTTGATTTCAGACTTAAAAGAATGCAAACGTCTCGATCCAAAAAACTGTAATATCAATCGTATATAACACTTAGAAAAAAAATATTATAGTTCGCACTAGCTTACTATTGGATTTTTGTTAACTTTGTTTTCTCGGTGAATTACATTTTAATAAACGCTTTTTATTGGCTATTAATGATACTCTAGGTGTGGTGAATAATTATAGTTCCACCACAATACGAAGGAGAAAAAAAAGTTGGAATAAAAGAAAATGTTATTTTTGTTTCATTTTCTTATTTTGATTTCCATGTTATACACAGGTTGATTGGGAAGATTTGAATTCAGTGGTCGTCGTCTTATAACTTTCGTAGCAATGCAAGCAGGCCCGGCCTTGAGCGCTGAGGGAGGCGATCGCCGCGACCAGAGTATATTTTTTGGGGCATTCACTATAAAATGACATATTTTTGTTAAAAAAATTATTAGGGATCAAACTTAATTTCTCTAGAATCCAGGTTTGAACCGTTCTAAAAGTATCAAGCACGAAAAAGACAATAAACAATAGAGAGAAATCGTAAATTGAGGCAAACACTCGTTTAGGGTTTTCTTATTAATTGTGTGAATAAATAATTACAAACCCTAAGTCTTGTATTTATAGCCTCAAAAATCCGACTCCCAAACTCATTAGATAAAAGAAAACCTAAATTTAGTCCAATAAGAAAATCGTACCGTGGAGGGCTTCGCCTCCCACACCCCCAAGTGAATCTATATCCACCTATAACCTGTCACATTCTTCAGCTCACTTTAACAGGGTTTTTTTAGTTATCTTTGTCACTAGAAAAAACACAAAATGGGTTAGCTTTGTTATCAATTAAGACAATTATGGTTGAATAACTCAAGTACGACAGTTTAATGAACAATTTTATACGAAAAAATGTAAGAAGATCTATATTTCAACAATAAACTATATTTTATTGAATCTTTTTCTTTTTTTACAAACCATTTATAGAATTTAATTATTTTATAAAGTTTTTGTTTTATTTTTTATTATTTTAATTTTGAAAAAATATAAAAATACATATTTTAAAAAGTTAGATACAAGCATTCAAATTAATCAGTTTGGCACTGAATGCAAGGAATATGACTGGGCAAATAATATACTTTTTAAAAAATCTACGAAGTACCTAGCCAACATTATGATTGTCTTTTCTTCGGATCGCAATTATTGCATAAAAACTTATACGAAATAAATTAAAGGACATATTGCTAAATTCAAGATCAAGTTAATTAACAATTTGCACGAGTGAGATATATATATATATATATATATATATATATATACTTCATGCATTTCACAATAGAACTCTTTGTAGATAAGTATATTCATAACGATCTTATAACAAGCTTATTTTTTTCTTTGTTTTCTTAAAGAAAAAGTCTTAAAACAAGCTTATGACATATTATGAGATAAATAATGGGTGCTGAATGCTGAATGTTGATATATAATTAAACCTGAAATATATGTACGCGATGAAAATGAAAAGAATGGGCTGTATCCTTCACCCTTATATTGTATAATTTCATATATTAATATTATATTACCATATCATTGCTGCGTCACTTGTCAAATCTTTTTGGATTCGATTCTTGTGGGAAATTATCACATTTTAATATTATTTTCCTATTTACTTTGGATAAAGACAATTACACAAGCTTCCATAAGGTTATTATGTTCCCGTTTGGCTGTACCCTTCACCATTGTTGCAGGTTGTAGGTAATTAGGACTGGACATGAAATCTTATATGCAGATGTTAACGTTTTAATTTTTTCGTTAAACTTGTCAAACTCTGAAGTTTCAGATTTGCGCTCATAGATTTCATCGGGTTCGTATTAAAACGGATTTAGCGCTTCAATTATATAAGCTATTTTTTTTTTTGAAGAACATAATATATAGTATTTTTTTCACCAGCGTAAGATTATTTTCTCTTTTAGTGCGGTCATACAAATTTTGAATCCCATTTTTTTTTACTGAAACATTGCTATATATACGAACAACGTTGCTAGCCATACTTAAGAATTCTTTTAGTTGAAGAACCTTTTTTTTCTTTTATTTGCTAACAAGCTTTCTATTAATGAAATTTTCTTCTTCTGTAGTTTAAGGCGTTTACATAAAACTTATTTAATTTTAACACCTAAAATTACAGGTGTTTATCTTTAAAATTTTGGTTGGTACCGTTAAATATCTGTAAGTTATAATGACAGGAGTAAATTCTAAAGCAAAATGGTAGAAATGTACGTGTCTTTGGGGCGTCCATGCAAACTCTTAATGAAAGACGAAGATAGACGACACGAGGAACAACCAAACGCTACATAACTTGGACCATTCGTTTTATCCTTTTTCGTTTCTTTCTTAAATCTTTGCGACCTTTTTGGAAAAATCAATGTCATTTTAAAATGTTTCTTGCTTGTTTGTACCAAAAAAACAAATGTGTCTTAAGCTCATATTCTTTTCGGATTGGAGACTATCTTGTATCCATCTAACAAAAAAAAAAGAGAGACTTTAATTGATCTCCAACTGCGTCATCTAAGCTAGTAAGACCGAAAACAAAAGTGTTTATCTTTCTGCATATTAGAACTATATTATTATTATTATTATTATTATTACTATTATTATTGCATATTAGAAAACTTAAGTCTCTCTTTCTTAAGCTCATAATATTTTCCACACACTTGCAACCGTAATTAAGATTCGTTAACCAGATAGACTATTTGTACTGTGCAATAATTTCTATCACTGATTGAAATGTTTTTTTTTTTTTCTAAAATGCAAGATGATATTTTGATAAAAAAATACTGTATGTCCTTTTCAGTTTTTTCATTCTTAAAGAACATAAGATTAAGAAGTACATTTTAAAATTTTCACACGACATGTTTTTCTTTTCCCAGCTTTAACACGACATGTGTGAGTTACAACCTTACAAATAGTTACAATGATGGCCAATAATTTCAAATGAAAACTGAAATACCAAATTCAACGGGCCCTGATCCGTTTCAATGATATCGGGCCTCTTGTCAGTTAATTACTGTATAAGGAAGAAACTAAATTACTACAAAATTCTTAAAGTTTTTTTTTTTTTGGTAAACAGAAATTCTTAAAGTTTACCCAGTAAAAATGCAAAGAAACTAAAATTTATGTATCTTTAATTAATTAAATTTGGTTCTTAAATGAATAAATATTGTTTAACTTTAATAGAAATTAAAATAAAATTGAAGAAGTCCTTCTCCAATATTACTACAATATTTAAAGACATAGTCAGAGCCGTGCTTTATGTGTTGGGAGTTAGGCACTAGCCTAAAACCACCAAAAATTAAGAAAAATTTAAGGCCACAATTTTATCAACTAGGTTCATATATATATAGTTAATTAATGAGATAAATATTATTAGGTTCTTTTTTAGAGAGAAGTTCATATACTATTATTATTGTTATTAATATTATTATCATAAATAAAGAGATAAATAAAAAAAGAAATTTAACTAATTGAAACAAACAGAATTAAAAAAGTTATCCCACATTGATATTCTAAAAGAGGAGGTATATAATTTTTCTTCAATAAATCAACATCATTAAGAATTTTTTTGAGCTTAAAACCTACATTCAAAACAAAATTTTGGGTTTGATCGGAACTATCGGGTTTTAACCATAGATATTCGCAAAATTTTAATTAATTTTTTCTGATTTTACCTAAGTTTTTAAAATTCGGTTTAATAGCTAATCCCAGATTGGCTTGTCAATCGATTCTCGGTTACACTTCACAAAGTTGTGGGCTAAATTCATTGATATCGGCCAAAGACGATATTTTTATAGTTTCAATTATTATTATTGTTGTGTATGTTTCAGACGATATTTTATACTAATCTTTTATAAGGGCTATATTTTTTTAGTTCGCTTAAAGCCACCACAGATCTAAGCACGGCACTGGACGTAGTTCTAACTATTCTGAGAATATAATATGATTGTTGTTACTTATTTTATTTTATAAAAAATAGCTTTTATTGTTTTTATATAATAACATTGACATACGTATTAAAATTGAATGTCATATATATATAACAAAGTATATAATTTTAAACCTAAAAAAATCTATTATCTTATTATAAATGGGTTGAAATGATTTGATCATCTTTTAGAGGAAAAATATAAATATTTTCCATTCAATAAAATGCAGCGTAGTAAGATGGAGAAAAATAAATGTAACGGATTCGTAAATACAAAAAAATAACCGAAGTTTCTATTTTTGAATTCAAAACAAAAGGATCAGTAAATGCAACTTGCTTAATCTTGGGTTACCAAAGATTCACAAACAACTAAGCAGTAGAGTTATGTTTCCAAAAAATATATGACATATACATAATTTTTAAACAAAGAAAGTGTAAATTGAAACGGACAGGAGTTAAGAAAGTCTTACCAAATAAAGAGATTAATTGATAATCTGAAAGTAGATAGAAAAGGAAACAAAGAATTATGTGGATGAAAATGGGAAAGAAGAAAAGTGATTTGGCATAAATTTTGAGTGAAAATATTTAAAGAATCAAAGGCATAAGGCAAAAAATAGTCTAAATAAGCCGTTTACTTGAATGTTACTTGCTAAACTTGTGGGATTCTATACCATAATTGTCAAGATTTTTAGACATTAATGATTAGCCCTATTGATCAATAAATAGAAGCAACTCGTGTTCCTCTCTGATCTCATTCTTACATTCACATACAAACCCCCTCACTTAAAAGGAGAGAAAAACTTTTGTTCCTTTGAGCATGGAACTCAACCTCGCTACGCCCACATCATGTTCCTCGAGCAGTATCTCATCCTCTTCGCAGGAGATCGGGTTTTTAACCGGTATCAAGGGGAAAATGAAAGAGAAGATTGCGGCTGAGCCAGCGACTGAGACTCCGAGGCTAGAGTTTCGCTTCTTGTTCAACAGCGACAACATAAGAAACTCTGGTTTTGGATCAGATTTAGATGAGGCAGAAGGGACGAAGGAGAAGGAGGCTAAAGCGAGGGTGTTTGCTTGCACCTTCTGCAAGAAAGAGTTCTCTACTTCTCAAGCCTTAGGAGGACATCAGAACGCTCACAAGCAAGAGCGATCATTGGCCAAAAGACGTAAAGAGTTCGAAATCAACTATCCTGGTGAGTACTCCTTCTACAGTCAATACGCACCAAGTGGTGTTTCCTACAACAGCAGCAGCTCCCAGTATGATCTTGGGGTTCGTTACAACCCCAACATTGGTAAATCTAAGGCCTACCCGTTCAACATCTTCAGATGTCGTTTAGGATACAGAGGGCTTAACATAAATTCCCATATCCCTCTCCTGTCCCACCTCTCGTGCCAAAAGACCGACGATTTGTCCAAAAATTTGATTTCAAACCTAGAAGGCAGCATTCATACGAATAGCGAGCAAGGCGAGGAACAAGATCTATCGGACTCTCATACTTGCAAGGATTCTGAGATAGACTTGTCTCTGAAGCTGTAGATTGTTCTTTTAAAAATATATTTTCGTTCAATTTTTCGTAGTCGTTTCTTGATTCCGCATACTTTCATATTGTGTTTTATTATTAAAAAGAAACAGACTTTGATTTCCCTGGTCTTCTATTTGATACAAAAAAATGTGTTCTTCTTTATTTTTGTGTTAGCTTCTAAACTCATATAAACTTTTAAAACGTTTTTATTTATTTAATGTGTGTGTAGAAAACAGCTTATTTGAGTACTTCTGATATATAAAGACTGGGAGAGTAATCCTTTAATACTTGAAATTGAACAATTAATATCATTTATTAGCAAATATCCAGGAAAAAAAACCGACACTTTTCAAAAGGTACAACTAAAACAGCAACACATAGTTGTAGCTCGTGGATATGTCGAGAATACCTATTATATATATACATCAAAAACACATAATGTAGCATGCAACCTATAGATGGGCATGCAAGTTGTGGTAATACTGTGATGTCAGTTAAAAGTTTTATTGTTAGGATGGGGTTTAAAGTGTTAATAAAAGGGTTATGTTGTGTAGAAGTTACTATACCACCAAACAATATCCTCTTACAAAGTGGGCGTGAAGCATTGGTAGCTTGTCTATCTAAATAAGTTTTTCTACAATGAAATCACAATAAAGATCAAACTCCTGTCTTGGGGTTATATCTTAGTGGGTGAAGGTTGCGTTCAATGACCCTCTCACTCTTCCCTCAACCACCCGCCACACTCTCTAGTCTCTTCTTTCCAGCCATATAAACCTCTCTCTCACTATACACACATAGTCGTAAGCAAAAGCGAAAACAGAGTAAATAGAGAAAGAGAGAGAATAATGGGTGGCATGAGAGTTGTGGTACCTATATGGCTGCTTCTTGCTTGCGTTGTTGCAAATTAAGGGGCATAGAAGCACCTGTGTCTTGTAACACAGTTGTGGCCAACCTTTACCCGGGTGCTGAGTACGTGCCACAGTGAGAAAGCATCCCGGGCAGCTGTTGCAACGGTATCAGGATGGGTCAACGGACAGGCTAAGAGCGTATCAGAGCGCCAAGTTGTGTATCGGTGCATCAAGTTTGCGTTGGGAGGTGTGTCTTACTCTTCCAAGAATCTAAAGAATCCTGCCACTTTGCCAGGCAAGTGTGGTGTCAGTGTCACTTACAAGATCGACCCTCTTCCACCAACTGCAACAAGGTAAGGACTCTCTCTCTCTCTCTCTCTCTCTCTCTCTCTCTCTCTCTCTCTTCAACTAGACAATTTCAAACAACATATATACTCTCTTCTTCTTTGGGCATCTATGTCTCTGTGGCTTTACCGCATTAAATGAGAGAAAAAAGCTGTTGCAAAGACGAAAAGATCCCAAGAAGAATAAAAGGAGGACATGTAACCTTAGCAAATATCTTTCTAACCTGTGTCCTGAAAAAAAAAATGTTCAATTTTGTTCCAATGTTTCAACCTCTGTCGGCCTTGTATAAATCCAAGTTTGAATCATAAATAAAATTTTAGATAAGGGAAAAAAAAACGTTCCATCGCCAAATGCCCCACTCAGCTCTATTATATAAAATCAATCAGTATTATTGACATACAATAATGTCCCTATGTATGACTCGAGAAAAAAAAAAAATAGAACACTCGAAACTGCATATAGCAATATTGTTAGTTGTTACCTCTTCGCCTTCGTTTAGAAAGTAACACAAAAAGAGAGGTGGAGAGTAAGTGAGGAGGAAACTACAGTGGAAAAGAGAAGGTATGACTATTAAGGTCAGGTTTTGATGTCAATTACTAATTTTCATATTTTTCATGTATTTTATTGTTTGTTAACAAATGTGTAAAGTTAAACTAAGTGGTTTCGGGACGACAAAAAAAAAACTAAGTGGTTTATATGCGTAAATTACTTTTTGATTGATTTCATTTTTTTGGAGTTTTGGAAGTTTGCATCTAAGTATTCAACCTACACTTGACTTAACAAGAAAAAGAAATCCAAACTAATTAAAATGAAAAAAAAAAAAATGAAAAAAAAAAAGTGCGTTTGTAAGAATCCCGGGAATTTAGCATAAGGGGGTATATTGGGTTGTTTATGGGCCCTGAATATGGACGTCAAGTAATTAAGTGGGCCTCCAATTTTTGTAAGAGAGAAACGTGTCAACGAATTGATGGAATTACTCGTTTTGTCAGTATATTAACAAGATTGCTTCGTTAGGCTTCCAAAAGCAAAACTAACAGCAAATTTATTAGAGAAACTCATATAAGTTTTTTGAAGAATATTAAAATAATAAAATGAAGATAAAAAACTCATTAAATTAAATTAAATTAAGTTTAGAATATCAGAGAAACCCACATCATCATCGGTGAGATTTGAGAAGAATAATAATGGAGAAAGTTAGGTCCAAACTTAGGGAAAAAGAAAGAGATGGGTCGTCGTCATCATCAGCCTGTGCTTTGTTGTTCGAGGTTCGTTTGTTTGACAGTGACGTTGACCGATCGTCTTCTCAGATCGACGAGCTCTTCTCCTCTGATTACCTCTGTTCGCGTCGTTGTTCATGTTGGAAAAGAGAAACGACGGAAAATCATGGAAATGGTGGAGAGGAATATCGAAAATGGTGGAGAAGACTCAGACAGAAAACAAAAAATAGCGTCACTGTGATTCGTATAGAGAAACAAGAAGACGACGAAAAAATAGGAGAGAGAGAAAATGTTGAAGAGAACCAACCAAACTCTGCCACTTCATCTGCTAGGATCGATCCTTAAAATCCTTAAATAAGGATCGATCTCTGTATTTAACTCCATTAATTCAATTAAAAAAAAAACTCATTAAATCAGAAGAAACCTACAAAAAACTACCGATAATCATGGTCTAACGCATTGCCAACAAAAATCTTATGTGCTGCCGACTCCTGCAGTAGAGATCGTTTTAGCTATGTCATTTTTCGGATTTTGCTTTGTTATCATACTTTTCCATTTAAAAGTTTAATTTTTTTTAAAAGACAAAAACAAACCCAAAAGATAATGACATAGGATGATGTTATCTTTCACTAAGTAAATCAATATCACAAATAAGTATACTATCTAGTCATAAATAATAGTATCTCACCAAGACATCAAACTCTTTACATTTTAAATGAGTAGCGAAAAAACGTGGGAGTTACAGAACCTAGTTCACTTATAGAACTTTATAATAAATGATTCCTTGCTGTCTAGCTAATTAACTCTATAAAGTAAAATAAAAAGACAAAATCGAGAATGATAATTGAAAATGACGACGCAGGTATATGTGAGTGTGAGCATAGTGGGCGTTGTTATGACTTATGATACACCAAACAGTTTGTTGCCACTTCTGATGATTTCATCCTTAAAAGATTGTTTATTCTCAGTGCTTTGTGCTTGTATGATTGATGATTCACCTCATCTCCCTTTTCCATTTTTTATTTATTTATTTATTAGCTCAACTCGCTATTCCTCTTCGATTTGTTTGATATATAAATCACATGTACAATCCTGATTCGAGGGACCCAATACAGTTACACTTGATACTGACTCATACATATAAATGTACGTGTTTATGTTTATACCTTGTCTTATAGACAAAAAATATCTGGCAAAAAGCGCCAACGAGAGAGAGAGAGAGTATCTAATTATCCTTTTTATATAAAAAAAAATTATGCTGTAATTATACAACTTTTACAAATTGTCTATCCACATAAGCCAGAATTAAAAGAAAGAAAAAGGGAAAAATAGTAAAAGCAGAAAAGAAGGGTCCCCACTTATGTCTAAACAGATAACCACAAAGGAGCAGCAGAGACAAGAAACATAGCCTAGACGAGACGAAGCAGTTCAACTTAATTAATTAGAATCCTCTTCATCACGTCTCTCCGGAAGCAGGTTAATTAAACAATTGGAGATCTTTCTCTCTCGTCCTCCTCCGAGAATGCACCGACTGCTACTCGAATTCCACGGTGGCGGGAACGAGACGAGCGACGGCGGCGGAGATGGGTACCTGAGGGACATGAACTTCGACGCAAACATGGTGATCATACTCGCTGCTCTGCTATGCGCTTTGATACTTGCGCTTGGGCTTAATTCCATCCTCAGATGCGCCATGCGATGCGGCTGCGGGTTAACCTCTGCTGCTGCAGCGGCGGCGGCAGCGGCGACAGTTGCGGCGGGTGACAGAACGGGATTGAAGAAGCGAGAACTGAAGAGGTTTCCGGTGGCGGCGTATGGGTCGAGCGAGGTGGAGATAGCGGCGACGGAGTGCGCCATCTGTCTGGGGGAGTTCGCGGACGGTGAGAGGGTCCGAGTTCTGCCGCCGTGTAACCACAGCTTCCACATGTCTTGTATCGACACGTGGCTTGTGTCTCACTCTTCCTGTCCTAATTGTCGGCATTCGCTCATCGAGATCCACGTGGCAGGATCTAGCTAGCTCCAAGTGATCTGATCTGATCTGATTGATTTAGGTACTCTTTAGTAATCGTAGCTTGGAGTTAGTAGTATTATTACTCTTTAGTTAATCATTATGGCTTAAACTTTTTGCTTACTAACTAGTACTACTACTTCCTAGGTATAAAAATAGATACAATACATGAGTGTTTAGACTTTTTTTAGTATAGAAGTATTCTGGGCCTCTATATACGTTTAACAGGCCCAAATAATGAGAACATCGTTTGCTGGTTAAACGAGACGGTTATAGATTTGGCTAGGTCTAGAGGGTTATTACGCGATGGGCGGTGATGGAGAGGAGAGGTATGTGTGGAAGCTTAGAGTTGGTGTGAGAGTAAGAAGATTCAGTTTGAAGCTCCATCTGCACAAGTACAACCTGCTCTCCTCTTGGAAGCTCCACCGATTGTCTTTCCTCCTCAGATTCCGAAAGCATCATCTCAAAATCCTTTCTCAATCCAAGCCCCATAAATTTTGCGTTCCCCTTTTCCACAAGCCCATTTTCGGATTCGGATTCTTTCGGAGGCGGAAGCGGGCAGTAGTGCACTCGCCTCAGCTAGTAGATCTAATCCGACACAAAACTAAATTGATCTGGAATCGATCCTTGGTTTTCTCAAACAAGTCTATTCTATTCTTCTTATTTTTATGCCTTCTTTTTGCTCTTGTTGTTGTTGTTGTCAACTGTTGTTAGTATGATCATATTTTTCTTCCATGTTCCAACCAAATTTCATGTCCGCTTAATAATAATAAAAAAAAAAAAGTTAGTAAAATCTTCTTGTTCTCGTACGCACGATTAACAACTAAATCTTACGGCTCATAATGCCATCCTTTTTAACTGGTTTTCTTCGAGCCCACAACATTCTAAGGCACATTATGCAGTTATTTTCGGCCCATTAACAAGAGCAACTGAACCGGGTTTAACGGTCCGGTTCGACCACTTCCGTTCCTTATCCCCCCCCCACCCAATTCTGGGGAAGAAGACTCTAGAGAAGGCGAAACACCGTCACTGTGCTGCTACCAATTTTATCGCCGGAAATGGCGGCACTATCGACTTCTTTTGTGTCTTCCATGCGCTTTTCTTCTTCTCCCGCGTCGTCATCTTTGCTATCTTTCCCCAAGCTATCGGTGCGGATTTCTCCCAGAACCAACAGATTCTCCAGTTAAGATCTCTCTCTCTTTCGTAATCTCAGTGACGAGAGTGTGGAATTTATTGATTTTACGCTGACGCTGATGATTTGCAGGGATTTATGCTTTCTCTAGCAACGACATCAAAGTCGGGACCAGCATCGAAGTCGATGGTGCTCCCTGGCGTGTTCTGGGTATTCTTCTTCTTCCTTTTCTTCTTCTTCTTCCTCTTCTTCTTCTTCTTCTGCAATTAGAGATCTGTTTCCCCTGCCTGGAGTAAATATTGAGATTTTGGTTGGTTCGTGGGCAGAGTTTCTTCACGTGAAGCCTGGAAAAGGTGCTGCTTTTGTGAGAACCAAAATCAGGAACTACGTCAATGGTAGCACTGTCGAGAGAACCTTTCGTGCTGGGATTTCTGTAAGCTCTACTTCGCTTTTCTTGCTCATTCAAGAATCATTCCCATCCAACTGCTCTTTTAGTGAAATTCGCTCTTGTTTTCGTGTGTTTGTTTTGTTTTTCAGATGGAGGAGGCAAATGTCTTCAAGGAGACTAAGCAATTCACATACAAAGACGGCTCTCAGTTTGTTTTCATGGACTTGGTACATATATATGTTTCTTTGTCTTCCATCATTGCCTTGCCTCATGTTTCTCTAAATGCCATGAAACCTTTTTGTTTGTTGCGCAGAGCACTTACGAAGAAACACGTTTGAACGAGGCAGATATGGGTGAAAAGACGAAATGGCTCAAAGAGGGAATGGACTGCAATCTGCTCTACTGGAAGGACAAGGCACCCCACCTCCTCTGTCTCTGTCTGTCTCACTGCTTTTATCACTACCAACTTATACACCTATATTCTCATCCCTGTCTTCCAGGTCATCGATTTTGAACTGCCCATTACAGTTCAGCTTAAGATTGTTGATGTTGATCCTGGCCTTCGAGGTGACACTGCACAAGGTAATCCTCTACATTTTTCTTATCTTATTGTCCAGAGAGTTGCGTAGATAAACTCCTAACCTAAGGAGGGTTGATGCAGGTGGAACAAAGCCGGCCACTCTGGAGACAGGTGCTGTTGTAAATGTACCGCTCTTTGTCAACGTAGGTGAAGACATTATGGTGGACACGAGAACCGGTGCGTACATGAGCCGGGTTTGAGACATCATCCCATCCCGCTAGGTATGCTGAGATGAAGATTTACATACAGTGATGCATTAATGGTTTTGTGTCAGACTGATTATTAGTTGATCGAACGCCCAGAATTGTAATGGAAATGAGGCAAATTTTCTTTTATACATATGTTGCAGCCATTTCTTGGATCATTATTATTATTATTCCCTTGGCAAGACGAGAGCACTGGTATGAGTTCCTCGCTTTGCAATGATGATGGTTCACCCAAATTACATTTGTATCATTGTTTGCATCTCGGAGAAGATTTGGGCCAACACAGCCCAAATGTCGGTCCACTTATTAGTCCAGTAACATACATTTTTATACCCTTTAATATAATTATCAAGGTATCACAAGACCGAGGCCGAAGGTGCTTTACTTGCTTTTTTTTTTTTAGTTTTGAGAGTGGAAGCCAACAAGTGGAACAATTAAATGGAGTAATATTAAAATTGTAAGATAAGGAATATACTATAGCAGTAATGCACTTTTTAGTGTGTTTAACGAGGAGAATAAAGGAGAGACACGACACGAGAAAAAGCCAAGACATAATGATGTTAAAAATGCACTCAAAGTGAGTAACGCTGAAGGGTAGTTCATGATTGTGTCTCATATCTGAATCTGAATCGCCTATAGTATAATTAGATAATTTAGAGTTATAGTGTGCTTCCATTCCATTAGGTAATTTTTATTTTGACAATACATATGTTTCTCCGGACCACCATGTGTAAGTGTGAAGTAATGTATGCATGGCTTAAACGAATGGAATTATGAGCGTATGGAAATTAGCTGACAAAAAGTATAACTGAATTGAATGTAAAGCTTTTGGGAGTAATAATAATTAATGAGAAATGAAAGCATTACAGTGGTGGGGCAATTCATAACCATACAATAATGAAAGCATTACAGAAAAAGCTCATGCTTGGACCCTTTGGAGACTTTCACTTCACAATAGTGGTGGACTTTACTTTTCTCTTTTCTCTTTCTTTTTTTTTTTGCTTTACTCGTGGGTATTAATTTTTTAAATTAAAAAAAATTGGAAAAGAGCAATAAAAAAAGGCAAGGAATGATTATTTATGAGCATAATAAATAAATTTTGTGACGTGTGTGAGAGACTCTGAGTAATGGTTTAGTGCGCCACACTGACTCTGTTAGACGATGTCTATTGAGAGAGTCCTTTACATTTTTTACTTGGGTTGTTAATGAATATTTTGTGTTAAAATAATAAAAAAGAAGCTAAAAATATAAGAACTGACCTTTGCAGTTTTTAGGGCTGATGCTTAAAAGATTGTTTATAAAAAAATATTATAATAATTTTAAGCAACTTTTAATAAAATCCTCTAATGTACATGCTCTTATACCTTCCTATATAGAAATCAAAATGTATGTGTGGAATCTCGCTTCTCTTTTCCATCATGCTTACTTTCCTCATCTTCTGAATATGGTACTAAACAGATTCAAATAATAACAAACAGAGAAACCTTAACACAAAGGCTCTTCAAGGAGTTAGACACTCATATCATATGTGGAATAAAGAGTTCCTTTGGACCAACAACACTCTTTTTTTAGTCATCTACTTTATGAACCAAACGTCAACTTTTTGATTAACTGCAATGAAATCCCCAAGTGTGTAAAGAGTCCACAAGTCAGCTGGTGAACTCACAAGAAAACAAAGCAATTTTTCCTTTTCATAGAAAAGATGAACTATATATTACCATTATATGAAAGCTGAAGAAGGAATAAAAGAAATACAGACAAGGATCGTTCCGTTTGTCACTCCAAGTCGTGAGAGGGGCACTGTATGAGCTCTAATATCTTAACCACTTCCTCCATCTCCGGCCTATTCGACGGCACTTGTGACCCACATACCAACCCTAGTTTTATCACCGGTATTGCCTCCTCCGCCGGAAAGTTTCCTCTCAGCCGACCGTCAACGCATTCCTCCACCCTCCCTTCCTCTAATCCCTCCCTCACCGTCTCACACAGCACCACCACGTCGTCCTCCGCATACTCCACCGGCCTCTTCCCCGTCACCACCTCTAGCACCAAGATCCCAAACCCGTACACATCGCACTTCTCGGTTATCTTGACAGTCCGGCATGCAAACTCCGGGGCTGTGTACCCCAACGCGCTCTGTACCTTGCCACTCAAGACGCACCTGTCTAGCGTCGACGCCAAGAGCCCGGCCAGCCCAAAGTCAGAGACTTTAGCCTCCCCTGTGGCGTCTATAAGCACATTCGTTGATTTCAGATTGTAGTGAGTGATGTTACTGCCGTGCAGATAGGCCAGACCTCTCGCTATCCCTAGAATGATGCTGAAGCGTTGACGCCACGTTAGGCAAATGCTCTCGTCCCCATGGAGATGTCTGTACAAGCTTCCCCCTGAGACAAACTCGTGTATCAGGAGCTGCAGCGATTGCGTCCAGTAGTACCCTTTGATCTCCACCACGTTCCTGTGCCTCAGCTTCCCGAGTTTTCTCATCTCTCTCTCGAACTCCTCCTGCGACTTAATCAGACCCGAGACTGTTAGTTTCTTGACTGCCACAGGACGCCCATCCTGGAGATGCGTCTTGTAGACCACTCCGAACCCACCACGACCCAGCTCGCAGTCCTTGTTGAGCAATGCATTTGCGCCCGTGGTGTCAAACACATCCGCTTCGCCTGAGAACATGACCAGCTTCCCGAATTCTTGATCTTTACTTGGCGAACAGCTGAATGTTTCTCCAACCGAAAAAGCCAGAGCAGCAGCAGCAGCAGCCGCATCGTGGCGGGAAAGGCTAGATCGGGCATGCACGTTGAGCAGAGTGACGGCCACCACTCCGATGGCAATGAAGGCGGCTGCGCCAATCGCAATGAGCGCGGATATGCTCAGGACGCTCTTCCTGATCTGACCGCTGAGAGGTGGAGCATTTGCTGGATTGGAGGAGTTGGGATTGAGGACGATTGGCTTGGGGTGGACAGAGAGACATGAGCGGTTCACGACGGAGCCGCAGAGGGATGGGTTTCCGGTGACGGCAGAGAGAGGGATGGTGTTAAAGAAACCTCCAGATGGAAGCTCCCCAGTGATGCTGTTGTGAGAGATGTTGAAGGTGACAAGGTGCGAAAGTTTCTCTATTTCTTTGGGTAAGCTTCCGGAGAGATTGTTCCTAGACAAGTCTAGGTAATCGAGGTTGCTCAAACTGCCAATGCTCCCTGGAATCCCACCGGATAGCTTATTCTCCGACAGATCTCTGCACAACCATAGATTGCTACATTATTACGGCGATGAGATAGTTAAACAAAAACACACACACACACAGAGATAGACAAATTTAGAAAAGATAAGAGCTTTGAGAAAAGTGACAACTACATTACAACGAACTTACATTGCGTTTAAAGCCGAGCAGTTTGAGATCTGAGCCGGTATCTGGCCGGTAAGGCGGTTTCTCTGCAGATAAAGTTTTTTCAGGGAGACGGCTCCTCCCATCTCAGAAGGAAGTGTTCCGTTGAGAAGATTACTACTGAGATCAAGAATCTCTGCGACTTTCAATCCTCCAATGCCGCTCGGTATGGAACCGAACAGAGAGTTGGTCGACATATTCAGCTGCACCAAACTTGTGAGGATCCAAATGTTAGACGGTATCTCTCCGGAAAACCCATTCGACGACAGATCTAGAACCCGAAGGCTTTGAAGAAACCCAACCGTGGAGAGGAAAGTGTCGTTGCCTGATCTTTTGTCGAGGCTAAATCTTGAAAGCGAGGAACTTTCCGAGTTTCGGTTGAGCATCCACCTGAGCACATCCCCGGTGAGTGAATTCTTGCTCACATCAATGGAGATCAAGTTGGAGCAGTTGGAGATGGTCTGTGGGATCTCCCCAGCGAGCATGTTTGTGGATAGATTCAGCACCTTCAAAAACTCGAGATTGCCGAGAGACAAGGGGACATTGCCGGAGAAGTTGTTGGCGGAGAGATCCAGAGTCTCGAGAGAGGCCATTTCACCGATCCAATCAGGGATTTCTCCGATGAGAGAGTTCCCTCGCAGGCGAATCGTGGTGCAGGAGCCGAGGGTTTTCATTGAGTTGGGAAGACTCCCGGAGAAGTAATTGTCGCTGAGGTCAAGCGATGTCAAGGAAGAACATGTTCCGATGTCGGAAGGAATATCACCAGAAAACCAGTTTTTGGATAAGTTAAACTCACGGAGATCATAGAGACCGCCGATCCCATCGGGGAGCAATCCCTGGAGGAAATTCACAGATAAGTCTAGGGATTTCAGGCTCTTGAGGAACCAGATTTCTCGTGGCAATCTCCCAGAAATCTGATTGCTTGAGAGGTTAAGATGGGTGAGCGTAGAACAGTAGCTGAGGGAGACAGGAAGAGGACCCGTGAGTTGATTGTTAGCGAGGGAAACGGACCTCAACGACCCGCATTGCTCGAAGAACCCGTCTGGGATCCGACCCGAGAGATTATTGCCGCTGAAATCGAGGACCTGGAGGGTTCCGAGGTGAGGGAACTCGGGGTTTAGGGTTCCGGTGAGGTTGTTGTTGGAGAGGACTAAGGTGTGGAGGAACTGGAGACGGAGAAGGCCACGGCCGATGTGTCCGGAGAGAGAGAAGCCGTCAAGCCGGAGCTCCGTGACCCGATTGCTGCCCGGGTCGCATACGCATCCGGCCCAGTTGCAGGGATCGTAGTCTTCGGCGTTCCAAGAGGCGAGCTTGGAGTAGGGGTCGTCGAGCCCAGCCTTGAAAACGATGAGACCCAAAACGTCGTCGTTGAATGCCGGGTCTGCAGTCACTACTGAAACGGCGAGGAAGAGGAAGAAGCTGAGTGAAGAAACGGCGTCGTTCAACATTTCCTCAAATAAGGGCTTTTTTCTTTCCCAAAAAAAACAAAAACAATAAACGAGGGGAAAGACTCAACAAGGCTAGTCCGCCATGGATGCTGCAGAGCTCAAGTAAGGTTGATGCTGGAGACAGGAGATAACAAAGCAAACAAAAGGCTTCCCTTTTACAGGAAAGTAAGAGTCTCAAATGAGTTTTAACATCAGCAGAAGAAACTCCCCATTAATAAGTCGGCTGTTAAAAACTTCCCGGAAAAATGAAACAGACGGCAGCTCGAGATGAAGAAAAATGGGCAGACACTGAAAGGGTATGAATAGAGAAGGAGGAAAAAACAAAAAAGCAAGAGTAGAAAGGGAAGGGAGAGAAGGTAGAGAGCATTAATGGCCGAATCAAGACCCCATAGTGTTTTGTTATTAGAGATTTGAATGAGCTTATTAGCAGAGAGAGAGAGAGAGAGAGAGAGAGAGTTGGAAAAGAAAAAGAGAAAAAGAGAGAGAGAGAGAGAAATGAATGTGTTGTAAACGGCGTAAGCCCCGGAGAGGAGGCTTAAAGACTTCAAGTCCAGGAGACAATCTTCTCCCCGCTTTTTTAATTCTTTACTTTATTTTAAAACAATGATAAAAAACCATTCACGCTTATGATCATAGTATACTATCAGATTTTTTTTTTTAACTAACTTATCAAATGAAGAAAAAAAATGGAATGAGCAAAGAGGATGGAGTAGAAGAGAAGGGATCCTTTCTTGTCCCTTAGCATGCAATGCTACGCCATCATTTCCTTTCCCCTCTTTTTGTTCCCTTTCATTTTTCAAAATTTTAATGTTAATTATACTAACAGATTAAACTGAAATGATTTATGAAGATGGTGTAGAGCTTCCACACCTCAAGCACTACTATACTCGCATCGCATGTGTCTACTAATCTCTTTAGATTATATAATATGTTTTTTAACATATAATTATAATCACTTCAATGCACACTGTGGAGAAGTGGCGTAAACGGTGCTCACTCCATCTCAGGATCTTCCCGTTGACTTACTCTCGCTCCTCATTGTAATTCTATTATTTTTATAAAAAAAAATCAAATATATATTAATTGGTTTTTCTGTGTGGATTCATAGTTGAATGGAATTATGGAAAGATAATTTTTTTCTTTCTTTATAGTGAATCGGGGAAACCAAATATATTATTCAAAAAAAAGGAAGACAAAATAGGGATAATAAGTGATATGATGATGACGGTAAAAAAAAAAGGCCTACCAAACGATCTCATGACTCTACCTTTGTTTCATTCCCAAGCAACATTTCAACACTTTAACATGTGTTACATTCATTCTTACATTTAAAAAAAAATATTATGATGTTTGAATAACCAAACTCTTAATTAATGAAAATTTGTTCAGTAGATATTCACAAAGGAGAAATACTCAGCTTTATTTTGAAGTCAGATGTACTGTGAATCAAGACATTACCATTTTCCCTTCAAAGATGAATTGTTAAGCCATTGTCAGGTATAGAAGCATCCCTTCTTCTTAATAAAAAAAAAAAATATGTACTCTAATAATTTTGTATTTGTGCCTGATGTTTACTAATAAATGTATAATTGACACCCAAAAAAAGAACAAAGAAAAAATAACAAATGTATAAGGACCAAACTAACGGATGAACCTGACCAGTATTGTTTTTATAGCGTCGAATCTATGATATGAAAACAATAAGCAGCATAAGAAGGACTTAAAAATAATAAAAAACGGCTAGTTAAAGTGCATATATATGATCAAAGCTTGAAGTCTGAAGCTGAATTGAGTGAAGACTATGTTCTTACAACTCAAGCTGAGAAGAAGGTTGAGAGTTGGGATGGTTATCGAGAGGCATGTATTGCGCCATTATCGCTCTTATCTCTGAATCCATATATGTCTGCGCATGCATAATAAACAAACCTCACAATCAATATATATCCAATTCCAAACAATATTGAAACAAAGTATAAATGCTAGAGAAGCAAATACCCGGATTCTGTATTTGTAAACAGTATAAGCTCCCAAAGCAGCTGCTCCCAATCCCATTACTATTATCCATATTACCCCCCAGCTTACATCTCCTCTTGCATCCTTACCTGTGCACAGTTAAATTCAGTTTAGTTAATAAATTTGTCTTGATGATCGCGGTTTTGTTCCAAGAATTATTTGATGAATGGTGTATAAAATATACTTATGCAAATGTCGTGCTCTCTGATGTAAAGCAGGCTTCCGCTGCAGCTACATTCATAGCTTCCCCATGTGTTTTTGCATTTGCAGCCACGACACTGGCACGCTGTTTTCTCCTCGCACTCATTCACATCTGAATTTATTTATACATATATGATCAACAACATTTTTGGGTTTTTTTTATATTTTATTTCAAGCTCTTATATTCCATAAATAGTTTTATCCTAATACCTTCGCAGTTTTTAAGCCCATCTCCTTTGAATCCGGGAGGACATTTGCAGCCTTTCGAATGATCATCCTAACAGCAGCAAGAAAAGAATAAAAGAAAAAATAGAGAAAAAGTCAATATTTTAGGATATGTGTGAGTGTGTGAGAGAGAGAGAGGAAATGTGAAAACAGAGGATGAAACTTAGTTTAGTTGAGGTAGTACCCGGCAAGCGGAATATGTTCTTCCCATTTGAGTATGTTTCCAGCATCCTCCATTGTTTATTCCACAACGCAATGCCCCTGACGCTGCAACATCCCAAGTTTATACGTGTGAATTTCATTTACGAATCATAACATATATATACTTTGAGTTTTTTTTTACCTTCACAATGTGTGTAACCGTCACCCAAAAATTTGACACCTTGAACAATGGGACATTGACATACTCTTCCTCTGAAAGTGTCCTGCAACATTAAGACATTGATGCCCTTCTTTTAATACAACATACATGTAGATATGTACCAACACAAGAATGATTCTTTAAGATCTTACACACCCTGCAAGCTGTAATGTTGGTTGTCTTATCTTCCCAACACCCTCCATTGTTTTGTAAACACTCATTGGTTTCTATGTCTGCCCAAACACAGAATTAATCCAAAACCAGGCGTTTACAGTAGTGAATATCTAACAAATACATCAATGAAGAAATGTACATTTAAGCAGAGAGGACCTTCGGTTAAGCAGATGGGTGGCTCAGTCGTCTCACGAAACCCTGAGCAAAGGGCCTTAAGAACCGCCGATCTCTCCAACTTCCCTGTGATAATTAACAAAGTCTAATCAGTTAATATTGTATTGATTTTTCAAGAACATGTCTACATTGAAGGATTTGCCTGCTTCTCACCTCTGTATTGTCTGTTGTTTATCACAATAGTTGGTAGTATTGTCACATCTCCTCGCGAGCCTTTCCCAACCTAACAATATCAGCAATCAATAGTGTTACTAGTTTGAAGGCTTACATTTCTGGAAAATAGGAAGAAAAAAAAAAGGAAGCGAACTTGTGCTTCTTGTTCATCTCTAAGAACGGGATTCTCAGCATTTGCTTCGATGTCTCCAATGCATTTGTCTATTTTCTTCACATCGACTCCTACTTGAAAAACATAGAAAAAAGAAACATCTTACAAAAAAAAAAAAAACATGGGAAGAGACATGCCAAGATGTTAGGTCACCTAGAGAATGAATGACTTGATCGGCACATTGCTTGTTGTACTTGTTCTGTTTCATGGGACAACGAATGGCGAAGTCGGTAACATAATCCCACCAAAGCCAAGGTTTTCCACTATCATTCATCACTCTGAAGAAGCAAGCTTGGCGTAAATTCTGAACGATCACGTCTTTCCCATTGTATCCTCTGGAGAAATCTTGCTCAGGGTCGGGAGCGCAATACCTTCCTCCGTTGATGCATTGCGTTTTGCATTGTCTGCTTGCCAGAAAGGCTTCAGGACAATACCAGGTGATGTAGTGGGGAGTGAAGCGAGTGTAGCCTCCTTTCTCAAGAATCTGAGCAGCCCCTTTAAACCTCTTAAGAAACCGGATCTGCGCATCACATTTGGGTCCGCATTCATCATTGCTGTTGGTCCATAGCTCGTAGGCTACTCGGTCGTTTGGGTGTGGAAGAGCCTCCCGCCAGTCCAGACTTATATGAACGGGTTCACCGTGTGCTATGGCCGTTTTGATGGCGTCCCCTAGAGACCTGCTCACCAGCGCTGAAGGAATCGTGATGTTTTGCAGGTAATCTGCATCAGCCGTCTCGTCCTCTGGCGAGTCCATGGTGATGAGTGGTTCGGGCCTGTTATCCGCCACCAGGATTGTAGCGGCACCAGCTCGTTGCGCGTTCCAGGCCTTCAAGGTGAAGTAACAATCTGGGACAAATCACAAACAACATCATTATCATCATCTTTTTCCCTAGGTGCCTTGCCTCACAAGTCATCGCATACGGATTCCTTGTGCAGAAAGTCATGACCGTTTTCTTGTGAATATCAAAGAAAGAATAAAGCAGAGGAAGAGAACAGTGGGACCTCCTCGATCGACGAGAACGAATGTGGGCAATCCAGCGACTCTGGATCTGAAAGAGATGTCGAAATCATCGAAATTCTTGCAAGACTTGTGGTTAGCTTTGGGGTAAACGACCGCGCCGGACATGCTTCCGCCGTACTGAGGGACACCGAAGTTGCCGAGGGCGCATTCGTAGATTCCTCTGATGGACTCAGGCGAAGTCACTCGCAGGTTGTTCTTCTCCACCACGAACCTCCCCGTGCACGAGCCCGTGAACCACAACATCACCCATCCCATTACAGCTAACCTTACATTCTCCGGCCTCGTCATCATCGCAGGTGCGATATTCTACTCAGCTTGATTTCTGAAAATGGGCAGCCACGAAAATGTCCAAATGTTTCACCTTTTTCTATTTTTCTCTCTCTCTCTTTTTTTTTTCTTTTGTCAATTGAAACTTTCGCTTAAAAGAATTGAAACTGTCAAAACAGACTCACGACCACCAGTGAACAAATATATCTATCTTCCGCTTCTACTGGTTGACGTGGCAATGAACACCGTGAAAGTGTTTGGGCCAAGTTACCTAATCTATGGGCTATTTCATCTCGAATGTACTAGGCCCATCTTTGAATTTCTCAAGTTATTAGAAGCCTTAACCATGCAAGCTTTTCCGACCCATTAAATTTCCCATGTATTAGGTCAATGTTTCTTTTAGTTTTTGTAATTTTGTTAAACGAGTTTTAAGCTGTTTCGATGATATGGTAACTGTTTTATTTTCCGGTTGATATCTATTATATTAAAACAGAAGTATATTTAGTTATTGCTTCTAAAAACTCCCAAAATTTTTTAAAAATATTTTGAAAAACAGTTTTAAAATTATCCTAAATTATTGTAATATTATTTAAAAACATATTTTATTTTTTATATAAAAAAAATTCGAAAATTAGATATGAATAGTTTTGATTTAATTTTACCAAATCAATAATTTTGGATTTTAGTTTACATTAGTTTTAGATTTTAGTTTAAAGGAAAATACATTATGTCGTTTGACAAAAAATAATAAAAAAAGAAGGTAATAAAGAGGTGTATTTTTTTATTAAGAGAATACCTTATTATATTTTTTAATCATATTCAATCAGAATAAAATTTCACATATTGAAAACTAATAAATATTAATATTGGGGTAGATTAGGTTTTTTTATAATTGCAGTCTTATATTCAAAACATGCAAAATATTAAGATAAATATTATTTCAAAATTAATAAATAATTATATTATATAGTAATATGACGGACGAACTAGAATTATGGTTTAGTAACTACAGTTTTTTCGGATTAATAGAATGGGTGAGTTAAAAATATATTTTTATAATAACGGTCTTTTTTCGATCAATAGAATGATCGGGTTAGAATTATGTTTTTATGATCATGGTCATAATATATTAGAAAAAATTAAAAAATAAATTATATATAAACACAAAAATAAATCTTTGTTATTTATTAAAAAATTATATCTATAAATAAAACATAAATAATATTATAAATTTTAATGAAAAAAATTTCCCATGCGGATGCACGAAGTAAAATCTAGTTAGAAATTAAACTACTGAACTTCACTCTTTTTAATTATGAGACGCAGACCATTTATCTGGTCAAACAAAATATATATATATATATATTTTTTTTTCTAAGCATCTTACTTTAGGTTCATAAAAGTCAAACAAACCAAAATCAAATCGTAATTTGGACTCTTACATCCTAAATCTCTAATACTGGATTTAAAAAAAAAAACAAATGAACAAATTATTTTTCTTTGACAACGTTGTTAACGTATTTTTCAATTTTAAAATTAGAAACCTTTGTTATTTCCAGCCTATATCTCTTGGTAATTATAATGGATAGAATGTCTTAATTTGTTTGTCTAATAAAAGAACGATGGGGATGTATCATATACTAACTTTGAATTTTATCATATGATTATGAGCCTATATTTTTTATAAAATGTAACAATATTTATAGATCCACCAAATTAGGATGATACATTTTTTTGGTTCAGAATAGAATGGTAAATTAAGAAATCAGAGGCTACGCGCCGACCGAAGAGGCACGGAAGAAGGTGGTGACGATTATGACCAGAAAAGTGTGAATGTTGCAGTATGTTTATACTTGACCGATCTACCATCAATTCAATTTAGAATGAGACTTTAATTTTCCCCACACGGACGTCGCTTTCACCCTCGCATCTTACTAACCTCAGCTTTTGGAGTCATCTTTTGAGTAATATATGTGTATAATATATATATATATACTTATATGAAGTTTACATTAAGCATATATACAGTTACCAATATGAAAGTGTAGAAAATGCATTACACGTTTATAATAAAAATAACAAGAAGTTTAATCCTAGATTCTCTGTACGTAATATCAGAGCTAATGAATTTCTTTTTTTTTAAAGTATATTATAAGTTCGTTTTTATATATTATCGCTAGGTACATGACTACATGTCCCTTTATACAAACATGTGCACATTGACATGCATACATACACATGATGTTGGCCATACCAATGCCTGGAAAAAAGAATCTTTGACGCATATTTTAAGAAGAAATTATTAGGTTCGTGTCGGTTTATCCGATTAATCCCTCCTACCTAGATCTATTATATAAAATCCATGACAAGTATATATCTATATTAGTCGTGCCATGGATCATGCATAGATTATACATCTTGAATGATTAAGGTACCAAACAGTATTCGTCATCTTAACTTTTTGTTTTCTAGGATACTTAACCCGCTTCTATCTATATGGGGTGGGTACTTGATTAGGATAATCTTAATTATGCGTTTTTCTATTGCATCATATGATCTAAGCTCACAATTAACAAAAACAAAGGGGCAACATGAAATGTTAAATGCTATACTTTTAAGTAAATAAATTAAGTGAGATGCTTTGATTTTTCTGTTTTCCTTTTAAAAGCATACACATGGAAGGATAACTATATTCTTGGCTCATGAATGAACCTGTGTGATGACTTAATTAGTCGAAAGAAAATCCCTTTAATTGACCTAAAAAGAGATATATGGTTTACAATAAAATGAAAGGATATATAATTAATAATTAGTTAGTGGGTACTTAGGGCACAATGGTCAAGTAGGTCTCTCTGTCTTTCCGATCTGCTTCAGTGGCAAGTTCATTGACCTGATCAACAATTTATTTTCTCACCACTTTTTGACCCTCGTGTTAGAAGTTTGTACAATTGATCAGGTCGGTCTCAGAGAGATTTTTATTTATGAGAATAATAATATATTAAGAGAATATGTATAACTTTTAAATATATTTTTTTCTCATAAAACCATCAGCAAATCAATATCCTTGATTACATACAAAATTTATTGCAAAATATTTCATTATTGTGATGGATGTGACGAACAACATTTTGTACTGAGGATGGAAAATAGTTCCAAGAAACTGTGCCCAACACAGAGTTTAACAAGGTTTATGATTTTCAATTTTTAGCCAATGATGGAGTGGGAGAACTCCGGCAACTGAAAACAATGGTCCGAAAAAAACAGTGGTCGAACAAATTTAAATTGATTGTTCATATGGAATCCAACTCTTCAATGTATTTCGGTTATCCTTTTTAGTATCTTTTTGCATTTCGCTTTGATTTTTTTTTTTTTTTTTTTTTGGTATTTCCGTTCCGCTGGCGTCTTTCTTAATTTGTAACTCTGCCGTTATCCTTTTCGATATCCTTTACTTTTTTTTTCACTAACTTCATTCTTATTTTGTATACTCTATTGTACATTAAGCAATTCATAAGAATATCCTTTTAAAAAAAAACTATTGTACATTAAGCAATTCATAAGAATATCCTTTTAAAAAAAAAAAAAAAAACTCTTCAATGTACAAGATATCCACCAAGTACTCTAGCTATATCGGCATCAGCGTCGCCCACTTTTGATGGCCCCGTGAATCCGTGATGGTAAACAAAAGAAAGCTTGGCAACAGTCCAGCACTCATTTGTAATATTTAATCTGGTTATATAATATTGACTCAAAACAAAAAGTATGGGGAATGATATATATATGGTCATGATAAGTCACTTGATGTATGAAAAGGGTTAAACCCGAAAGCCTCGACCGCGAGGGCAACCTCGGAGGACATCCACTGAGATGGAGACGACCACTCTTCTGGTTTCTCATGAGGTGACATCATGTAATCATCTTTGAGATGAATCTGATTCTGATGCTGATGCTGATGTTGATGTTGATGTTGATGTTAATGGGTGGAGGAGTTTGGGTGATCAAATCGGATCATGTGGGAATCTTGTGGATCAGATTCGTCAATGGGGAAAGTTGCATAGGCTTGATGAAGCTGGCATGTGTGGTGGCCGAAGTAAGTGGTTGAGTACAACGGAGGGTTGTGTTGGATCATCTGCACCTGCTTTTTTGCTTCACAGTTCTGGTCCTTTGTGTACGCACACTTGTAGTAACTCCTGCCATTTTCATCATATATACTCTTTTTTTTTTTAATCAACTGAAAACCACCAAGTAGTATATATGTGTATGCGAGAATGTGGATGTGTATATACCTTTGGTGACCAGATTCCTTGATCTGCTTTTGTCCGTATTTCCTCCAGAGAAAGCCGTCGTGGTAGATCGGGTTTGGGGATTCGTGTCTACGGTAGTCTGAGCTCTCTGCCATTGATGTCTTTCTGCAACCACGAGAGGGGTTATCATGATATGTCATATGAGCAATCATTTCTTTCTTTCTTGAATCATTTGAACTGATTAAGTGAGATCTATAATTTATGTATACCTTCCCCTCTTGTTAAGCGACTTCCTGCCGCTCTCAAGAACAGGAGAAGAGTCCTGGGGAGATGAGTTATTGGATTGATCGTCTTGGTGATGATGATGATCATTAGTATCGATCAAGATGGAGAGAGCATCCGAGAAACAATGGAGGACGGACTTGGCCAGATCCTCCCTTTCCATTGACGTGTCTGATTGGGCTTGGTCCATGATGAGCTTGAGCTGGTTAGCACACCCATGTCCGTGAAGCAGCGTCTCCATGGCCTTTTGTTGGCAAGACTTCATCTTCTGATCTAAATTATGACTTGTGATTACTAGCAATTTTTCTCTGGGTTTGATGGGATCAAGGCCTCTTTTATACTAGTATATTGATGAGCTTGTTGTTGGGAAGTTTCGTATGTGTTAATTTACTATACACTCCTTGATTAGCTTCTCCATCGGATGGATATATATATATATATATATACAATACTACTATTATTATTGTTATTATTATTATGTTGTAATGCTTCGAATTAGGAACGTGCGGATTAATTGAGTGGCCCCTTGTGTTGAGATAACCCCATGATATAAAAGACAAAAACAACGAGTGAGTATTACTAGTTGACTTAACTACCCAACAGCTCTTTTAATTATTAACTAAGTATTCCAATTACTTGCAACAATTATATGTGTAAAACCCATATCTGATAATAATGACATTTTTTTTTTGACATGTCGAATTTCTTATCTCTCTGCATTTTCTTCTCTTTACGGTAATATAAAGCGATGATTTCCATCGGACCATATAAATTCAGGAATATCCCTTACAAATATAGAATTAGGAAAAACTTAATTCTATCAACCATGTAACTTGAATTTAAAAGATCATATTGGTCTGTTTCATCAACAACAGTGCATATATCATGTGGCATGGCACCTGAGAAGATGGAACGCCGAATTAACGGGCGTCGAAAACGGAGGAGCCAATTTAAACGGCACAAGTGAGTGAGCTCCGTCAAAAGTGACGTCAGGCGTCGTGACCTCACTTATGCTACGTCATGGATGGAAGGTTTAACTATTATGGATGACAAATCATCATTATATAATGCATTAATCTTAGTCTAATCTCATCATCCAACGAATAATGCATTAATCCTAGTCTAATCTCATTATCCAACGATAGAGATCAACTTGCTGCGAAAGGGTTTCTTTTTTTTTTTTGTTTATAAAATACGCGATTTACGCATGTGCTTTCTTTGGATTTCAACTTATGTTTCTTTTTCATAAATGTCTAGATCTAGTACCCGGCGTATTACTATAGCTTCAACTTTTCATTTCCCTTTTCTCCCTTTATAAATAGCAATTAAGTATCATCTTACTTTTAATTAAGCTACATAAATCATTACGACCTTTGCTTCTGATTCAATATCGGCGGCTGGCCATTTTACGTTACGACTTTCCTATGACTATCACAAATTTTTTTTTAACCCTAACTATTTTTTGTTAAACAACTCTTATTTAGTTATTATTGTTTTTATTATGTGAATTTAATTGTTTTTCAATAAACATTTAGGACTTGCCTTACTTGGCCTTTCCCCCCATTTTATTTTAATTTATGATGTGTTCTTAGCATATTATTGTCGGGTTAACATGCTAGCTCCCTTCGGGGATTATGATGTTCATTGTATTCAGATTGTTTTTAGACCAACTATTTTATTAAAATGTTACTTTTTAGGTTACTTAGTTCAATAGCCGCAACGTTAACGGATCTGTTAATTATCAAGTTGGTAACTTAATGCCTCATATATGGTAATATGCAACTATTGAACTACAATGTGCATGCATATTACCATATATGAAACTATATATACTACAATGTGCATGCATATTACCATATATGAAACTATATATACTATAGAGAAGTTGGAATTAATCACGTTCTAATATAAATGGTGTGGATGAGGTGTGTTTTGTCGTTTCTTGTATTCAACTTGGTGGGGGTTAGATCTTACTTTAACAACTGATAGATTTAATTGTTTTATACGAAGAAACAAAAATAAAAATAAAAAGTGATCAATGATGAGCCACCTAATTATAAGTACTTAATAGATGCGATAGCAATAATAGTTGTTCGATTGTTTTATGTTTATAAACCCGTATGAACGCGGACCCCATGCTTTCATTGTTTGGGCATATTTTGATTCCATATTTTCCAGTTTAATACTAATTCGAGGTTGTGTTCCAGTTTAATACATACTAGTAATTTCTTGAGCGTTTCTTTAAGAAAGAAGAGTAAAAGCTAGTAGCAGCTAATAGATGGCCTTGAATGTTTGGGCTAACGTAAGTAATGCTTCTTAATTTTTTTGTTGGTCGACATAATCTTAATCTATACTCCTAAATTTAGAATAAAAATATAACATCATTTTGATATACTATTTGTTTACGGAAATACAAGTAAACTTGTAATGTAGGATCAACAAATAAAAGAAAAATTTAATTTAGAGATCTCAATTTGGTATTATAATATGATCAAAGGCTGGTGTTTTTTAGTAGAGAAAAAAATAAAAGCGCGAGAGAGAGAGCAAAGATGAAATAAAAATTGGGCCTATGGATGAGAGAAAGGGCCCAAGATAAAAAGGGGATTGTGTAGTAACAAGGCATTACAAAAATCAGAAGGAGAGAATCAATCAATCAAAAGGTGGGCCTGGCCTAGTTGTTTGCTTCTTCGTCATCTAATCTATCTCGACCGAGCTATCTTCTTCCGGTTCCTGAAATTTCAACAAGTCAACAAAAACAAACAAACAAACAAACAAACAGGTTCTGTCTTTAGTTGTTAATCGCGAAAATGAGATAATTTTAATGGATAAGATGGCATTACGAAGCTCAAGCGTTTCCTCTTCTCCTGCTCTTTCGCTCTCAGAGATCGGACCGGGGATATTTTCTGACGACAAATCACAGTCGAGTCGGGCATTTTTAAATTAAAATATTAATTTGAGAAATCAGAGAATAAAATAGAGAGATATTTTGGTTGGCTTACGGAGGAAAAGGCGTGGAGCTCCTTTAGCCTAAAGAGACGATCGACCTGGATTTCAAGCCTTTTCTGGATCTCTCCTCTCTCCAGGAGATGTTTCATCTGCACTTCCATGGCCCCTTCCCTCTCCTCCAGCAATTTCTCTGTCCTCTCCCCATCTTCTCTCAGCCTCTCCAGTTTCTTCTTGACGGCGCTCAGCTCCTCCGCAAGAGAAGCGTCCATCGATTCAACCACCGGAACCGGAACGGGAAGAGGAAGTTTCTCCTTGGAAAAAAGCAGCTCATCTTTGGGCTTCTTTAGAGTTTCTGCTGCTGGGACAAGGTAGATGTTTCTGGGCTGGAGAGCCTTTCTCCCTGAACACTTCATTTTCTTTCTTAACTTTCTTCTTCTTCTTCTTCTTCTTTTCGGTTGTTTGCTTGGCAGCAAATGGATTTATTATGCTTCTATTAGACGTAAACCGGAATGGTTTAATGTTTTGTTAATATTATAACTTGTATATAATAGCTTTTTTTTTTTCTTTTGAATTTGAATTGGGTTCGGCGCTTAACGGCTACTTTTATTTTCTTCTTTTTTTCTCCTTTTTATTTTTGTCGCATTGCTTCTGATGAATCATGTTTCATTCGTCTCTTTCCGTGTGAAATGCTGAAATTGTCTCCTATATTTAATTCTTTCTCTTCTGATTCGGCAATTGTAGTTATATTTATGTTATAGTTAGAAAAATTGGATCTACCATATGTTTTAGAGGTTGATGGAATTAGCCACTCTCTTAAATTAGCAGTATTGGCCAAGAAGAAAATCGTTTGTTTTATATTTTCCCACCGAAAATATTTAACTTTATTGAGATGGGCTTTTGTTGGGCCAGTTGAAATTGGGATTGAACTTTGTTAGTTTCACCACACAAAACAGACACAACAAATGAAAAGTTAAACGGCCTTGGGTGAAGAAGATCCGACCAAAAAAAATCGCTCCAAAGAAAGAAGAAAAGATAAGATGGCTTCTCTTCTCTCTCCCCCCATCGCCGGCGCATTTCAGTCGCATCTCAAATGTTTCACCGGCGGTTTCTCCTCTCCCTCTCTCTTTCCAACCCAAAACAGCCTTTTCCGGATGAGGTGCAGCTTTTCTCCTGTTGATTTTGTGGGGCAATCTCTCTCTGGCTTCGATGAATCCTTGGGCAGATACTCTGATACCCAGAAATGGGAACTCGTTGCATCCGCCGGAGTTGTGTGGTTTTACCTGACGGCGAGGCCTGGTGTTCTCATCGGCGCCATTGACGCCTACCTGCTCGCTCCACTCCAGCTTGGCCTCGACACTCTGATTGGGACAAGGAGGCTGAAGAGCTCCGATTTCTTGGTCAAAGAAAAACTCGGCGAAGGGTCTTTCGGCGTCGTCTATTCGGGGTTCCTTCTTCCCAAGAATAAGAATTCGGGGGTTCGGAAAGCAAAAGCCGGCGAGCAGCGAGTCATTCTCAAGAAGGTGAAGGTGGGAGTTCGAGGAGCGGAGGAATTCGGCGAGTACGAAGAGTGGTTCAACTACAGACTCTCAAGGGCGGCTCCTGAGACCTGCGCTGAGTTTCTCGGAAGCTTTGTCGCCGACAAGACCAATACTATGTTTACAAAAGGTGGCAAATGGCTCGTCTGGAGGTTCGAGGGAGACCGTGACCTCGCTGATTACATGAAAGATCGGAGCTTTCCTTCCAATCTGGAGTCCATCATGTTTGGCCGTGTTCTCCAAGGTGTTGAATCTGCCAAACGTCGTGCATTGATCATTAAGCAGATCATGCGCCAGATCATTACTTGTCTGAGGAAAATCCATGATACGGGCATTGTTCACCGGGACGTGAAGCCGGCCAACTTGGTCGTTACAAAGAAGGGGCAGATCAAGCTCATAGACTTTGGTGCTGCTGCTGATCTTCGCATCGGCAAGAATTACATCCCCGAACGCACGTTGCTAGACCCTGACTACTGTCCTCCTGAGCTCTATGTCCTCCCTGAGGAAACGCCTAGTCCTCCTCCCGAGCCAATAGCCGCCTTGCTCTCCCCGATTCTCTGGCAGGTCAGGTGCTAAGATTATCTGCTTTGTGAGTGCTTTGTGAGTGTCTGTCTGTCTGTCTGAATTTTTGGTTCTTGGGGTGCAGCTGAACAGTCCCGACCTGTTTGATATGTATTCTGCTGGGATAGTGCTCCTGCAAATGGCGGTTCCTAGCTTAAGATCCCCTGCGGGCCTGAAGAATTTCAATTTCGAGATCAAGTCAGTTGAATATGACCTGAATAGATGGCGGGACAGGACTCGGACGAGGCCAGACTTGAGCATTCTTGATCTGGACTCGGGCAGAGGGTGGGATCTCGTCACTAAACTCATCTCCGAGAGAGGTTCTCTGAGACGCGGACGCCTTTCAGCCGCCGCTGCTCTCAGGCACCCTTATTTTTTGTTGGGTGGCGATCAAGCGGCCGCTGTTCTTTCAAAGCTCAGTTTCAGCAAGTAGCTTTCATTTTATTCTTATCATGTAAATCTACACACACGTCTGTTCCTTGAATATATATATATATATATATATATACTTTCTGTTACATGCTCTGCTTCTGGATCCACAAATCAAACGACTTTTTTTCTTGGCCTGAGCCGGTTTTGCAAATCAAAGCAGCCGTCATCAGGTCTTATTCAGCGCCTGCAGAGTTATTTTTTTGTATTGATACTGGTCTGGAAAATCTCTCAGCGGGTAAGCTCACTCATCTCGATTTACACACATACATTTCTATATATATTAAACAGTGATATTTGTCTTGGCATAGTTGTGATTCACAAAAGGCTTTTTAATAATTAAAAGCTCTTAATGCGAGAGGAGGGCATCGAGAGCAGTGTGATTCTTTTTCTTGCATCCCCACTTGCATCTCCAGCCACACAAGGAGTTGAAGATGGCGAGTCGCTTGGACTGCAGAGATATGATTTTTGAAGCGGTGTGAGCTCTTGTGAGGTAAACTGCGTAGCCGTCATCCATGAACTCTGCTCCCTGAGGAAAGACCTGCCACACCAGACTCCCGGCACCTGCTCCTCCTTTCCTTGTCGAGTTAAGGGTCATCTTGTACACCGTATCCAACATCATGTCACGGAAAGACGTGTTGAAACCAGGGTCATGTGCGGACACACCAAACTCTGTGAACAGAACCGGCATTCCCAAGTACATCTCCGCGTCCTCCACATGAGCTTGCATCCACGAGCTTGTGAATTCCAGGAAAGAATCTGATACTGCCGGAGATATCCTACAGTTTGCAATCATTTTGTCCGTTTTCAGATTCAGGACAGTGAGTGTGTGTTTCTTGGTATTTTGCATCAAAAAAACAAAAAAACTTACCAGGAATCTGGATAGACGTGAACCGAAGCAAAATCGATGCCAAGCACCTGATTATTTCTGATGAAGTCGGTTCCGACTTGTGCGGCGTAGGGGTTGGGATTGAATTTGGTTCGCGCTGGGGCAGAGGGACCATAGAAGCCTTCAAGTCCGATCTCCACCAAATGTTTAGCGTCTAAGCTCTTCACGAACACTGCCATTTCTTGTATCCAAGACTGGAGTTTGTCACCGGAGGGATCAGAGGGGCAACGGGGCTCATTCATGAGTTCCCAGGCGAAGATTGTGGGGTCGTTCTTGTAAGTGATGTTTGTGAAGGTGTTCACTCTATTCAGCACCGTCTGCAGTGCAACCACATTCATTCAAGTTATTATTTTTATTTTTTTTTGGGATAGATAAGCAATGAGTTTCGGAGAGATGGATGGATGGAATAATCACCCGGACATGAGCTTTGTAGAAGTCTCTGAGGGTGGGATTGGTGAAGAAGTCGTCATCGGAGGTGAGATTAAGGCCGGAGGCGTTACCCCATTTAACGTACTGAGCTTTGCCTCCATAGTCGTTCCAGTTGTTGACCAGTGACAGTATAAGTCTGATCTTGTACTTTCTGGCCTCGCTTACCACGAAGTCCAGGGCCTGCCAATTACTCAAACCTTTTAACAGACGAGAGTTCCAAAAAAAGGAAGAAGCTTTAGGTGTAGATAGATATACCTTGAAGACGTCTTCATCGTAAACAGAGGGAGATTTCTGGAGAGCTCTCCATTGGCCGTCGTTGAAAGCCCATGTCCTGCCTACTGTCAATCCAACTGCAGAGGCTTGTTGGAATACGTCCGTCACTTTGCCTCTCGTAGAATTATCAGCTGCAAGAGTCATCATCCAGTATGTGTTGAAGCCATTCACGTAGAATGGTTGCCCATTTAGTGTGAATTGCATCCCTTTCCTCTGCACCATCTCCCATTCTTCTTCTTCTACTGATTCTGAGTTAACTCTGCAAAAACAGTCTCAATCTGTCATTCTTTCCTATCCAATAATTCCGAGATGAATTTTTGAAGGATCATAAGTAATAGTGTACCCATGGGACTCGCTGTCAATGTTTGCAAGAGCTCTTTCTTGTGTTAGAATCATGAAAACCGCAGAGCAGAGCACGAATCCGAATCCAAGACGGTCCTTCATTTTCGCAGGCTTATGGAAAAGTAGAGTTTCATCTTCACCTGGTGGCATGTTTAGGTATATATTCATACCAACAAAGCCAATAAAACATGGACTAGATTATTAAATTCTAATACATTAACTTACAAGGCACGAGAAACGTTCCTCGTTCCATAACCAGAGAGATGAAACTTGAAGCACATCGCTCCTCCTAGGTATATCAATCAGAGGACTGAAAGTTGAGACAACTCCAAAGTAACGTGTCACTGCCACGCTAAGATTCGGAGAGCACCCACTTCTCGACAGTGGAGTTAGCTGACATGTCAAACTCAGTCTCTTTCGTACAAGCTTCATACCAACCCATCTTTCTAAGTCATTTCACATATAAGATGATTAACTCCAGTAAGCTTACTACATCTTCTGCACACGGTAAAAGAGATTAAAAAAGGCAAATACAGTTGTCTTCCATTTCCCCCCTCCCCTCTCCCCTGGTTTTCTAGTTGAGCACGAAATTGCATAATGTGATCATAAAGCAAACTCTCTTTGGTGTGACATCTCTCTCAGTTCCCAGATATAGCGATGAGGAACTCGTGCTTTTGCATTAAGTGCATATAACAGAAAAACGTCACTTTTTTTTTTTTTTAACTGTTGCAAATTTGCATCCGTTTGCGTTTTCTCAGAAACTTTATCATTATAGGAAGTTGTATTAGGAATGCACTCACAAAGTTTTTCGAGAGTTTTGCCTCAGTGTGGTTCTGAGATCACGGTCCTACATCTCTAAGGACCCAGCAACTTTAATCAGTATTGTAAAGAACATATTCTGGTTCAAGATTGTATCATAATCAGAAGAAACCACTATAGTAATAAATTTTACAATGGAACTTTGCTCAGCTTTTGAAGCTCCATATTCACAGGGGATTCGGTTCTTTGATCGATGCCACTAAACCACACTGCAAGAGAACAGAACCAAACGAGATCAATATACGTATCTGTGTCATTTTACAATCACACAACTATCTCCTCGTCTTTCCTCCGATCTGAACGCAGCAATAAGATAATTGCAGCGATTAGTATTCTACTTACCATCTCACATCTGAGAGTGAGAAGACCATTCTCCTCCGCGAGAGCTGTGTCAGGACTTTTGCAGCAGCTGCAGATCACGAACGCATCTAAAACACAATGTATAGATATCAGACAAGAATCCCATTGCCAAAAAAAAAGAGAGGAAGATGAACACCAGAAACTATTTATGGAACTTACCACTGTATCGCCGGAACACAGCTTGGAAATCCGAAGAAGACACTAAACCCTTCATCTCTAGCTGCTGCTGTTTGTTGAGCAATCCCTTTGTCTCCATTTGGGCAAGTAAGAATTTCATAACATGACCTGGCTTCCTATGCATCCTGAACCAACATATCTTTGAAAGTGATACACAGCTCAACAGCGAGTACGTTCACAGATAAATTTACTAGAAACAATAAAACAAGTCATACATTCTGCAGAGATGAACAAAGTTTAAACAAACTGTTATCAGTGTCCCTTGTGCACGGAGCAGGGGAGGCATCATTGCTGTTCTTGGCCTCTCTGTAGAAACCTCAAGATCGTCCTCACGAAGCATATCAAATACCCTAGTCAAGAGCTGCAGAGCATAGAGAAGCTGGGAGATTAATACAAAAAAAAACTTAGCCCCACTGAAGAGAAAAAACCACGTAACCAATTGCATTATTAAAGAACTCAAATCTCAGCTAAAAGTACCTCTTCATAGCCATAATCTGGCTCAAAGTTGTGGCCGAAAAGTAGCCGTCTTCCAGATCGACAGTGTAGTGAGTTATCCTCTGTCAAGCATCAATAATAGCTGTTATATGGGGACAATAACTGAGATTATCTTTCGACGAAATTCTTTGTAAACCCAAATAATTAATTACCGGCAAAGTGTCGTCCTTTATGGAACAAGATGTCGTAGGTACCATCTTCGCATATTAAAGGCTTCCACTTCTTATTCTTCTTCTTCTTCTTCTTTTTGGAAGGATCAAATTTAGTGACCTGGATCAGCATAAGCTTTAGCAAAGCGGAAGCCGAAGACAATCATATAAGGGGTGAATGAGTAGTTTCAGCATATCCATGAGGAATCATTATCTAAAACCTCATCGAGCTCAAGTTTCCAGCAAGCCTGCTCTTGCTGTAAATCCATCGTCGCCGCCGGGTCGATTAGATCAGCGATGATCGATCGGAGGACGATTGAAAATTAAACGATTAACTGGGCCAGTATTGGGCCTTTTTGTTGTTGTTATAAAGAAGAACCAAAACATATTTTCTTTTGAATAAAAGAGAATATAAATATATTATTACAGTGCAAGTGAGAGAGCTAGCTTTGATCATTTGTTAAATTTGGATTTGTACAGAGATGATGATTTGGTGTCAGCGAGGGGCGATGCTGGGAACAACGCCGCTGCTGAGATCGCTACCTAAAAGACTCGCCGACTCGTAAAGGTCTCTCGTCACATTCGAAGATGATGTTGAAAGCACTTACGAGGACGATGTCGTTTCCACTCTTCCTTCCTTATCGGGGATTGTATGGAGAAGTGCCTCCAGCTCTTTCACCACCTCAATCATCGCCAGCCTCATATCCGGTGAGTCGTGGCTACACCTCAGTGCCAAAGAAGCAAAATTTTCAGCACTTTTCATCGACCACGATTCCATTCTCTTGTCTATCAACGACACCATCATATTCCTCTCATCCGCCGTCTTCACCTATCGCACGATGTTTTTGCCATGGGATATGGCGTGCATACCAGTCAGCAGCTCCAAGAACACAACTCCAATGCTATACACGTCGCTCTTGTCCATCAACTTGTGTGTTAGGAAGTACTCTGGATCCAGGTACCCCTGCAACATTCAAAACTTAGCAATGCCAATCTCTTAAACATGTTCTGTTTTACATCATTCATATTAATCACTCACTAGAGTCCCACGAACCACCGTGGACACGTGTTTAGGCACATCCTCTTCGTCCTCCAAAGCAGGAGCAAGACGGGACAGTCCAAAGTCTGCAACTTTGGCATTGAAGTTTGGGTCAAGCAGGATGTTACTGGCTTTGATGTCTCGGTGGAACACTGGCGGGTTGGCTTCTGTGTGAAGGTAACGAATTCTCCTGGCTGCTCCCAACGCAACACGAACCCTCATACCAAAGCTCAATGTCTCCTTCCCTTTAGCTGCACCACCACATATTTATATATATATATATATATATACATTTCATTAAATGAGAAAACTAAATGCACATAGAGTCTTAGTTCTTTTATACCAGACAACCAGTCGTGCAGGGTGCCATTTGGCATGAATTCGTACACCAGCATCTGCACATTGATTCAATAAGCAATTAAACACATAACTCACTAATACAAAACCACTTTATTCAGGCGTAGCAGGAGAGAGTACCTGCTCCCCTTCTTCGTCACAATAACCAATTAGTGACACTAGATTCCGATGATGCAACCTCGACAGCAACTCTATTTCATTCAAGAACTCCTTCTCACCTTGCAAAGACCCTTCATCTGCTCGCTTTATTGCAACAACCGTTTTGTCAGATAACGCACCTCTATAAACCTTTCCATAGCCTCCACGTCCAACCAAAGCTGAGCTGCTAAAATCGTCTGTGGCCTCTGCTACTTCTTTGAAACTGAAGCCTCTTATCACAGAATTCATCAGCGAAGCTTTGGAGGCTGACAAATACACAACAGATTCAATTAAATCTCAGTGGGATAGATTGAGAACGGCAGATTTGGTCACACTTACACGACCGTCTTCTAGATATCTCACGCTTATGCTTGCTGTATCTTCTAAGCAACAAGACCGCAACCATGGCGGAGATCGCAACAGCAGTCACCACAGCACCAGCTGTTATGGCTGCCAAATGTCCCCAGCTGACGCCTTTCCTTTCATTGTTGAAGTCAACTGAGGAGATATAACAAAGGCTTCTAGTTAGAAGTCAATCTAGTGTGTAGAAAACACTTATTAGGTTATAGAGGCGCACCATATGAATAAGGCCCCTGCAGAGTGAAGTTGAGCAGCTCATATGGGCCGAATAAGTCACTACCGGGAAATCTCCATGACGCGAATATGCCTCGGATTCTGACAACTTCACTCGTGTTAAATGTTCTTGTATAGATTTCATTAACTTTCGGAAAAAGTTTCAGATACATCCTAAGACGAGGCCCTTTCTCCCATTGATATGAGTCGATCCAGAGTTGGTATGGTTCCATTTGAAGAAAATCGGCAACATACTCGCCAAATTGATCAACATATTGAGGGAAGTATGAAAAACTAGGACTTTTCAGACGATATCCAATCCTGAGAGGCGCTGCACAGAAGCATCGTAACGGGGATGCTGGACTGTATTCGTAGAAGTCAGGAGTGGGACAGGCTAGAGGAGGACAATCCAGAACAGAAGTAGTTGAGTTGGTTGGTAATGGTGTCCACTCCTTTCCTATGGATTCACAAAAGAGGTCTGCGTTTGATATACTTCTGTTCTTGCAAATCGGATTACCATCAAGCCTGGAGATGAATTAACATTTCCTTGATAAGCATTCAAGACAGAACATCAGAATGCTATACATATACGACTATGGGGCACCTTAAAGTGACATTTTCTGGAGGAGATAGATCTCCTTGAACATGTGATAGATTATTATTCCTGAGATCACTGTAAGAATTGGGAAAAAAAAAATTAGAGAAGTCGATAAACAGCAAGTGACTGAAAGTGAAAGCGGGAAACAAGGATTTTACAGTAGAAGTCTAGCTTTCTTAAGTAATGAGATATTCTGCCAGAGGGAATCAGGGACATATCCAGATAACACATTGTTCTTCAACAATCTGCAGAAGATGAGTTTTTATTTTATTTTTATTTGTCACGTCGACATTGCTACTCACAGGCTTATTCCCTTCGGATATAAGAAACAGAAACATAATTTCTCACAGCATTTGAAGCAGAGGGAGATCTGAGAAGCTCTGCGTAATGGATCCGCTAAGTATATTGTTTGATAAGTCACTGCAATTAACCAGTGTGAAATTCATAGAAATTAGATATACGTTTAAAAGTCACCGGTTAAAAGAAAAGAAACTGAATTAACAACTGTATAAAGCATACATGGTTGTCACATCCTTAGAAAGATTAGAAGAAGGTATAGGTCCTGTGAGCTCATTCCAGCTAAGATCCTTGTAGCGAACAAGAAACAAAAATACATTACAACATGGGAAAGAGATTCCATGCATTGAGATTGATCAGAACTCACAGGTATTTGAGACGATGTATCCTGTTAAAATCAGGAAGAGCCCCTTTCAAACTACAATTTCTAAGACTCCTACAAGTGGAAAAAGACAAAATATCATAATAAGCTCTCTATCTATCTTTGAAATGAATAACGGACTAGAGATTATTGTGGCCTGAAACTTACAGCTTCAATATACTCGAAAAGTTTCCATAGGAAGCTGGGATATCTGATCCACTGAAGTTATTATTATCCAGTTGCCTGCAGTGAGAGGACATTAACCATGAATCAAACATATACATGTAGAATGAGGTAGAACACACAATAGAGAAACATACAGGATTTGCAGGTTTGGCAATGCAGAGAGTTGTGGTGGGAGATTTCCGGATAAATTGTTGTTTTCTAGCAGCATGTAAATTTAGTTTGACAACTTTAACCATCATGATGTCCTAAATCATGAACCAGTGGCAACATTGTGGCAAAGACTCACACATGAAAGATGTTTGTAGGATTGGAAAGCTCTACTGGAATCTGGCCGCTCAACGAATTATTGTTAAAGTGACTGTACAAGGCCAAAAGCAAAATCTGTGAGTTAATACAAAAAAACCTACGTCTGAGGTTGATACCACTGTCTGGCTTGATGTTCAGACTTACAGATGTTTCACTTTCTTTAAATTGGAAAAGGACTTTGGTATTGGCCCTGTGATGTTATTCTCATCTATCTGGAACCTGTTCAAGTTCGAAAGATAGCCGAGTTCGCTTGGTAAAGGGCCTGAAAGTTTGTTTCCATTCAACAGCCTGACCACAAGGTTACAGAATCAGAAGATAAACAAAGCGAATACCCATGCTTATCAAAAAGGTTGCAGCCGGAAAAATGATTAGTTAGGTGCATGCAACTTACAATAGTACCAGGGATGATATCTGTCCTATCTCCTTCGGAATTGAACCACTTAAATTGTTCCACATGAAATCTTTTTATTGACGCAACATGACGAAAAGATTTCACATCTAGAAAAAAGTGGTGTAATCAAAATATAGGGCGTTCCGCAATACACACTTTGCAAAGGTTTATTATCTTGAAACTTACAATATTTCGAGATGAACTAATTTACGGAGTTCTGGTGACAAACTTCCGGAGAGATTCATATTCATCAGCAGGCTACTTGGCAACAAAAGAAAGGATCAGGGAAGGAATCTTATTATAGGAATAGTTGGTCATGTAAACAACTACCCCGAGGTAAAGGAAAAGAAAAAAAGGACAACTGAACCAGCTTCTCCCAAAGTTAAGCATGTTAACTCCAACATATATACATGTTAGACTAACAACAAGAGCAAGAAGATGAAGAAAACAAAAGAAGTTTCATAAACAAAAACATACAGTTCTCGGACATGGAGGTATTCGTCAGTTCCAATCTCATTGAAGCAGAGAACTCCTGTCCAATTTGACCTGCAAGGGTCTCCTCTGTTCCAGTTTCTCAAATTATCTTTAGGATCAATCAAACTTCTCTTAACTGATCGTAAAGCAGTGACTGCAAATGGAAAAGAGAGGTGAAATCGCGCAAGAGAACATGGTTGGTTGGAAGCAGTAAAGAAAATTGTAAACTGCAGTCACCTTCTGTAGGGTCTATTCTCTGGGAATCGGCAAGAAGAATCACGCAACAACACACAGTAAGGAGCGCATGTAGATCGACTCTTTGAGGCAACACCATGATGCGTTTGAAAAAGTAACAAAATCTATTCAACAAAGTCAGCCAGAAACCCAATGTGTTTGTGTTGGTTTATAGGAAGATGATAACAATAAGTCAGCATATGCTTCCCAAATTGCAGCAATTTAAGCCCTGAAAATCAATAAAACAGCACAAGGTGCTCGTATTTATGACAGAAAAAGACAGAGTAGGCTAAAATTCAACGCCACACATTCATTAGGTATAAAGCCAAGATCATTATTACCTCAGTCTTCAGTTAGATCAGCTCTTCGGCCTATGATAAAGTTCTTACAAGGCAAGTGGATAAGAATACCAGAAAATGGGGAGTGGGAGGGGAAATCTGCAGAACCCTGAAACCGGGCGACAAGTCAAAAATATACAGAACAGATCAAACAAAAGCGGATAATTAATGATGGGGGAAACTAATCGAGAGAAAACGAGAGGGAAGAAAAAGAAAGACCATCGTGTCGTGGGTTCTTGGTTTGATTTTTCTGTACAGCGATGGTGGAAGAAGAAAGTCGTCGACTTGTCGCCCATTATTTAAAAAGAAAAAAAAAGGCTTAAACCTTTTTCACCCACTAAGTGAAAGGATTGAAGGTAAAATTTCCAAACGGGGTTGACTCAACTAGCTCTACAAGCACAATCGTGAGCTTTTTTTGACAAAGCAAGAAAGTTAAAACCACATTATGATCGGCATTGACGGCGTGTGGAGAGTGAAACCCAGAGGAGACGCGGTCTTGTCTCTTGTGGGTCTCTCTTTCTTTTCATTGAATAGGATACAACAAGTCAACTCTTCTGGTTAGTCTTTGATTGTTCAGGAATTTGCCCCTACTATTTTTTTTTCATTTTGGATAACGCAAATATATACGCATCAAATGGTCCCACAATAGCGTACATAATCTCCAGCAAAACTTATAGTAACTTTGCCGATGATAAACCAAAAAGTGAAAGACTGTAGATTGTCTTTGAAAGAAACAAAAGCAATAAGATAAGCGGGGTGCGATGGAGCCACTGACGAATTGTGAAAAGATATTATCAATATTTCATAAGAGGGGGGAGGCAGCAGACATTCCAGAAAAAGCAGAGAATTGCATCCAATTAATTAAGGGCTTGAATATGGCTTCTCTTCCTTTGAAGTTGATTCTCTCTGCAATGAGGATGGCCAAAACAGGCTTGCAGTCAGAGAGTATCGGTTAAAGAAGGAGCAGGTTTCCTTTAATGGAAGCGTTTTAATGTAACATCGCTTTCCAAAGGGATTGGGTGGTGGAGGACCTAGAGAAGAGAGTCAAGAGACGTGGCGGATGGCTAACCGCAAATCTAACGCTGGAGAGCGAAACCGGTAGGCAACAAATATTGTCTAAGAGAGGGCTTCTCCATTCGTTTGAGCGTAGCGGGCTTTGTAAATATATATATATATATATATATCTGCAAAGAAACCCATTTAGGATGTTGGCTGGCTGGCCCATGATACATGGGCTCTGTTTGAAGGAAGTCGGTCGCTTCCTTAAGTCAACCTTTTGGATCGGATCCACATTGCTGTATCAGCTGTTCCAATTCAATTCAATTCAATTCAAGCCGTTGATTCACGAAGATCACAACCATTACGCAATTACTCTCTCTCTCCCCGCAGCTCGCCGGATCTCCGTTGTCTTCTTCGTCTCTTGGATTTGTTTACCTCTTAACTCTTGTCTCACACTCCGGAGCAGATGCGCGACTCGATCAGGGTTTGAGACCTTGGTCAAAGCGATCGCCTTCCTTTGACTCATATATTTTCATTTCCCCTTTTTATCCCATTGGCCTTAGGGTTTCCTACACGATATGAGCTAATACGATTTGATTTCTCCCAAGCTCCCCCTCTATTGGTTGCAGGTAGTGTTATCGGTTTCGTGCACGCTTTATTCCTCTCTCTTTGCTTTTATCTGTTGTGTTGTAGACGCGTTTTCCCGAAGATTTCTACCTACTGTTGATGATCTCCAATTCGTTGTAATATATATCTTTTTAGGGTTTTCTTCTCCGGCCTAAAATGGAAACGTCCGGCACCAATCATGACGCCTTTAGGGGTTCCCCTCGAAGAAACTCCATCCTCTCAGCTTCTAACATCATCCAGGCCCCTATATCAACCTTGTTAGAGTATTCGGGTCTCTTCCGAACGAGGACTAGTCCTAGTCCGGAGGCGGAAACGCTGGTTAGTGATGCTTCTGCAGGAATCTCCAACGGTGAGGTTGCCATTAGGATAATTGGCAACGGGGAGCAGGATGCTGAAACTGATAATAGTGGTCTCAGGGAAGCCGCTGCCCATGCCCAGCCTGAAGTTTTAGCTTCTGGTACTCAAGTTGATCCTTTGGGTGCTGGAGATGGGGCCTCTCAGTCTCAGGCTGCTCCAGTTGATTCTGTAGCTGGAGATGCCGCAAGCCGGGATTCACCTTACCAACGATATGACATTCAGCAGGCTGCACGGTGGATTGAGCAAATTCTTCCCTTTTCTTTGCTTCTCTTGGTTGTTTTTATCCGCCAGCATTTGCAGGGTATCTCTCTTTCTCTCTCTCTTTTTTTTTTTTTTTTTTTATTCTCTCTCGTTATATGCATTTTGCTGCCTATTCTGATCCGCCACTTGTTTTTATTATCACGTCTGTTTAGTAATCTTTGACTTTTGCTGCCTCTGGTTCAGGGTTCTTTGTCGCAATCTGGATTGCTGCTGTCATGTTCAAGTCAAATGATATTTTGAAGAAGCAAACAGCGCTGAAGGTTTAACATTGCATTTACTTACTTCTTTCTCAATTCAGCGTTCAAAATGGTTAGTTTAAGTCTCAAGCATGTCTCTGATATTGATTCCAGGGTGAGAGGCATATCTCAGCATTAATCGGAATCTCTGTAGCGTTTACGGCCCATGTTGTTGGTGTTTATTGGTGGTTTCGAAAGGATGACCTCTTGTGTCCCTTAATCATGCTCCCTCCCAAGTCTATACCACCTTTCTGGCATGCCATTTTTATCATAGTGGTGAATGGTGTGTACTTCTCTGCCATATTGTTTCCCTGGTCTTAGTTAGCCTCATTTCTTCAGCTAACAGTTAACCTCTTCTTTATCTTATTCATTACAAAATATTAGCATCTAATTTCGATTCATGCATTATTCCCTATATGTATCATTGCAGTATCGTGTTTGATCGTTTAGTGCTTACTCGACTTGTACTTGTGCCTATTTTCCTCAGACACACTTGTACGGCAGGCCTCAATGATATTCAAGTGTTTTCTGCTGATGTACTACAAGAACAGTAGGGGTCGAAATTATCGTAAACAGGTGATGCAGAAAAAAAGTTCTTCTCTGTCCCTTGTAGCTGTATTCAGTTTAACCTGGCCTGGCTCACCGTGCATATGTGTGATATACCCTTGGCAAGCGATACATAATTAGGATAATTTTTTTTTTTATGCAGGGTCAACTGCTAACTTTGGTTGAATATTTGATGCTTCTGTATCGCTCTTTGCTGCCTACCCCTGTATGGTACCGTTTCTTCCTGAACAAGGATTATGGAAGCCTCTTCTCCTCTCTTATGACGGGATTGTATCTGACTTTCAAGCTCACTTCAGTGGTTGAGAAGGTAGGTGTTTTTTGTTTTTTGTGTGGAATTTTAAGCCTCCTTTTATTTTCTGGAATCTGAGGGATATTGGCAATGAATTTCAGGTTCAATCCTTCTTTACGGCATTGAAGGCTTTGTCACGTAAAGAGGTGCACTATGGATCATATGCAACTTCAGAGCAGGTACAGTTTAATTGAAGATTCAAGTCTAACTATAATGGCTCTTAAGATTCAAGCCCAAACGAGCAAAGAAGTGGCTGTATAATGTGTGCAGGTGAATGCGGCGGGCGACCTGTGTGCCATCTGCCAGGAGAAAATGCACACCCCAATTCTTCTTCGCTGCAAACACATGTTTTGCGAAGATTGCGTTTCAGAGTGGTGAGATGTTTGTGCATATAGCAGTTACCATTTGTGTGTGTGAATCCGGATGCTGAAGGAATGTGATTATGTCTGGGCAGGTTTGAGAGAGAGAGGACGTGTCCTCTGTGCAGGGCCTTGGTCAAATCAGCAGATCTAAAGTCATTCGGTGATGGATCCACCAGCCTTTTCTTCCAGATATTCTGATTGAAACACATACGAGACTCCAAAGTACAAAAGTCGCTCAAGACTCACTCACTCACTCACTCACTAGTCTTCTTAGAGAGTATTGATGATATACAATGCCATTTTGAGCTGTGAACCAAAGACACCACTGATGCCTTGAAGATGTTCATACAATCTTACTATTTGTTAATACGAAATCGCCTTTTATATTCCGTAGCCAAAAGAAAAAAAAAAGAAAAAAAAAAAACTGATTTCATCGTGTGTAATAAAAATAATGAATGAATGAAAATACACGAGCACAACAAATAACGAATTCAAGAATCTGAAATCTCGTTTCCACACACAGAGCTGTCTTGGACAATCTCTTTAATTATCTTTTCACTCGGAGACTGCGTGAGCTCCGCAGGTGAAGAAGTCATCAAAGTGGGTACAAAAGGGTAAACTTGTGTCACCTCTTCTTTGCCTTCGTCTATGTACACAACGTCCTGCATCGTGAGCTGGTGGTATTCTACAATCTCCCTTAAGAACCGGTTCTCCCTTGCGTACGCTGAGTTTTCATGAGCCAACCGTGCTTTCTCTGCCAGTAGGCTCTCCAGCTGGAGCCGAATCTGATACAACAGCATCCACACCGAGGTGTTAGATAGAAATGCAACAAACAAACTAGGAGGACATGAGATCACTCAATTCTTTACCAAATCTTCGTCTGCAGGGTTGCTTCCTTTCTCACGATGGTTCTCCCTCAGATGCTTGTTCTCTTCTTCAAGCTGAGCACAGCGCTCTTTCGCAAATGCAAGATCTGCTTTCACAGTTTTCAGCTCACGGATGAGGAGTTTTGCTTTAGCAGCCGTTGCCTTCGCCACCTGCACCTCACGCAAGAAACTATCAACGAACGAACAGAGCCATCAAAAATGCCCAATCAACCATCAACGCTAGACCTTACATCGCGAGATGCCTTGAGTTGAGTCTCATGTTCCATATGATTTAGCTGCAGTGGCTGCTCTGGAGACTTTTTCCATGAGCTACTTACTCCATAAGTTTGATTCTGATTCTCTTCTTTACCATCAGTTCCTCTTCGTCTGGTTTGAAGTTTTCGTGTTTCCTGGATGATATCAGCTGTTTTGTTCTCCACGAGGGTCCGACCTTCCTGGAGAAACAAGGAACAGATCTACGGTAATTCAACCAAAGCAATAGAAAAACAAAAAACAAAAAAAAAGGAGGACAGGGAAGAAGAAACACCTCAAAGGCTTTCTCAAAAGAGTCACCAATCTGATTAAGGGAAGATGCAAGTTTATCCAGGCCTCTCCGAAGCTTCGGATTATCCATTTTCTTGAACCCTTCATCTGAAAATCGGGGCTACAACACAAAGACCAAACAACGATGGCGTCAAATCAAGAAGATGGATCAAGTGTGTACTTGAAACCCCAAAACAAAACCTGAGAAGCTGTTGAGCTATCAGAAAATTTATGATCATCTTCAATGACACATTTTGCTTTCTGGGCTATGACTCCCCACAAGCCCCTTGGCTCGGTCCCGTATGCAGTAAAATCCTGCAGTATACACCCACAGAAAAACATAGGATCAATGGGAGAAGAAAGATCATGAAGCGCAGTTTACAATCACAACTCCTATACAGACCATAGATGAACACAACTTTGGATGAAGGGTATAAGCATCAATCCATACTTAATCACTAGATTCGACCTCAGCTGAATCTGATCAGATGAGAAAGTTTAGTTTTAACAGAGTCAGAAGTCAATTGTCTGCGTCGTCAAGCTTCAGACTTTAGAGATTGGTCAAATTGGTTTCAGTAGTGATTTTCTATGAGCGGATCATGAAACTGCGGAAACATAAAGCCATCAGTTGAGGGTCAAAAAGGAGAAACCTTAGATCTGGGTTGGTCAAAAGCAGGGGACTCACGGAAGGATGAAGGCGATGTGAAGGATCGAGCCGGCGGTGATATCTTCTTGACGGCGGTGATGCTTTCCGGCGGAAGGTGATCAGTCTCGTCCTGGAAAGTCGAAAACTTTGCGATCCCCTGCCTTCTCCTATACGCCATAAATTACGTTCAAGTCTCTGTTTTGTTTATTTGTTTGCTTTTTCGGTTTCTTCTCCTAGAAAACAAGTTACAGCTTTTGGGAAAGAGTAGAGACGATTGATATACAAAAAAAATATAAGGGACAAAATCGATGGAGGCGGACCCACGAGAGTCGAAAGGAAGAAGCCAGTGATTATTTAGTCTTTGTTAATGGCCCTTGGCCAACTCGACAGAATCTGAATTGGCAATGAGATGTGTCCTTTAAACTAATAAGCTTTCTACGGAGAACATCTTCGTTCATTACAGTCTCAATGTGGAAACATCTTCAATGAATGCCCCAAGCAATGACCTTTTGAACTCATAAGTATCAGATCTTTGTTTTGTAGTAATATGGAAGATAAGTGTAAAGCTCGCAAGCAGTGGCCTTTTGAACTACCTTGAATGGTTTAGCGACATGTTTGGGCTTACGATGCTTGGAATGCAGCGACTTGTACGCCTCCATTTCCGACTCCTTCTGTGACACCATTTCACCTGCTTCCTCCTTCCTTAACCAAAGTGTGTGTAACGACAACTAACTATAGCAGCTCAAAGAGAACCCAATTTGGGCATTCAGGCCCTCCCTCTTCTTCATGAATCAGCAAAATTAGCAGGAGGAGACTCTCTTCATGATTCAGAGACTTTGACTCCCTTTAGATAAACGTAGAAGCAAAAAAAAAAAAAAAACATAAAAAAAATGGAATGTCTCCCCTGAGAAATTTACACAACACCCCCATCCGTCGTCGTCGTTGTTGACCCCTTTCCGCCATAAATTAATCCTCTGAATCCCAACTTTGATTTCTGCCATTTTCTTGCATCTTCCTCACCGAAACCATCTTTGTTTGCTTGGATAGATGACCCCTTCTTAGGTTTTCTGAAGATCCGGCGTTTTCCTTGGGTAATCTTTTCACCTCATCTTTTTTTTTTTTTTGTTATCTGGCCTTCTTCTTCTTCTTCTTCTTCTTCTTCTGAGATATTCGAGCAATTGGACAGAGGGTGTGGATGTATCCCATCTTCGTATGTGTGATCTAACCCTTGTTGCTTGCTCATGCTTTTCAGACCTCAAAGTTGCCGCCTTGGATCTGATGGAATCACAACCTCAGGGTCCTTCTGGTGATGATCATCCCATGGGTAGCAATTTAATCCCATCTTCGGCGTGTAATCTGTGTGGAAGAGTCGTTCAATCTGCTTCCGACGATCTTGAAATCTTCAGCTTATGTGGAGACTGTAAGTTTTTGTTGCTTGAAGATTTCGGCACCCCCGCGCCTCCATTTACCCGGAGGCAGACGGCTAGGAGGAGGATTAGGAGGATGAGGAGGAGGCGAAGGAGAAGTACGCACGGCAACTCTGAATCCGTCGCTGATCTTTCCACCCAACAATTCACACATTTGATAAGCATGGCAAGACAAAGCCTGACCACGGGAACGGCTCATGGTAATGAAACTAGCTCTCATACCACTCCAAGTGGTTCCACAAGATGGAGAATTTTCTCAGAATCTGAAAGTGAAGATTTTGACAATTCCTATGGCGAAACCGAATCAAACGCTAGTTTTAGCCTGTACAGATTTTCCCATGGTGATTATGATGCCATTTCTTTTAGTGCTTACGGTGGAGAGTCTGATGCTTCCCCGGACAGGCATGGCTTCCTGGATGCGGAAATCTTTGTTCATACAGACGACAGGAGCGACGTTGACTTTGACACTGATATAGACCCGATGCATGCCGGTCTGAACCAGTGGAACTCAGACGATGAAGACAGGGAATGGGAGGAGGAATCAGCGGGTCCATCTGGGGTTGCAGGACCACGGTTTAGAAATTATTTGGCTAGTCCAAGTGAGAGCTTCAGCTCCATGACTCGGTTTGATTCTCCTGAGCTAGAGAGAGGGTTTCGTCAAAGAATTATAGAGAGGAGGCAGGCGTTATCTCGCAACATCTTCACTGGTTTGGAGGATATGGAGTTCTCTCCCTATCCTGCAAATGTTTCGGATTATCTTGATGAGAGAGGCTTTGAAGAACTGCTTGAACAACTTGCTGAGTCTGACAATTCAAGAAGAGGTGCACCACCTGCATCTGTGTCATGCGTCAGGAATCTTCCAAGGGTTATCATTGGAGAGGAGCATGTAATGAAGGGCCTAATCTGTGCTGTCTGCAAGGAGCTTTTCACCCTCGGCAGTGAAACCACACAGCTTCCGTGTCTCCATCTATACCATGCTCACTGTATCCTACCCTGGCTGAGTTCCCGTAACTCCTGCCCACTCTGCCGGTACGAGCTCCCAACAGATGATAAAGATTACGAGGCGCAAAAGCGGGATGTTTCGGATGTGAGCGAGGATAGCTCCTCCGCTGATGATGGCACAGAAGCGGGGGAAGAAGAACATTTAGAGAGAGGCGAGAGTGGGGCTAGTGTGAGCAGAGTTAGCAGAGGAAGATGGCTGTTTCTGGCTGCTGCACCAGTTGTGAGTCTGGTGGGCGTTGTGTTGGCAATGTGGCTAAGCAACCCGCAGAGGAGGGATATAGTAATCTCTCATAACCAAAGGGGGAACAGAACCAGAAGATGGCTTCCGTTTTTCTGACAACTGATGACCAGTTCCAGGTGTTCGTCCAGAATGTGTATTATTTTACAGACCTTAGAATATGCTTAATTTTCTGTTTCTGTTTCTGTTTCATCTCATGAATATTGACCTGATGCTGTTTCCACATGTTAATTGAACTGAAGTTTACCCAAGTTGTGCTGTGTGTTGCAAATATTCTTGATTTAGGAAAAAGGAAGTGCGCTCATTTGGCATTAGTTGATCAGAGTTATAAACCCACATTTACACAAGAAAGAAAGAAAACGACTTTTGGTTGGTTCAGGCACATATAAGATGTGCCTGTATTTACACCAAAGTATATTAAGAGGCTTGTATAGTGGCAGATAAATGCGTGAAGAAGAAGAAGAAGAAAAAAAAGAAGAAGAAGAAGAAGAATTCAGAATAGTATGTTGATATACAGTACCATCCATCCAGCCATTGAGAAGATGGCAAAAATGTGAACCCAGAAGAGCACAGCAGCCGACTCCCTTCCACAGCCTCTAAGATTGGCAACAGCTCCCGAGAGCACAGAGGTAGGCATTGTGTGCTGAAGGAGTAACACAAATCTGAACATCTTGTCATCAGCAGGAAGGAACCCAAGTTTGTCTGCTAATGTCACTATCCCTAGTCCTACTGGTGGCACCAACACCAACCGTCCTACTATAATTGCCGCTGTTGTCTTGAAACCAAGTTTTGAACTTCCTGGTCCTGAATTTAATGTAAGGAAGCAATAAGTTACATATGGTGGGTTCAAAACAAAGTCAGGTCAGTATGAAAAGAGCAACTATCCTACCATTAATGAGATTCCCCCCAAGTGCCAGCAAGATACACGGTATCATGGCGTCCCTGATAGCCAAAGGGTTTACAGTCATTAAATCATTGATTCGCAGCAGTTTTTCCAGAAGACAAATAATGAGTGCGCTTACCCAAGAATCATGCAGCTATCTGTGAAGAAGAACAGAGGGGCACCATTTGTGAATATCAACTTCTTCGTGAACGGTATTGCACCAAGTATCATGGCAAGAATCTGAAGTAAACAAAAACACGTCTATATTAGTTACATGGTGAAAGGCAATCACAAGGTCTCTTGTTCATCGGCTTGTCAGATGGTACAGGAGAACAGAACAGACGAGATACTTACTGAAGCAACTATTGCAGGTTGGACAATTTGCTTCAGTTTCAACTTCTCGTAGAGGAAAACAAAGATCTGTGTAATCTACATCACGGAGCAAAATGTACAAATTCGTAAGGACCAGCTTTATATCAGGTAAAATACTCCTGAACCATAAGAAAACTAAAATCCATAGTTTCACCTTGCCTTTCCTTGAATCCCCGCTTCCTCTAGGTTCGGTGCTCTGTACAGCCAGGCGAACTTGAGCAGGTGAAATGTCCTTGGGGTAATTTTGAGTAAGCAAGGGGACTTGCTCTGGAGCAGGATCTACAGGAAGGTTTTTCAGAGGAAGACTATCTTCATCAGCATCAAACCCTTCTGGAGGAGGAGCCAACATCTGGTACACATATGTGTAGAGGATGATGGCACCAACCTGACATAAACGTTAAACCTCGTGGTTAACGAAAGTCCCTGAGAGAGAATCATCATGGAAACGGGAGGAGGGAACACAAAACACTATCCAACTCCGTAAACACTGATGACAAATAGTAGAGTGGAACTAAAGATCCTATGTAAGACAGTTTCAATGCGGTTACTGTTCTCATACATCTAGCTCAGAAACAGAGAAGAAAAAAGCCAAGAAACTGTGTCACTGTAAAAGACGGCAAAGGCACAACAAAGCTAATTCTCTGATTCTATCAAGTATAATGGCCTAGATAGTATAATATAGAGGCAGTTTTAGAGAGAGAAAAGCGTACCCATTGACCAAAAGAGATATAAGCAGTGCCGTCAATGCTACATTTATCGGAGTCACCAAAAGGGTTGGAGGTGTCCCTACATAGAGCCGCTAGTAAAACAAGAGGCACATTGCCGATGTTACCTGAAACAAACAAGGCACATAAACTGAGAAACTAGCCACGGAGCAGATAAGCGATGGTGCGGTAAGTGACTTAGGGAAAAGGGTCTAACCAACTCCGATTTGTATGATTGTAAACTTGAAATAAGGGTAAGGCGGACGAATAATGGTAGCAACAACCAAGCCGATTAACGATCCTGAGATTGTACCAAGAACGACATTCACCGGAATGAACCACCTGACGATAGATGACAGCCCAAAAGAAGACGCGTTATGGACCTACTTTATACGGTCTAATAAAGGCTAAAGACAAGGGACAAACCACTGAAGCATCTTGTGGAGAGTGACGGCTTGTCCGAGCTGTGAAAAGATCAAGCATGGAAGCAAAAGCGAGAATACCAACTGTATGAAGAGGACAAAAGGTTCAAACTTGAGAACAAAAAACAAAAAAAACACTCGGCTTGTGCAAAGGGCGTAAAAGTTAGGACGAATTAATTACCCCGTTCAAGAGTTTGCGGCCGGAGGGAGGCAAGATGTTTACGTACTTGGAGGCCATGAGAAGGCCCAAGAAGCACATGGTGAAAACTTTAGCAATTGGCATCACGGCGATTTTGATGGTACCCAGCACCGATTCACCGGCAGCCGCGGGAATCTCCATGGAATCGGCCAAGGCGGTGAGGATCCGCGCTATCATTCTGTCAAGTGTCAAGCCCTAATCCCAACGCAAACCAAAAGCAGCGATTTTGACGGTGGACTCTGGAGAGGGAAGAACAACAGAGAACTGAGTCTTGATGATATGATTGAGAGGAATCATTAGACTTCTCTCGATCTTAGTACGACTTACAGATTCGAGATTCTCTCTCTCTCTCTCTCTCTCTAACTGTTATACTTGCCACGTGTCTCTTGCCTTCCATGTTACTCCTTTCCTTTTCTAAAGCCCAAAAGGCCGCTTCAGTTACCTTTTCCCTTTTTTGGTTTAAGAAGTTTACTCTCAAGTGTGTAAAGTTACAATCTCAAGTGTGTAAAGTTACAAGTACACAGTAACTTGTAAAAAGGATTTATCAACAAGATTACCAATTCAAAGCTGTCTTGGGATTGTACATCTTCGTAAAGGTCAAATGGATATATATCTTAACTTGCAATTTAAAAGTTTTAAAGCATACTAGGTTTTAGTGGGTAGCTAATTCAAGAAACTATTTAAAGGTGAAGGTGGGTTGTCCTTTGGACCAATCTCAGAATATCTGGTAAGGGAGAGTACTTTATTTATATTACTTTTTACATCAACCAGCGGAGATATTTTCAAATGTTGAAATAAATAAGGTTGCATATCCATAACCAGAATTGCACACCCAAATATTTGAATTCGTTAGATGTCGTTTAGTACTTGTTATTAGTGTTATTATTGTATTATCACCATAACTCAAAAGTTCATGGATTTTTTTTTTTTTGAAGAATGTAAAATTTATTCATAAAAAAAGCCATTTGTACAATGAATGTTGCTGTCTTTTTAGTTTTTGAGCAAAACAGAGTATTCTAAGAAAAGCAGAGCACTAAATAAATGTCCCAATCAACTTCTACTTGCGAACCAGCACACAAGACCATCATCGTATCTGTTACTTCCAGACATTCTGATGGACGAGATGCGGCTGCGGATTCCTTTGTCAATGAATCGGGTGAGAGCAGATGTTGTCGACGGCTGGTCTCCGTGACAGCGCTTGTTCCTTTCACGCCAAATGGTGTGCAGCGTCATTTGAAAGGCATATCGGTAGAGAAACAATGGTGTTGAATCTTGCGAAGCATCCGTCAACAAAACAATGTTAGCTCCCCAATCGTATGTAAAACTATCTCCAAGCAGCTTATGCACCAGATTTCTCCAGATTTCCTTTGAATACGGACATGAAAAAAAGAGATGGTTTCTGGTTTCTAGAGGATCCTTGTAGAGGACACATTCTGTGTTTATAGCTGGGTTCCAGCTCGAAACACGATCCTTTGTGGCTAAGCGATTCTGAATAGCAAGCCAGACCATAAACGCATACTTGGGAGTTCCGTAAGAGAACCAAACTCCGTCGCACCATTCAACTCGGGCCTGCAGTTGTCGAATATTATTCCAGGTCTCATTGGTAGAAAATTTCGACTTAAATTTATTGTTTCTTCCCTTCCACAGCTTCCTATCCTCCATCTGCCTCTGATTTTGTCGAAGAACATCAATGGCAGCTTCGATGTCCTTGTAGACGGAATTACGGTGATTTCTTCGCCTGTGGGTACTTAGCACTGACCCCACTGTCTCAAACTGCTTAATTCCCAGACCAATAAACCCACCATCACCAGCTTGGTCAATCAGTCTACCTAGAGGCGACCAATTATCGTACCAGAATGAAGATGAATGACCATTCCCTACTTCGACTCGGTAAAACGGAGCTGCGATGTCACGGTGCTTCAGGATCTTCCTCCACATCCATGACCCTGCAGATGTTGAATCCCTAATAGATCAGAAGGAGTTCCTGCGTATGAGATACTCTTGAACCCACTTTACCCACAGTGATGCTTGCGGGTTAAGAACTCGCCATATCAGTTTCAAGCAGCAAACCTTGTTTATTTGTTTTATTGGCCGAATGCCCAAACCACCCTCCTCCTTAAGTTTGCAGACATCTCTCCATGCGATTTTTGGCTTCCGTGTGTTTAGTTCTGGCCCCGACCACAGGAAGGCAGAGCATAGCTTTTCAATCTCCTTAATGCACTCACCCGGAAGACAGAAAGCCGACAGCCAAAAGTTTGTGGTGCTGACTATGACTGATTTAATAAGCTGAAGCCTACCCGCAAATGAGAGGAATCGAGCTTTCCAAGAACTGATGCGCGTTCGAATTTTCTCCAACAATGGCAGATAATCTGATTTCGTCATACGCTTGGTGGTGAGAGGTAATCCGAGATAGCGAACAGGGAGGGTTCCAGTCGCAAACGGGAATCTTTGACCAATAGAAGCGCGTGTCTGATCTGAAAAGCCAGCCATGAAGAGAGTAGATTTCTCTAGGCTGATATTAAGGCCAGACATCTTTGCAAACTCGTCGAAAACAGATATAATCCCTTCCATCGATCTCAATTTTCCATCCGTGAATACCAGAAGGTCGTCGGCGAAACAGAGATGGGTAAGAGTCATGTTCTTACACGATGGATGGTATCCAAACCGCCGTTGCTTGACCGCTTTGTCAAGAAGCATAGACAATACGTTCATGCTAATAACAAAGAGGTACGGAGAAAGAGCACATCCCTGCCGAAAACCGCGCTCACTTTTGAAAAATCCAGCAAGCTCCCCGTTCACCTGTACTGAGAATGAAGCCGTAGAGATACATAACTTGATCCAGTGTATAAATGGCGCCGGGAAATTCAACGCAGCAAGAGTGTTCAGAAGAAAAGTTCACTGAACCGAATCAAACGCCTTGGATATGTCTATCTTCATGGCACATCTTGGACTCACATCCTCTTTGTGGTAATCTTTCACCAATTTAGTCGCTAATAATACATTCTCAATTAGAAGCCGATCCTTTACAAAGACTGATTGATTCGGAGCAATGAATTTCGGCAGAATGGTCTTTAGACGGTTTGCGAGGATTTTGGATATCACCTTATAAAGAACATTACAGCACGATATAGGACGGTAGTCTTTCATGGAATTGGCGTTCTCCTTTTTCGGGATTAGAGCCAGGATTGTCGTGTTAATTCCTTTTTGAAGGAAACCTTTAGTGAAGACAGGATTGTCGTGTTAATTCCTTTTTGAAGGAAACTTTTAGTGAAGAAGGACTGAATTGCTACGGTAAAATCCTTACCCACAATTGGCCATACCGCTTTAAAGAACTCCGATGTATAGCCATCCGGACCGGTGACTTATTTGATGGCATTTTGAAAACAGTTTTCCTGATCTCCTCCTCTGTTACAGCCCGCGTGAGAGATAAGCAAAAGTTCATGGATTTTTATGTGGTAAATTTAGTCAACCAAATTTTTGAACCGAATGCTACTCTAAGATTGACTATATATATACACATCTATTTTATATATAAGATTTCATGGAAATTTCATGTGGTAAATTTAATTACAATGTAATACATTATAAGTAAGATCTTCTTTCGCCAACAACAACACTTAAAGAAAGGGTATTAAGTGTGTAGACGGGAGAGAGAGGAGGCATTGCAGTAAGCGATGGCTGCCTTGAGGGAGTCGTCAGTTAATGTTTCCTCGCTGTACTTGGCGCTGCCTTCGCAGTAGTAATGAAGAGAGCTCTTGTTTCGTCGTCCGTGTATAACTTTGAGGACCCACTTCTCTCCCACGTTCACTTTCTCCCTTATGACTCCCACTATACTCAAACACCCCAGTTTCACCATCAACCTCGTCGCACTGCTGTATACAGAGAAGCAGCTAGAGGTCGATGAGAAGATCGCTGTCGCCTGCTTGTCATCACCGGGAGATGGAGAAGAAGAAGAAGATGATGATGATAAGATGCTCAATCCGGCTGCTGGTTTGTTGATTTGTATTTCAATGAAAGATTCACCATCCGAGACTTCATTCATCCATCCCACCTCATTCTCTCTTTGGTCCATCTTATTTCATCACCGGATCACTTCCCAAAACTCTCTCTTCTAGCTATAATATAGAAAAGATGTTATCTCCTGCTCGTTTGCTCCTGCAGATTCCCATCATTGATTGTTTGGTTAACAATAATTAAATGGATTCAAATTGATACAGCTAGCTCGCAGCTCACAACTCACAGTCTCACACCGTACATGTATAGGGGGAGCATATATGTGCATGTGAATACATATTACTATTGATACAATTATATAGGATTAGTCAAGAGGATATATGTATTTTATTATCGTCGGATCAAATCAAAGCTCTCTTTTAACTAAAAAACAAAAAACAAAGCTCTTGTCTCTCGATGTGATCGGGGGATTAGTGGTATAATTAAATCAGAGTCTTTAATACTATAGTTTGGACTCTGATAATAGCTAGCTGACCCCATCAATCATTGGTCACCTATATATATTGTGGAATCACATGCATATATCACATGTCAATTGTCACATATCAATTATTTTTCTTCAGAATTTCTTTCTTTCTAATTTTGAAAGGGTAAAGTTAGATAAATTCAATTTCAAAAAAAGAAACAAACTGATGAAACAAAAGTTGGAATATTGCTACTTTCGTGTAAATGCCGGCTTTAAAATTTGTATGAATATATATATTGAAGCACGGTTGGAGGTAATATTCAGAAGAAAAGCACAAAAACTAGTTGGAAGATTTAATGAGGTACAAGAAAAGTTAAGCATGCGCAGACTTATTATTTTTGTCAATAGAAAGTAAGGGCGCATATTTAACGTAAAAAATAAGGTTTTTAGGACTTGAACAAAGTATTTGGTTCTATTTTAGTTTCAGATAGATTCTTCTTTCTATTGTAGAAAACGTCTCTGTATTGAATGTGCCACTGATTTGATATAATAAAATAGATAATTTTTCAAAGTTGATTTGCTTGGGCTCCTAAATTTTGATCCAGAGATGATTGATTAATCTGCAGTGGACTTGCGGAAAACGCATGCCAAGAGGCCTCAAATTCCACTTAACTAAGGTCTAATTCATAACTAGGATTGCGTATTCAACAAATAGGATTGTCGGTACTGGTAGGATTTCCTTGTATTTTCCTTCCTTGCAAGTCATCTTCACTCGGAGAAATGCATGTTGCGATATGAATCCACCCTAATTAAATAAATTAGCGGAGACGTGAGCAATATTTTTGTAAAGTAGTCGTTCAGAATTACAGTTTACATTTTTTTTTTTTTAATCTGATCACTGTTGTTTGGGCTTTAGTGATATGCAAACATTTATTCTTTAACTATGGGTAAAGTGTGTGTCGAGTTGCACAATAACACGGAGAGGCTGGTGTGATACATACAAATACAGTATATATTAATATGTTATCAGTTAGACATATGGGAAAGATACTAAAGTGTCTAGGAGCCGCCGATCATCTGGTTAAGGAGTATAACGAGGGCCATGGCGATAGGAGATTGGAGAGAAGAGTGGACGACGAGGCGGAACACGTCGTCTCCCACACCCTCTTTTCTTATAAGCTCACCCACTTTCCTCTGGTTTGCGTCGTACACCACGCAATGGCGCCCCGAGTATGATCCTTGGATGTTGTATGTTGTTGTTTGGGAATTGGTTCTGGTGGCGTAGGCCAATCTCTTCGTTTTTAGTATGTTGAGGCACTTCCTCACCGTTAACTGTGGCTTCAACGCTGTCTCTCCCTCGCATACCAACCAACAATCTCCAAAACTCAGCCTCTGTGTCAGTGTGTATCAAAACCATGAATATATATATGTAATGATCCAGATATAGCTGCCTAGACTTAGTGTGTGTGTGTATGTTGAAAAAGATGTGAAGTACCTTGCGGCGGATGGTAAGGAGAGGCTTCCCGGAGGCGTCCATGAGAAGGATCTGGCCTCTGCTGCCATGCATATAGTTGTCCACTCGGAAAACCAGGTCCCCTTTGGAATCGAACACCGTGAAGCCGTTGCAGTTGAACATCAGTGACTTATTCCAGACCGTTAACACAGACGCCTCGCCGCCCATTTCTAGTGACCGATTGTTCCCGCCCTTGGGATGAACCTTTGCCATTCTGTTGCTGCTATATAATTCTTTACTATGAGTTGCTGTTCAAGGAGAGATCATCATCATAATTCATAAAGCAAGCAGAGGAGCTTACCAAACAGTAGAGCAAGAGGCACAAGCCCTTTTTATTTATAATATATCATCATCTCTCTCACCAACAACCCCAAGGGACCCCACCACGTCCTACCCTTTCATCTCTCTTTCGGTTACTCTTTCTTGTCTTCTTTTTTCTTTATTATCTTACACCGTACGTGCCCGATTACAGATTACAGATATGACCTGTCTCTCGAACTTGCGTGGCTCAAGATTACCCATTTATCCCCTTTCACCTACAGCCACTCCTTCAGAATTTTTTTTTTGTTGCTTTTTTTCTTTTTAAAGAAGTTATTCTTTCGCTTATTTAATTAACAAGGCCAACCTAACCTAACTAGCTTGATTAGGATACAACTATTGTCTATTGGATTGGCCAAGGTCGGCTTGTCACCATCCGGCCATACATATATATATATATATCGACTGTGAGCAATGTAACATCCCGACTTTTGGTTAACCAAATATCGGATATTACCAGTTCCTAATTCCAGTTTTATTAAATTAAACCATCTCTATTCCCTTTTCTTTTTATTTCTTTTTTAATGGGGCATTTCCTAATTTTTTTCTAAGAGCCCATTAAGCCCAACCCATCTATTTAACTTCTATATAAATACCTAATTAAATCCCTAAAACCCTCATTAAGCTCCTAATAAACCATAGCCACCTTTTTCCTCTCTCTTTCTCTCCTCCCTGCGCCGAGCTGCTCTCTTCCTCTCTCTCTCTACGTTTTCTTCTTCTTCTTTCTCTCTCTTGGCCGTGCCTCTCTCTCCCCTTGCCGTGGCCGCCACCATCCTCCAAGCCTCTCTCGCCGCCGAAGCTTCCTTGCCCAGCTGAGATGTCTGCGCCGCCTCCTTCTCCTTTGGGTGAGATGGGAGCTGATTCTGATGGATCTCCTCTTAGATCTCCTTCTCCCTTGCCTCCTCCTCTTGTTTCTCAGCCTTCTAAGCCAAGGTGAGGGCTCTGTGGCTTCATCCTCTCTTACATATGCATGGTTGTCTTTTAAGTGGTCTTTTCTTAGATCAGGCTTAGATCTGCTTGTTAGGGTTGTTAGAATTGTTAGGACCTGGATCTGTGTTGCCTGTTTTTTGATGATTGTTGGTTGCTGGTGGAATGAGATAATTAAGCTGAACTTGGATCTAAACTTATTGGACTTTAAAATATTGATTGTGTGATGTTAACCTGATTAATGTTCCTTTTTGTTACAATTGGTATCACCGAAAGTGCATCTTAATAATGGAAGGACCTTTAAGAAATGGATGATTCTTTGAAATGGATGAGTGTGCATATAGATCTCTGATAGGACCCCTGGCTCCTGGAGGCAGGAGTCAGTGTTGTTTGTTGGCTATCGCTGTCGTGTGAGGCACGGCTAGAGCCATCGCTGGAGTGGATTAGCGATCCACTGTTTATTGAGCCGTCCAAAGGGACCACTGGGTACAGTTTTCTGGTGAGACCGCTATGAGCAGCCGTCTAAGTGACCGTTAGTGTCATAGCCTGTCTCGGTGATTGCTGTGGATCAGTCTATGTGACTGGCAGAGTGAACCTGACTAATGGGTATGGTAATAGGCCAACCATTGGATGAGATTATTCTGGTTGCCTTTCCGGGTGAGGCATGGGGGCCCATGTGGCAGCCCACTACTGCCGCGTCTAGGGACCCGTTGCTTGTGTAGTTGTTTGTAGGGTTACCCTTGATTGCTGTGTGATTGATTGTTAGGAATGAAGTGTTTATATATAAGTAAATATATATATATATTTATATATGTGTTGTTTGGGCTTGCTTTAGGATTAGATCTCTTAAAACCAATTTATGCTAGTTCGATGATGTTGTGGGCCTCCTTAAGGTCCACCCTCACTGAGTAATCCCAATTACTCACCCCTCATCTCCCCTTGTCTTTCAGGTTTAGTAGAGAGATCAGCCTAAGTCTGTGTTGTTGATTGTTACCTGGGCGTTTTCATGGCGATCCTGTGTGCTCACCAAATCGGACATCCTACCGGACGCGGTTCGATGGCCGATCTAACATACCCAGTTCCCCGCTCTCTTAGGAGCCTGGGATAAGGATGTTACAATTGGTATCAGAGCCCATGATTAGATCACTTTAGCTCCGTTCTAAAGTGGTCGCGCCCGTTTTTGTTTTCAAAGAGAAAACTGTTTGCGAAAACATTTTTTTTATTAAAATCTTTTTAAAATGTTTTCAAACCTAGAACAATCAACAACTTATGGACGCTGATCTTATAGTTTTTTCTATCCTCTTTCTTGTTTGTTGTTAGGGGCCTAGGTTCAGGACGCGAGAAACCGCATGGAAGAGGGTTATGTCTTTAACCATGTGGTAGTTAAGTCTGCCTTTGGAGTTGCAACAAAATTGCCTCTAGACAAGACTGGTTATTGGTGTGGTTCAAACTATACCAGGGTGGTTGTTCTGAAACTACCACACTGTGCGATGCCAGTCCTGACTATGCAATCTTTGGTTCTATAGCAGCCATCAACATGTATGATTAGGTTTTAGACCTGGTCTACATAGTTAAGGTATTAAAAGGCAGGCGTCGCAAGAGTCCATAGAAATTGTCAGACTGTAAAAAGTCAGGCGAGTTTCATCTCGGAATGGCGAGGAACCTAGTTGTGTTATCCAAAGAGAACGGATGTGCTTGAATACCTTTGGGAATTCACACTCTTAACCGGATTCAGAGGATTTCACGGTGGCTTTAGTGTGTATCGAATCCTGCTCAGCAATTCAACCAATAGATTTCTTTTTCCTTCTCTTCCTTCCTTTTACCGTAGACCTATGTTCAAGATCCGAGAGCCTGCGCGCAAGAAGTGCACTTCTTTCCTCAAGTGAAGTTTAGCAAAGAGCTTGTCGTCATTTCCGCTGGTAGTGAAGCAGAAGAAGATCCTTCCTCTGATTGTTCTCTTTTATATTTAAAAAAAAAAGTTTTCAAAGGAGTATAACTTTATTTTTATTTGTTTGGATTATTGATTGCTTTTAGGTTTCTTATGAACTAGTTAGATTTCATGCTAGTGTTCTTTTATTTTTCCTTAAAAAAAAAATGTTATACTCCTCCTTGTCACATTAATAAAATGGTTTTTGGATTTTACTCAAAATGTTTTTATTGCATCATACCTTAAACTCTCCCTCCTACACGATTCTGTTGATCACTCTGCGTTCTAAACCCTTAGCCTCCAACTCCTTCTTGGCGCCATGTGTCCTTTGGCTTCCCTTCTGCTTTCTCTTTCCTAGCCTTTATCTTTTCTGTTGCCATGGCTCACTTCTAATTCCCTTCCTGATTTCATTTGTGAGCCTTTCCTGATTCCGTTTCTGCCCCTCTATTAGGTTTCACTTCTGCCTTCATTTTTGCTTTCCTCCTAATCCCATTTCCAATTTCCTTTCTGAAATCATTTCTGAGTCTTTCTGATTTCATTTTGTCTTTCCTTCTACTTCCATTTCTAATTGTCTTCCTGCTTCATTTTTATTCCTTCTTGTCCTTTTCCTCTCAGCCTCTATCTCTTATAGTGCCATAATTTCTTGTGGTTCTATTCCTAATCTCCTTTCGAATTTCTATTCCTGCTTTCTCTTCTGATTTCATTTCCAATTCTCCTCCTGGACCCATTTCATTTTCTGCTCCCATTTCCTGATCTCATTCCTGATCCTCCTTCTGATTTCATTCATGTCTTCCTCTCTGTTATTCCTAGCCTTATCTTCTGGATTCCTTTCTGATTTCTTCTCAGAGTTCCTTTCTGATTTCCTTTCCGATTTCCTTTCTGCTTCCATTCCCTGAGTTCATTTCTGAATTCCTTCTCTTCTGCGACCAAGGTCCTCTTGTCATTTGTGCCTTCGATTCCCTTGGTTTGTAGTCTTCAAAATTCCTTTCAGGAACTTCTCTCTCATAGGATTCGGGGACGAATCCTGTCTAAGAGGGGAAGATTGTAACATCCCGACTTTTGGTTAACCAAATATCGGATGTTACCAGTTCCTAATTCCGGTTTTATTAAATTAAACCATCTCTATTCCCTTTTCTTTTTATTTCCTTTTTAATTGGGCATTTCCTAATTTCATTCTAAGAGCCCATTAAGCCCAGCCCATCTATTTAACCTCTATATAAATACCTAATTAAATCCCTAAAACCCTCATTAAGCTCCTAATAAACCCTAGCCACCTTTTTCCTCTCTCTTTCTCTCCTCCCTGCGCCGAGCTGCTCTCTTCCTCTCTCTCTCTACGTTTTCTTCTTCTTCTTTCTCTCTCTTGGCCGTGTCTCTCTCTCCCCTTGCCGCGGCCGGCACCATCCTCCAAGCCTCTCTCGCCGCCGAAGCTTCCTTGCCCAGCCGAGATGTCTGCGCCGCCTCTTTCTCCTTTGGGTGAGATGGGAGCTGATTCTGATGGATCTCCTCTTAGATCTCCTTCTCCCTTGCCTCATCCTCCTGTTTCTCAGCCTTCTAAGCCAAGGTGAGGGCTCTGTGGCTTCATCCTCTCTTACATATGCATGGTTGTCTTTTAAGTGGTATTTTCTTAGATCAAGCTTAGATCTGCTTGTTAGGGTTGTTAGAATTGTTAGGACCTGGATCTGTGTTGCCTGTTTGTTGATGATTGCTGGTTGCTGGTGGAATGAGATAATTAACCTGAACTTGGATCTAAACTTATTGGACTTTAAAATATTGATTGTGTGATGTTAACCTGATTAATGTTCCTTTTTGTTACAATTGGTATCACCGAAAGTGCATCCTAATAATAGAAGGACCTTTAAGAAATGGATGATTCTTTGAAATGGATGAGTGTGCATATAGATCTCTGATAGGACCACTGGCTCCTGGAGGCAGGAGTCAGTGTTGTTTGTTGGCTATCGCTGTCGTGTGAGGCACGGCTAGAGCCATCGCTGGAGTGGATTAGCGATCCACTGTTTATTGAGCCGTCCAAAGGGACCGCTGGGTACAGTTTTCTGGTGAGACCGCTATGAGCAGCCGTCTGAGTGACCATTAGTGTCATAGCCTGTCTCGGTGATTGTTGTGGATCAGTCTGTGTGACTGGCAGAGTGAACCTGACTAATGGGTATGGTAATAGGCCAACCATTGGATGAGATTATTCTGGTTGCCTTTCCGAGTGAGGCATGGGGGCCCATGTGGCAGCCCACTACTGCCGTGTCCAGGGACCCGTTGCTTGTGTAGTTGTTTGTAGGGTTACCCTTGATTGATGTGTGATTGATTGTTAGGAATGAAGTGTTTATATATAAGTAAATATATATATATTTATATATGTGTTGTTTGGGCTTGCTTTAGGATTAGATCTCTTAAAACCAATTTATGCTAGTTCGATGATGTTGTGGGCCTCCTTAAGGTCCATCCTCACTGAGTAATCCCAATTACTCACCTCATCTCCCTTGTCTTTCATGTTTAGTAGAGAGATCAGCCTAAGTCTGTGTTGTTGATTGTTACCTGGGCGTTTTCCTGGCGATCCTGTGTGCTCACCAAATCGGCATCCTACCGAACGCGGTTCGATGGCCGATCTAACATACCCAGTTCCCCACTCTCTTAGGAGCCTGGGATAGGGATGTTATAAGCAACCTGCTAGAATAAAAACTCATCCATCTTCCACCGTTAATTAATATACATCAGCAAAATCACCTCTCATCAAACTTGATTTTTTTTTCATCAAACTTGAATTTTTTTTTTATCTCCTCTCTGTTTGCTAGAAGGAATCCAAAAGGAGCCGTATAGATATAGAGTTTGGGAGTACACCAAGATGCGCATTGCTTTGGTGGAGAGACACCCACCACTTCTAAGGAGGAGCAATAACATACAGTACCTGGTAAGTACGTCGTGTACCACACGGCACCGCAATTCTCCTTTCCTCAAAAGGGCAGAATCCGCCCAGTATATATTACGCCTAAGAAGGCCCAATAAAATGGCCCATACGAGAAATTAAAGAATTGTAAAGCCCAATAGCTTCCGGCATCATGGAGTGGACTGTGTCAACATCCTGCCTGTAAATTGTAAAGGCAGAGAAGAGAAGACCACTCCCAGTCCCAGTGGTGCGTTGAGAGCTTTCGTTGTTGTCTTCTCCGGTTGCAATTAGGGTTTTAAATCGGTAAATCGGTTTTGGTACTGCAGCTTGAGATTGAGAATGAGATCCTTTCCACTGCATTCTACCTGTTGACAATGGGCAACTGCGGTACTAGAGACGAGGCTGCCGTCTTCACTCCTCAAGCTCAAGGTCCCTCTCTCTTTTTGTCTCTCTCTCTCACTCTCTCTATATCATCTCTAACCTTCTCTATTTTCTCTTTGGTTCACCTCGCAGCCCAACAGCTCCAGAAGAAGCACTCCCGCTCCGTCTCAGATCTGAGCGATCCATCTACTCCTCGCTTCCGGGACGACTCTCGCACTCCTCTTTCGTATGCACAGGTCATCCCCTTCACTTTATTTGAGCTCGAGACCATCACCAAGAGCTTCCGCCCCGACTATATTCTCGGGGAGGGCGGCTTCGGCACCGTTTACAAGGGCTACATTGATGACAATCTCCGCGTTGGCCTTAAGTCTCTCCCTGTTGCCGTCAAGGTCCTCAACAAGGAGGGCCTCCAGGGCCACCGTGAATGGCTTACCGAGGTCAACTTCCTCGGCCAGCTCCGTCATCCCAACCTCGTCAAGCTTATTGGCTACTGCTGCGAGGACGATCACCGATTACTTGTTTATGAGTTCATGCTGCGAGGCAGCCTTGAGAATCACCTCTTTCGAAGTAATCCCCGCACCCTTCTCCATTTAGTATACAAGTCGGCTACACAGATGAGAAACCACACATCTATTCCTCACAGTTGCACATAGTTTTTGTTTTGTTTTGTTTCTAGCTTATTCCGTTTTCTTATTTTTTTTAGTCTGGTCATGCTCGTCTATAATTAACCAAGTCACCATGGCCTCTCTTCAGAAACCACAGCTCCGCTCTCTTGGTCTAGAAGGATGATGATTGCTCTTGGAGCTGCGAAAGGGCTTGCTTTCCTCCACAACGCTGAAAGACCCGTTATTTATCGGGATTTCAAGACATCCAATATACTGCTTGACTCGGTAACTAGTTAATCTTTTCTTTCAGCGCTGCAAAAAGTTCCTCCAAGATTTTGGGAATATCCGTCCACAGCTAATATATATCCTTGCTTGGGCTGAACCTGCAGGACTACACAGCCAAGCTTTCAGATTTTGGCTTAGCTAAAGCTGGACCCCAGGGTGATGAAACCCATGTATCAACTCGAGTAATGGGTACTTATGGCTATGCTGCCCCAGAATATGTGATGACTGGTACGTCATGCATTATATAGCGAGATATATTCCCTTTAGTTTATTATTTCAGATGCATAAACAATCTTGACGAATTTGCTCCTGCAAATGCCTTTTTTTTTTTTTTTCACTTGGTCTGTGATGGGAGCGATGATCAACTGTTTATATAGCGCCTACCGTTTGAAAATAGGGTAGCTGCTTAAGTTGTCAACTAAATGTTGGGGCTGGCTGGAACTGTTTCAACTTATCTTTCCATTCAAACTGACCAGTTGACATTTCTGCTTTAGGAGCTTGCTGTTATTTAACATATAGTATTGTAGTTTTTGAGATGTTGAACCATGCCTCTAATATGCACTTGTATTTCACAACAATATTTCGAGCAACAAAGTCTCTCTCTTTGCATGACAATAAGTGCTTGAACCATTACACAAATACACACTGACTTGACTCTGTTACTAATGAACAAGGTCACCTGACGGCCAGAAGTGATGTGTACAGCTTTGGAGTTGTTCTTCTGGAGATGTTGACAGGAAGAAAATCAGTGGACAAGACAAGACCTAGCAAAGAGCAGAACCTAGTTGATTGGGCTCGGCCGAAGCTGAATGATAAAAGAAAACTGCTGCAAATAATTGACCCGAGGCTGGAGAACCAATACTCTGTCAGGGCAGCTCAGAAGTCATGCAGTTTGGCGTATTATTGTCTTAGCCAGAACCCGAAAGCTAGGCCATTGATGAGTGATGTGGTTGAGACTTTGGAACCTTTGCAGTGTACAGGTGATTCCCTAATCCCTGGTGCAACAACTGCGGCTGGAGCTGCATTTGCAATGGGAGGGGTGCCTGATTATAGAATGCACCGGAGGTTTGCGAAGAACGTTGGGCCTGGTGCCATTTGCAGGTCACCGAATCCAAATTGTTCACCGGGTGGACCTGCAGCATGCAGAGTGCGGTGATAAGTGTCAAGTGTACATAGTCGGTTTGCAGTGTCTCCTTTTGCGTAATTTCTCTCTGAGCCAAACGTCTAGTTGCTTAAAAATCATGGATGCGGTTTGCTTCACGTTGTTTTTGTTGTTGTTGTTGCTGCTGTTTATTGCCACTTTACAGTGTTGATCTGTCTAGAGTCTTGTATGATTATAATTGAGCGAAGTTGTTTGGTTAATCCGCACTCTGATATAGAGCTTGTATTAGTCGACATTTCTCTAATCACTCCAAGGTGAATATTTTTGTGTGTAAGCAGTATCTTATTCTAACTGGCGAAGAGAAGATATGTCATAGTGATGAACAGTGCTGCTGTTGGCCTATGATGTTATCAAGAAATAAAGAATAATACACATCAACACATGTGTGATTGGGAAATGTTTTTTTTGTTCTAACTGTAGTGGTCATATGATATTGCGAAATTGATGCTGCCTTCGCTGTATATGATTGGACTTGAAGGAATCTGGAGGAGTGACCCACTAAACCCTTTCTCTCTCTCACCTGTAACTCTTTTTATCCACCACACAGATCTTGGTATCACCTAATCTATCTTGACTCGGGAAAACTATGGAGCCTAGCTTACATGGTGCGATTTTACTAGGATTGCTTGCAACAATTCTGGTTACGACGGCCCATGGCCAAGGTGAATTATATTGATATATCTTTTGTGATTGGATGGATGATAGTAGTAGTAGTAGTAGTAGTGTGGGTATCGGATCACATCTGGGCTGGGATCATGTGAGCAGGTGGAGAAGAAATGTGGCCAGTGGAGATGGGGATGATCGAATACAGAGGATTATGGAGGAGGAAGCTGATGACGCCGTTGGAGCTGTGCTTGGAGTGCAAATGCTGCTCCTCAATCACTTGTGCCACCATGCCTTGCTGTTTCGGCATCAATTGCCAACTTCCCAACAAGCCATTTGGCGTTTGCGCCTTTTTTCCCAAGTCATGCCATTGTACTTCTTGCTCCATTTAACTGTATTTTGTTTCTTCCTTCTTTCTTCGACCATCATCATCATCAGCATCATCATCATTATATATCGAAATGAAGGAATGAATGAATTCTTAGAGATTGTCTGCGCACTTTTTGATTCATTCATCCATCCATCATAAAACAATATATTTAGACGACGACGATAGCCCAACCCTTTTTTTTGTTTTAAAGTAATAAATAAAGGCCCAGTGGAGAGGATGGCAGATGGGCCTTTGAATAAAGCCTTTTGGGTAGAAAGATGCCGGAAGACCGAATATCCCTTCTCCTCGTCTTCAATTTTGTTGCAATCAGTCTTCTCCTCGCCGGCAGAGAGAGAGAGAGAGAGAGAGAGAGAGAGACTTGGATTGATGGTGGCATGGAGTGTGAGTGAGTAGATCGCAGCAAGGATTTTGAACATGGCTTCGACAGAAGGACTTGTACCCATCACCCGGGCTTTTCTCGCTTCCTACTACGACAAATATCCTTTCCCTCCTCTTTCCGACGACGTTTCTCGGCTTTCCTCTGACATCGCTTCTCTTATTCAGCTACTAACTCTCCAGTCTCCCCCTTCACAAGGTCCCCGATCCCATAGTATCATCAATCCTGCTTTTGATTTTCCTGCTTTTTGAATTTACCCATCATTTTATCATCGTTCCCTTCCCTCTTTATATCTAGGGGAAGCTTCACTGATCGACGAAGCTAATCGGCAGCCTCCTCACAAAATCGATGAGAATATGTGGAAAAATCGGGAGCAGATGGAGGAGATTTTGTTTCTTCTGCAACCATCTCGTTGGCCTCTTCAGGTTAATCCCGAGCTTCGTGTTTTGTCCCAACCTTACCTTGTTGCGCCTGCTTCTGATGGTGACATCTCTATTGTTTTTGTTTTGCGTGCAGCTTCGGGAACCTTCCACATCCGAAGATGCTGAATTCTCTTCTATGTTGCGACATGTCAAGGCAAATATTGATAACGCTTTGACTGCTATGATTTCTTTCCAGACGAAAAACTCCGAGCGCGTATTCAGCACAGGTTGATTCTACGCATTCACTGTTATACATAGAGAGATAAACTGCTTCATATGAGTACTGATGTTTTTTTTTCCCCTACAGTTATGACCTATATGCCTCAAGATTTCCGAGGAACGCTCATTAGACAGCAGAAGGAGAGGTCGGAGAGGAACAAACAGGCGGAGGTTGATGCGTTGGTTAGCTCTGGAGGGAGCATACGCGACACATATGCTCTTCTTTGGAAGCAGCAGATGGAGAGGTGAGCCTGCCTACCTGTTTCTAATTTGTTTTATTGATGCCTCGTAGCTTACAGAGAGTATGTATTATGCATTTATTGACTGTATATATATGTATAGGAGGAGACAGTTGGCTCAGCTAGGCTCTGCGACTGGTGTCTACAAAACCCTGGTGAAATACTTGGTAGGGGTTCCACAGGTAGGCCTACCCATCTCTACTCTTTCTGGCAATTTTTTATTCCCTTCACCATAACCTTCTTTTTCTTATCCGCCAGTTGCCGTAATACTCATGCATCTATGCCATACGGATTTGGCTTCTCCGTTCTTGCATACTCATGCATAAAGAAGATTGATTTTGTTGTTGATTCTTTTCTTTTCATACCTTGTAGGTTTTGTTGGATTTTATTCGACAAATTAATGATGATGATGGGTATGTAGTATGTACCATGGTCTCATTTAAAAAAGTCAATGAGTGTTTACTTATGGTGGCAGAAGATTCAGAAGGCTTAACATACTTTAACAGATAGAATTAATCTTCTTGTGTTAAGGCCAATGGAAGAGCAACGAGAACGTTATGGACCTCCTCTATACAGTCTCACAAAAATGGTGACGGCAATCCGGGTTTTCCTAACACTTCTGTGGGAAAGATATGATACCTTCAAACTGTAAGATAGTTGGATAATCTTTTCCCTTTTTTTTTTTTTGTTTATTGTTGTTAAATTAAGTTTCCTTAAATTCACACAAGTCAATAATCATCGAGCTTCAAGTATTCATGAAATCTCTCAATGAGCTTTCCCATTTAGAGGTTGTGAGATTTTATTATATGTGGGATGAGCAGGAATAAAGAACAAATGAATCTCCTGTCTGAAGCTGCTATCGTCTACACATCTGAGTTTGAAAGATTCGTCACATTTATCAGGTACCAACTTCCATCTACCATCTTCCTTTCTAGGGTCGTGGGTCGTGGTACTTGATGTACTGGATCACACAAACATTGGGGAAAGTTCACTTTTGAAGCTTTCCTGCTGCGGAAAATTTCGTTGATGTTTGTTTTAGGGATTATTTTCCTTTGTTTCCTTTTGTAGTTTGTCTAGTCTCCTAATCCGTTTTGGGTCTGTTAAGATTGTTGCTAGTATCTGAAAGCATTCCTATCAAGCTTTAGAGTAAGTCTAAGATTGTTGGTACTAGACATTCTCTCTAAATTAATTAGTTTTGTGTTATTTTTCAGTTTTGATTAAAGTTTTTATTCTGCAGTTCCAAATTAGGTTAGACGTCTTTTGGCATTGCTTTCTCACTAGTGAAGAATTTAATGTTTTGCTTTGTGCTTTTCCAGCGATGTATTTGCCAATTCCCCCTTCTTCATTTCAGCAGATACCGCTGGAATATTGGGCTCAAGGTTAGCTTCCATCACTCAAAAGATTCACTATAGTTCATGATATCTAGCTCTTAAGAGTTTGTACTTAGGGAAAATGAGGAGTACAAGGAGATAATCGTTCAAGCTGGGAGAACCTATGAGGTAATATGTTCTCCTCAGATGCCTTAGTTTATAAATGAAACTGAATGTTTTGCCATTCTTAGACTCTTGACAAGAGTTCCGTCGTGTTAAAAAAAGTGAAAAGTGATGTTATCGACAATAGTGTGTGGCATTCGCATTTTCTGGTGTGAATCAAAAAAAAAAAAAAAAAAAAAAACTCAAAAGCATAAACTCTTGCATTTGAGTCTAGCGTAAGTACATCTATGATGTATATATATCGGTGATTGATGTTTGTTGTTGTTTCTCTAGGTCTCATTGATGGTGGAATCCGAAAATTCATACATTGGTTGGGATTTCTCCTTGATGCAAGGCAAGATAAGCATGGTATTGTCTTTTGAACCCTCGAGCTGTTTCCTCATTATGTAACCTTAAATCATTTGATTGCTTTTCTTGCTTGGTTTTGTGTCTAGATTGTTCTCTCTTAGGAGTTACAATAACAATTCATGAAAAATGTGTTTTCTTTCTTTCTTTGGGTTGCAAGTCGAGAGCATCACACATCGTCTCTACCTGCCATATTGCATATATAAAATTGTATATGCTGCTGTTATTGCATAAATCTGGTTAGCTTTACTCGCACATAGTGGATAGCCTATCTTTCTCTGTGATGAGTCTTTCATGTGAAAGACAAACAATAGTTGTTGTTTTTTTTACACGGGATGATCTATAGCTCAGGAGCAGCCTTACGCTAGTTCTCTGATTAAATTCTTATTTCTATGTACCAGGATATTGGATTTAGCGTGGAGTACATAAGTGCGTCAGGGGAAAAGACTGTGAGTGTGCTCTTTAGTTTCCAAACTGTCTTTAAGCGTATAATACACTATATCTCATTCTTTAAGATATCCATTCAGATAGTGATTCTGAAGGGTGATTATGAATTTTCTCATTGCAGCTGATATTACCTTACCGTCGGTATGAAGCTGACCAGGTGAGTGCCATGTGCATATGTGGGGAAGCTTATGAGTTTTTTTTAATCTGTTGTTGCATAGCTGTGTTGTTTAATGTCATCCACTGGGTTTATTCCTACAGGGAAACTTCTCTACGCTAATGGCTGGAAACTACAAACTTGTTTGGGATAATGCATATTCCACTTTCTTCAAAAAGGTAGAATGATACTTACATTTTGCGGCAGACAACGTGAATCAATATCCTTTTTTAGCCTCCTTTTCCATTGCTTTCACTAGTGAGGATCTGTTCATATGCTCTTTTTTTTTCTTTTTCTTTCTTTTTTTGTGGAATAGACTCTCCGATATAAAGTGGATTGCATACCACCAGTAGTGCAGCCGACAAACTGAATGTGGAAGATGGAGGTGGATTAGAGTAATGAAAACTCACCATTTGTTTGTAGAAGGACAAAACTCTGATCCTTTGAAAGACACCAATGGAACATCATAAACATCTGTTGCCACCTCTGACAGGAATATGACTATTTTGTTGCATTACTTCAATATCATTGCTGAAGAAGGGAAACGTGGCGATGGAAGGGGGATATATAATCTTATTAGAATGAATTATGAGTAATCTTATGTCTCAAACTTGATCTAGATTTTCATTACTGGAAAAATAAACCGTAGATATTAATCATAAAAAGCCGGAGATGACTATACAAACATGAATGAAAATGAAACATTAAAAGGATAACACAGAAATAAGTGATGTAACGTACGTGTTATCAAACTGCAAAAATACATTACGAAATTCCTGATAATTAACAAAGTACTTTATGGGAGGGATTGTTTCAACAAATTATTTACTTCTTCTACAAACTGCAGTCGATAATGTTGTGCAAACATATTCATTTCTCATTAGTCTTCGAAGCTATACTTTGTTTGGTCAAGAAAGTTACATATATGACAGACTTACAGAATGGGGGAGAGCATGTTACCTACAAGCTGCGGCAGATAGGGTAAGTTTCCTCTCAATATTCATAGCATTCACTACTTACGATCTTTACTTTGTCCTCATATTACTTGCTTTAATTCTTAAGAAAAAAAATTCTGTTGCTTATTCCTATATAGTCTTCTTCATGTCCTTTTTTTTTTCTTTTTCATATTGATATTGAAATAGGTAACACTTACACATCCTCGAGAATCCAAATAATACTCAAAACTAGTTTAGTTACACAAATTTAAAGGTTTAGGTTTCAGGTTTAAGATTTAGGATTAGGGTTTAGGTTTTAGGATATAGAATGTAGATAAATTTGTTAATATTAGGCTAGAGCTAGAATGTGATGAGGTATTTCAGTAATAG